CAGCCTGCGTACCAGATGGAGCTGGTAGACAGCTGCCCTGGACACAGAATTGACCTGCGCCTCAATGGACAGCTGTGAGTCCAGAATGACTCCCAGGCTGCGTACCTGGTCCTTCAGGGGCACAATTACCCCATTCAGGACCAGGGAGTCCTCCACACCTGCCCGCCCCCTATCCCCCAAAAACAGTACTTCTGTCTTGTCAGGATTCAACCTCAATCTGTTAGCCACCATCCATCCTCCAACCGCCTCCAGACACTCACACAGGACCTTGACCGCCTTTAGTTCAGATTATTTCAAGGGGTTGGACCCTTGGTGTCCCTTCAAACTTTACCACTCTGCGACTCTATGAATTGGTATCAACAGCAGCAACATTAGCTACCTCATGTCTTGCTTCTCCCTCAGCTCAGATCCAAATCAGATTCAGGCAGTAATTGTACTATTTTATATTGATTGTTTAATTCAAAGCAACAATCAATATAAAATAGTACAATTTGAGCTGTATCTCATGCTAATAGCAACTCACAGTCAATTCTGAGACTGTTAAGCAGCTTAACAGTAGAGCATTCCAATAACATTGTGCTAAACTACCCGCTGCCTACTTATTTTTTTAAACAAATATTGAAATATTTGCTTAATAGTGCTTGAACAAAAATGTATTTTAGTGCAAACGAAATGGGATGCACGAAGGACCCAGAGGTTCAAACCCTAAACTGTATGTCAACTGCAATTCCAACCTGTTTCCAGATGCCTCTTGCCTTCCAGTGGAAAAATCAGCACACTGCAGTTTATAAAGCTGAAACTCAGTTCGTGGCAGCAAACGTTTTGATCTCACTCCAAGGCCAGCTTTGGTTGCACTTAAGCAGCACTGGCTGAAAAGTGTTGTGATGAGGAGGTGCAAAGTTTACATGCATAGGAAGTTTGGAGGGCCGGTGCCACCTCACTAGTTTTGATTTAGATCAGCCTTTGATCGCGCAAGTTATCTTTCTCCAATTTTGATAAATGTAATCAGTCTGTGGGGTTCCAGTTGAACTCACCATGTGGACATAAAGTCAGAAGGCAGACACATCAGCTGGACTTTGCTATGCAAGTCACTGCAAAAGAAAAATAATAATGGACTGCACTTGAGCCTTTGGCTGAGGGGGGTTTGGAAAATGAGAGCAGGACAGGGAGGGGGCCCTGCTCTCAGGTCTTACAACATAGTCAAAATCTATTTTATCTGTCAGGTTAAAAGTGCACCCAGTTTGCAGACAAGTTTCTCCACATGTACCGGCCTCTTCATGTAACTGAGTGCCAGATTGGGCTTTGAAAGATGTTTGCAGGAAAAATAAGTAGACTGTTGTCAGTGCCGGATTTACGTATAAGCTAAACAAGCTATAGCTTAGGGCCCCACTCTCTTGGGGGCCCCAAAAAATTTAAAGGGAAAAAAACCCTGGATGTACATTTCTGAAATATAAGATAAAAAACAAATAAAACAAAACCTACATATAGCAACAGTGTTTTGTGTTGTGTAGGCTCCTATTAGGTCCATAAGTTACCATATAGCATATATTCAACACAAAAAACAGTGACAATTTGTTGTTGACAAAGGACAGCTGGACATATAAAGGGCCCCATTTCCTTCAGTAGCTTAGGGCCTCATCAAACCCCATCAAACCTTGACTGTTGTTGCAATCTGGGAGACACAGCAATTTTTTTGATGGAATCCAAACCAACTTTAACTTTTTTTATATGGAATCCAAACCAACTCTGGGGACTTGGGTGGCAGTGTGATGTAAACCACAGAGCCTAGGGCTTGCCGATCGGAAGGTTGGCGATTCAAATCCCCGCAACGGGGTGAGCTCCCATTGTTCGGTCCCAGCTCCTGCCAACCTAGCAGTTCGAAAGCACGTCAAAGTGCAAGTAGATAAATAGGTACCGCTCCGGCGGAAAGGTAAACGGTGTTTCCGTGTGCTGCTCTGGTTTGCCAGAAGCGGCTTAGTCATGCTGGCCACATGACCCGGAAGCTGTACGTCGGCTCCCTCGGCCAGTAAAGCAAGATGAGCACCGCAACCCCAGAGTTGTCCATGACTGGACCTAATGGTCAGGGGTCCCTTTACCTTTTTAACCATATATTATAAAGGCACCACCTTCTCCACTGTCTCTCATTCCAAGGATACTAAAACCCTGGATGAGCAATTGGAACCGCCTGGAATCTTGCGCTGCTCTGAGATTGGGGTGCAACAATATCTTTTCAAGTGTGAGCCAGGAAATGGCCTGCCTGGATAATCAAATGGCTCTCTCTTCCTTTTTATAGCTGTTTCTCTTCCTCCATCCTACATGTTCCCAGTGTAATTGGCGTCATTCACCACAACCACTGACTCAACCCTCTATCAAGCTACGTAAATGGCATGTAGAAGAAGAAGAAGAGTTTGGATTTGTTATCCCGCTTTATCACTACCCAAAGGAGTCTCAAAGCGGCTCATAATCTCCTTTCCCTTCCTTCCCCACAACAAACACTCTGTGCGGTGAGTGGGGCTGAGAGACTTCAGAGAAGTGTGACTGGCCCAAGGTCACCCAACAGCTGCATGTGGAGGAGTGGAGATGCGAACCCGGTTCCCCAGATTACGAGACTACCGCTCTTAACCAATACACCACACTGGCTCTCATGATATCCACAACTTTCGTGCCAAGCAGGCACAACTACTACTGTATTGGCCCAAGTATAAGCCGCACCTGAATATAAGTAGCACCTTTAACATTCAAGGAGGAGAAAGACAACACCCAAATATAAGCCACTCCCTTAAAATTCCGCAGGCACTCACACCTGTTCCGTTTTACAGTATGTCTGTTTCAGCAGCGATATCGTAAAAGCCCTTTTTTGTAAGGTCGAGAATTTCAGCCGCACTGTAACTTTTCATGGTCAGAATTTGGAGGGGGAAGTGAGGCTTATATTCAGGCTACTACGGTATATAGCCTGCACAGCCATCACTCACCCAGCTACCTATGTCCCTTGTCCTCGGATCACCCACTACCACCTCACACCCTCTGCATGAGAGGACCACTGTTCGTGTAACAAGGAATGGGTCCTTTCAAAGGGATCGTTTTGCGTAATACCTTCCATCCCTGAGACCTTTGTTCTCCAAGGAGGGACCTCAATCTTATCTTTGGGTGTTTCTGATTGACTGGCAGGCACTCAACCACCCAAATTTGCTATTAGAGGAAATGCTTTTGCAAATAAAAGTAGCAAAAATAGCGCACCATCGTAGTATCTGCTGTTGTTGCACGACTAGTCATATTCAGCTAGAGGTGGCTCAGGACCAAAATGAGGCCATTGTCAATTATGTTCCCCCCTACAAACGTAATATGTTTAGGGTTATGGGGTGCAAGTCCTGAAACCCTGGTACAGCAGCAAGATTCCTTTTCAGGCTTCTCACAAATGTGGTTTGCAGGGCCAAATCTTACTGCGTTATAATTTTCCTTCCTGGCTCCACGTTCATCAAACAGACGTTAAATGTTTTACAGCAACACTCAAATATCCTGTTTCCATAGAAGCATCTAAGGTAGTTCAAACACTACAACAAACTTGTTGATTGGCTTCTTTGCAATCACCTCACATTCCATTTCCAAATTGTGCAAGGAAACTGTGTAAGGAAACTGCTGCATGATGCTTAGCAATATCTTGGCAGTCCAAATGAGTTTCAGGGCAGAGCTTCACATTGCAAAGAAAATGCAGAGTTCCCAGGCCTATGTTTGATTTGTAATACTTACATGGGTTGGGACTGGAAGGCCTTTGCAGAGGATCAGAGGGAAGCATTCTTCCATACAAGTCCACCAGCCCTACCATCACCACTCACAAATAATAGAATTATTATAGCCGCCCAGAGTGGCTAGGGAAATTACAGTGGTGCCTCGCAAGACGAAATTAATTCGTTCCGCGAGTTTTTTTGTCTAGCAATTGTTCGTCTTGTGAAGCACGAAATCCCATAGGAATGCATTGAAATTCAATTAATGCGTTCCTATGGTCAAAAAACGTCCAAACAAAGCCAAATTTGGTACAACAAGAGTTTATTAAGTGCTCTTTAAAGTCACACGCACCACACAGAAATTCAAATCCAGAATTTTTTTAAAAAAACAGCAGAGTGGCCCAATGGTCACAGAAAATCATAAAAATTCAGAAAAAAACCACACAAGCTTCCAGATTCTTGCAAACCCCTCCTCAACTGTTCCCCCAGCCACCCACCACACAGAAATTCAAATGCAGATTTTTTTTTTAAAAAAAAAACAGCAGAGTGGCCCAATGGTCACAGAAAATCATAAAAATTCAGAAAAAAACCACACAAGCTTCCAGATTCTTGCAAACCCCTCCCCAGCACCAAGTCCTTGAATTCCAAACACCCCAACCCAAAATCCAAAAACCCCAAAAAACGTTTTAAAAGTTTAACTTACCAAATGGCTGCAAAATAAGTTTTGGAAAAGCTTCAAAAATCACCAAAGTCTTCAAAAACCTCAAAAAAGGCTACCACACCGCGTGCTATGAGTTGCTCCTCGAAGTCAAGTCGCAACTGCACCTCTTCAAGCAATGCACCCTGGGTATTAACGGCTTTACGAAAAAGGAAACAAACTTGCAAGACGTTTTCGTCTTGCGAAGCAAGCCCATAGGGAAATTCGTCTTGCGAAGCAGCTCAAAAAACGCAAAACCCTTTCGTCTCGCGAGTTTTCCGTCTTGCGAGGCATTCGTCTTGCGGGGCACCACTGTATTATTATTTATTTTATGACCTGAAGCCAGAAATAAACCCAATGGTGGGAGTGGGGGAATAGTAGGAACAGGTGTGGGAGAAGAATATACAGGCAAAGCGACTTCTCCCTTTCAAGTCTCCTCTTGCCCTTACTTGGCATGACCTCAGCAAATGTCGGTTTAGAAACAAATGTTTACAAGATTAATACATGACTTATGAAAGTCATGCACCTCCCCAAAGCAATCTGGACAGCTTCTACTTGAACAATCATTTTAATAGAGAAATGAGCTGGCACCCACAACAGCAATTTCTACCTCCTAGAATTAGTAAGGTAAAGGTAAAGGACCCCTGACCATTAGGTCCAGTCGTGGCCGACTCTGGGGTTGCGGCGCTCGTCTCGCTTTACTGTCCGAGGGAGCCGGATTACAACTTCCGGGTCACGTGGCCAGCATGACTAAGCCGCTTCTGGAGAACCAGAGCAGCGCACGGAAACGCCGTTCACCTTCCCACCGGAGTGGTACCTATTTATCTACTTGCACTTTGACGTGCTTTCGAACTGCTAGGTTGGCAGGAGCAGGGACCGAGAAACGGGAGCTCACCCCGTCGCGGGGATTCGAACTGCTGACCTTCTGATCGGCAAGTCCTAAGCTCTGTGGTTTAACCCACAGCACCACCTGCATCCCCCTAGAATTAGTGGTAAGCTGCAAATTGCTTCAAGTTCCTTTCTTTCTTCTCCAAAGTCCCCTGTCCACACTTTCTCTCCCCCTCCCTCTTTCTGTGTGTATTGACTCTGAATTTTCTTCAGGACCCCCCCCCCCCCACACACACACAACTTCTGAGGTTGTGTGAATAATAGTGAGAATTGGGGTTTTCTACAGCGGTGTCCTTGCCTACTTCACCTGCTTCCTCCTTTTAATATTAATATTAGTCATTTTTTTCTGTTTTAGTGCATGTGTGTGACTGTTTTAAAACTTACGTGCTTCACATTCCTTGTGTGCAATAACGTATGCCAGGATGGTATACAAATAGATTAAAGAAACCATTGATTAGAATAGCTGAGCATTTTTTTCTTCATACAAGAAAATGTGGAAATAACTGACTTTAAAAGGTAGGGATAGCCACCTGTTTATTTACCATATTTTTCTGTGTATAAGACGCCCCATGTATAAGATGCCCCCTATTTTAAGGGAGTCCAATTTAAGAAATATAGGGGGGAGATTGCCTCGTGTATAAGACAACCCACAGTTTTTCACATAATTGTTAAGTAAAAAAACCTACACAGAAAAGTACGGTATTTATCTTAATCAAGTTAATGGAATAATTTAGAGAGGTCTGTCAGCACCTGTTAGCCACTGTAGCTAAACAGAATGTCACATGTGATATCTAAGGGGCTTGTCCACACTTCTGTTTGTGCCGTGTTTAGAGAGCAGGAGTCTGAATGGTTTTTCCCCCTTTCCAAAACTGCTCTTTAGCAGTAGATCGGAACAAATGGCAAGCCAAATTGAGTTGAGCGCTAAAGAACAGTTTTTAGTTTTTAGTCCCACTGGATAAGCTGGAAGTCATACTCAGAGTATACCAATGGACTTCCATGAGTCTACCCTAACACTGAATCTTAGCCCTTTTCTCTAAATACAGATGAAATCACTGCCCTTTATGCCCTTTTTGAGAGCTTGTCGGCACCTAGACAGGTCTTTGGCTGGATCCAGCAAAGCAATTACTTATGGGGCTTCGGTGAGTGAAAAACTTGTCCCGTTTGCCCTTCTTTCTTTTGCATTTTGATATATGCTTGTTTTACGACTCCAGCCTTACCAATGTAAAGGAAAATATTTTGTGTGGGTGCATTTACTCTCTGGCATCACTACAGAAAATGCATCAACTCTTAATGTAATGTAACGTCACTACACTTTGAATTGCAGTCTATAAAAGCTTACACCACTCCTTATTTCTCATACTTAACGATGCTATTTTTAATTATATTATGCAGTGCTCCAGAAGCGACTTGGCATGATAAAGATAAAGAATTTGTTGAAAGTACATCTGCTGGGATTCAGAAAGTGTTCTGATAACCAGGGGTGAACGAAGGCGCCGTGACACCCGGCGCATGTGCAGGCCGCATGCGCCATACGTAGCAACGCCGCACATGCGCTGTACATACAGGTTTGCTGGAGGCACTGCTCCAGTGCTGTATGGACAGCTGCAGCCGCGAGCAGAGGATCTTCTACATGCAGCTGTAGTGGCGATGGAGAGACCCCACCGCCATCCGTATGGCGCTCAAGTGGCGCCGGCAGCAAACCACTATGTACAGCTCATGTGTGGCGGCGTTATGTACAGTGCATGCATGTGATGCTGCACATGCGCCTTACATAGCGGTTTGCTGCCGGTGTCGGGATCCTCTGCTTGCAGCTGCAGCCATGAACGGAGGATCTTACATAACTTGAGTTTCATTACTTTATTCCATCCCATTCATTTCAGTGCAAAGGAATCACAGTGCAAATGGTGGTGGTTTGCGGCGGGGAACATTATTTCATTATCGTTTGCAGACTGAAAGCAACAGCAGCAGCAAACATCAGGCATTTTCACTGGGTTGACAGGAACTGCCTTGAGTCAAAAAATTTGGAACATTTCTGTGGAGTGGGTTGAAAATGAGAGAGCCCAAACAATCAAACTTTGTAATTTGACATCCATTTGATTCTGAAATGTGAATGTTGATGTCCAATATCATGATTTGAGCATGTTAAGGAATTTTGAATCTGGTTCTGAAATTTCATTTCCCTCTAGATGGAAGTTAAGTCTGGAGAGTTGCAGCTTAGTGATCCTTTCTTGATCTCCCTCTTGTGGTTAGACTATGAATTGATGGATTCCTTCTGGAGCCTTGGAACTCATAATTTATTTTTTCCTCTGGACACCTTAGATTCTTGGGGCTCAGCCGCTGGGTTCAATGTTGACACCTTATCTCCTTTTCTCTTCGGTATCTTATAAGGCGGTCTTTAGGAAGTTCGATTTATTTTGAACAAGTCGGGGAGCATGAGTTCCTACAAGGTGCATATTGATCTGGAGGCTACAGGTGATCTGTCCCTTTTTCATTGCATTAAGTTTTCTAGGCAGCTTCTCAACTGAACTAGTCCTCAAGGTGGAATTAAAACCACGTCATCATTCAGAATCAAAAAGCCCAGCTAACAGCTGGGGATAGTGGGTGGTTGGCCGCTGTAGGAACACAGGATTTTGGACTAAGATGAGCCTTTGGAATGATCTGGAAGGACCCTTCTTATCTTCTTTAACACATCCAGTTCCTTTGCCCTTTCCTCATTAATTGTAACTGGAAGCTGTGCATGAACGATGTAGACAAATGGGCAGTTCAGGTCCTGTGAGAAAGACCCTTGTGTTGTGACTCTTGCCTTTCATGCTCAGCACCCAGCCAGGTGGGATAGTATATGCCCCCCTGCCCCCTGAAACCCTCCCCCCCCTAATCACTCCCGGAAAAGATCCTTCCGTATGTCCCCTTCCCCCCCCCGAGACCCTTTTTTGCCCCCCTCCCAGCTCCGACCTTACCCCTGATACCCTTCTACACCCCGGAACACTGGGCTGAGTTCGACTAAGCTGCAGTTGTTGGTAAGTATGACAGCCCAATGGGTTATTGTCTACGCAGCTAACTAAAGATGGATCCCAAACTCCTGCCCAATTCATCATCTCCCATGGACCAGGTGAGTGTGACGCTGGAAAAATAGCCTTGTGGGCCAAGTTAAACAGACCTCTGGGGAGGTTGACTTTGACCCACAAATTGGAGGATCCCCGTTTGGTTGCCTGGGATTTGCAGCCATTCGTGTCACAATGGCGGGGTTCCAGTGTCCCTGGAGACGCCAGAGAACTCCAAGGCAGTTGCAGACAGATAGAGAGATGTCTTGCTGCAGGCGCCAGTGCTCCCATTGCCCAGGACCCAGACCATCCCTCCCTGCCCCCCTCCCCCAATCTGCCCCCTGCCGCAATCTGCTCCCCTCCCCCCTGAGATCTTCCCCGAAGAAATCCCCCTCCCGCCTTCCCCCCTCCCCGAATTTGCCCCCTCCCCCCTGAGGTGGCTGAAAACATCCCCCTCCCCTCTTCCCTGCTCGCCTCTTCCCCCCTCCACAAATATCCCCCTCCCCCCTAAAATCTTCCCTGAAGAAATCCCCCTCCGCCCTGAGACCCCCTCGAACCTTGTCCCACTCCTCTGCTCCCTCTCCCTTCAGCCCACCCTGGAATATGCCCCCCTGCCCCCTGAAACCCTTCCCCCCCAATCCCTCCCGGAAAAGATCCTTCCGTATGTTCCCTTCCTCACCCTCTAAGAGACCCTTTTTTGCCCCCCTCCCAGCTCCGACCTTATCCCTGATACCCTTCTACACCCCGGAACACTGGGCTGAGTTCGACTAAGCTGCAGTTGTTGGTAAGTATGACAGCCCAATGGGTTACTGTCTATGCAGCTAACTGAAGATGGATCCCAAATTCCTGCCCAATTCATCATCTCCCATGGACCAGGTGAGTGTGACGCTGGAAAAATGGCCTTGTGGGCCAAAGTTAAACAGACCGCCTGGGAGGTTGACTTTGACCCACAAATTGGAGGATCCCCGTTTGGTTGCCTGGGATTTGCAGCCATTGAAGACATCCCCCTCCCGCCTTCCCCCCTCCCCTGCGCCATTTCTTTTTTTGGGTGTGTGGGTGTGCTCTACAACCATGGATTTTAAAATAAACCTATCAGATTTGGGCAATACTGGAAAACAATTATTTTCCCAGCTCACACTATATCATTTCCCCCTATCCATTGCCATCTTCCTGTTCTGCAATGGGAAATTCCAGCTGTTCTAGGATTAAATATAAAGTAAACTGCACACCTACAACCTAGACAGCATTTTAAAAAGCAGAGACATCACCTTGCCAACAAAGGTCCGTATAGTCAAAGCTATGGTTTTCCCAGTAGTGATGTATGGAAGTGAGAGCTGGACCATAAAGAAGGCTGATCACCGAAGAACTGATGCTTTTGAATTATGGTGCTGGAGGAGACTCTTGAGAGTCCCATGGACTGCAAGAAGATCAAACCTATCCATTCTGAAGGAAATCAGCCCTGAGTGCTCACTGGAAGGACAGATCCTGAAGCTGAGGCTCCAAGACTTTGGCCACCTCATGAGAAGAGAAGAGTTGCTGGAAAAGACCCTGATGTTGGGAAAGATGGAGGGCACAAGGAGAAGGGGACGACAGAGGACGAGATGGCTGGATACTGTTCTTGAAGCTACGAACATGAGTTTGACCAAACTGCGGGAGGCAGTGGAAGACAGAAGTGTCTGGTGGGCTCTGGTCCATGGGGTCACAAAGAGTCAGAAACGACTAAACAACAAATAATAATAATAATAATGTAGGCCACTGATACGCACACTTTTTATCTACCCTTAGTTAGAAACTCATCCACCTCCCTCAAGTATAAAAGCAAAATCCATTTGTGTGATGCAGATGTCCTCTACTGGCAAGAGGCAGCACTGAGACCAAATCCATTAACTTCTCCCGAGTATGTACAGCACATGATAAGACAGGCAAACATTAGAGAGAGACAATTATTCTAGAGAGACAAAAGAGGCGTAATTTCTCTTGATAGCCAACTCTCTTCTTTTGTGCATGTTCATCTCTTCCTGAACAGGCTTTCTTTCCTTTAAAAAAATTTTTAGGGGTATTCTCATTTTACTACTCATGTTGAAATACTGCCCCTCATTGAGACCAAATTTAGATTCACAAAATGTTTAGGGATATGTGTACCCCTGCGTCCCCCCAGAAAAAAAAGCAACGGGTTTTTGAAACGCCAGACAAAACTGTGAGGAGAGATGACCGTTGCCCTTGCGCCAACGGTCGCCCGGGCCGCGAGAGCGGCGGTTGGAAGCGGGGCGCACGCGCAGAAGGGACAGCGTCTCTGGCCGCGGTTTGCCGAGCGAGAGCGCCCGGGTCTCTTTCTGTATACGTCTGTGGGGGAGAGAAGATGGCTCCCTTCCCTGAGCAGGTGGATGTTTCCACGGCCCCGCACTGGCGGATGAAGCAACTCGTCGGGCTTTATTGTGACAAAGTATGAGGGGAGGAGGAGGAGGTGGTTTCTGAGGCGCGGGCGGCGCGCCGGCCATAGCCGTGGCGGGGGCGCGAGGTGGTCGCGCGCCCCTCGGTACGTGAGGCGCCGATACACGCCCCTCGGCCCCCTCGGGCCTCGCTCGGCCGGCGGTCGTTTGCGGCGTGAGAGGGGATGCGCGCGCACCCGCTGAGGAGAGAGGTGCGCCTGCGCAGCTGCCACCGCTTGGCGCGCGCCGTGACTCCTCTCGGCCACCGTCGTCCGCGCACGTGTTTCTCTCTCCCCCCCCCCCTTCCACTGCCACCTACCTCCGCTTGCAGATTTCCCCTCTTTCTTCCCCGGTTTTTATGCGCTTAGTTGCGAACCTCTTTCCCTCGCTGCGCTTCCTTAGCCGGAGACGTGACGCAGCTTCTCCACGTGTTGTTGTTTTTCTCTCTGACGCGGCTTTCTCGCCACACGTGTGCACGCACGCACGCGTGTCCCTGGCTTAAGAACCTTTTCAAAAGGCGGCACCCCCGAACGAAGCGCGGGCCTAAGTGCATTAGCCCTCGACTTTCCCTCCGACACCCCTCTCCACTGTATACACCCCTCCTCCACTGCGATTCCCAGCTATTGCAGAAGGCAGAAACTCTGTAGAAGACATGATTGGACTTTTGATGACACGAACCATGCGTGTCGCATATGGACAAAGAAGAGCTCGTTCAAAAATCCAAATGTCAAAAAACATAGGTGGTTGGCACCCCTCTGTGCGCCTCCGGGGTTGAAGTGAAACTCTAGGAGAGCTACAGTGCCTGCTGTGACTGTAGAGACATTGGCATTTCTTTTCTCTGCGCTTCTCCCAGCAGTCCTTCCTCCTCCGGTCGCTGCTGTGGATGAACAAGGATTCCCACATGATGAGGTTAATGTTGCCAGCCTTCATGTCACATTTGCAATGCAGAGTTGGTGTGTCAGCAGGCACAACGTAAAGGCAGATTTTCTCTCCCTGTATCATTTTAGAGTGCATGTTCCTTGAAGCAGATGTCTTTGCTTTTTAATTTGGCAGCTTAACAAGTAAGTGAGAGCAAGGAAATGCTGGCAACATTAACCTCATCATTTGGGAATCCTTGTTCATCCACAGCAGTGACCGGAGGAGAAATGCCAATGTCTCTACGGTCACAGCAGGCACTGTAACTCTCCTAGAGTTTGACTTCAACCCCGGAGGTGCACCACCTATGTTTTTTGACATTTGGATTTTGGAACGAGCTTTTCTTTGTTCATATTCGACATGCTTGGTTCACTTTTGCACATTTAGTAGAACTACCAAGGTGGGAGAGAACCCCCCCCCCCCGGACAGTGGGACACACCCATGGAGTGAGAAAGCACAAACTGTTCAAGATAGGATGTGGCAGCTTGCAAGCAGCAGCCGTCTAGGAAAGGGCAGTTGTGGCTGCCAGTTGAGAAACAAGAGTGCTGGATACTAGTGGCAGAGTTGGCATTGATCCCTGCTTTGGGGGTCCCAAGTAGGGAAGAAGTCTTTGTTGTCTGGCCAGATGTTCCTGGTCTGGGTGATGAGGTTTGCCTGGATGTTGCCTCTGTGGTTGTGCTGGGGCTAGTCCTTTGACTCTGGTTGGGAACACTGATACCTCAGAATAGTCCATAGTCACATATTTCTAGTGTAGAAGGATGGTTGCCAACTTATGGTAACCTGGGCTTTACTGCTGAATGTAGGAACTGATTTCCTTGAACTTCTTTTTCAAGACATTTCATTTTCTGCCTGCACTGGTGCTAGCATTATAGCCTCACTGGCACATCTTAGTGTAGTATCTTTTCTAAACTAATGAATGAGTATGTCCTGGAAGTCTCTGAACCTCAGCACTGAACGACAGCACAACCCTAAAAGCACTTTAAAAGCTTGTACTCTTACCAGATTTATAATCAAAACCTTTTTTCCATAATTACAACAAAAATAATGTAAATAGAATACATTTACTACTGAAGTTAAAACTGAGGTTTTGATATATTTGCCATATGTTAAAATAACTTTAAAGGACTTTTTACCTGTAATAATAATGTGTTGTCAGGTAGGTTTTGTTTTGTTCTTAATCAGAGTTAGAAACACCTGTGGTGGGGAGGGGAAACACATTTGACCAGGGAAGTGGGATGGTGTCAAATACCTTTTTAGAGGATAACATGATTTATTGAGTATTAGCCCAGAAAGAAATTGATCATTTTTTGTTTCTTCCCATCACCTTTCTAAGACCAACTTCACCAACAACAATGACTTCGGGGCTCTCCTCCAATACCTATATGCTACTTTAAGGAATTCAAAATGCATGAACAAATTGAAGATGACTACATAATTGGATTACTTCAGCAACGCGGCTGGACTGTGTGTAGTGTACACTCAGACAATAAATTCTCAGAAATGCTTGGCCTCTGAGAAAGGGTTGAAGAATGTGAAGGTGAGCTTTCAGAAAGAAGAGTGTCTGGTTTCCGGGTGGTACAATGCAAAATCCCATTTCTGAGATCATGTGTGAATTTGTGCAATCTCAGTGTAGTTCTGGTACCACAAGGCTGGTTGTATATATGCTTGCTTAGAAAGAAGCCATGCTACACTTAGTGAGGCTTATTTCCCTTTCTTTCCCAGCTGTGCTCCTAACTATTTCTGGTGCTCAGAGAAGTAGTCTTACTTTCTTTTCTTCCCTAAGATTTGTACAAACCCCCCAAAGTTTCCCAACCAAACAGTATTAAAACTGCGTGGAAAATTGACATTTGTCAGTGTGCTTTAGCGCACTTCCTGGGTGAGGAAAATAAATGAAATAAATTGGAAAACTGCTGACTCTGACCTCCTCTTGGGCTGCCCATTCCTCCTTGGCCACTGTGGTGCCTCCAGGCTACCAGCTCTGACAGAGTTTATTTTGGCCAACCGACCTCTCTTCTTTTGCCTTCTTCCAGTTTGAGACCATCCAGGGGGCAGAGCCCCCAAGAAGAGGCATCGCCTTGTGGGGAGGCCTTGCAAGTGAGTTTATCCTGAGTGGTGCAGGGAGGGGAGAGAGGTTACTGGTTTCCATAGAAACACATCACCTGTAGCTTCCCTAGAAAAAAGATGTTCCTAAGAGATTTGCCCTGTACAACAAACCAGGTGCTTGGGTTTTATTGACACCCAAGGCTCTCACTGGCCCCTTTTAAGATATGTAGGCACCCGGCTGTCTCGGGAGACAAAAGAGGAGTGAGGTGTGGGAATGTTCAGGGGTGCAGGAGAGGATATATTGTGAGATTATATCCTAATCCAACTTGTGCTAACAAGTTCCCAAAATATCAGCAGAGTTTATAGACGTTCCCCTTTAAGTTCGCAGCGGTAACGTGTGCACAGGTTCGCTAGAACCTCTATAATAATTACTCTGGTAATTTCCCCTTTGCTCCCTCTTAAAATACAAGACATGACACAGTCTTTATAAAGGTATAAAAGAGTTTACTCACGTTCTGTTCACAATATGATCCCAGAAGGCAGACAGCTTAAAAAGGTTACATACATTCAGAATCTATCTTGTAGCAAGATAGTCCTTATCTCCTCTCTTGGCTGAGAGCCAAGAGGGCAACCTTAGATGTTTCCTCATTGAAGGAAAATGGCAGAGAGAGAGAGAGAGAGAGAGATGGCTGCCTGCCCTGTGCTTTTGTCATTACCTGCACAGGTGAGGCCACACCCACCTCTGGTCACATGCGGAGGAAGTCCGTCCCCAGGAAGTTTACCTGCTTGCTGGACAGACATCCCTTCCCATGTTCTAACATGTACACTCTAGGAATGTTGTCATTGACTGCTCCTGTGTTTACATCCCACATGAGGTCCTTTTGGGGGGAAGACAAACTGCTGGAAGGTGGCCTGCTGTGGCCATAGAGGCTGATAGGGGAGAGACATGTTCTGTTGCATCTGGGGCAGAGGTAGGCATCCGGTTGTGCTGCTGCATTGGCACCAGGGCATTTCATCTCTCTGCACTCCTAGCAGTCATTCCTCCTCCGATCCTTTCTGTGGATACACGACTATTAGGCATTCATGCACTGCAACCCAGTTCATCTCAGGGCTATCCATAGCCAACTGGTGAGTGACACAGAGTCACAAAGCCTTAATCAGATGAGGAACAACCCCTGTCCCTTGTAAGAGAGGACATCAGTGGGAGCTGCAAAAGCATTTCCTCCTCCTCCTTGCATTCGAGATGTTGACTTCGGTGTTTCCATGCCACATTTGCATCCGAGCGAGGAACAGGTAGCACACCAGTTCAGCTCAGGTTTTGAGACGATAACAATTATGGGGGTTAAGGTAGCCATTATTTCTCCTTTGGTCCATTGACCGATAGGTAGATGCAACTGCAGGCCACAGAGAGGGATGTCTGAAGAAGTGGGGATCCTCTCTTGAGAGGCAGCAGGAGGTTCTGCTGCTCTTGCCGCCCCACCAGCAGCCAAGGCAGAAAGGAGGCTGGGGAAACCCAGCCAGATGGGCAGGGTATAGATAATAACAATAAAATGCCAGGAGATTGTCAGGGGTGGATTTGGGAAGCAGGAAGCAGACATAGGCAAAGTGAGGATCCAGGCATGCTTCTAGCTCCAGAGATTTTAACCACAGAAATACTGAAAAGGTGTGTTTTTTTTTCTTTATTCCTTCTGCTATACACAGGAAATTGCACCAAGGAGCGAAGTGCATTGCCGGGACTTGTCACACCCTCTTTCTCCAAGCTCCACTTATACCTACACCCAAAAGAAAAAACATTCCTCCATCCCCCCTCAATAACACCTGCCCGTCCACCTCTCAGGTTTCTGCCTCCCACATCCCAAAAACATTCCTTCCCACCCCGCAAAAACCCATCATTCATACCCCACAAGTCTCCATCTCTCCGCACCTCTCAAGAACCCCCAGGGGTTTTTTAGTTTCAAGGGAGAAGGGGGCATATTCTGGGACAGTTTCAGGGTTTAAGGGGGCATATTCTGGCCAAGTTCCAGGGGCCATGGGGGCATATTTGGGGAGGGTTTCCGGGGGAAGGGGGCATATTTGGGGAGGGTTTCAGGGGGGCATATTCCAAGATGGGCTGAAGGGAGAGGGAGCAGAGGAGTGGAACAATTTCTGAGGGGGACTCAGGGCGGAGGGGGATATCTTCGGGGAGGATTTCCGGGGGGAAGGGGGCATATTCCAGGGTGGGCTGAAGGGAAAGAGCGCAAAGGAGTGGAACAATTTCTGAGGGGGACTCAGGGCAGAGGGGGATATCTTTGGGGAGGATTTCCTGGGGGAAGGGGGCATATTTGGGGAGGGTTTCAGGGGGCATATTCCAGGGTGAGCTGAAGGGAGACGGAGCAGAGGAGTGGAACAATTTCTGAGGGGGACTCAGGGCGGAGGGGGATATCTTCGGGGAGGATTTCCGGGGGGGAAGGGTTAAGGGGGGTAGGGGCGTATAGGAGGGAGTGGGCAAGGGCGGAGCTGGGATGGGGGTAAAAACTTGGCTAGAATATGCCCTGTGAAACTTGGCTAAAATGTGCCCCATGGAACCTGGCCAGAATATGCCCCCTGTTCCCGGAACAGACAAAATATTCAGGATAAAATCAATCTAAAAATAAAAAAGGGCTGGGTGATTGCCTGGTGTTTTTGAGCTTATAATTACTTAGAGACAATATAATACAGAAAAGCAGAAATCAAAGACTTGATGACAAAAACATTGAAATTATGAAAGAAATCCCAACTCGCTTACTTAAAAAAAGAAAATTACAAAACTATCGGCACAGCACTTTGGAAAAACAGAATTCCGTACAGATGGAATTCCCCAAGGGAATCACCTTCACGTATAAAGAAAGGAGGAAGACCTTCAGAACTGTAGACAAAGCAGGAATCTTCTGGAGAAAATACAGGAAGGACCTGGGAGGAGAAAGAGTTCAGGAATTGGAGGAAGAAGGACTGGAGTAAAGAAAACTAGGAAAATAGAAGCAAAAAAATCAAAGGAAATATGACGGAAAACTGATTTAAAAATTGTTTTTATTTGTAAGGTGATTTAATTAGAATAAAATTATATGACGCTTATTTGTATCTCACAGAATGTTAATGGATTAAATAACAAACGTTAAAAAAAAGAATAGAACAAATACTCAAGGGGGGGCGGCATTATCTGTTTACAAGAGACGCACATATCCAGAAAGCAAAAAAAGGTTTTGAAAAAGAAAAGGTTAGGCATATAATTTATAGCCTCAGGAATGGAAAGAAAGAGAGGAGTGGTAATTTACACGAAGCAAAATTTAGACCCGAAAATTTTCAAAGATGAGGAAGGAAGAACAATAGGAGTGGAAATAAAACACAACAAATGAAAATTAATCTTTGTAGGAATAAACACTCCCAATAATAATAAATCAGAGTTCTACAAAAAAATGGAAGAAAAATTGTGGGATTATAGTAGTTATATTACTTATGGGAGATTTGAATAGGGTAACATCAATTGAGATGGACAGAACCACCAAAGATAGCATCTCAAATGAAGGTAAGACTACTACTACTACTACTTTCAAATGGTAGAAAATTTTAACTTACATGATGCATGGAGAATTAAGCACTCAAATAAAAAGGACATCACCCATTTTTCCGAAGCTAAAAAATCAGGTGATAGAATTGATAGAATATGGATATCGAAAAAAATAAAAAAGCAGAAATTTTAAGTAGATTAATATCCAGTGAAAATACATATTACAGTTAAAAAAACAAACGAGGGGAAGGTGGAGATTGAATGACGAGATACGGAAGGATGAACAAACAGTTAAAAAACCTAAAGAGACGTTAATAGAATTCTTCGATATGAACACAAAAAAGGAAGGGATTGACCTTTATTTTCTTATAACATTCCCCTTTGAGCTTGAACCAGGATGTCATCTCCCATGCACTCTTTCCACATGATGGCCATTGAATCTTCTCCTGGTGATACCCCTCTTTAGCAGAAGTCTCTTAGTGAACACCCACCAATTAATTGACAGCCCCCCCACACACACACCACGCCTGCTGCTCCTGCCCTGGGACGTGCCCCTTTGCAGCCCAGAATAGGCTCCCTGGCCCAGAAGGCATCCCCCTCCTCATAGAGTCCTCCCCCGAACTTGACCCACTCCTCTGCCCCCTCAGCCCACCCTGCAGGATGCCAACCCTAGGAATGCTCCCATCCCTGCAGTGCATTATTCCGCTGCCTCCATTTTCAGCAAGAGCAACCAGGTGAGTGAGGGACTTCTCAAGTTATTTCCACTATCCTTTATCTTGGGAGAAGCATTCACAGACTGCTATCTCATCAGATGCATGAAGTCTAATAATCCTATTATTACCATCATTATCACTACATGTTATTTGTTCTAGGAAAATCCTTGGGCTCACTTGGATTACCAAGCAAAGACACCAGCAAGGAATATAGGACTAAAACAGCAGCCAGTAGGCCTGGTCTTTATTCAAACGACTGTTGCAACTGGACTTCCACCCACCCACCCACCCCATAGAAGCAGCAGGAAGAAGCCCACAACAAAGGATGGCTCCCACTTTTATCAGTTTTACAAAGATACCCACAACACCCCTAAAATTACATCATGCATACATCACAAATACATCACACATTGGGAGGGTCTGGCGACAGAAACCTGAGCATCAGGGCTTGACCCCACCCTTCTCTTGACCTCCAACATACAGGTGAAACTCGAAAAATTAGAATATCGTGGAAAAGTTCATTTATTTCAGTAAATCAACTTTAAAGGTGAAACTAATATATGAGATAGACTCATGACATGCAAAGCGAGATATGTCAAGCCTTTATTTGTTATAATTGTGATGATGGCATACAGCTGATGAAAACCCCAAATTAACAATCTCAGAAAATTCTAATTTTTCGAGTTTCACCTGTACACCGATCAAGTGATACAAGAGATATTTACATGTTCTTGTTTCCCAACCAAGTTGATCACACCCTTTTGTCTTGATTGGGTTTGCTATTGCTTCTGGAATTGCTACCTGTCTGGCACTCAGGTATTAGGATGCCAGAGATTATCACTCAGGCAGAGGGGCTGCTGAGTACCTGAGCTCAGCAGATTTAGGGATTATAGCTGCCCTCACTCATGTCCCAAGATGCCCCTTGGTAGCCATTTCCTTCCTGAACAGAACTTTGAAAATTGGTGGTGGTGTGTGTTATGTGGTGCTCTGAGGAGACATTGTGTGTGTGAACAAAGGGGGGATGCATACTGCGTGCTGGAGGGGCAACCCCCCCCATCATTATAAAAAATCCTATAGCAATGAGAGAGAGAGAGAGACCTGAAGCACCACTTTAGCTAATGGGGCCTCCTGCTGCTGCCACACCGCCGGAGCACGGTTTCTGTTCTCATCCTGAAGCAAAGTTCTTAACCTGAGGTACTATTTCTGGATTAGCGGAGTCTGTAACCTGAAGCGTATGTAACTCGAGATACCACTGTATCTGAATCATAGTCCAATTAAAAATAATAAACAAAAATAAACAAAAAACCTGATTGTAATCCAAATTGTAATTATTCATTTTTCCAGGCTCCACATAGTCTGGACCTCTGAAGCATATCTCCAAATCTTCATTCCTGCCTCTTTTCATTGCTTTCATGTTTTCCGCCTTCTGATCTTAACACTTTAAAGTTCTCCGTCCCTGGCTATGCGATTCTCAGTCATGTCAAAAATCATATATCCTTTCATCCATCGAATACAGCTTTATTTGTAAATACATATTTTTTTGACTATTTAACAGCACAGCTTTTCCTGACTTCATTCCAATCTTCTAATCCCGGCTGATGTCCAAGTTTATCCTTTGAAGTTTAACAATGCAGCAACTCCCAAGTTGTTAAATCACTGCAATCCAGGCTGTTGTCCAAACCTTTCTTTTGAGATTTAATGACACAGTGCCTTCCACGTTGTTGAGTTGTTACTATAGATTGCTGGGCAGACTGTTTGCAATATTGCAATATAAATGAACTGTATTCCACAGATATAAGTCATTTGGCGATCGATCAGCCTCTCGGAGACCACACAATCCCCCCCTCCGGGCCCTAGAAGGCAGGTTGCTAGACATCCATTCAGCCTTCTCTCTCGCTCATAATGAAAAACTTCTGCAAACAGCTGCGCTATATGTTGTCCCAAATTGTTATCTCAAGTCATTACAAAGTCAGCCAGCAAATATTTCCTGCTTCCCTCGAAAAAGGGAGGATTTCTCATTTTTCTGTGCTTCGTCATATTAACAAGCGCCATCTTGTTTCTTCTTTCATCTTTATCAAGTTTTTCAAGTCCGAGTAAAGCTGCGCAGTTGAATAAAGGTAAAGGGACCCCTGACCATTAGGTCCAGTCGTGGCCGACTCTGGGGTTGCGGCGCTCATCTCACTTTATTGGCCGAGGGAGCCGACGTACAGCTTCCAGGTCATGTGGCCAGCATGACCAAGCCGCTTCTGGCAAAACAGAGCAGCGCATGGAAACGCCGTTTACCTTCCCGCTGGAGCGGTACCTATTTATCTACTTGCACTTTGACATGCTTTTGAACTGCTAGGTTGGCAGGAGCAGGGACCGAGCAACGGGAGCTCACCCCATCGTGGAGATTCGAACCGCCAACCTTCTGATCAGCAAGTCCTAGGCTCTGTGGTTTAGACCACAGCACCACCCGTGTCCTCAGTTGAATACTTAATTATAAATCCATCTGTACTCTTTAAAAATATATATTTAAATTTCTTGATGGGGCTTGGCATAGAAAACCAATTGTAGATATTAAGAAGAGAAAAAGGACGTACCAAACACCTCCGTAATCCAAACGCCATGATGAGAATCTCTTTGAAGCCTGAACTTAAACACCAGGGACTGTACAGACCTGCAGGTTTTTTTCTTAGTCTTCTTCAGTGCAGACTATGTCTGTTTATTGTCCAAATCCAATATTTTATCAAACAGATATGAGAGTGACTTTAGAGAGTGCTAGCCAGTTTTGCCCTGGGACCCAGTGTCCTGCTGCTTGCACCTTGATGCAAGCTGACAATCTCGGACAATCTGCGGGTCTACTAGACAGTCCTCCCCCACCCTGGGGAGTCCGCCAGGGCTAATTACCCCCATATCAGCCCTGAATTACCGGCACAGCTGGGACCCAATCGTATGGGAGTCAGCCACTGCCGGAAACAGGAAGCCCGAGGCCTAGCTAAATGCAAGCTGAGGGGGTTTTTGAATGCTGGACGCCATTTTGTTGCACGTGCTGCTGCAAACTTTGCAGTGCAAAGCCAGGCCGGGGAGCCATCTTAAGTTGAGGCTGCATAGGTCTTGTGGTGCATGTGATTCAGATTCTATTCAGTTGAACCTCTGGTTACAAAGTTGGTTCGATAGTGTTCTCGAAGCTACCAGCATGAGTTTGACCAGACTGCAGGAGGACAGGAAGACTGGAGTGCCTGGAACAGGTGAGGCTGCAGGTCCCTTATTTTGGCTGCTGGTCCCTTATTTTCAAGGCTGCTGGTCCCTTATTTTCAAATCTGTAAGTTGACAGCTATGGGCAAGCGTTGAAAAAGAGACAGAGAAAGAGAGACAGAGAGAGAGAGAAGGGGCATTTAGAGAAATGGATTTAATATGTAAATGAATTCCTCAGCAGCCACAAATAATTGGATATTTAATGCACCAGCACTCACACTGTACAATTCATTGCATTTGTATGCTAGGGAGGTTTCTGTGCCTGATTTTAGATGCCATGTTAAAGAATGTTGTGACCTTTTTTATGTTCTGATATTTGCCTCTTTATCTTTAAATTTTGTCTCTTAGGCTGCACCCCCCAGGCGCTCCTGCGGGCAGCTAGCCCCGCCACCGCAGCGAGATTGCCCGGAGGGCTCTGCCCGTGGCAAGTGTGTCCGGGGGGTGCAGCCAGTACTCACTGCCAGTATTTTGCATTCATTTCTCCAATGAAAATTGGGACGTCCTGTGGTTCTCTTCATGACTTCCGCGGCTGGTCTCGGGGAAAACCTTGCCGGCTCCGGGTGTCCCTGAAAGGCAAAGGCAAACAGGTTAGTGGGATGGCCACTGTGGCGTTTGCCTCCAAGGTGGGTCATAAGGAAAGGGTTAAAATGAGTGTGATGTGATTGGCCAGTGGAAACTGATAGGAGGAGTTAAGAGTTAGAGTGGGTGTGGTGTGGAAGTCAGTTGATAGTTGGGAGTTGGAGAAGGAAGAGGGAGGTTTAATCTGTGGGTTGGTCAAGTTGTGTGAGAGTGAGAGGAACGGTTAGGTGGAGTCAGATAGTTAGTTGGAATAATCAGTTTGAAGTTGTTAGGACAGTTAACGAACTAAGATTAAGAAACTGACAAGAAAAAATCAACTGAAACCATAAGCTTGTTCATGCCTATAAAATAAACTTGATTATTTGTTAATGTTAACAACTGAATGGACTCCGTGTGTACCCGAGGAAAACGGGTTGGTGGCAGCGAAGAGGCAATCACAGTTGTGGCACAGGGATCAATAGACCGTCAGACGTCCGGGGACCCTGTGTGATCGCCACAGCCACCATCCGACAGTGTCCACCCACACCCCTCCACTGGCAACCTCATCCCTGGCAAGCCTGCACAATGGGCAGGCTCCTGGAGCTGACGGGCAACCAGTTTGCAGTCACAAATAGAAGCCAGCCCACATAAATTAAGTAAAATACAAACATCGCCACCCGCCCCCACTCACTTTCCACCCCTCCACATCTTTCCCCCTTTTCTTCCTAATGTCTCAACAAATCAAACTGATCTGTAAAAAATGTTACTGGGGGGGGGAGAGAGACATTGCACATACTTTTGTAAACCAATAAAATCTTTAATAATAATAATAATAATAATAAATAGAAGCCAGCTTCATTTGCCTTGTGGCATCTGTTGGCACCCACATGTGAAGTCCACTGGGTCCAGTTGGGCACCTCCATGGCTGTGCTGGGCAACTTCCCTCCTCGCTTTGGCCATCAATTTAATGTCGAGGGCTACAAATGTAAGCTAGCTGACACTCAATTGGTGAATGCCAACGAGTTTGTGTTCACAAACAGCAGCCAGTTTCATCAGCCTTGCGGCCTCCACTAGCTGCTGATAGGCAACTTCCCTCCTCACAGCTGCCAAGAGATGAATTTGACATTCACAAATATAATCCGGCTTTCTCTGCCTTGCGACTTCCCACTGGCATAATCTAAATACAAATGCCAATTCCTCTGGCTTCCGCCTAGGGACATTCCCCTGCTGCCAGCTTCCCTCCTCTGTTTGGTTGCCTGTTAACAAAGAAGGCTTCCAAACCAGTTTGCATCCACATTGGCCAATTTAACCTTGCGGCTTCAACCAGCACTGAACGCAAACTCTTCCAGCAACCATCCACCTCCTACAGCCACGCCAGGTCCATTGCCAGATGTCCACCTGCTTCAGAACTGAATTATCAGTTGCCTTCAAGTTGCGATCCCACCAGTAAGTAAACTTGAACTTGCCTTCTCCTTGCTCCACAGCATCCCACGCCGGGTGATTGCCTCCTTCCGCCTGCCAGCTGGCTGCCATGGGTCAGGAGACCACCCAGAGCTGAGTGCCACCGCTGCTGCCCATTTCTCTCTGGTATGGGCAACTGCCTTGGCTTTTGCCTTGGCCAACATTTATACCCACTCAGCTGCCAAATGTTTTTGTGGCATCACAATGGCAGCAGCTGGGGAGGCATCACCATCACCCCCTCAGCCCTCATAGTGATGGGTGCAGCTCAGCAGTCATTGGCTCCTTGGCCTATTACCAAGGAGATAAATAGCCCCCCCCCCATCTGTGCCAATATCTGTGAAGGTCACACCGGCAACCCAGGGGAGCAGGAGGGGGGCATTTTTCAGCCCGGTGGTTGCATTTCCCTCCACACAACACTGGCAGGGCGGGGGGTCAACCGCAAAAATGAACAGAGAAATCAAAGCGACCCTTATCTTTGCATAGGAAGCTTTTCAAGGAGTGGCATGCAGGGAGAAAGTAAGCATCTCAGGAAAAGATCACTTTTTCATCAATCAATCATTTATCGTATTTGACTGAAAGCCATTACAAAGCAGCAAATCCAATAAAACCTATTAAGAAAGATCCACAAACAAGCAACCGTTTACAATAAATCAAATTAATGAACCCCCAGCACAATCTACAGCATTTTCTTTTATGTAACTAGCACAAATACTTTTAGCGGCTTTTGCCAATACTGTAAGGCTGTTTCATATGTGATGAGTGGGTCGCAGTCAGGTAATAGCCAACGTATTTTCACTTCAGGGTTCTGTCCCTGTAGTGGTGCCATCATCTAAAAAGGACAGGAAAGGGGTCATTTCCTTGTGCTGTTTAACCTGGGTGTGTTTTGTCCTGCACCTGCAGCTAGTTAAGCATGTGAGAATCAGTCAGCAACTATGTGAGAAGGACTCAGCACAAACTACACTAGAAATGTTGGAAGGCAAGTTTGCTATTGGCTAGAGCAGTCTCTTTGCTGTAAGGAGACTCTACCCACAACAGAATGTAACTGAATTAACCGTCACTAAAGAAACAGAATCTTCCTAGAACTGGCTTGGTGTTTCTCTGTTCTTTTTTTTTTTTTTAAATGATATTTATTCAAAGTTTCATCAATACATAAAAAATCCCCAACCCTAACCCAAAAGAGAAAAAAGAAAAAATAGAGAAAGAAAAAAAAAAAGAAAAAATACAAATCTCAGATTACAACTTTTCATTTGCTTAATTCTTGAACCTCCTCACACCTCCCTTTTTGTATTCTAGTTTAGTTTGTTATTTCAGCAAATTCTTCCCATATTTCTCAATTTTAATTTAAATAATTAATCTTCACAATCGATCTTATTTATTAATCAATATAACCTTTCCCTCTTTTAATATAATCTGTTATTCAATTTGCCTTAATCTCTTTAACCTTATCTTGTCTTAAAAATCTTAAAATTTCAAAATCAGATCACATTCATACTTTTCTCCTTAAAATCATTTCTACTAAAGCCAATTTAGTTCCTTTCCAGCATATTCCCTCAAATTTCATTAATATTACACTAATTCCAAAATTAATATAAGAATTTCTATGATTTTCATCCAACGTCCCATCTTCCTGGTTTCGGTCATATCAGTCCTTTCTGTCCGTTACATAGTCCATCAATCTGGTGTTCTGATGTCCGAAGCCCTTAAATCTTTTCTAGGCCCCTTCTGCAATTTTTTTTGTTCTTGTTTGTGCTTACGCAGTTCTTTGTCTATTGTTGGTTTCTGGGGGAGTGGGTCTCCGGAGGGTTCCATCCAGTGATAATTTCCATTTTCCTTCATCAAATTGTCCCCTTCCCCCCAGTCCCACTCCCAGTGGTGTTTCTCTGTTCTTTTAACATACTCTGCTGGCACTGGGATGGGCATTCTGCAATGCCCCAACAGGGAGGTGGCCTAAAAATGTTTTTCATGTGTTTTAAGATGGGTTGAATCCTACTTTCCCCCACAAGCCACTTTGAGCATGCTGCTTTTTGAACGTATGGGTGTAGCCAAGCAGGTGGCCGGTGGTTTAGCCATTCACTCGACTTCCAACTACAAGCCAAATTCCAAACATGTTCTAGGTCATGTTCCCCAGGACTGGGAGTTGTAGTCCCAGCACCTGAAAGGCCCCACACTGACGATCCCTGTTCTAGAAAACAATATACTTTCAATATGATATGATTGAGGGTCAGGAGGGAGAGGTTATGAGACAGTATGTGAGCAACAGAAAGAGAGCTAACATGATGGAGGGGGCGGCGGCAGGAAAGGCAGGGGTTAGTTTTGCTAAGGTTGGGCAGTTTGCCTGTGCAGCCATAGTGGCCTCTTTGAAGTACTAAATTGGAAAGCAGGGATACAGCCGCTCTCTAAAAAGACTAAATACTGTATTTTTCGCTCCATAAGACGCACCTAGTTTTCAGAGGAGGAAAACAAGAAAAAAATATTCTGAACGAAACAGCGGATGTATGATTTTTGTGGTGCATGCTGTGGCCACAGACATGTGATCTGATGGTGAATTTGGGGTGACCCAATGCAAAAATCCTGAGGATCCATGGGCTTTTACCTCTCTCCTCCCAGGCAGCCTCTGCTAGGTCCCTTATCTCTCTCCCTATCCCACCGATCAGCTGCCTCCTTTCAACACTCCCTTCCCTCTTGTTTGCCTTAGTGTCTTTTCCTTAGCTGGAGCAGTTTTTTGCTCCTCCTTTTCTTCTAATTTCTCTCCTCATTGATTTAATCTTCCTGTCTCCTCTCCGTGCAAGTTTGCTGTCTTCCCCTCCCCACTCCCAGGCAGCCTCCTTTATCTCTAGCGTCCCTTAACTCTCTCCCTGATTGGCAAACGATCAGTGGCTTTGTTTCAACACCCACTTCCCTCTTTCAAAAAAAAAGAAGAAAGCATAATCTGCTTTTTACCCCTGGGCCATTTGGCTCCAGGAACCACACATTCACTCCATAAGATGCAGACATTTCCCCTTACTTTTTAGGAAGAAAAAAGTGCGTCTTATGGAGCGAAAAATACAGTAAATACATACATACATAAATAGATAGATAGATAGAGGAGCAGGGAACCTGTAGCTCTTCAGATGTCGCTGGTCTACAAGGCCCATTGACCCTGACCACTGGCCAAGCTGGCTGGGACTGATGGGAGATGTGAGTCCAACAACTGGAAAGCCACAACTTACCCACCTGCTACTTCAATCAGCATTACAACAAGGGATGTGACTGCTACACTTTTTACAGTATCAAATGCACATTATACAATCTGTGTCCTGGGGAAATGTTAGACAGATGTGCTTGTGATTGCTACTGAGCCACTTCCCACCGTCATCCTATACCCTGCCGTTTACCAATGTTGCCTTCGAAAATCAGTAAAAATGCAGTCACAGACAATTGCAACTGAGAAATGGTACAATTTTCTTTATTAAAAATAATTTACATCCGTTTTAACATTTTATGCACAGTTCTCAGCAAATTGAACTTTGTAATATTTCTATACAATACTTATTAATGAATGTAAAACAATTATATACTGTTTTGTTGCAGTTGCTTAAGTGTGGTTAATAAAATGCATTATTTCACAGATGTATAATTTATATTAACAGCCTCCAAATTTGATAAAGGATTAAAGGTTCGCTTTCGAATCAGAACTTGAAAACAAAATAGATTTCCAGCTCCCATTATTTTACCCTTCCTTAACTCACCCCAAGCCTTTCTGAGCAAAATATATATTGTGCTGCTGCTAAGCAATAAAGGTAAAGGTACCCCTGCCCATACGGGCCAGTCGTGCCCGCCTCTGGGGTTGCGCACCCATCTCGCTTAAGAGGCCGGGGGCCAGCGCTGTCCGAAGACACTTCCGGGTCACGTGGCCAGCGTGACAAGCTGCATCTGGCGAGCCAGCGCAGCACACGGAAACGCCGTTTACCTTTCCGCTGGTAAGCGGTCCCTATTTATCTACTTGCACCCGGGGGTGCTTTTGAACTGCTAGGTTGGCAGGCGCTGGGACTGAGCAACGGGAGCGCACCCCGCCGCGGGGATTCAAACTGCCGACCTGACGATCGGCAAGTCCTAGGCGCTGAGGTTTTACCCACAGCGCCACCCGCATCCCTAAGCAATGGATATAGGTAATTTCTCTCCACCCAATAGGGCCATACAGGGAACTACTTTGCATGTCAAAAAAAGATGCCGTATATCACTTAGCTCTGGTCATTCAGATATGCTTTCTGCCTGTATCAGGAAGACAAGTCCACTCAAATCCACGAGTGTGATCTCGAGGTGGGGGGGGGCAGTGCTCAAGTCCCACTAAAATGATTCCAGACCTGCAGCCCAACTTAAGGCATGTTTACTTTGAAGTAAATCCCACAGAGGTCAAGGGGAATTGCTCCCAAGTAAAAATACAAAGGACTGAGCCTTGAAAACAGAGTATTTCAAGTTTGGAAGGGAAGATCCAAGTGATGGCCAAAACCATCAAGGCAGCTCAAGCTGTCAGTCACATACAGCGAAAAACCACAATGGGAAGCCCTGTACTTTTAAGGAAATGGTTACTACTGATTTCACAGACCAGGAAAATAACGCCATGCCTATCTATGAGAATGAAATTGGTTTGCTTAAAGAAGCATTTGAGTTTATCAGAACAAGGGCATTAATGAAGGCGTTTTATGGGTGGTGTTTAACTTACTCCCAAAGGCATAGGGCATCAAGAGATGAGGGATCCTGTGTATAAGTCACAAACATTTAAATGTGTCTGCGCCTTCAGGCAGGCCTCACAAATGTCATGTTCAGTTTGCTATTAGGGAATGATGGGTGCATCTGATAAGACAAACCAGCTGCACGTCTCAAGGAGCAAGTATTTTTGAGTCTGGGTCCACTGATCCCTTACACTAACAAAGAAGATCCCACCAGACCAAAAAAGTTAGTTTAGATATTACTATTGGTAAGGTATCTTTAGTAACAACTACCTTGCCTTCTGCAATTATCAGGACAGAACTCTGATGTCAAGCACTTCAATCAAACACCAATAATGCAGATAAGAGACCTCTCTCAGTATATTGGTAGTAAAAAGGTATTATTAACCTTGAGAAAAGCACCTAGCACATCATATATAGTGGAGATGATGATGATAATAAGTTAATAATAATATTACTTATACCCTGCCCATCTGGCTGGGTTTCCCCAGCTACTCTGGGCGGCTTCCAACAAGAGATTAAAAATACATTAAAACATCAGTCATTAAAAACTTCCCTAAACAGGAAGTTTAGACAATACCGGCCTGGTTCACCTGTAAGAATAAACCGTGGCTTGTCAAACAAACTAGAGCTTGCTTCTCCAAAGTTTTGTTTTGTTTTTCAGCTGTTCATGCCTTTCTAACTCGGTGAGCTTCTGGGATGGGGTAGCCAAAGGAACTATGAATAACGAAGAGTGATGGGTTTGTGTAGAACACGAAGCTACAGTTAAAACAAAGCAAGAGTCATAAACTAACAACAAACCTAGCTTCAGATTATGGCTTGTTAGCAGTAAGTAAGCAAAACAGAGTTAAGCCCCTGGGCAGAGATCAGGCAAGCAAGCAAACCATGGTTTAATTAACCATGGCTTAGTGTTATGTGCAAACCAGATTTTTAAAGAATGCCAACAGAACTCAATAAAACTCCACCAAACAAGGGCTAAGGTGTTTATCTCACTCATTCACTGAAAAGAACAGTGGTTCAAATGGGTTAGATTCATATGCATGCTCACATACTCTTTCCTGGTCATTTAACCTTTCTTTCCTCAAAATTATTTGCAAGGATACTAGGTTGTCATTGGAGATTTTCTGTAGTGCACTATTCACTTGGAACGTATTTTTTCTGCATGATGATGTGTTTGTTCTTAAATTGCTCTTTATACAATAAATTGAAATGGACTTTAATTACTAATGACATTTTCGTGCAGTGGAAATTTCCAAAGAGCAAAACCAATTTTACTGTGTATATCTGGTGGACTAGGTCAATCTTAAAGGTTACTTCTTACTGTAGAATAATTGGCACAGACCATGTTGTTAACTAAAACTACTTTAAGGTACAGAGTATGTGAAAAAGAATCCGACACAACTCATTTAAAACCCACCAGGCCTCTGCTTTCCCTGCTGTGACACAGAATATGCTCACTTATATAAAGGAAACTGCTTCCAGTGGCAACACTGAGAGTCCAAAAAGCAGCAGCAGCAGCAATGTCCCTGTTTTAACAGGTGGTTTGGTCCAGAATGCAAGGATCTTTAAGAACTGATCCCGTCCTGTAAATGGGAGTACAAGGCCACAGAGCTGCCTCAGCAATGTAAGTGGGTATTTAAAATATTCCTTAGGCCAAAAAATTGCAGCTGTTTTTCACTGCATACTAAAAGCAGAAGAGAAGAAAACCAGAGAGGCTAATTAAAACAGAACAAGTTGAAACCCATTGTTGCGGCTTCCAATGCTTTCCGCCATGGTGAAAAGCGGCTCCCACACTAGCGGAGATCGTTCGTGCAGCCAATTAAGGATAATTTGAAAGTAATTATCCTTGCAAGCCCCCCGTCCCTGGTCAGGGTGTGTGTGTGTGTGTGTTTCACTCGCAGATCGTCTGATGCCTGCCTCTCGTTCTGATGGAATGTGGGAGGAAGGGGACGCTGATGAACGTATCAGTAACCCTCCAACGCGGTCACTATGAGCGGAGGTTCTTGTTTCTTAGGATGGATTTGGTTTTGGATCTAAGTAACAGGCGTGTTCTGGACTAAGGGGACAAGATAATTTGCTAAATGAATCAGCCACTGAGTGCCAAGGCCTAATCTGGAAAGGATTTTCATTGTAACCTGATTGGTATGTAGGGGGAGGGGAGCCTTTACCCTTTCTTTATATACATTATATTTGCTGTTTTATGATTTGGCAAACCTTCCCCAAAGTATTAATTGTTAATGGATTGGAAAAAATGCAAGAGGGAATTAACGAGAACTTCATAATTTTTATGGATTAATTGCAAGAATTGAACTGTGTAAAACATCACAATGATTTGTGGCATTGACCTTCTATGGAATGGTAAAGAAGACTTTGGTTCTGACTTATCATGGCTTTGGAGAGATACCGGCTTGTTAACGGATGGGAGAGGGATCAAAGAAGATAATTCTGGAGATCTGCCCGGGGCTATAGCGAGACACCAGACCTCTCTTTGTCTTGGATAAGCAAAATGGCGTGTGTTGCAGTGAAAATTGCAGTCCTTGAGTGCAGAAAGCGCAAGTGAAGGGAAATGCTGAGCATGGAATAGAACATGAAGAGTAAAGATGAACGAAAAACAAACATTTCACACAGAAATTTACAGGATCAAAATCCCCTTGCTAAACTAATGGATATGGAACAGTTAAATGCGAATGAAATTAGTGGCTGTTAAAATAAAGGATCAAGATCGGAACTGTTGTATTTGGACTGAGAGTATTGGAGCAGGACAAAATAAGATCATCATTCCCTGAAATCCAGAACCCGAGATGTCATTCAAAATTGTTTAATTTGGTATTGGATAATTGGCTTTTTAAATCGTATTATAATTTGGTATTGTATTAATGTGGCTTTTATTGGATTGTTATAAATGAAAATTCTTAAAAATTATTAATCGAAACCCATTGTTGCAGCTCAGTTCCTCAGCGATTGGTAGCCCAGGTTGCTTCTTTCAGGATCATAGCTGGGGGGGGGGGGGGGGGCTAGCCTGTTTTTTTGCCCCAGGTGAAGTCTCCAGAGGAATGCCATTGAAGCTCTCAGCCTGTGTGTTTGTGTATAGAAATGGGGGGGGCGGCACGCACTGCCAAACTAAATCTTTGACCAGGTGAAATAAAGTCTAGTTTTGTCCCTGCTTCTCTACATTCATTAACTCCAAAAGGCAAATGGGGAAAAGAGATTGCTGCTGTTTCAGCAAAGGGGAAGGTGAGGCCAACCCTGTAAATATCCGTACTAGCTCCTTGTCAAAAATTCACCTAGTTTTGTGTTAAGATTGCTGCGCCCTGTGTTTGTAACTTGTGGCCTTCATGCTGACTTTTGCTTTTGATTTTATGGAAACCTTAATTAAAAGGAAACTACCCATCCTCATCACGCCAAACCATGTGCTGCCCTCAAACCAACAGACAGCAGTAAGGAAGCTGAAGTGTCAAAACTGGGGTGGGGCCCAACGACAGATAGTCTTCTGGCTTAAAATCTTCAACACAATTCAGTTTCAGGTTTCATGTCACTTTATTTACAAAATGGTCTAAGACAACCCCCTCCCGCCCATCCCCATACTTACAGCTCTCTTTCACAACACACACGTCAATTTTTTAAGCAATGTCAATAGCACCATTCGAGTATTATTTTTAAAATCCAGGCGGATCTTGCTGCAGTCACTACAACAATTCACAATCTTTTACATCCATGGACGAAATTTCAGAGTGCAGCAGGACTGTACGCAGTTCCATCGATGGAGTGAGGCCTGTGCAAGCCATTGTGGGGTTGGCCCATTGATGCGCATAGTCCCCCAAGGTGTGAGCAGGCCTCTACAACAGCCTTCGGACCATGTAGTTCAGAATGCCACCATGTTTGTATAACGTTATGTCCATGTCACTGTCAAATGCGGCAACCACATGAAATACTTTCCCTGTGTTTGTCTTTAAAGAGACAGGAATGAGAGGCAAAAGCAAGAAATATGTTAGAACTGTGTCATTTCCTAACATCTCTATACAGTGGTACCTCAGGTTACATACGCTTCAGGTTACATACGCTTCAGGTTACAGACTCCGCTAACCCAGAAATAGTGCTTCAGGTTAAGCACTTTGCTTCAGGATGAGAACAGAAATTGTGCTCCGGCGGCGCAGCAGCAGCAGGAGGCCCCATTAGCTAAAGTGGTGCTTCAGGTTAAGAACAGTTTCAGGTTAAGAACGGACCTCCAGAACGAATTAAGTACTTAACCCGAGGTACCACTGTAGTAGGATATTCTGTAATAACGACAGCATATTGCAGAAACAAAAATCCTGAGACCCTCAAGTCTTGCTTTAAACTAAACTAGTTTTATTGCTTGTGGAAGTTAATGACTTAATAAAAATACCGGCAAAGTCTGTAATGTTGGGGATCTGGGACTGAGCATGCAGATCTGCCCCTAAGCAGCAATTTGGGACTCCTATGCTCTTCACAGCTCTGATTCTAAGTGTTTCTCCTTTTCCCGTAAGTTATGAAAGAAAAACAACCCCTCTGTAAGGAAATAACTGTGGCAGATACGCAAGTCATACTCTGAGCAGACCCACTGAAATCAATGGATGTAAGCTTATCATGACAAACTTAAATTGGATACCACCCCACAATAATTGCATAGGTCAGCTTCACTGGAAGGGAGCTGAACAAGAGCACAGGACAACTGCACAGCTCCTGCTCAGTCTCTGGGGCACCTGTGCAACCGAGGCGTGTTCAACTAAATCCTACCCATAGCAGACCCACTGGATACCTAGTGAGTCAGATCTCTGCCCCTGCCCCTCACTTTGCTGCACTCAAAAAAATTATTGCCTTAAGATAGTTGCCTGTGCCATGAGCCTCTGTGTAGCCCTGCGTGTGTTTGAAAATATGTCTCTCTATGAATTCAGACAACATTGCTCCCAATTATGTTTTTGCACCATTCAAATGACCTTGACATAAGTCTTCCCTTTATCTGAGCACCTTTCAGGACACTGAGCTGCTTAGAACAGCTTGCTTTGCATATACCGTATTTTCTGCTCCATAGGGCGCACCGGACAATATGGCGCACCTAGTTTTTAGAGGGGGAAATCAAGAAAAAAAATCTTATTTCCCCCCCAGCCCCAAAGAGCAGCGTACAGGCTGCGCGCAGCCTCTCCCTGCCGGAGGGGTTGCGCGCGGCTATGGCACAAGCCAAGGCAGCGAGCGGGATGGATCTCGCTCACTTTCTTGGCTTGTGCCATAGCCGCGCGCAACCCCTCCGGCAGGGAGAGGCTGCGCGGGGCTAAAGAAGCCATAGCCGCGTGCAGCCTCTCCATGCCAGAGGGGCTGTGCGCGGCTATCCCTGAAGACTTCCGAACGCAGCGCAAGTTCCCGCTGCGCTCCTCAGGCTTTGGGTTCCTTTTGCTGAAGCCGGGAGAGCAAGACTCTCCCGGCTTCAGCGAAAGGAACCTGAAGCCTCCAGAATGCAGCGGGAACTTGCGCTGCGCTCGGAAGGCCTTCAGGCGGCTATCCCTGAAGCCTGGAGAGTGAGAGGGGTCGTGCGCACCGACGCCTCTTGCTCTCCAGGCTTCAGCGAAAGCAACGCGAAGCCTCTGGAGCGCGGAGGAAGCGCTCCCTCTACGCTTCCGAGGCTTCGCGTTGCTATCGCTGAAGCCAAGGAGCCTGCATTCGCTCCATAGGATGCACACACATTTCCCCTCAAATTTTGGAGGAGGAAAAAGTGCGTCCTATAGAGCGAAAAATACGGTATTTGTGCCTTAAGAGCAGTTCTCCAAGTCTCTACAGGGTGGGGAAACTGCGGTCTTCCATGTGTTGCTAGCCCACAACTCCCATCAGCCCTCATCGCTGGCTATGCCTGTCCAACAACATCTGGAGGGCCACAGGTTCCCCATCCCTGATCTAAAGGCCAACTCTGGTGCTGACTTCTCACTCAAAAGGAGACCCCCCCCAACACAGCTCATATTAACTTACTTTACACTTCCGCCTTATGTGAAATGGTGTGGATACCATAAAACTGCATCATTAGCAGCTTGCAACAGAGGACAGACCATCACATTTGTGCTTCAAGGAAAAAAATAAATCTCTTCTATTACTAACACTTGCATTCAGAAGCGAGTCTGAGTTACCTTTACATCTAGGGAGATTCCAGGGGACAACTCATGAGGAAATGAGATTGAAAACTGTTCTTTGCCTGTCAGGCCCCAAAACGTTGCGTTTTCCTCGGGGAGGAACTGGAGCGGAGCAATGCCCATCCCAATCAAATGACTTTTATGGATCTTCTCATAGCTTTCAGCAATAACTGCTTTCACACCCTGTAGAAAGAGTTATATCTGGCTTAGATACCATCTGAGCAATAATAAAAGTCATCTTCATACAACCGCTCAACCCTTCTGTTAATACAAAACGTGGAGAAAATCTCAAGACAGAGAAATCTAGTTTATTGGAAGGTGGCCTGGAATGCTAGCCAAGAGTCATGAGGGTAGTAACAATGTTAACTAGCTACTACTGTCCAGCACAGATAGGAAAACTGTAGTCCAGCAGCATCCTGAGGGGCCACAACTCTTACTAGCCCTAACCATTGGCCATACTAGCCAGGGACTTATGGGAGTTAGGAGTCCTAGATCTGTTATTGCCACTGAAATAAAACCTCATTAGGTCTAGTTTACCAGGATTTCTGGTTGATAAGCAAGAAGCAACTATGTTAAATCATTGATTCAGATGTACATTAACTCTAAACTGGTCCCGGTTTGTGAATTTAATGGTCAAAACCACAAACGAGCACTCTTTAAAGCTCAGTGAAAAAACTGGCTCATGCATTTTCAGAAGGCAAAAAATGGCATGCTTTAAGCTCTTTGAAAAACAGCCAAGCAAAATCCTGTCAAGCAACCTGAAGTAATAAAACAACGAGGCTTCTTGTTACTTCGAAGTTAACACAATGGAAACATACCAGTAAAAAAGGTCCTTTTGCAGCCCAGTCTCTCGAGCTCCCCAGTCCATACTTCTTGCCTGCTAAGATTATCAGAGGGATATTCTCTTTGCGATACAACTCAGCTGCATCAAATACATCTAGCTGCAGGGGAGAGAGCAAGAGAGAGAAATAGACGGGGGGAAAGGACATGGGGACATTTCTAATATGCAGCAGCCCCCCATAGCTTTGAACAAATATGTCCTCACCGTCTGTCCAGTTGGAAAGTGAATTGTTTTAGGAGCAGGTTTCCCAATGAATTTATTGAAAAGTTTTATGTTTGCAAAGGTGCCTCTTGTCATCACTGCATCGTTTCCCCGCCGAGCACCATAGGAATTGAATTCACGGGGCGTGAGGCTACGAGAGACAGCAGAGCATGCTCAGTATAAACGTGCAACCTGAAAAGTGGACTTTGCTCACAAACATCCCTTAGGGAAGTTTTCCTGTGCCATAGACTGCTAGTCAGGTGTGGAACCCTAAGAATACAGGTCAAAGTATTATATCATGTGTGTGAGTTATAAATGGATAGCAGGCACTTAAGGCATTCTGACTACCTGTTAACCCTGCAGGGACCTGCAGCCTAATATATGGAGCTCTGCAGATGGCACTGAACTAAGCAGAAGGTTCGCTATGAATAAAGGTAAAGGTAAAGGGACCCCTGACAATTAGGTCCAGTTGTGGCTGACTCTGGGGTTGCGGTGCTCACCTCGCTTTATTGGCCGAGGGAGCCGGTGTACAGCTTCCGGGTCATGTGGCCAGCATGACTAAGCCGCTTCTGGCGAACCAGAGCAGCGCACATAAAAGCCGTTTACCTTTCCGCCGGAGCGGTACCTATTTATCTACTTGCACTTTGACGTGCTTTCGAACTGCTAGGTTGGCAGGAGCTAGGACCGAGCAACGGGAGCTCACCCTGTCGCGCCGACCTTCACCCTGTCACCGCCAACCTTCTGATCGGCAAGTCCTAGGCTCTGTGGTTTAACCCACAGTGCCAGACACGTCCCTTTTCACTATGAATAGGGTCCAGTAAAAACAGGACAGATTATGCAGAAAATTCTGACTATAAGCCTGAAAGAAATTCAGTTAATCCTGCTTAGCAACCTACTTTAGCTATGGCACACACTGTTCATCTGGCCAAGCAGCAACCACCACAGTAAAGCAATTTGTGAGGACCAGCTGAATTCTTCAGTTTCTTTCCCTCACAATTCCTCTGAAGTTTCTTACCCCTTGTTGGTTAAGTATCTGGCAGCAGCGCTGCCCCTCGCAATGCTTCCTGCAGGTGAGATGTGATCTGTCGTGACCGAATCCCCCAAAAACAACAAGACGTGCGCATTTTCAATACACTGGGGTGGAAGAGGGTCTTTGGTCTGCCAGATGAATGGACACAAAAGTAGATGAATACACCCCCTCTCCTGGTTAGTTGAAAACACACCCAAAAGGCACAAAATGGAGCTAATGTCAAAAGGTAAAGATGTTCAAAGTATGAAAGCAAGAACGTGCGCACAGCCCTGGAAAAGGAGACCATCTAGCAAAGGACCAGCTTCCCACAAAGGCAAAACTGATGTTTCTGAGAAATCAACAAGCAAAGCAGGTGCCCTCTAGCTTCTCATATTCTAAGGCATACTGTTTCTGAACACAGAAGGTGCCATTTAGCCATTAAGACTAGTAGCCACCGATAGATCTGCCCTCCAAGAACATGGCCATCCTTCTTTAATATCTCTCTAAGGAAGCGGCTGTCACATATTGTGGCAGCAAATTCCATAAATTAACGTTGTGGTATTTGAAGAAGTACTTCCTTTTGACTGTCCTGAACCTAGTTCTAGTGTTATGAGAGATCCTTTCCACTGAGAAGGACAGCAGAATGGTGTTGACATCTTAAATTGTGGTCAGAAACATTCCCCTCACTTATTAAGTTCCCTTTCCTACAATACCTAGAACACCTCAAACATACAGACTTGGTGTTACCATACTTACAAGCTTATCAAAAAAGGAAGGACATCGGATGTAAGTAGACTTCCAATCCCACGTAAATAAGACTGATTCAGGCGCTTCTAGAGAATTCCACCGCTTATTTCCTTTCTGCAAAGCAGGAGATATAAACTTCTGATCATCTTCTCCTGTCTTGTACCCAAAATGCCAGTTACTGAATATAATATAGTGGAAACGCAACAAAATGCCACATCAACATTTCTTTTCTTTGTAACTGATAACTTTTGTTAACTCAGCCTTCCAAAAATTTCTTGCTGTTAATAATAACAATAATTTATTTGTACCCTGCCTAATTTATTTGTATCTCAGCCTAACCTACTTCAAAGGGTTGTTGCAAGGATAAAACAGTGAGAATGAAGGAGACTGTCTGAGATCCTTAGAGGCAGGTTATAAACACAGTAAATAAATCAGGACATCTGGCTGTTTATGCTCTTGCTTTTTATATTTGCTATAGATCTGGCATACAGAAGTGCTAAAGGCTAACAAAGATATTTGAACCAGTATGCATAATTTCATTTTAAAATTTACATACTACATTCCCTGCTAGGAACATGACACACTGAGTGATGCACAGGAAAAAGCGTTTCATTTGAGTCTTGCTGAGTCAGAAAAGGAGTAGGACACCTTTTTCACCCCAAAGGCCACATTCCCTCAGGAAATGGAAGTGACCCGAGGGACCAGATGCAAAAGTGGGCAGATCCATGTATGTGACTGTTACCTTGTCTACAGGAGGGGACATTCCAGCCATGCAAAAAAAGGAATAGGTTTCCCATGCACACACCTCTCTCCAGACAGGCAAGCGAGCGGCATTATTACAGTTCCAGGGCACCTGGTAGGCAGGCAAAAGTGCCTGAGGGCTTGGAGCGCAGGGGGTGAGGCCAGAGAAGGAGCAAAGCCTCTGGCAGAAAGTGCTTGGCCCTGAGGATCCCTATCGCTGATTAATAACAATGCCAAACTACCTCCATTTTCCCCTTCAGCTCTTTAAACATGGATGATATAACGAACTCTTCTTCCACTTGCTGAAGTTCTTCTCGAGTGGGCCAAATATCATGCAAGAAGATTCTTTTGCCATCAGGACTGACCCCTACAAAGAAATTTTGATCATGGTGATAACTGCAGAAATTACTCCTCCGCCATTTCTACCCGTCTTAAAAGCATTACGAACACCCAAGAGCTTTCTTAGCTGCACATACTGCACATAATTCACTCTATGACACACAATATTCCCCTTAGCTCACCTGAAAGCAAATCACTTTTGCAGAAGAGAAAACTGCTGAACTGGTTCACAACGATCAACTTGGTTGCTTTGTTAGAAAACATAGGTAGGTTATTTTATGGTGTAGCGAAATCTAGGCCATAATGCGTCATACACTAGGTGAGGCTTCAAACAGCGCAAGAATGGTAAGCGTTGCTCTTAGAGCAAGTTAAATGCCCTGAGAGCATTACAGGAACAAGCCAAGTCCTGGATGAAATAGGAGCTGGAAGGAGAGGGATAGTTACCTAATGGCTCAGTCTGGAAATCAATATTCACAGTTCCTGCTATAGCATAAGCCACAACTAGAGGCGGGGAAGCAAGGTAATTGGCACAGATGCAGCTGCAGAGACGGCCTTCGAAGTTTTTATTTCCAGACAAAACTCCACAAGCAACCAAGTCACCCTGAAAGGCAGAAAATTATACATTTCTCAACATCTGCTTCATTGTCATGGTTGCTTGAATTTCTGTGAGAGTTTACAAGTAGCTATAAAGGAAAAGCTGAGGGGTAACCCTTGATGAAGGATACCCTCTTAGTGGCAAGAATGATTATTCGCTTCTCATATTCCTAACCTCATATTGTTCCTTAACACTCAAACTACAGAATTTGCCTTTAAACCAGGGCTGGGGAACTTGCCGCCCTCCAGATGTTGTTGGGACTAGAATGGAACTCCAATACTGGTATTAAATTTCCTAGCGCATAAAGATATATACTCCAAGAGTGTTTTCATAACCGTATGGGACAGACAGAAAATACTTAAGTGCACGGGGGCAATTATAGGGAAAAGGGCCCCTACTTTCCTAGCTCTACACACTTCACAGAAGATCTCACCCTCCAGCCTAAACAGTCAGCAGGGCAAAGTCTGGACCTTTTATTTTTCCCAATTGGTCAACAGGAACAAAGTCCATTATGCTACAGTTGTTAAAACATTACCTGCACAATTGCATTCTGAATGGTTTCTGGCAAAGGAGCAGTATTCCCAACACATGTGGAACATCCATAGCCAACGACCTCAAATCTAGAGCAAAACCAGGATTTTAAGAAAATGTCAGTGTTTCATTAGTGCAACCTACTTTTTCATTCACCTTTGCACTGCAGTGAAATCTTTGAAGTTCCCCTGCACGTTATGGGATCAGTTGAAGAGAGCTGCTGCATGGCAGGGCCTCAAGACTCTCTACCTAACATACTGAAATCCTTTCTGCCAGTGGGAAAATGGGAGGTCATGAAAAAGGTTGCTGATTCAACCCCTGGTACCTCCAGTTTAAAAAAAGTAAGGGCATCAGGTGGAAAAAGACCTCTGTATTGTATCCCACTATGTTCTACTTGGAGTAGACTCACATAAGTTAATGAAGCTGTGTTTGTCACATCTATTAATTTCAGCAGGTCTACTCTGACAAGACCTTAGTGGGATCCAGCCCCATGTCTTGAGATCCTTAAGAGCTGCTGGACTAGATGGACTCTCTCTAGACCAGGAATGTTTCTCTGATAAGACAAATAGGTTGACCGCTTATAATGCAGCTTCCCATGTTCCTGTGTGCTTGACCAAATTTTCAATAAATAAGCATGTCCCCCCAGTAAATTATGATCTGTGGGTTTTTTAAAATAAAAAAATACTATGAGTATAAATACAGCAATGCTTAACATATGCCTTATAGCAATTATTTAGCTTCTGAATGCTCAGCTGGTCAGATGTGATGTGGCTAAAAACCATGAGCCACAGAAACTTTAAAAATGAATCAAATGCCAATGAGTCTGCAAGCAACACACTAAACAGAAGCTATATGATGTTTGCATGTTACTGTGTTACTTCTTTTGGATTTGACCATGTCACTTTAAGCATGCATTTTAAGTCTCTACACAGAAGATCACAGAGTCTTTAAAACTTCTACATATGAGAGCAAAGAAGTTAGTACCCAAGTTTATTGAGGTATGGCAATACACCACTGGAAGTGAGATAGTGCGTGACCATTCCGCTGCCAGGCGATAAGCTGGTTCTTATGTACGGTTTAACAGTCAGACCAGCTTCAATGGCTTTTTTGGCCAACAGACCTAGGGAAGGATGAAAGCAGCAGTGAAATAACGGTACAAAAATTCTAAGGGGCAAAGTTATGTTGCCTATGGATAAATTACCACAACAGGTAGTACTGTTGGAGAAAAGTTTACTCTTTAGTTTAGAACAGATTATGTATATGCAGAAGGGTCTCAGGCACAAACCCTGCAATATCCCTTAAAAAAAAGTCTCCAGCTACTGTATTTTTCGCTGTATAAAAAGCACCCAGTTTTTAGAGGAGGAAAACAATAAAAAAAATATTCTGAATCAAATGTCGTTGAAGAGTCTTTGCACGGCTATCCATGAAGCCAGAACAGCAAGAGGGATTGCTGCGCAGCAATCCTTCTTGCAGTTCTGGTTTCAGGGATAGCTGTGCAGCCTGCATTTGCTCCATAAGACGCACACACATTCCCCCTTACTTTTTAGGAGGGAAAAGGTGCGTCTTATAGAGTGAAGGTGCGTCTTATAGAGTGAAAAATACGGTATGTGTTGAAGAATTTTTTGTCCACAACCCAGAAGAAATCTCTGCCCAAGTCCCTGATGAACAGTTGCCAGTTAGGATTAACAGTTCAGGGTAGATGGACCAATGTACGACTCTCTGTCATTGGAGGTTTTTAAGCAGAGGTTGGATGGCTATCTGTCAGGGATTCTTCAGCTGGGATTCCTGCATTGCAGAGGGTTGGACTAGATGACCCATGGGGTCCCTTCCAACTCTACAATTCTATGATTCTATGTACGACAGCTCTAGATATCATATTAACTTCATAAGCGGCAATATCAAGCTCAGGTGCAGCATTCCCTCCATTCATTTTGATGGGGCGTAGCGGATTATGACCTTCATCCTCTTTTGATAAGCAATTTCAGAAAGACGAAATTCTAACATTTCTGCTTTTGCATAAATCCCCAGAAAGTTCAATCCTATGAGCCAGCAGGTTGACCACTTGTTTATATTAAGGCAAGACCAAAATCACAGCTTCACTGGCACAAGGTCACCATTAGCAATGCTGCTCTCGTGCTGGAAGCTAGTCCAGGACACTGCTGTTGTAGTACTGCAGGCATGACTTCAAAAACTACCACCACTTTTTCACAGGTAATGAACAGAACTTTAAACGCAATAAATAATAAAATACATTTTTTAAAAAAGAACAGCTACTACTGTCAGGTGCAGAACACTGGGAACTGTGAAAAAGCTGCCGTGTTGCACCGGGTACTGCACAATCTGTGAAGCATTTTAAAGACACACTGTTCAACAAAAAACCACAATCCCAGTACAATTTCAGCTATCCAAATTTAATGGGATTATAACTAAAAGGCACCTCCACACATTTCAAGCTTCTGCTTAAGCTACACTGGCACAAACTCCTCTGTCTGCCTTCTATAGACATTTATAGGATGGCGGTTTGGTTAACTTGGCTCTATAATGCAATAGATAGAGAAGAAAACCGAAACCAGGCAGAGTATACCTGCTCCTAGCATTACAGAGGGGTTGCAGTTGTTTGTACAGCTGATTACTGCAGCAATGACAACTGATCCATGAGCCAGCTTGTACTCATTTCCTTCATACTCCACAGGAACCACATCCCTTTGCCTTTCAGCTGGAATCTGAAAGCCTTTAAAGCCAGCCTAGGGAATCAAAACAGACATTGCAAAATCAATTACACAACAAATTCAAAGCTGCTTTTAAGCAAGAGAGGGGACACTAGAATCCTGTGTTGGTGTATAGCCTTGGCAGCCAGGAAGCCAAAATCCAGTGGCAACATCTCCAATAAATTGGGGGAACGAACACAAACTATTTTATTAATTCTGATTGCAAAATCTGCATGGAATACCTCAATCTGTATCCTCCCATTCCTAATGGTTTCGTGCAGACCAAGACAAATGTTTGGTTTTCCGCAAAGTAGCACCGCAACCAGTGAAAGAGACAAGGGTTCTGCACTCATGTTTGCATGTTACAATGCCCAGCTGGGAGCATGAGAAGACATGCAATCTAGATGTGCCCTTTGATTTTCAAACATCACGACTGACAGGAAAGAGCTTAATTTTTGTTTTACAAAATGTTGTGACAGTGAAAGAAGCAGGCCTCTTTCCCACAGAACAGAGACTATATAATTCAAAAACATAGGAATCCTAACAGTAGTTTTTCATTTCAACTGCACATACCTTTTCATTTAAGCAGGCCTGGAAATCGCTCTTCATATTCGTAACAGCCACTCTGTCCTGTGCCCTTTTGGGACCACTTACATAGGGCATTATAGAACCCAGGTTTATGCATATAACCTGATGGAGTAGAACATTTGTTAATAATGTTTCTTTCTACAAATCAGGCTTTGGCAATTTATGTAAGGCACATTTTGCAGACAAGCTGAAATTATCAACTTTTCTTTCTAGCAAAAGATGGAAAACAACTTATTGAAGCAATATATTATTGTGCGATTTTAATATTTTTGAAAAAGTTACCCTAAATTAGCAGTTTTACAAAGGCCATTTACTGAACAGCAGTAATCCAAAATGCCAATAAAAAAAATTACTAAGATTGAAATACTAAGAACTAGTGATTGAAATCCCAAACCACTTCACAGTCTGCTCCACCCCAGTTCCAACAAGAACTCCCTGCGAATATCAGAAACTGCCAAAGAACACTGTAATTTGGGAGACATTTTGGGAAATCTTCAACCCACCCAGGAGGTAAGGTTTGAGGGAAGGAACTAAATTATACAAATATAATGTGTGCTCTTTTGGCCAAGACGTGATACCATTAAAATGCACACAAATGCTTAACTGTAAAAGAGGCATGCACAGTAGAGTCTTCTGGTTTGTGGCAGTTGCAGATGGAAAGAGCAAGAGAGCTGAAGATGCTCAGTAGCTGACTGGTGGTAAAGATGCCTGTCTATAGCAGTTGCCGTCCTTTGATGCTCTGAAAGCTCAGAATGCTGAGCTGCCCCCAGTGGTCTCATCCAGGTACTGATCCAAGCTCTTGCAGCTTCAGCAATGTCACCGCATCAGTTCACCGGATCTTTATTGCCCAAGCTTTATTATATTGTAGATGGGGTAGGGTACAGGTGGGAAGGAGAAAGTTGGTTGGAATGAGGCAAGTATGGGGACTATATGCCCCTCAAGGTGCTGCAGGATTGCAACTCCCATCATCTTTGACCGTTAGGCCATGGCGGCTGGGGCAGACAAAAGCTTGATTCCAACAACATCTGGAGGGGGACATGCTCCCCATGCTTGGAACAGGGAATTGGGTTCTCTTGAAGGTATAGGAGACCCTATTGGCTGGTGAGGCAAGGTAAAGGGTCCACGCAAGACTCAAGCTGCAAATATGAAAGAGGCAAGCCCATTTTGACATTACCTGGGAATATTCAGGTTCTTCTGTGGAAAGTTCATAACTTCGAAGTAGTTTCACAGTTTTAAGATATGTTTCCATCAACTTAAGCCTGGTCTCATCAAAGCCTGTGGGAAACGGTTAAATAATCAGAAAAAAAAATGTTTAAGTAATGAACCTTCTGCTGATATTCAAATCAGTAAGTTGATTGTGCCAAAGGCCATGACAAGTACATTAAAATGTACCTAAATACAAAAACAGTAATCACAAGCACCAGCAACATAAAATAAGAAAAATCAGAACACCATCAAATAATTCAATTTCACATTAAACCCCATAGTCACCAAAACAATTTACAGCAACATTATTTGCTGATATAGCAACATAACAGAGTAGCTCAATAGAACCTGTGCAACAAAAGGCTTGAACATAACTGCCTTTTCCTAACTCGAAATACCACAAGCCTCTGAAGAGTCCCTTCCAGGGAGCACTTAACTCCCAATTTCCTGCATGCATTAGCCAGGAAAAAAAGACGGTAACCCGAGTATCTACTGCAGCATCTTACTTAAAGGAAGACAGAAGTGAACCAAATCAAGTCTCTCAGATATACACATTGAGCAGGAAGATACATTTTACACACACACACACACACACACACACACACACACACAGCATGTGTGAAGATCCTAAGGTCTGGGGGCTGCATGCAACCTTGCAGACCTCTCCACTGACAGCCCTGGGCATCTCTCTAGGCCTTGCCTCCTCCAGGCCCTTCAGCAGTATTTCCGCCTGACTGCAACGTGTCCCTGAACTGTGAGCCTCGTTTGACTTGATGGAGAGACATGCACGTTGGAGAGATCCAAGACTTTCACTGCATGAGAAACTGTAACTCAAGAGTATGGTTTCTACCAAAATCTTTAATGCTCGGATCAGCAAGACAGGCAGACAAAGCACGGTTCAAAGGCACAGCAGGTGCTATGTATGGCTAAGAGAGCTAACACAGGCAGAGGCAAACTCAGCCCTCCAGATGTTTTGAGACCACAATTCCCATCAACCCTGACCACTGGTCCCATTAGCCAGGGATGACGGGAGTTGTAGTCCCAAAACATCTGGAGGGCCGAGTTTGCCTATGCCATTGATCCAGCAAGTTGCACGACCCCCTCGGGTCCCATTATATGGGAATGGGGCAGGCATAACGTCAGCATGGCAAAGAAGTAAGCAAACCAAACTTCTTCTGGAGGTCTGGACCTGAACTGTCTTGTTCACACCTCGCTAGCTTCTCTGTGGCCTAACTGATGGAGGAAGGCTAGGCTACAGGGTCCCCCCTTGGGATATGACTCCTTGTTCATACTTCCCTGCCACTTGAAGCCGTGACACAGTCTGTCCCAAACTTCTGGGCCCCTTCCCAGTGTCATCAACCAGCAGCTTCCCCAACTTCCCCCACCCCCACAATGCCTTTGCTTTGGGACTCATGACGTGGATGTTTCCGATTTCCATGTAGCTGGAACGCAGCCCAAAAGTTAAGGCTGTCACCTACTGCTCTATCCACTTGTGGTTATGGCCCTGCTTGCCACTGGCATGAGTCCCCCAGAAGGCTGCCCACAACAGAATGCAGCCCCAGGGCTGGGAAAGTTTCCTCGCCCCTTACACATGGGAAAATTCCAATCCTGCAACAACATGTTGTGAAATATTACACCAATTTATTTTGTTTAAAATGCATACAACAGTTATGTAACAGAAAGCCTCTAGGTAATATATTGCTATGGTAAAGCTCTGGAGAACCAGCTGTTTAAATTTCCATCTTACCAGTGTGTTTTAAGTGCTTTAATGTCACATTATCGATAGGGAAAAAGCTCAGGATAGCACCATATTCTGGACACATATTTGCTATTGTGGTCCGGTCACCTATGGAGAGCTGGGAAACTCCAGGCCCAAAGAACTCCACAAATTTTCCAGACACGCCTGCTTGCCTAAGTTGCTAAGGAGAGGAAAAAAGAAAAGAAAAATCAAACACTGCATGCAGAACGAGGCGGCATCTTATGACATAAAGGTTTCGAATGAACTACTAGCAATTCCACCAAGAGAAATATACAGGATCGTGAGGCAGGAGACTACTTAATCAGCAAGGAGCAGAGTATGGAGCATGGCATGCGGAGTGAGTGCACTTCATTGCTCTGCAAGATGTTTTGGGCAAGTGAACCAAGCTACATGCCAAATTCTTTGAACACACCATCTTCTGGTGTCACCATTCTTCAGTGCTGCCCTTTTGTTGCACAGCAATTAGTTAAGGCTGTGGGGCAATACTTCTGAAGGTTTCCATTTCACTACCCTCTGGAGTCATGGAGACAAGGGGGTGCCTACATCTAATACTACAAACTGGAAAAATAACACTTTTTCATTTGATTCAATGACACAACTAGTTAGTTTAACCCAGGATGCATTTGATTTAAATCAAATCAATTTAAATCACTAGTCAGAAAGACTTGATTTAAATTGCTAGTCAGTAAGACTTGATTTACCGTATTTTTCGCCCTATAGGACGCACCGGCCCATAGGACGCACCTAGTTTTCAGGGGGGGAAATCAAGTAAAAAAATATGATCCCCCCCCCCGCAGCTCTGGGAGCAGTGGACAGGCTGCACGCAGCCTGTGCGCTACTCCAAGACCTTCTCCCTGCTTTTGCGGGAGGTGGCGGAATTCCCCCACCTCCCGCAAAAGCCCACAGGAGCCCAGTGTAACTCCTGCGGGCTTTTCGACCAGGAGGGAGAAGGGACTGAAATGGCCAGTCAGTCCCTTCTCCCTCCTCGAGGAAAAGCCCCCAAGAGCGGTGCGCTCTTTAAAGGGTGCGCGGCTCCTGCGGGCTTTTCTAGGAGGTGGGGGAATTCCCCCCCCCTCGTAGAAAAGCCAGCAGAAGCCGCGGAGCCCCTTCGAAGCCTCGAAGCCGGGTTGGAGAGTAGCGGGAAGGCGTCGCGCGCCTCCCCGCTGCCCCCATCCTCTGGGGCTGGCGATGGGGGAAGCGCTGCTTTCCCCACCGCCAGCCTCGAAGCCGGATTGGAGAGTAGCAGGAAGGCGTCACGCGCCTTCCTGCTGCCCCCCATCCTCTGGGGCTGGTGATGGGGGAAGCGCTGCTTTCCCCACCGCCAGCCTTGAAGCCAGGTTGGAGAGTAGCGGGAAGGCGTCGCGCGCCTTCCTGCTGCCCCCCATCCTCTGGGGCGGGCGATAGGGGAAGCGCTGCTTTCCCCACCGCCAGCCTCAAAGAGCAGACTCTCCTGGCTTCAGCGGAAGCAACGCGAATCCTCCGGAGCGCAGGCTTCGGAGGCTTCGCGTTGCTATCACTGAAGCCAAGGAGCCTGCATTCGCCCCATAAGACGCACACACATTTCCCCTTCATTTTTGGAGGGGGAAAAGTGCGTCTTATAGGGCGAAAAATACGGTAAATCATTTTTTACAGAAAGACTCAGCCTTGCTGGCATCCTCTTAATATTTACAACCAGATGCAGGTTTCATTTTTGGAATAATAAATTTTCAGAGTAGTTTTTACAGTTATAGCAAAAATTACTGATTTGGTTATACTGTTAGAAATACATAGACAGGTAATTATGAAATTATTGTGAGGTTTAATAAGTTAACTGTTTACATTCAGACAACTTTCTGCTGAATTTTATTGGAAGGAGAAAAATAATAATTTCCTTAATAACAATTTAAACAATTTATTTAGCTAAAACAATAACATTATACCATATGTTTCCATGTTTGTTAACTGATGTGGTTAAACCATTTTTTTAAAAAACAAAAACTTAGACTGTGTTATAGCACACATGAAAAACTTAAAACAAATCCTTATTTCTTGATGAATAGCCTTTGGACTATAATGTAACTTAAATACAAAACTATCTTTAGAAAGATTTTTCTTCCAAAAGCATTTTATTTTAAAAATGATTCAAATCAAAAAAATCTGATTTTAATTTTTTTAATCTGATTTTTTATTTTTTTCAAAAAAAATCATTGATTTTTTAATCCACCCTGGTTTAACCATTACTGTATCCTTAGCGTGAAATTCTGCAGCAGGTTTGGGCAGAAAGCACAGTGCCGAGACACTATCCTGGTCATTGCAAGCTTTGGTCTAGAATGGATGAAGTATTCTCTTCCATATCCGCCTTACAACTAATAGCTGAAGCGTGACTATCCACCCCAGGGTCCTTTGCCCTCAGTATCTAGGAAGGGAGGGAATCAAATCAGTCCCTGAGTTGGCTTTCTTTTCTTCATAAACACTCAGCTGGAAGCCAACACAGAGCAGTTTTTTTAGTGTCTACAGGAGAATAGGGATGGTGGAAGATTGGCTTCAGAGAGGAAGGGGGAGGAAGAGGTGATTCCTAGTTCAGCCCCAAGCAAAGCCTTTCTTCAGAGGAATCCAAGCAGATGGGAGTAAGGGCCTCCCATCCAAACTGCAGCAAGAAGGGAGAAAGAAGACTGAACCATAGGGACACTATGTTGGCCAGGCATGGTCTTTAAGGCTAGAGACCCTCATGTGGGGTCACCATGATGAGCTCCTTAGAAACTTGCCCAGAGACAGCTGCTCCTTGTCCCCAGTAAGGGGTAACCTGCTGAAAGAGCACCAGTTGCCTCACCACAAACTTCATTGGGTATCCACGGAGGTGGTGTTCAATTTCCCTTGTTTACCTGCCACTAAGTTTCTTAAGGCCTTGCCAAACCACTGCTAATGACACTGTAACCTTAGATAAAATCCTAGGCACTTTTATGTCACCTCCAGCAGAGCTAGTAGTACATGGCCTGCTTGACTTGGCAACAAAGAGAGCTCTAATTTACCTTTGTAATGCTCAGGACCACATCGATTGATGTGGCAAGCGGGCTGGCGGAGCCTGTCAGTTGACACCCAACCACCTCAGGCAGGGTGAGGGCGACTGGCAAGCCAAGCATGACGGCTTCGGTTTCAATTCCACCCACACCTGGAAGGAGACATGACATCACTTAAAACAGCTTGGTAACTGGCAGATTCTTTAAAACTTCGAAGAGCATGCTAGAAGTATCTTCAGAAATCTTCTTTGTCAAAAGTCAAAACTGACTACTGTAAAAGATAACCCCGTATCGTCCCCATTTTAACCTGACTGGAACACACACACATGGAGCTGCCTTTTAGGAAATATGTTGGAAAATCAGATATAAAACCTCCAGGTCATACTGCCCCCCAAAAGTGCCTCCCCTCCACACCTTCCTAGATTTTAGATAGCACACCTAGTTCCAACATTGGGGTTTTCTTTCATTTCAAAGGAAAAGCCAGCAGTCATTACACTAGGTTGCAACAGCGGGGAGAGAAAGGATGAAGGACCAATGTGTTGGTACAGCCAAAAGACCAGCAACTTTGGACCTCTCCTTGTCTTCAACATTTTCACACCAGCTGGTGATTAGAAGAACTAAGAACTTATATCCGAGTCTGCCTATTTCCTCTCCCCAGCCCAATCCATTTTCTTTTCGTGTTGTGCCTTTTTAGATTGTAAACCAAGGGCAATGATGAGAAATTTTATTTATTTTTATTGTTAGTGAACTGTAAGCCATTATGGAAATCTTTTTTTGGTTGAAAAGCAGGGTATAAATTATTTAAACTAATGTTGCATTGATCATAAATAAAAACTGAAATGGAAGATGAGGTCACCTTCTGATAGGTTAATGAAGAGTTTCCCATCTTTGTCTTAGTGAAAGAAAGGAAGCTTTCTCTCCTCTCCAACTGCCGGGGCAAAGGTTTCCTTCATGAAAGTAACTTTAGATTACAGAAACTATACGGATTAAGACTGCCTGCAAGCAGCATGATGTGCTGTGTATTATGCATAGCATTAGTCTCCATTATGTCATGTAGTATTTTATACTTCTTCTTATACTTTCAAAAACCTAGCAGATTACTCTCTCCTAGCCCCCAGGTACCAGTGTCTATTTAGATTTATAACCCATTGTACCCCCACAGAAAATGGAACTAAAAGAGAGGGATCAGGAGTAAAACACAGAATTTCAAAATACAGAACAAATAAGCCTCACCTACAGAGAGTGGAGGGGACGCGGGTGGCGCTGTGGGTTAAACCACAGAGCCTAGGACCTGTCGATCAGAAGGTCGGCTGTTCGAATCCCTGCAATGGGATGAGCTCCCGTTGCTCAGTCCCAGCTCCTGCCAACCTAGCAGTTCAAAAGCACGTCAAAGTACCGCTCCGGCAGGAAGGTAAGCGGCATTTCCGTGCGCTGCTCTGGTTCACCAGAAGCGGCTTAGTCATGCTGGCCACATGACCCGGAAGCTGTACGGCGGCTCCCTCAGCCAGTAAAGCGAGATGAGCGCAGCAACCCCAGAGTCGGCCACGACTGGACCTAATGGTCAGGGGTCCCTTTACCTTTACCTTACAGAGAGTGGATTAGTTGCTCTAAATACAAAAGCAGGGAAGCTCTCCACTAAGCCAAGAACAGGTATGTGCAGTGTCTTTGCCTGCCCTCCCTGCCCCCTCCTCACTCTTACAGGAACACGGATGTTACAGTAGGTGAGGAGTCAGGTACAGCCAAAGCCTAATATTTTAAACAGTGAGTCTTATTTTTTAATTATTAAAGTAGTCTTTTAAAAAATTCATTGGGGGTCTGTTTAATCTCAAGACTGAATTAGTGAAGTGTGTTTTTAAGCACACAAATAAATAATAATAAAAAAATATTAATAGAGCATCTTTATATTTTCTCACACTTGCAACTTCCCCCTCTCCACCCAACTATCACAATAGAAAATGTTATGGAGGAAATTAAAATTAAGAGAAAGAAATTGAAAACTAGAGATGTAACAAGGAAGAACACTGTGAACTGCCAACTCATCTTACCCCATCCCAAGATTCCCAAGCCGTTCACCATTGTTGTATGGGAATCAGTGCCAACAACGCTGTCTGGATAGAGGAAGTCTTTAACATCAAATACTACTCTTGACAAGTACTCGAGGTTCACTTGGTGGGCCATTCCTGTTCCAGGAGGAATTACTGAGACATTCCTGAAAACTTTGGAACCCCACTAGAGAGAGATAAAAGGGGTGGGGAATTAAGATAAGTGATCTTCCCACTCTCTGAACCAAGCAAGCTTTAGCAATGGCAACTGTAAATGAGAAAAGGTACATCAGGATTTATTATTTTTTAACCAACGCATCCCATATCTACTGGGTAAAGAAAGGCAAACTGCTGAAAATAAGAGTGTCTCAGCAAGTATTAGCATAGGAGAGAACCTACATAGCTATCACAATTCATAAGATAATGTGCCCCTTCACAGAGAAAAATTAGAGCTTCCTGCACAGGTTAAAAACTCTGCTGTTCTAGCCATGATCTGTCTCTCCATTATACCTTTCCTGAAGTATGTCAATCATAAACAGGAGTTAATTCGAGAATGAGTATGCCATTTCATGTTCAATACCAGAAGCCTCCTTTTGTTCTCTTAGTTAAATATTCTGAAAGAAAGGGGGAAGGTTCAAAACTGATTGCAGAACAGACCCAAGCAGATCTCCACCAGACCACTTTGTGCGGTTCTGCCATAAGGTTCTTCAAACCAACGTACCTTGAAAAACTGAAGTCTCTCTCTATTTCTACCAAATTCCATCTCCTGGTTTTTTAACACTGTTTCCGGCCTACAGGGGGGAAAAAATCAAACCCATATAAACATTACTGTTTTCTCTCCTAATATTTCACTTACAGTTGAAAACTGAAAGTCTGGAACTGGTTAGGAGAGGCATTTTAACTCCACATGAAATGGCACATGCCTCCTCCACATTCCCTCTTTTTTAAACAAGGCAAGGTCTCTTGTAAAGCATGCAGTGAGTGTCTATCATGTGGCAATAAGCACTGCTTCAGATCGCATGGGGCAAGCTGGCTTTAGAAAGGTTAAAAAATAACCTTGCTATTAGAATGATGCTGCCATAAAGGGAAGATGTGCTTTCTAGCTACTGTTCTTAGAGGTAAGTAACCTCGAGCAAGAAGCAAGTAAGAGTCATGTTATGCATGATAAGAAAACCGCTTATCTTCATATCTTGTTACTGCAAATTAGAAAACCAGTAAGGTGACAAGTCAGGCATTAAGAAATATATCTGGAGGTATTTCTACTATGCCTGTCCAACAATTGTCCTCCTATATTATGCTTTGCTTAATCCCTGGCAGAGACTGAATTTTACTGCATGTGGCCAATCATCACGTCTTTCAGAAGAATGTTAAATGGATAGACCAAATCTGGCTTCCTCTCGTGGTTTGAAAAAAAATAAACAATGATTGCTGGATCACATGTAAATGATAAGTCAGTCCTCTGGTTCATTTCCTCCCGGCCAGGGAATGGAAGAACAGCATGATTTGAGAAGCATGTACCAGCACACTTTCTTGTTCATAGTAAACAATAGTCTGTCTTACCATTCTATGTGAACCAGGCCTTCATGAAAGTTTTCCACTGAGAATATACACATATAGAAACTCAGCTAGAGCCAGTGTGGTGCAGCAGTTAAGAGTGTTGGTCTAGGACCTGGGAGACCAGGGTTCAAATCCTCACTCAGCAGTGAAAGTCACAGGGCGACCTTAGGCCAGTCACAGTCTCTCAGCCTAACCTACCTCACAGGGTTATTGTGAGGGTAAAATGGCAGGGAAGAGAACTGCATACACCATCCTAAGCTCCTTGGTGGGAAAGGTGGGCTAAAGTGTAATTCATCAAAATTAAAAATAAGTATCTGCACTTTGGAAGCAGCCCTTACAATTCTTACATCTGGCAAAATGCCTTAGCAGAAAAGCAGATTAAACCAGGCATGTCCAAAGTCTGTTTTAGGGGCCTAATCTGGCTGACCCGCTGGTCGATTTAATCTGGCCCCCTTTGAAAAAAGTTTGGGCACCCCTGGAACAAACCCAAGAATGTCTAAATATGAGGATAACTTTGTAGCTTGATGGTACACTGTTGTGCTGCTGTGAACCACCCTGGGGTCGTTGGATGAAGGGCAGCATAAAAGTGTAATAATTATAAATATAAATAAATAACATTCAATAGGCTAGTAGACAATGTGGTTGCAGAATTCCACCATCCATGGCACCGTATGGACTGATCTGAGATAAATAAAAAACAATACTTTCCAACTTACAAAGTGAACTAAGAATTTTCTCCACGTAGATGTGTATTGTTTAAAAAAGGAGAAAGATGTATCACATGTTTTGTTTTTAAAAAGAAATTAAAAAAAGGAAGTGGCCTTTAGAATAAAAACATTATTGCCTTGTCAAGCATTCACTGTGGCAAAAGAAGCAAGGCCTGAACTGTTATAGGCAGCCACCTGCCAGTTTTTGATTGCCAATAAGTTACAACTTAAAGTATGGCAGTGTTTAGTGTTAGATAAATCAGTGCCTGATACTTAACATGTTAAACTTGAGGGATGTACTGTTATAGAGGAATTGGAAGAAAGCCCTAGCAATGGCATGGATGCTCATCTGCACAAAGAAAGCAAACTGAAAAAAGGAGAATTGGAGAAAAAAAAGTTACTCAGGCACTGGTTGAAGATGAAAAGGACACAGCGGAGGCGTGTTCTCAATCTGCACAGAAAGTGGCCCCGAGTTACGACCAGACTCTGCATCACATGGCCCTCTGCAGCTGGACTGGCCCCTGCACGGTAGCTTCCGAGGAGCTTTAAGTGGAGAAAGTTTTGGTGGTGGCCTCTGTGGATCACCACCTCCAGGATTGGGAGTGTTCTGTATTGCACTTTAAAAAGAAACAGAGAAAATCAACCGGCTTTAGTTTATCAAAATCCTTTGAATTACTAAATATAAACTAAATGTAAAATATATACATTAAAAACCCCAAACAAAGCAACACTAGAATAGTGAGACCATGTTTTATCTCTCAAGAGATGAGAGATGCTAATGGTTTGGTAAACTTCAGCAGGCAGGCAATTTCAGCTAGGAGACATCCACCATGCCTCTGTGTCTCGCAGAACTGGCAGCTGGAGCAGGGGTGGGCAACTATGGCGCTTCATCTAATTTCACGAGGATGAGAAGGAGGGGGGGTGGAGGGGGGGAAGGGTAGCAGAAAAGGAGTGGAAAAGGGGTTGCCCATCCACTTTTGGCTCTGGCTCTGCTTACTTCCAGTATGCAGCCCTCAATACAAGAGAGTCAGTGTGGTGTAGTGGTTAGAGGGGCTTGACTGGGAGCAGAGAGTAGGAATTTCACATACATGAAGCGACCCACATTACACTATAACTGCTACTCAAAAAGTAGAATAAAAACAAAACAGTTGTACAATAAATACCATTTACTGAAGTCAATCTGCAAAGAATGGTCCACAGTGAGATCTGTTGGGCAGGCAGGATGAACTTTTGTAGGATCCCCTCCAAGATTTTTCACAGCTTCCCTCATGGCGGCAAAATCCACTATTGCAGGAATTCCACTAATGAAAATGAAAATGACCAATGTAAAAAATATTTAGCTGGCATACAGAATAAAGATCCTTTAGAGCCAATGGCATGGGCCCCATACTGGTTAACACAGCCTTAGTAGGTCCCACATGATAGCTCAGAAACACTCAGGAAAACTTTTATTTTATGCTACAGAATATCCTTGCACTGAATGAGACATAGTTTGGAGAAATACAGTGGTGCCTCGCAAGACGAAAATAATCCGTTCCGTGAGTCTCTTCGTCTAGCGGTTTCTTCGTCTTGCGAAGCAACCCTATTAGCGGATTAGCGCTATTAGCGGTTTAGCGGCTATTAAAGGCTTAGCGGCTTAGCGGCTAAAAGGCTATTAGCGGCTTAGAAAAAGGGGGGGAAAGCGAAAAAAATCGCAAGACTCGCAAGACGTTTTCGTCTTGCGAAGCAAGCCCATAGGGAAATTCGTCTTGCGAAGCGCATCGAAAAACGGAAAACCCTTTCGTCTAGCGGGTTTCTCGTCTTGCGAGGCATTCATCTTGCGGGGCACCACTGTAGAAACAAACCACAGACTTGCACACTGCATCTTACCCTCTTCACGTGCTATTTCAACTCTCAGTTTCCTGTTAGTCATAACATCTGTATCAGCAATTATTGCTTGTGTCTGCTTTCAAATCAAAACTGGAAACCCAATCAAACCTCCAGTTCTGGAGCGCATACACAAACAGATGTCATAACTCTGCTTTGCACTAAGCAGAAAGTGCACAAGAACGAAAATAGAAGTATGTGAGCCTGGTTTGTTTCTACTCCTCTAAATCACTTTGGATGGTTGTTTGGTTGTATGTTAAGGTGCACATCGGAGTCTAATGAGACCTCTGTATCACCTTAATTCTCAGCACTGGCCAGCCAGACGACAATGTTGCCAGCAATTTCAAGACAAAACTGTCAACAAGAGGCAAATCCCCGGCAAATTGCTTGCATCAAACACCATCCTTAATACTGAGCCACTTGCTACATGAAGTTATCTAAACCTCCTCCTCAAGTCCAGTCTGATTTGGTCTGGGTACACTAGAAGGCAATGGGCACACCTACTCCCTGCATTTAGTACAGTATAAACAGATCGAGTGCATACCATCTTGTTGCTCTGACAGAGCTGAGAACATTGGGTCTACCTCTTGATGGAGTTTATTTTTTTACACGGGATTCTGAAGCACACCGTAATCCCTGCCAGTATTGATCCAGCCTTTACCATTAACATGCTCATGCTTGACACAGGCCCACCTATGGACATGTTTTTGAAGACCTAAATTTCTTCCCATGGTTTTCAAGTACTTACAGCAACATATTCAAATTCTTCCTGCTATGTCCATGCTGCTATAACCAATTTGCTAACTAGACATGCAAATGATTAAAAGCACAATTAATTATATGCCAACTGTGTTTTGCATTACACAGAATTCATGTCTGAGACAGAGACCAGATTAAAGGAGTAAGAATTAACTGCTACTGTTTGCTGCTGCACTTTGAAGATTTACATTTTTTAAAAAATTGGTCGCAAGCCACCTTGATTTAGATGCAAAGTGATCAGGACACAAATCCAACTAACAGGAATAATACTGTCAACACACAACAAATAAAATGCTTAGGCAAGGGACAGTAGCACATCCTTTATATGCAGGAAGTCCCAATTCAAGCCTTGGAACCTCTGGGTAAGGCTGGGAAAGACCCTTGTCTGGAAAGCAGCTGTCAGTTCATGTAGACCAAGCATGGGGAACCTCCGTCCCACGGCCTAATGAGACCTAGCCAGAGTCCCAATTTGACCCATGAGGGTTTTCCCCCCATGCCATGCCCTGTTCCAGGTGTAGGGCAGGTAAAGATGTAGCTGCAAAAAGGTCAAAGTGTACTTCTGATCATACCTTAAGGAAGCAAGGCACCTTTTAAAATTTGGAGCCAAATGCAAACCCTATTGGGATCAATTATACTCCAGAGTTCTTGACAGGGAACTGTGAAGTGGAGCCACTGGCTGGATCCTATTCCCCATGCCTACTGAGCTTGACAGACTAATGGCCTGACTTGATATAAGGGAGCAGCCCATATTTATGTATCTGGAAGAATGTCCCAATTGTGAAGAAACAGTAAAGTCATTAGTGTGAGATGGGAACTGAAGCAGAGATGTCCAAAAGTCCCTGCCGCATATGTAAGTATCTTGAGACATACACAAAGCAGAGTCGTCAGTGAAATGATACCCCATTATTTCAATCACTTTTCCTAAAGAGACATTCATTATGTAGATCTGTTGCCAGTATAAACCTACATGATATCTGAACTTCTGACTCTCTAAATACTGTGTAAGTTCCACCCTGAACATTTAGATAAAGCCTGCAGTGCTTGAAGAACGCATTAGACCCAGCTAAAATATATAATGAGGAAAATGTGTCTTACGTAAAGTCTTGGAGAAGGACTCTGGCAGGACAGAAGGGCACTTCAACATTGTTCTGTTTTTCTTTCCAGTCCAAAATGTTCATAGCATCTTCTTTTTTCACTAGGAAGCCATCACAGTTGCGGACAGCAGCTTCCAACAGTACCCGTATGGAGTAAGGCAGGATATCTGAACAAAGTAAAGTAACGGAATTGGTCAAGTTTGGGACGGATTCACTTGTGTATAGGCTACTCCCCAAATGTGTTTTTCCCCTCCCTTCTGGGCCTTCACATCTCTAAACAGAGCCTTTAAAATGATGTTGATAGCTTTATCAAAATAGCACTACAGCTGAGTGCAAACTATTCTTGGTAGGAAAATTAAACAAATCAAAATAGGATACTTATTTGCACCAATCCCCCATGTAAGTGAGCTAGAACCCAACATCGCACTTTTATTATTGATTAACAACATGCATAAACTGGTATATGGTCGCCAATTGGTGAAAGTAAATTAAACTAAACTCGTATATTTCAGGCTGTCCAGAGCTAGATGGAATTCTGGAAGTGGTGGTTAGTCTGTCAATTTCATTTGCTAGTCTTTGAGATAAAAGGGCTCCAGTTGGGGAAGGCTGAACTAGCTCAACAGGGTCTCACTACCCTTGAGTGTCACAACAAAAGGCTAATAAATGCTAGGTAACACGGAAGTTTTCTTTATTGACAAAGATAAGCCAGCAAATGATGCTGCTTAGTTGTAAGACAGATCTTCTTGATATTGTGCTTCTGGGCTTATTGTTGTGGCAAGAACATTAACTGACATCTTGAGAAGGCAAAGATTAGTACAGAGAATTGTTCCTCTGACGGATACGGCTAAACCAAGGGACTTGGTCTCACGTGGCCGGTAAAATTTTACTGCTTCAAATCCATGATGTTAAGTCCAGCATGTGGCAATAAAAAGATTTCATAAAAGTATTAGTGTCAGGGTAGGGTGAGGAGAGAGAAAAAATGATAATGAGACTAAGAAGGGCTCGGATTGAAAATCTAGGCAGATTAAAAGCAATGGGGGAAATGTTAAGATATTTCCCTCGGAGTGACCAATATTTTAGATGCCGAGCAGCACAGCTATGTCTATTTTCCACCTTCAGGGAATACTTCATGCACTGACTTGCCTGCTGGAATCCGGGTGCACTTGCTCATGAACTCTTTCACACAGCAGAAATCAGGGGGTAAAGCACACGCTTTGTACTCAAGAGGTTCAATCCCTGGCATTCCTACAGATCTACTGCCAGTCAGTGAAGACAATGCTGAGCTGGACGGCCCAATAGTTTGATGGTGTATAAGGCAGCTTCCTGGGTCTTTATGATTCTGGGGCATGTGTTCACAAAGGGCATTGTGAGGATTTTACAGCAACCACCTCAGGAGATAGCGGTTACCCCATTTAAAAATAATTCACAATGTAAAGTTGCAATAAAGTAGACTGACACAGCACTAACTAGCAAGTTTAACAGGTCCGCATACTATTTTTTCAGCTCCAGAGAGCACAAAGTGCTGCTGCAGGGCTCACTAGCTTCATTCAAATTAGTTGGGCTTTACAAGGCAGGCAGCATGATTTCACTCTCATTAGGTGATTCATCCGAAGGCTAACCATGAATCGGCAAATGTGTTTTAGATTCAAACTGCCAAAATTTTGTCCTTTTTGCAATTTCCTCCATTTAATTAAGAACATGGACTCTATGCAAGACTTTTTAAACTGAATCCCAAAGACTTTAATAATTATTTTCAACCTGATCAGTATCTACATACAGTTTGCCCACAAGCAACACTCAACTTTCAATATTTATATAGCAAAACCTCAGAATGCATCAGAACAAAAGGAGTCAAATGCAAGATTTGGCATTGATGTTTTATTGTGTTTTTAATATTCTGTTGGGAGCCACCCAGAGTGGCTGGATGGGCGGGATATAAATAAATTATTATTATTATTATTATTATTATTATTATTATTAAAGGCATGTGATGCAACAACCTGACTGAAGCAAAACAGGCCTGGTCCATGCCTGGCGGGCAACTGGTTGGAAACCCTATGCACATGTAGTGAGTTCCATAACAGAAGGCAGGATAAACATGAAAAACAAGTAATTTGAGCAATTAGTATATTTTTTACATTAATTACCAAAGAGAAAGCAGATAGAGAAGTCCCCCTCCCTTATAATACTAAATCTAGAGGTCATCCAATGAAGCTGAATGGTGGGCAGGGGTGCCAACTTGAATAAAATATTGGGGGGGGGGTTTCCAGGTAAGCTCCACCCCACATAATCTATCACAAGACACAGCACCCACCCCCATTTGAATAGCAATGCCCATTAACTTTGGGAGGCAGCTCCCTCAAATATTTTGTGGGGGGACAAAGGGTCCTCGGCCCCTAGGAGTCGGTTCCTATGATGGTGGGACATTCAGGACAGAAAAAGATGTGAAGAACTTCACACAGTACACAGTAAAATGGAATTCACTGCCACGTAATGTAGTGATGGGCACCAAGCAGGAAACAGCCAACCTCAGTACATCAGGTGCTGGGGAACACAAGTAAGGCGAGTGCTGTTGAGCTCATATATTGAGCTCATGTAAAAAAATTGGTCAGAATCCTGAACATGGCCTCTTTTTATTGCTCTTACAAGTTTCCTTGCTCAATAATCAGGGTTCTCATGTGCCTTGAGCAGCAGCAACCAGCAACAATCAACACTCGAGGACAGCACCCCGGTGTCTGGTAGACTAGCCAGACTGCAACCTAATTGCCTGTTTTGACACATAACAGGGAACCTCCTGAAAGGTGACAGCAGGCGTTTGGCCAGTTGCTTAGAAACCCAGTGCTGGGCTGCTGGGTCTCTGTCACCTAGCTTCAGTTTGGCTCTTGCACTGTTCCGTGTCTTGCCTAACTTCCCTGTCTCTTTTCCCCACAGCTGTTCCTGTGAAGGAGGGGGGGGGACATTGGAGACAAACCCTCCCCTGGGCACCTTGCTTATTCCTAACCCTATTTTTTTCAAGAGTCTGCCTAGTCTGAATTCCTGGTGATGGACTATGCTCTCTTGATCCTGGTTGTCTTCTGGTAGCCAATACTGACCTAGAAGAGCCCATGGTAAGGCAGCTTGATATGTTCATAAATCTGCTTTTCAAAGGCTATAAACAGCAGAAACTGTTTGCGTCCATGTTTTACACAAGATAACAGTTGCAGGCTTGCGACAGCCAGGCTGAACAAAGTGATAAAACTCTGGGAATACGTATTCTGCAGTAAATGCCAATGAACTCAGCAAGACTTACTTCTGAGTAAACATACATAGGATGGCTCTATAAAACTAAGGCAATTTTAGAGCTCTGCAAAGGTACATCAAAGAAAGCACTGCACTGTTTAATATTTGTTTAAAGTAAATAAGAGATACTAGAGGCCTAGTAAGAAGAGTGGTTAAAAGTAATTTTTTATAAATATTTCGTATTTATTTCTTTATTAATTTTCTATACAGTGGAATCTCGGGTTGCAAATGTGATCCGTGCGGGAGGCACATTCGTAGGAGGCACATTCGCAACCCGCAAAGCGCGATTTAGTGCTTCTGTGTGAGCGCCGAAACCCGGAAGTAACCCGTTCTGGTACTTCCGGCACGGTGCTCAACCCGAAAACACGTAACCTGAAGTGTCTGCAACCCGAGGTACCACTGTACTGCCCTTCACCCGAGGATCACAGGGTGGTTTACAGTATAAGAACTGCTTCAGTAATATGTCTATCTGATCCACCTTGGCTCATAGGTTTTGTTTCTTACTATGTTATGTAACAAATAAAACCTATGAACCAAGCAGTGGTGTGTAGTCAGTGGACTAGGGGGACTAGGCTAGTCCCCTAAATGTTCCCAGTAAATTGGAGTATTACAGTACTGTACAGTATTAAAGCCTGGCGCCTCCTTCCCGAATCCCAGGAAGCTTCTGCCTGGCTTACGGAGGGAGGTGCGATGCTCACACGCGTGACAACCTGCTCCACATCACCCTTGCAAGCTGGTGCCTCTGGCCTTAACTGTTCCCCTAGGAAAAATTTCGCTGCACACCACTGGAACCGAGGCGGATCAAATAATACATATTACTGAAGCACTTCAGGTGAAACACTTTTGTTTTGTAAACTTCACTTAAACTCTGCTTGAGTTACGTGTCCCAACTGCAGTTACCATGGAAGCTATGACATCCATCTAGAATTTTAGCAATATGCAATAAGGTAACTAACTGTGGAACCCCAAGCATGTTTACTCAGAGGTAAGTCCCAATATGTTTCATGGACTTAATTCCTATTAGGTTTGTTTAGGATTACAGCCAAATTCTGATCAATTGTTCTTGTTTCAGAAAATGACAGTTAAAGGAAAGGATTTGAGATATTACCCAGTGAGTGCTAATTTTAATAAAATTTTGCAAAAATGAATGGGGCGGGGGGGGCTTGGGAGTCATGGCTATTGGCCTTGTACGTGCCAGCAGCCCATCAATGGAAACCAAACAATGCATACAAAAATGTTGCTTTTCCCTACCCCACTTGCAGGAAAGTTAACTATCTTCGTGCCATAACTAAGTTGTATTCTAACAGAGCTGTGAGGAACTTCAAAGAGATTGCTCTGATTTATGTGATTTTCAACTAACTCAGTGATAGCTCTTGTCCATTAAGGCTGAAATCCAATAATGAGTTAGATGAGTTTGAACACTTTGAAATCAGTGGACATAAGAATTCTGAACTCTACATAGTATTGAGCTTCATGTTATACTGGATAACAGAATTTGGCCTCGTCTCAGTTTGTTAGAAGTGTAAAACATGGAAATAAATTCCTGAAAATAGCTAGTCTAGATTACAAATACGTGGAGCAAGGCCCAATCCTAACCCCACAAGGGAGTAAACTCCACTGGATTCAATACTGCTTGCTTCTGAGCAGGCAGGTTTAGGACTGTGCTATTTATGCATTAGATGTAATCATCTCCATGGCAGTGTGATCAGCATGTAATAGTGTCTTATATTAAGCGATATATTTCAAACAGTTCTGAAAAAAACCAGAAGTGCATACCAACCTATAGAAAATCAGCATTTAAAAATCTTATGTAATACAATATTGCAGGTATCACATTATTAATGAAGCCATATTAACAAAAAGACAATTAAGTGTTACCGTATTTGGTGCCTCCCAGTTTAGCAACATTGTAGAACTTCTTGTCTGTTCTGTCATTCAGTGGTTCAATTAAGTGCTGGAAAAGGCGCTCTGAAAGACAAATCATACTGATGATTAATATAATATGTTGTTATAATATATATAAGCGATAATAGCACAGATATGGAACAACAGAAGAAGGGAAGTAACTATTGACAATGACTTCTTGGCAAAAGAAGACAGGTATATATGATAAAAAACTACAGCTATAATTCTATTCACATTTACTCCTAGGTAAGCACAATAGATCTAGACTGAACAGGAATGCATATTAACCAGCACTGTTAGAAACTCACATATATAAGCTAGGTGCTAAATGGATCCTTAAGTCAACGTTACAGTCACCAAAACGGAATGTCTAGTTGCCATTTTTGGGTAAGATGGCTCTAAAGTCTTATTTTTCAAATGATTGAATGGCTGTGACTGATTCTCAGTTAAACATCTATATAGTTCAGATGACAACCCTGAGCTAGGTAAAGAACTTTGAGAACTTAAAGAAGTCACTTTATCCAGGGACAGTCCATATATTGGCCTATTCCTACCTCTTTTTCTTATTCATAATGTAATAATATTCTTCACAACTGTGAGCAGGGCAGTGGGGTGGGGTAAGTGAAGACAAGCGACAACAATTTCACTACTCCTGCACAGAAAAAGCATTTTGGTTCCTGAAATTCATTCTGATTGTACAGAAAAAATAGAACTGATAGAATTCTACAGGGTGTGGTATCGGTGTGTGAAAACATTCAAGATCCAATGATCCCCAGGCATGCACCTCTAGATGTTGGAGATGTCAGGTGCCATCCTGGCGCCCAGGCATCTTCACTTGGTTGCAAGTGGCCGACAGCCACGTGCAAAATTGCCCTGGTTAATTTCACACACTGTTAACCAGGTAACAAAAATAGGATGAAAACTATAAGGGTGGAGTTCTAAGTGAGAAAACATGCGTACAGTACAATTTGTCGGGCACATAAATCTGCAAACTGATTGGAATAATGCATGAGATGTGCTTTTCCTACTTAAGTATTTATACTGCATTTCCTCCCCAAGAATTGTTTGTAAGCTCCATTAATTTCAAGGGCCTGGTTCACACACAATACACTATGTGCACAAGCCTCAGAACCCATGCACTCCTTCATTGTGGTCTGGAGGAAGACACTGAAAGCTTTTGCTTCAGTTGTCAACTGTAGTTGTATTCAAAACCGGAAAAGCTGTATTTAGTATTACCTATAGTTTAGGAAAACAAGTTAACTTTTAAAATGTGCTCTGTTTCCACCCCATCCCGCCATCAGCAGTAACCACTGTTAGCGACCACTATTAATGACCACTCTTCTTCTCAGTTTGGATGAAATGAGGAACCATTCTGTTCCCTGCAAATAACTTGTGCTCATTCCCATAGCACTGAACTGTGGTTTTGTGTTATGTTTGAATGCATTCTCAACATGCAAGCTTAGGAGTGCAGCTTTAAACATCAAAAATGTTTTTACATCTTCTATTGTAGATACGTTATTCAAATAATTTACTCAAGTTGTACTGATTACAATTCTAAGGAACAAACAGAACAATTTAGAGTGGCTTTGCACAATTTACTGCCACTAATCTTTAGATAGTGTGTAATAGATTAAATGTATTCTGTCTTCCAATCCTCTCTCAACCCTCCATTCTAATTATTCTATAGCTACATTTGGAAGCAGCAACATCTGGATGAATAAAAAAGCTCCACTGTGATTTAACTGAGGGGATTTTCCCCTGAAACAGGAATACAGTATTATTCAATCAGTCACAATTCAAAGGTCAGCATGCTTAGGCTGCAATCCTAAATACAACGCACCTACAAGCAAGACCCACTGAACACAGTGAGATTTACTTCTAAAGAAACATACAGGAATTGTGCTCTATTTAAGCCCTTTGATTTGGGTGGGTTGAACACCAATAACAATGTACTTCATTGCTACAATGCCATTTTACTATTCCCTGATTGTATAAATACCAGAATCAGTTTCAAAGAGGCTTTATACTACTGGGGACTAAATTAAGAGTTTGCAGAACTTAGTTATGACTAAGTGATTTTTTATTACATAACAAATATTTTTATTATAGCTTTAAATGCTGTTGACATGCTTCATAATGGGCATATATGCTTAATTTTCTTTACAAAAGTAGCCATACAAGTCTGATCATACTTCTATAAAATATTGTTCCCATTAACATGCTTCATATTATTCATCATATTTGAGTAGCCTCAAGCAATTTGGGGGGGGGGAATGTAAGGGTTAAGGCACAAGGTATACCTTCTTTTTAAAAAGTTATTTGAAGAAACATAAACAAAATATCTTTCTCTTTGAAGGTTTGAGCTGCATAGATTCCTCATGCTAGTAAACTGTGGCATTCTGAAAAATGAAGGGCTATGCCCATATCTACTAGCATTGCTACTATTCATAACTGGCCTAACAGTTTTCAAGCTTTAGTAACCCAAGCCCTTAAAAAAAAAATCACCATTCGTCTTAGTATGCTGACATGCACTGAATCCAAGGGGAAAGTTCCTGGCCATTTTGCAAGCTGGACTCATTGTCTGGCGAGGCCATTTTGCTGGTGGAGGCTTTTGCTCTTAACATGAAATACTTTTCAGTAAAGAGCATCATCCCCCAACTCAATCTTAACATTACTTGCATTTTCTATGCTGTTTGAGCATACCCATCTCCTGCCATCAGCTGACAGCTTTTACCGGGGGACAGAGGAATGCAAATATGCGGGGAAAATTAAAAGCAGCAGGGAAATTTAGGAGCTGGTCTGCCCTGTTGCTCCTTTTACATACTGATCTGCACCTGTCAAGCCACAAAAACAACCAGGCTCTTCTGGCTGAACAGCAAGGAGTGCAAAAAATAATAGAAAAAAATTAAACACAACATAGAGAGCATGAAAACTGTTACATGAGGCACAGAGGACAATTTTGTTTCATTTTCTCAAAGGCGTAACACAAAAATCCTATCACGTTTATACCAAATAATATGGCCTACTTCTCACTTGAAAGAGGATGCATCTCAAACCTGTGTCAGGGCTGTGTGTGTGCAGACTGACATTAAAAAAATATATGAAGCAGCATTCAGTTAACTCCCTGCGCACAGATAACTAGTGTGTCACAGCTAAGACAAGTTTCTTGACACACTAGCTTTCTTTAAAAACAACTCCCTACACATAGAAAACCAGGAGTGTGACATGGCAGCCCCACCCCCCCTTACAGCACACCTGCACAAATGGAAAAGTAGTTTATATAGTGTACACAAAGCCGGAGGAGGACCAGAGGGCGTGTGTTTCTCTCCAGAACGATAGCCTTCGGTGAGTAGAAGATATTTGTTTTTAAGTAGGGCGGAATGTTCACTGAGGGAACACCCCCCCCCGCAATCGCTGCCACAACCAACCCCGCCCCCCCCACAACCTGAATCCGCACAGTCATGACGGAGATGAACCTCCCCACCCCACGAAAACAAGGCCTCTCCTATTCCCCCACATCAAGCGCCCAGAGGCGCAGTAAAAAAGATTAACCCCACCCCATTCTTTGACTCCCCCCCCCCCGCGCAACCTGAAGTGGCCCAGCCCTGACAGAGGTCAGCAGCCCCGCCCCCGCCTCCTCCGCTCCCTTTACACGGGGCTGGGGAGAGAAGATGGCCGACAGACCCCGGCCCCTCTGAAGACGGGGGGCTGGAGGGGGGGGGGGAGAGGCAAGCACAAAGGAAAAGGGGCAGAAAAGACCGGGGGGGGGGCTCTGAGGTGAAATGAGGCGGCGACGGGAGGCCTGAGGGGGGGGGGCGGCAGCAGGAGAAGGAATGCGCTTGAGGAGGGCAGAGGGGGCGCGGGGTCCTTCCCTCCGCCCGCCCGCCCGCCTCCCCTTCACACTGACCTGGCTCGGCCGGCTCCATGTCACTCCCTCCCGAGAAAGGCGGCGGCGAGGGAGGGGGGCGCGAGGGGCCAAGTGCCCAGGAGGGGCGGAGTCTTCCCTCAAACGCCGCGAGAGGTTATAAGCGCGGCGAGGAGATAACAGGCTCGCCTCGGCCCCTCCCTCTCGTCGCGGCGGGCTCTCGCGAGAGCTCGGCAGCCGGCAAGAAAGGAAAGCGGCCGGAAATCTCGCGAGGCTCTACTGCGGGGAAGGAATAGCGGCGCTGGCCAGCGGGCCGGCAGCAGCTCTCGCGACACTTGAGCCCCGCTGTGTTTGTCGAGGGAGGGCAAAGGGGCCGCGCGTGCTGCAGCTGTGGGCGTCGCTGCCGGGGCCAAGGCGGAGGGAGGAGCGAGGCTTCGCTACCAGGGGCCGGGCGGGGGCGTCCTTGCTGGGCCGGGCGAGGTTGCCCCCCCTCCGGAGGCAGCCCCTGGGCGGCAGGGGGCAGCGCTTGCTTGGGGCTGGGCTTCTTCCATGAACAAGCCCCTGCCATGTTCGAGGCGGCTTCCCCTGGTCCTAGCGAAAGTGGCTGCTGCTAGGGAGCCCACACAAGGGGAGTCCCCAGGCCTATGATTTGCACAGGCTCATCCGCAGATGTTCCCTCGCCTCGGCTTTACACCTGCGTAGAAATGAAGTCACATTCTCGGAGGGAAAGGATGCCCAAGGTCCATAGCTGTCAACTTTCAGACTTGAAAATAAGGGATCAGCAGCCTCACCTGTCCCGGGGACAGTCTACGGGATATCTAACAATCCGGGATAGCAGTGGGAAACGGCGCTGGAATAAGGGAATTTCCCGCAAAAAAGGGAAGGTTGGCAGCTATGCCAGGGTCCGATTCACCGAGGCAAATTAACAGGGCGCCTGCTTTCTCTGAAGCTAGCTCAAGGCTGAATTTTCCCTGCACGTGCCTTGACATGCAGTCTTGAGTTAGCAGAGTCTCCTAACTCCTTTCTCTTGCACTCTCTTTTTTCATCTCTTCCTAATAAAGACTATGGTATAATTCCCACCAGCTCCCCTTGCTGAAGACTTCACAGGTTGCACCGTGAGCATAGGACGCGGACAGGGAGCAGAGAGAAAGGGATCCACAAGCAGACATCATGCATGCTCAGACCATTAAGGCAATTGCTGATGTCTCACTGCCCTGTGGCATTGGTTTGAATGGGCAGCAAGTGGGTGTCAGGCGGAGCAGCGGCCAGGTGCTGAAGGGCTGAGCTGGGTGTGGCAGCCACATGGATCTCCGAAGCTCACCTGCTGCCCTTGGGTGTGGTAGAGGATGTTGCTCCCTTTGCACTAGTAAGATTTAGCTGCCAGGCTGGTTGGGTTCCTGCCCCTTCCATGTGCCTTATTCATTCATGAGATTGGGTGGGGAGCTGAATGTGGCTCATCAGGCCCCCTTTTTTGGCCCACTGGATCCTCTTCAGGCTACCCTCCTCACTGGTCCTGCTTCATGCTCTCCTTCAGTGCTCCTCAGGAGAGATGTGCCCTTGAACTTCGACGATGCCTCTTGCATGCCTGGGCAGAGAGGGGTGTGTGAGTCTGTATGGAAAATACCTTGCTGTAGAAAGATAAAATCTGCTTTCATTGTTCCACCCATTTTTGCCTCTCTACTGCATGGCCCCAGGTCACCCAGAGAAGGTGTTCTGCTTCCATGTTAGAGGCACTGGTGTGGTGTGTGTTGGGCTAGGAGCAGTCAGGCCTTGATTAAATTTCAGTTCAAACCACGAACCTCAGTGGGTAACGTAGAGCAAGGCACTACCTCTCAGACTTGCCTACCTTGTATCGTTGCTGTGAGAAAAAGAGGCAAGAAGGATAAATAACCATGTACAGTACAACACCCTGAGCCCCCTTGGAAGAAGGTGCTATTGAAACAAGGTACCACTGTTGCACAGGAGCAATGTATTTTTAAAGTAATTGTTAAGTTGTAAGCCACTATTGGGCCATGTCACTGGGCCAGAAGTTGGGGGGGGATGATGACATATTTTTTTATAAATAAATGCATTTTTGAAAAGGGGAGGGAAGAGCCTTGTTCTTTTAGAACAGCAAGCACACAGGGCTCTGTGTAAATTTGTATGGTCTTTTTCTCTGAAAAAAAAAAATTGGTGGTCAAAGCCTAACTATGTTAGACTTTGCCCTTTGGTGCTAACAGTGGGGGCAGGGGGCTGTGACTGTCTCGCTCACAGCAAGGCTGCCCAACTCCCTTACACATTCTGTGCAGATTCTATTGCACTGTCTTGCAAAAAAAATAATCAGTCGTGATCTTTCACCGGATAAGCGCTTTCCACATCCGGTAAAGATGTACTGTACACGTTGGGGCTCAGAGGAAAAGGCAGTGCCCTCCTGGCCACCAAGGGCATAAATTTCGCTACTGTGGAAAGTGAAACTGAGGGGAAGGACGGAGACTTCGTTTCCTTCATACGCCTGCGCCTTAAAAAAGACAACTCCGCTTTCCTGGAACCCGAAAGTCGCGCATTCGGGACCCCAGGAGAGGCGGAACCATTGTGCTCAGTTGTGTTGTGCAGCGGATATATTTACGTGCCGTACCAAAGGGATTAATTTTTGCGTTTGGAGAGCCATGGCGGGGTCCGGGGCAGAGCTAAAACCTGCCGTATTGAAGCACCGGCGAACTACACTCGAACGGGTCGAAAAGTTTATCTCCGAGATATACTTCACGGACTGCAACCTCCGGGGCAGGTGGGCTTGTGTTGGTCCGACACCTAAAGCCTTCCCCATTCACCCCACCTGGCTTACGCAGCGCAGCGTTGAACTACGGAACTCCCTCCCACAGGAGGCAGTGATGGCCACCAACTTGGATGGCTTTATAAGTGGGTTACCGTCGCAGTTCCATGGAGGAGAGGGCTATGGATGGCTACTAGCGGCGATGGCTGTGCTCTGCCTCCAACAATTGGAGCAAATAACACTTGTGAATATCAGTTTCTGGAAACTGCAGAGGCGGGGGAATGTGCTGTTGTGCTCAAGTCCATTGGCGAAGCCATGCGGGGGGCAGGAAGGGGCAACCGCTCCCCCAAATCCATTCAAATCAATAAAAATGAATAGCTGAGTTTCTGCACCCCCCCCCAACAAAAGGCCTGCCCCCTCCTAACAAAAATAATGGCTATGCCCATGCTCAGGTCTTGCTTCCGGTTTTCCCACTGGGGCATCTGATCCCCCCCCCCCCCCGGTGAGAATAGGATGTGGACTAGATGGGCCATTCCATTCAGCTATTCCACCTGGCCTTCAATTTGAATTAACCTGATCATCTGTTCCCATTTCCCTTTCCTTTTCTATGAAGAAACCCTTCTGGGACCCCACTTTTAAGCTCTTCCCTGGTCTCCTTGCCGGCCCTAGTAGGACAAACTTGGCCAGTTAGCCCTAGTGATCATTTGATGTCTACTGACAGGGTTTCTTCCCCCCCCCAAAAAAAAAATGACCCCTGAATTTTAGAATTTTATTGACATTGATGCTGCATTTATGTTGTGTTTTTATGCTGTTTTTAAGTCGCACTTTAACCAATGTTTTATATTTGCTGTTAGCTGCCCTGAGCCCGGAATTTTAAATCGGGAAGGGCGGGGTATAAATAAAAAATTATTGATTGATTGATTGGATCCAGTACACTCTTCTCATGGTTATTACATTCTTAAGAACACACAGTTTGGCCTGCATGGGGGATTTGATGTGACCATATTTGTTTTTAGAAGGTGGTTGTGGCCATGTTGGGTCCAGAGGATAGCACAATATAAGTACTGTATGGTTTAAGAGCCTTTCGAGAGTCCTGTCTTTTGCTGTTAGAGGCTACATGAGACTTCCAAGTTTCAAAGTGGCCCTTGTAGCCCCATCCTCTTAATCATAGAATTGTGGAGTTGGAAGTGACCCTGATGGTCATCTAGTCCAATCCCCTGCAATGAATCAACTAAAGGATTCCCGGGTTTGGACAGTTTGATCTCCAGCCGTTTTAACTGTTTGCTGTGAAACATGCCATCTGATTTCTGCTTCCACAGTTGGAGTCAATGCTGCTTCTGAATACAGTGGTACCTCGGGTTAAGAACTTAATTCGTTGTGGAGGTCCATTCTTAAAAGGTACCACTTTAGCTAATGGGGCCTGCTGCCGCCGTGCGATTTCTGTTCTCATCCTGAAGCAAAGTTGTCAAGCATCTTTTTCTCCACAGTGACCCATCAGATTTATTTTATTTATTTATAATTATACTTGTACAGTGGTACCTCAGGTTACAGATGCTTCAGGTTACAGACTCCGCTAACCCAGAAATAGTACCTCGGGTTAAGAACTTTGCTTCAGGATGAGAACAGAAATTGCACGGTGGCGGCACAGTGGCAGCAGCAGGAGGCCCCATTAGCTAAAGTGATGCTTCAGGTAAAGAACAGTTTCATGCTAAGAACGGACCTCCAGAACGAATTAAGTTCTTAACCCGAGGTACCACTGTATACTGCAATTTCATAAAAAATATCAAAGAGCTGATGACACTGAGGTGTGTGTTTCACTGCAGGTTGTTTGGTGCTTCCTGCTCGTTGGCATCTCTCTCTTGCTTTGAAACCTCACAGCGGATTCCATATGACGAAGCTGTCAGACAAGAATTTAGGCTTGTGAAGGTTGGAGACTGTTTTGGGAGCACGTAAGTATTCCCTTAGAGGCTAATGAATTAAAGGAACATATAAACTATCCTTTCTTCATGTGCCTCCTCCACGAGATGTCTGGAAGGCGGTAACATGAGAATGGCCTTTTCTTCAGTGGCTCCCCATTTGTAGAATGCTCTCCCCAGGGAGGTTCATCCAGCACCTTCATTATAAATCTTTAGGCACCAGACGAAAACATTTCTCTTCAACCAGGCCTTGGCCTGATTAATATTCTATGGCCTTTTTAATGTGTTTGTGGGACGAGGGGGTATTGTTTTGTTTTATCTATTTATTTTGTGCTTTTATCCTGTATTTTTATCTTGTAAACCTCCCCAAGATGGTTGAAGGATGATCTATAAACTAATAAAATAAAAATATAATAGGAACACAGGAAGATGCCTTATACTAGTCAGACGATTACTCTGTCTTGCTCAGTCTTGTCTACACTGACAGTGGCTCCCCAGAGTTTTGAGCAGGGAATTTTCCCCAGCCCTACATTCTTGAGTCACAGCTATGGAAAGCTATGGGACAAAGCAAACTTGAGCAGAGTGCCGTTACATCACATGAGGCTGAATTCCCCATCTTTTTCCTAGGCCCTCATAAGTAACATTAATGGTGTGTGCTTTGGTTGAGCCAGGGATTTCAGGGCCCTTTTCTGATTGAAGCGTTGGGTGAACACTAATACATTTCTTGCCATCCTAGTGAGATAGTTATCCTGTGGAAATTGGAAGTATTGTTTGTATTTATTTATTTTTAAAAAGTCACCTGAAATTGTGCATGTCACTTCCCTAAGATGGAAGACCTGCTGGTTCAAAGTAGATCTCAGCATCCCCAGGGAATGGACAGGAAAGGAAGTCCACCTTCTTTGGGAAAGTGAAGGAGAGGGAATGATTTGGAGGGATGGCCAACCTGTGCAGGTAAGTGACAACCTCATCTGGATGTGCAGAGTGCTGATTAGCTAGCGCTCATGACCATATCAAAATCATGCATCCTGCCCCCTTGCCCAGAGTAGAATTAAAATAGATAGATGGGCTCCTTTTAAATGGTGCTGAATTTAACTAGAGATGAAACAAGCCAGGCACATGATTCTTTCTTTCTTTCTTTCTTTCTTTCTTTCTTTCTTTCTTTCTTTCTCTCTTTCTCTCTTTCTTTCTTTCTTTCTTTCTTTCTTTCTTTCTCTCTTTCTTTCTCTCTCTCTCTCTCTCTCTCTCTCTCTCTCTCTCTGAAAAAAAAACAAAGCTAAGTTCTTTGTTGGTGGGAGTTGGCAATGTCCACAAAGGGTTCAGAGTTTAGTACTGTATATATGTCAGGGTTTGTGAAGGGAGAAGCAGCAGATCTTGCCATGCAACTGAAAAGCCCTCACTGGCTCTTGCAAGGAGGTAGTGTACATCTTTGTGCAGCATTCAATAGTTAGTGACAAGTCAATGATTGTGTTGGCACGTTATGCCACTTGTTCCATTTTAGACAGTGTTGTCCATTCTTGTGTTACATTTAAGTGGTTACCTCTGATCCCCTCTCTCCCACCCCCCAAAATCTGACAGGGTTTGACGCGGGAAGGTGAGAAGACCAGCTACATTCTGACAGATAATCTAAAGGAGACGGACCCCCACAGGTGAGCAAGGAAGCCCTCTTAGCCATTCAGAGGGTTACTCTTTTGTTTTTCTAGGAAAGTCAGATTGCCTATTTTGTCCATTTTCGTTCATTTAAAAAAGAAGTCAAGACCGTGTTGGCTGAGGGTGAAGAGTGTTGGAAGGCACTGTGTTTGTTACCCCTGGATTAAACAGTTAGATGGCTGATGAGATTGCTGACATTTTTCCCTTCCCTAGCTTGACCCTGTATGTGGAGGTTGCCTGCAACGGTCTGTTTGGAGCTGGGAAAGGCAGCATGATTGCACCACCTGATCCTGACAAGAAGTTCTCCCTGCAGAAGGCAGAGCTGGTGGTCTTCAACAGGGCTGTCCATGAACTTCTGGTAGACTTTGAGATTCTTCTGGACATGGCTAAGGTAAAGCTTATGCTTCCTGGTTTTGTCTTCAAATGCTGACTGTGCACTAGAGGAAGTCGCCTCCCCCATTGCCTAATTCAGTTGTTCCTAAACTTTTTGGGGCCACCGCTCCCCTGGTTCCGTAAACTCGCCCTCGGTGCCCCCTACTCTACCCTAGAAGCATTATTCAGAACAGCACTTTGCATGACCCGCTAAGGAAGATAGTAATGCAATAAAATTCGGAACAGTAGCAATCAATTGCACATTTATTCAAATCCAGTTCAAACTACTAGTTTAATTAATTCAACAAAAATGGCAAAATTGATCAAGAGACACCAGCTTTGCAATGTCTGACAATCATTTGCACCTCTAGCACCCCCTGCTGGCCCCTTGCCTCATAGCACCCTCCCCCATAATCCCACTGCTACCCCCAGGGAAAGGGGTGGCCCGTCCCGTTTTGTTGCCTGAGGCAAAGCAGGAAGGGGCTGCCTTGTGTTTGTCCCCCACACCCTCTCCCCTTGCTGCCTCTACTGAAGCATCAGTGGGGTGGGGTGGGTTCTGCTTCATGGATGGGCCAGCCCTGACCAGTACTGCGTACTTTGGGAACCATTGCTCTAATCAGTTAGAGGTTTGTGAATGCCCCAAGCAACTGCGGGCATCTTGGGTCCATTCAGTTCAGGATGGTCTCTGATGACCGGAGATGGCTCTCTAGGTTTTCAATCAAGGTACATTCCTACTCCTACCTGCCAAGGATTGAATCTGGGACCTTCTGCATGCAAAACATTTGTTTTCTCCATATTTTGTGAATTCACACATCGCACATCAGCTTGGATTGGGTGTTTAGTTACAGTCTGTGTGTGTGTGTGTATGCTTGCTTGCACACAAGTCCCACTGTTTGCTTCTTAACATATTGAGCCATAGACTTAGAAAATAGTACACTGTGGTTTGGCATCTTTAGGCAGCCTGCACCAAGCGTCAGAATATGGCAAGTGCTGCTGCCTTTAATGTTGTATTTGGGACTTGGTTTCCCTGAACAGCTCAGGTCTAGGGTACCTCAGGCCTGAACCTTTATATCTCAGCTCAGTCACTGAGATAATCTTTAGGAACATCCTTGCTCTTTCTCGAAGTTGGCAAAGCTTGTTTGACAACAGTGAGAAACCAAGCCTTTAGTGCCACCGACCCCATCCTGTGGAACCATCCTGCCAACAGAGGTTCAGTGAGTGTCTTCTGTGTCAACTTTTAAATGCCTGCTGTTTTTTTTTTTATATTTTGCCAGGCCTACGCAGGCAATTAAGAATACTTCTCCCACAATGGTTTGTTGATGCTTACTTTTAGCCTTTCTTTTTTGTTGCTGTCCCAGAAACTCCAGCGGGTGCAGAATGCTGCAGCGAGGCTCCTCACGGGGTCTCTGCCATGGGAGCATATTCACTCAGTGCTTTTTCAGCTGTACTGGCTCCCGGTGGAGTACAGGGTCAGATTTAAGGTGCTGCTTTTGACCTTTAAAGCCCTTCATTGGCCCAGGACCCTCGTACCTACGGGACCGCCTCTCCCAGTATGCCCCACGGAAAGCCTCAAGGTCCATAAATAGTAACACCCTAGAGGTCCTGGGTCCTAAGGAAGTCAGATTAGCCTCAGCCAGAGCCAGGGCCTTTTCAACACTGGCTCCAGCCTGGTAGAACGCTCTGTCTCATGAGACCAGGGCCCTGCAGGATCTGATTTCTTTCTGCAGGACCTGTAAGACAGAGTTGTTCCGCCTGGCCTTTGGCTTGGAATCAAATTGATCCCCTCCCCCTCTTTCTTTTTTTCCTTTCTCCTTCTATGATGGAACTCCCATTTGTGGACTTCCCTGGCTTTTTTCTGGCCCATGTAGGACCAGTCTGGATAGTTGGCCTTGGTGAAGACTTGACGTTTTCATCCCCCAAAAAGTTTTTGATTTGAATTTCTACTGAAAGGAGGCTGCATTTTAATGCTGGATTTTAATCTTGTTTTTATATCTCATTTCAATCAATAAAAACAATCAATTGTTTTTCTATCTAGTGTTAGCCGCCCTGAGCCCGGTCTTGGCTGGGGAGGGCGGGGTATAAATTATTATTATTATTATTATTGCTTTTAACTTAAAATTTTTTGTGTGTGTTTTTATTGTATGGTTTTTACCATTTGATGTTGTAAACTGCATTGATATGTTTTGTGATTTAGTGGTATATACAAAACAAATACCTAACAGTTCCTTGGTATAGGCTTGTGTGGACGACATATTTTGCCAGCACATGGTTAACGTTTTCCTGTTATGCAGCTTCTTGGGGAGGAAAATCAGCGGAGCTTCCAGGCACTTTACACAGCCAATCGGATGGTTAACCTGTGCGATGTTGCCAACCCATTGACTTTTGCTGCAGCGCACGAACTTGCCTGCTCCGTCTTCGGTCAAAAGAATGGAGAGAGTCAGCATGTCATCCACGCGATGGGCCATTGCCACATTGATTCCGGTAACAAGAAGTGCATTTTGGCACAGCGTTGTAGGGAAGGCACCAGCAATAGTGGCTGGGTTGGGTGGTGGCGGGTGGTTGTTCTGAACCGCAGGCCCAACAGAGGGCTTGTGGGAGAGGTGGGATGCAGGGATACCAAATAAGGATGCCAAAAACATCAGAATGACCGGTTCTAGGTAAAGGTAAACGGACCCCTGACCATTAGGTCCAGTCGTGGCCGACTCTGGGGTTGTGGCGCTCATCTCGCTTTATTGGCCGAAGGAGCCGGCGTACAGCTTCCGGGTCATGTGGCCAGCATGACTAAGCTGCTTCTGGCAAACCAGAGCAGCGCACGGAAACGCCGATACCTTCCCGCCGGAGCGGTACCTATTAATCTACTTGCACTTTGACGTGCTTTCGAACTGCTAGGTTGGCAGGAGCAGGGACTGAGCAACGAGAGCTCACCCCGTCGTGGGGATTCGAACTGCTGACCTTCTGATCAGCAAGTCCTAGGCTCTGTGGTTTAACCCACAGCGCCACCCGCGTCCCTATGGCCGGTTCTAATGCTTTACTAAAGAAAGGTGTAGACTTAAAGCACAGTAGCAGCCTGCCAGATCTCTTAGCCTTTCAGTCGCCAGACGGACATGGCAGCAGGGAGATGGTTTGTCCACACCCAAGCAAACGTGCAAACAGTCTTTATACACAAAGCAGCATACGTCACTTTGTCTAGTCCCACCGCTTCACCTGCTCAGATTAGGGCATAGAAGGCATATACCCAAATCTGACAGGGAGTTTCCCTTTCTGGGTTCACAGCCCAGCAGCCGAAGCCCGCAGATAAGGATAACATCAAAGCAAGCCAATTAGCTTATATTGAAGCCAGTGAATCAGCTCATTGCTACAACAGCTCCCAATGGCACCAGCAAAGCACCAGTTCTCCTTTGGTTCAGCACAGTGGGACAGAGGTGGGCTGCCCCTCTTCCTTCTTTCCCCACCCCCAGGTGCCACTGCTGGTGAGGGAGACGGGCAAAGGAGTGGGCAGCTTGGCACCGTGTGACTGCGGTGTCCACAGTGTTGGTTAGGGCATGCCAGTTTAGGGGCTGAAACTTAATTTTTTGCAAATTTCTTCAGGGATGCTCTTTAAAATGTGTTTTGGGGTGTGGGGAATTCAAATCTATTTTTGTAATTGGACAACATGTTTATGTCTATGTCTATGTTTGACGAAGAAGCACATAAACTGCTTTTGGAAAGCCAAAGAATTTCAGTTTTACCTTCTGAACATGTCAGGTAATGCTGAAATAAATAAATAAAATATTAATATATAATGTAACGGCAAGTCCTGGGCAATCATTTTTAATGAATTCTATGCAATTTTACTTACTAAGCAGAACTAAATTATATTAATTTAACCAAAATATATATTTTGAATTCCCAAGTCATGTTCCAACTTTTCAGCACTCCTCATTTTTGGAGTTTGAAAGTTGAGCTCCCTGCTGCCTTGGCCATTGGGTGGTGTTGCCTTGGGTGGTGCTGGCGAGTTAGGAGATCAAAGCAACGCCCCCTGTGCTACTGGATATATGGGCGCATCTGGTGCCATTTGACAAAATGTGTGTGTGTGTGTGTGTGTGTGTGTGTGTGATGAGGCGGCAAGTTCACATTGTGGAAAGGGTGTTTTAACCTCAGACGTTTGTGTGGGAGAGAGACACCTGCCAGATGCAATGAACTGCAAATCAGGCCAGTCTGTTTATGCTTCCTCTTGCATGGCTCTTTTCCCAAGAGTTAGGTCTTTGTTTTTTGTTTTTTTTTAAATGGAATTATTTGGCAAGGACTGGATGGGAGAGGAATGGATGGAGGGGGCAGAGTTGAAGGCCATAGAATAGTGAAAGCTATGTACAGCTGCAAAAAGAATGTTGTAGAATCTCGAAAATGGTCAGGCTAGAAAACTGGAGACGGTTTAACTGCAGTTTTTGTGCAACTCCAATTTCATGTGCCCTGACATTTTTGTTGCTGTCTATATACTTAGACTTTTCTGCACAATCTTTTATTTTTCTTTTGGCACCATTAAAAGTGCATTTGTTTTTTCCCACTTGCTGCACACAGCTTGCATTTCTTCCTTCAAGGCCGCATTTCTGTAATGGCATAATTGCTGCCCACTTCTGTCTCCATGAATGCCTTGCGCTGACCTCAGAATCCGGGTTTTCTGGCTGCAGAATCTAGCACCTTCATTATATATCTATCTAGTCATGCATGCGACTGACAAGATTCTGATTTCTTCTGAATGCCATGTGAGAGGCTTATTTTCTGTCTCTTCTGCTATGGGGCCGGGTAAGCTCACGGAGCAATGGATCCAAACTACAAGAAAGAAGATTCCACCTAAACATTAGGAAGAACTTCCTGACAGTAAGAGCTGTTCGACAGTGGAATTTGCTGCCAAGGAGTGTGGTGGAGTCTCCTTCTTTGGAGGTCTTGACAACCATATGTCAGGAGTGCTCTGATGGTGTTTCCTGCTTGGTAGGGGGTTGGACTCGATGGCCCTTGTGGTCTCTTCCAACTCTATGATTCTAAGCTAGGATTGTGACCTCCATAGGCCACATGGGCATCATAAATGAATAAACCAGCTCCTGCCTGCAATTGTCCTCTTAGCTTGGCTGTGGCCTTACGATGAGACGATCCGTAAATGTGCTCGCAGCTGGGTGACTGTCATACGCCTGATGGAGAAGAACCCGGAGTTCACCTTTGTTTGCTCACAGGTATTATTAATATGTCTATGCATGGGAAGGGATCTAGTTTAGGTCAAGGGCTGTGTTCCCTCGTGGGTCAGCTTCTGGGGACCACGTGCCAGTGGTGAGCAGGGCCAAAGCCACATACAGGCCCCCCACTCACACATATCCAGCCACAGCTTCCCAGCAGCAATGCGGATTACGACTGTGTCCTGTTTGCGTGAATGGGATTCTTCCCCTGCTCACTTTAGCCCGATTGCCTTGTGTTTGGTGGGGCTGAGGCACAGAGGCTGCAGGCTGGATCCAAGGAGCTAGTGATCAAACGCCCATGTTTTAGTTGATTAAATACAGTGGTACCTTGGTTTAAGGGACGCGGGTGGCGCTGTGGGTTAAACCACAGAGCCTAGGACTTGCTGATCAGAAGGTCGGCGTTTCGAATCCCCGCGACGGGGTGAGCTCCCGTTGCTCGGTCCCAGCTCCTGCCCACCTAGCAGTTTGAAAGTATGTCAAAGTGCAAGTAGATAAATAGGCGGGAAGGTAAACAGCGTTTCTGTGCGCTGCTCTGGTTTGCCAGAAGCGGCTTAGTCATGCTGGCCACAAGACCCGGACGCTGTACGCCGGCCCCCCTCGGTCAGTAAAGCAAGATGAGCGCTGCAACCCCAGAGTCAGCCACGACTGGACCTAATGGTCAGGGGTACCTTTACCTTTGTTTAAGAACAGCTTAGTTTATGAACAACTTGGATTAAGAACGCTGCAAACCCAGAAGTAGGTGTTTTGGTTTGTGAACATTGCCTTGGAAGAAGAACATGTTCCACTTCCTGTTGAGTGTAAATTGAGTTCTCCGCTGCTCTGGGAAAGCACACCTTGGTTTAAGAACGCTTTGGTTTAAGAACAGACTTCCGGAACGGATTAAGTTCGTAAACCAAGGTACCACTGTATTTAATCAACTAAAACTTGGGCGTTTGTATTGCAAATGGTGGTGAATGTTCCACACAGATATTTCCTACCTGGTATGACTAGAGACATTATTGCTAATGAAAAATAATTTCTGATGAAGGAACTAAATACAAAATGAAACGCTGCTCTCCTGGCATACTATTCTATTGTCCTGGAGAACTTAAAGGGTTGCAAGCACTCTGACTGATCTATGTTTTGTAAATGAGGGGCACATTGATTGTTAGCTCAAATTTTTAGAGTCATGCTTCTCCAAATCTAGATGGTAGCACTTATTTTTCGCACACAAGTTGCAGGTGTGGGTACAGGATGACAACTTTTCATTATATTACATTTACATTACAGGTGCCACATAATACCTGTTTCACATTTTAAGAACATTTAATGTGGCAGCATTTACACTTCGGAACTTCCTGCCTATTGACATCAGGCAAACACTTTCACTTCCCTCTTTCAATGCCTCCTAAAAACATTTTTGTTTAGTAGAGCCTGCCCAGATGTGTAGAATGTAGATGCGTGTTCTAATCTGATTTTAGTTTCTTGCTGATTTTGTTTTGGGAATGTTTTAAAGAGTTGCTTTTACTTGATTTTATTGCTTTATTCTCTTCCTAAATCACTTTGAGGATTTTTTTTTTTTTTTTAACAACAAAGCGGTGTGTAAATTAATGAAATAAATAAATGAATGTGTTTGCCATTTTCAATGCAGGCTCAGCAGTTTGAATGGGTGAAGAACTGGTACCCTGGGTTGTACTCTACAATTCAGAAGTTTGTGAAAGAAGGGCGTTTCATTCCTGTTGGGGGCACCTGGGTGGAAATGGTAAGAAGGAAAGCACCCTTCTCAGTAGCTGGGCCACGCAGGCGACCTGAGGCCAGAAAATCTCACCTTCTGCCTGCGTTGCAGATGTTGAACTGAGCTTCTTTTTACCTTAGAGTTATGTACTGAAGTTCTCACCCTGGGCCAGCAGGGGGATACTGTAGATAGTTATGCAAATAAGGGATCGAAAGTGACGTTCAGTGATTGGATAGTTTTAGAAAATTGTTACAGTTACGTTGTACTGGAGCTCTATATAAGCAGGCTGACTGAACCCTTCAGTCAGTTCTGTTCTGGCCTGTGAATAAACAAGAGCTGTTTGAAGAATCGCTGTGTCGTCTGATATGTTCACCCACAACTTAACACTTAGGTTTCTAGCAGGGTAGCCAATGTGGGGACTGCAAATGTTTCCGTACGCCAATTCCCAGCAGCCTCGGCCAGCATGGCCCTTGGTCACTGATGATGGGCATTACAGTGCACCCATCTAGAGGGCACCACGTTGGCCAGCCCTGAAAAGAACCTCATTGTACTCTGTGGCCCATACTGCTTGACCTTCTCTTGGGCTGCCAGAACCCAGAATTCTTAGATGGAGCACTAATTTTTCTGGGATGGACAATTGCTCCGGCGAAGAACGCTGCCAAACTGTGCAGGTGGAGGGGTAGGAAAGAGTGATGGGCTTAAGCTTCCTGCATAGGTTTACAGGCTTGTGATCTTCCCCCAGGACGGCAATCTTCCAAGTGGAGAATCCATGGTTCGTCAGTTCCTGCAGGGACAGCGGTTCTTCCAGCAGGAGTTTGGGAAGCTATGCTTGGAGGTAGGTGCTCCCAGCCGCAGACATGTCCTTTGGTCCCAGGGCGGGGGGGACTTCAGGCATGGGGGCAAAATGCAGCCATCAAAGGCAATGGTTCAAAGGTAATTAAATTAAAGGTAAAGGACCCCTGACAGTTACCCTAAGTCCAGTTTCATCTGTTTCTCTCCTGCACAAGCAGTTCTGGTTGCCAGACACGTTTGGCTACTCTGCACAGCTGCCCCAAGTGATGAACGGCTGCGGGATCCACCGGTTTCTAACGCAAAAGCTTAGCTGGAACCTCGTGAACACTTTCCCGGTGAGTTTTGCTGTTTCTCAGTCAAGAAAAAGTGTAATAGTTTAGAAATTTCAGGGGTCAGCAAACTTTTTCAGCAGGGGGTCGGTCCACTGAATCTCAGACCTTCTGGGGGGCCGGACTATATTTTTTGGGGGGGAATGAACAAATTCCTATGCCCCACAAATAACCTAGAGATGAATTTTAAATAAAAGGACACATTCTACTGATGTAAAAACACACTGATCCTCGGACTAATTTAGAAGGCTGTTGGGCCAGATTTAGAAGGCTATTGGGCCGGATCCGGCCCCCGGGCCTTAGTTTGCCTACCCATGGTTTAGATTGAACAAGGAATAGCTTTTCTTTGCATTGCTTGAAAAGGAGTGCCTTGGTGTGTGTGTTCTTCCTCAGTTGAAATCTGCCCAGTAGCATCATAGGATTATTCAAGCCATTGTTTATGAATCTGGCTCCCCCTGCTGCCACCACCAACAGTCGTTAAGATTAACCACAGTTTAGGGTTTGGACATAGTGCTAAATCAGTGATTCCCACCCGCTTGGTTCCATAAACTCATCCTCAATGTCTCCCCTCCCCTCCAAAAAACATTATTCAGAATAGCGGTTTGCACGACCCGCTAAGGAAGGTAGTAGTAACAGTAACAATTAATTGCACGTGTATTAAAAAAATAAATTTATGCTGTGGTATAATCTTGCAGCTAAGAAATATAACAAAGACTATTGCACGAAAAATATTATGTTGGGGAGATCTCACACAGGTGAAGGGAAGCAGTGGGGAGGAGGGGAGGGTTAGGTTGAATTTGGGAAATAAAATAATATATGGGACAGCAAAGCATGTAATAGATTCTTATAGAATAGTAATATATTGTAACCAGAATAGAAGTTCAAAAGGGGAAGTAAATGTATTTTTAGTATTTTCATTATTGTAATAGTTACTATTATTTCTCATCAGTAGAAGGCAATGTTAACTTAGACTTCTTCGTTTTGCTGTCTGTATAATTTTCTTAAGTCAATTAAAAAAAAAAAGACTATTGAACGAAAAATATGTTTTACAAAATCTTGATAACGAAAACATACGGGTAAAGGAGATTTATAGCATAAAATGTTTATATATAACTACTTACCAAACACGCACAAACCTTTGCCCACCGCAGATGACCAGTAGCTAGTTTGTAAGAAAATCAATAGCTGTTACCAATAACGGGCTGTCTTGTGGCAACTCACAATTGAAAAGGGAAAAGCTCTGCGAGCTATAAGAATAGTAAATCATTAAATGCAGTGATCAGTGCCCCTTGGAGGGCCCCTACCCCCTGCAGCCCCCTTGCCTCTTAGCACCTCCTAGGTAGTCCCACCGCCTCCCAGGGAGCAGGAGCACCTACTGTGGGAACCCCTGACATTGACTATGGGCCACAATCTTCTCTTTCAGCACAACACCTTTGTCTGGGAAGGCATTGACGGGTCCCAGGTTTTAGCCCACTTCCCACCCGCGGATTCCTATGGGCTGGCTGGTTGTGTGGAGGAGGTGAGTGAGGGCCACTTGCCCCCCGGAAGAAGGAAGTGAGGGCCAAGTTGGGGTGGGGTTTCTAGCACTTCTGAAGACCAGCAACTGCAAGGAATGTATTGCAAGGGAATGGACTGAATGACCTGGAAACCATAGCTTGTCCAAAGTGCTGGGAATTGTACCCCTGTGTGGGGAGAGGGAAGCCATGTGCTTTAAATGTGCTTTGTAGGAATGATCGCTGGGTGAGGAGCACACTCCCCTTCACAGATAAAGCCACAGCTGTCTGAACATCTTGCCCTCTGTCTAACCTTTTGCGGTCTCAGTAGTCTGCGGTGTCCTGTCTGTAACCTTTGTCTCTGAGACCTTTTGTCTCCTTGTGCAATACCCTGTGCAAGGGGAAAATCACGCGGTGGAAACAGGTGCAAAAATAACTTTGTACCACCCCACGAACTCGGGACGGGAAGATGCGTAAAGGTCACAGCCCAAAATGTATCTGCCTGGGTTTGCATATTGTGTCAATAAAAGGAGCCTCCACAGAGCTGGTCGGCAGCTTGCTTGCAGCTCACCTGCGTTACCAACTCCTGCCTCATGTCCTTCACTTCAGTGCTTTGTGTGTGTGGTGTGTGTCAGGTGCTGCTGCTGGTAGCTCGCAATTAACCAGGCAGGACTCCAAACCTGTCTTTTACAGGTTTTATTGCGCAAACTATTTACATTGCAGATCTACAAAGTTCATGTCCGTCTTAGTCACTTGCAGAATCCGGAAGTGGCCCCTTCCGGCTTCTCCCCCACCGTAAGAACTTAGACACCCCAAGCCTCCACCTCCCCTCCTTGCGTTTCACCCCTCTGCGCAAGCTGGGCGACAGACGTGGCGTGGGTCCCTCCTAGCCAGCCCGGCTAGGTGAGGCGCTGGGGCTCTCAGCAGCATCCTCGAGCCCTTTCCTCGCTTGGCTGGCGTTTCCGCTCACTGGAAGAGGAACTGCTCCTCAGGAGCTTCGGAGGCTCTCTGTATCCCAACCCTGCCTCCCTCCCCTGTTCTGATGGCAGTCCCCTGACATGCCTCCTGACACCAGGCAAGCAACCTTAATTGTACTATTTTCGTTGTTGTTGTTTAGTCGTTTAGTCGTGTCCGACTCTTTGTGCCCCCATGGACCAGAGCACGCCAGGCACTCCTGTCTTCCACTGCCTCCCGCAGTTTGGTCAGACTCATGCTGGTAGCTTCGAGAACACTGTCCAACCATTTCGTCCTCTGTTGTCCCCTTCTCCTTGTGCCCTCAATCTTTACCACATCAGGGTCTTTTCCAGAGAGTCTTCTCTTCTCATGAGGTGGCCAAAGTATTGGAGCCTCAGCTTCACGATCTGTCCTTCCAGTGAGCACTCAGGGCTAATTTCCTTAAGAATGGAGAGGTTTGATCTTCTTGCAGTCCATCTCCTCCAGCACCATAATTCAAAAGCATTAATTCTTCGGCGATCAGCCTTCTTTATGGTCCAGCTCTCACTTCCACACATCACTACCGGGAAAACCATGGCTTTAACTATACGGACCTTTGTTGGTAAGGTGATGTTTCTGCTTTTTAAGATGCTGTCTAGGTTTGCCATCGCCTTTCTCCCCAGGAGCAGGCGTCTTTTAATTTCGTGACTGCTGTCACCATCTGCAGTGATCATGGAGGCCAAGAAAGTAAAATCTCTCACTGCCTCCATTTCTTCCGCTTCTATTTGCCAGGAGGTGATGGGCCCTGTGGCCATGATCTTCGTTTTTTTAATGTTGAGCTTCAGACCATATTTTGCGCTCTCCTCTTTCACCCTCATTAAAAGGTTCTTTAATTCCTCCTCACTTTCTGCCATCAAGGTTGTGTCATCTGCATATCTGAGGTTGCTGATATTTCTTCCGGCGATCTTAATTCCGGCTTGGGATTCATCCAGCCCAGCCTTTTGCATGATGAATTCTGCATATAAGTTAAATAAGCAAGGAGACAATATACAGCCTTGCCGTACTATTTTCAGTGCCTGCTTAAAAGATTTTTATTTGGGAAAGCCTACCCAGAAATGTAGAAGATACGTGGGTCTTTATTTCTTTTTAATAATATTTTGAATATTTAAAAAATGCCTGTTTTAACTGAGTTTTTCTAATGCAGTAATGTTGATGTTTTCTCTTATATTCTTGCAAACTTTTCTTTCACAATGGAGCTGCATGTGAATCTTGTGAATAAAATAAATAAATAAATATTCCCTTCGAAAAGAGGTCACGTCATCACGTTGTTGCCTCTGCCCTAGATGTTAAAAACGGCCAAGAACAACAGGGACAGGGGCCGTGTCAACCACAGTGCCGCTCTCTTTGGCTTCGGAGACGGGGGAGGCGGACCAACTCAGAAGATCCTGGACAGGCTGAGGAGAATGAAGGACACAGACGGCTTGCCAAGGTCAGTCTCCCTTTGCTACGCTGACAAGCCCACTTTAAAAAGGAGAAACAAAAGCCTGGCTTCCTGTGGTTAGGAAGATGGACCCACAAAGGTATGGGCTGAATAAAAGATTTGTGGGAAGCCATATACAGTCATACCTTGGGATAAATATGCTTCAGGATAAGTATTTTCGGGTTGCGCTCCGCGGCGACCTGGAAGTAACAGAGCGCGTTACTTCCGGGTTTTGCCGCTCGCGTATGTGCAGACGGTCAAAATGACGTCACGCGCATGCGCGGAAGCGGCGAAACGTGACCCGCGCATGCGCAGATGCGCAGTCGCGTCTTACGTTCTATTCAGGATGCAAACGGGGCTCCGGAACGGATCCCGTTCGCATCCCAAGGTACCACTGTAAATGCCCTGTAAACAAATTGGGATGAACACTCATTAACTCTCGGCATCTCCCCCCTGCATCCGGATGAGCATTTACCTAGTTGGAGTACACTTTCCTGCACCTCAGGAGGTGGCGCAGCAGGGCCAGTGAGGGGGCGTGGCCTGGAGGAGGGAGGGTGTGGCCTTTTGAGCATCCCCAGGACTGGACGGAGAGGCATTTAGTCTCTGGGCCTGAAGCTCTCCCCACCCCTGCTACAACTGGTGGTTTCTCTTTCTCTCCTTCTCATAGGGTTCAGATGTCCACCCCTGACCGGCTTTTCACTGCCCTGGAAAAGGAAAAGGCTCAGTTGTGTACCTGGGTTGGCGAACTGTTTCTGGAGCTCCATAATGGCACATACACCACACACGGACAGGTTAGTATGCACAGGAAAACAGTCAGACAGTCCTCTGGCTGAGAGTCAAAAGGTCTGTCCTCGGAAGCTTCTGTTCCCAAAGTTCTAAAACCAGCATCACCTTAGAAGTTCAACTTGGGGGAAGTTTGTCCTCATAAGCCTCCTGTCGGTTGCTGCAGCGTCTGCTTATCTTGCTCTGTGAGACAGGAAAGGACAACCTTCCAGGTGCTGTTGGACTCCACATCCCATCAGCTCCAGCAAGCAGAACCAATAGTCAGGAATGATGGGAGTTGTAGTCCAACAAGGTCTGGAAGACCGCAGGATCTGGGTACAAATACGTAGAGTTGCAGTGTTACAACTTGCAATCTCTGCTTATCGGTACCTGATTATCATCATCATCATCTATTAATTAATTAATTAATTACAGCATTGAAGTCCACTACGAAAAACAATTTAAAGCAACTGGCAATCATAAAAAGCAATGTGTCTGATCATTTCCTTCCATTGCTGTTTTCTGTAAATGTTTTCTCCTTTTGAAACCAGATTAAGAAGGGGAATCGGGAGTGTGAGCGCCTGCTCCACGATGTTGAGATTCTGAGTAGCTTTGCTTTGGCACAGAAAAGCTCTTTCCAGTACCCTTCTGCTAAGCTTCAGCACCTGTGGAGGTACAACTTTGAATGTGAATATTTGGTGCTGTTCAGAATATGGGATCTTGCTGGGCTTTGTTGGGGTAGTAGAAAGGGTGGCCAAATCCTAAGAAAGATCACCCACCACCTTTTCCCTCCCCACTCCTATCACGGATCCTGCCTGCTCCCCATCTGAGAACTGTGACAAGGTGGTGGAGCCCCTGACCCGCAAATGCTTTGTATAGATGCCAGCTAGTTCCTCTCTTCCTTTGGGTCTCCTGATTTTTTGTCCCCTTTTGGTGGCAGGCTCCTCCTCCTGAATCAGTTCCATGATGTCTTGCCAGGCAGCTGTATCCAACTGGTAGCTGAGGATGCCATGAGATACTATTCAGGTATGAATTTACCCTGGCCCTTGAGAGAGGCCTCAAGAGGCCCTTCTCCTCAGCCTGCTATCGGGATACATTAGATTGGTCAGCCCGAGAGGCAGGGCCTTCGTGGTGGCAGCCCCAGTCACATGAATTCACTTCCTAGGGAGACACATGTTGCCCATATTTTACTGGGTTTAAGAATCTAGCACTACTTCTCTTCAGGTATTGAGCTGTCAGAATGACTATAGCATGGAACAGGGGTTTCTGAACCCTGGTCCTCAGACCAGCAGTTGTCCAAAAGCTTTATTTAGGTGGTCTGTGGCATGTCTGTGAAGAACACTTAGAATCTGCATTCTGCAATAAAATACAGTATAAGAAATAAAAGCAGCAGTACACATACAATTTAAAACCATGCCGTATCTGACACAAGGGACGCGGGTGGAGCTGTGGTGTAAACTACTGAGCTTTGGGCTTGCCGATCGGAAGGTCAGCGGTTCGAATCCCCGCGACGGAGTGAGCTCCCATTTCTCGGTCCCTGCTCCTGCCAACCTAGCAGTTTGAAAGCACGCCAAAGTGCAAGTAGGTAAATAGGTACCACTGTGGTGAGAAGGTAAATGGTGTTTCTGTGCGCTGCTCTAGTTTCGCCAGAAGCGGCTTAGTCATGTTGGCCACATGACCCAGAAAAACTGTCTGTGGACAAACGTCAGCTCCCTCCGCCAGTACAGTGGTACCTCGGGTTACAGACGCTTCAGGTTACAGACTCTGCTAACCCAGAAATAGTACCTCGGGTTAAGAATTTTGCTTCAGGATGAGAACAGAAATCGTGCAGCGGCAGCAGCAGGAGGCCCCATTAGCTAAAGTGGTACCTCAGGTTAAGAACAGTTTCAGGCTAAGAACGGGCCTCTGGAATGAATTAAGTTCTTAACCCGAGGTACCACTGTACTTTATTTTATCTTGGAGGGCAGGCACCCAAAGCAACCCAAGAAACGCTAACTGGCAGTTGGGGTGTGTGACACCAGGACCGAAGGTGACTCGGAACAGAGTAACCGGGAAGAGGGCAGGTTCTAGCTGTGGAAAGGAACCATCCGCACGGCAACATTTTGTTGCAGGTCCCACTTGCCCCTTTTAAAATATGTGCTACCGCTTTAGCTCACTCTGGATGGGCAAGTTCCCTTAATGGAAATCCTTTCCCCCCAGAAATTTGCAGTGCTGGATCTCAACTTCTGAAAGATGCTGTGCAGTCCCTGTTTGGAGGCCTTTTGTCAAGCAGTCAAGAGACTAACGGTGGCATCCTTGTGGTCAACACGTTGCCGTGGAAACGAACTGAAGTCATCCCCAAAGCTGGACCAGGAGGATCCAAGACCTTAGGTGCCAACAGTGCTTCAGGCCTAAAAGCCTTTTGATTCACAGATAGATTACTTTATAGCAAGTTCTTCTTTATTGTAGTGTGTAAAGTACTTCTAATCGTTACAGAGTCCTTGCAATATTCTTAAGTGAAGGGATTGTTGCATTCACAAGAAGAAATGCTAAAACCTATTTTAGTCATGCCCATTAATTTCAGTATGCATTGTGACCCCAGGTGGGAGTGAGATACAGTGCAGAGGATTGTAGAAGGACTCGACCGTAGCAAATGCACCTGTCTTTTGGCTGATTCAAAGTTAACCTGTCTCCTTTGTACCTCTTTAGCCTTGGTGACAGTTCCTAGCATGGGCTACTGTGTTGTTCAAGATTCCTTACCTCCTCCATATCCCGTGACAGTGACCAAAGAGGTGAGCTCCTCTCTGGCTTTTGCCAGGAAACCGGAGTTAATAATATATGCCGCAGGGCTACCAAATGGTGGGCACCTGAGGGCACATGTGGTGGGACTGCCTCAAGGTTGCGGAATTCTGGGCCACGACGTTCAAAGATATTTCTTTAATAACAAATCACACTCGTCCCTCCTTCATATCTGGTGCTTCAGAATTATTTTCTGAAGCTGATAAAGAAAAAATAAGGAATTCATTTGCCACCTTTTGATGGCAGCAAGGATGTCTGGAGCAATGTTTTGGGAGACGTTTGAGCTAGTCTATTTGGCCTACTGGTACACAAGGGTTTGGCAGGTAGCCTTGCTGGAAGAAAAATCCCGTAAACTGTCTCTAGGTGGATTCGTTCAAAAAGACAAGTTTGATGAAGTATGGTTTGATTTCATATAGTTTCAGAACAAGGAGGTATGTGGATGGATGCCCCTCCATGGAATAAGTTACATGAAAGTGCAGCAAATTCCATGACTTGGGAATGGAGATCCCGTTGCCTCTCTAGATGTTCTGTACTACAACTTGCATCACCCCTGGGGGATGATGGGAGCTAGAGCCCCTCTTTCTCTAGCTGATGGGTGAATCCAGGCAGCCTGTGTTTCCCCTTATTCTTAGGCATCAGGGTGTGACTGTTGGGATGCTGCCAGGGAGACGGGGGCATCAGGCAGGCCCAGAGCTGGCTCCAGCCACCGGCCGGCAGCCGGGCGATCTCCAGGTCACGGAACAGCATCAATCAATCAGCGACTCGAGCCTCAGTAGCCTTCTGAAGCTACCGAGCACGCTAATTAGCAGAGTGAATAAATCTCCACAATGGAAGTGGCGGACAGAGACATGTGTAAGCATTATTTACAACATTTATTCAGCATAGTTCAGGAACAAAGGAAAAAACATGTCTGCTTCCCTTCGTCTCCAGCAAAACAACAATAGCAAAAGCAATATACAAAACAGAAGTTCCCAGTAGACTGTGCTGGAAGTAAACAGGCATGTGACACACAACAGTCATGCCTGATCCCTTTTAAGGTGGAACGGAACTATATCCTAACAGTGACCTCCTAGCGGCTCTTGTTCCTTTTCATTTATTTAGTTCTTAAATCTTCCTCTGCAGGTGGATGGCTCTGTCATCATGAAGAATGGTCTTGTCCGGGTCTGTCTGGATACTCTGGGGCGTGTGACATCGCTTTGCTTAATGCATCCAGAGAGGTACTTTGAGAACTGAACTTTATTTGTTCTCAAATCAAGCCATGCAATTCCTTGACTCCTTGAGGGTGTGCTTTTCTCCTTAGAGAGTCAGTTCCTGAAGGTTGCTGCGCTAACCAGTTTGTGATATTTGACGACGTTCCATTGTATTGGGATGCCTGGGACGTTATGGACTATCACCTGGAGACCAGGTAGGTTGCCTGTCATCGTTTTGGCACAACACTGCAGCTTGAGATTTCTTGTATGTAACGAAAGGATGCTGAAGAGCTTCTCTTCGCAGCAAAGGTAACGGCATCCATTCGGTCTCTCTTGAGACAGAGCTGGAATTGCAAATCAGTCAGAGAGAATCACACACGCTTCGCATCAATGGCACAATTTACCGTATTTTTTGCTCTATAAGACTCACTTTTTCCCTCCTAAAAAGTAAGGGGAAATGTGTGTGCGTCTTATGGAGCGAATGCAGGCTGCACAGCTATCCCAGACGCCAGAACAGCAAGAGGGATTGCTGCTTTCGCTGCGCAGCAATCCCTCTTGCTGTTCTGGCTTCTGAGATTCAGAATATTTTTTTTCTTGTTTTCCTTCTCCAAAAACAAGGTGCGTCTTGTGGTCTGGTGCGTCTTATAGAGCGAAAAATACGGTAGTTTAAACCACTAGAGCGCTTCCAGGTGTTGTTAAAAAATATCCAGGTGTATCACAAGCATGTAGGGAGAAATGGCCATACAACAAGTAAGCAAAAGCAAGGGCTTATATAAAAAGAAATAGCACATTTCCTTGTTTGAGAACACTGCATGTTTTCAGCATAGCTCAAAACTCAAATCTATGTATCTCAGGGTAAGCAATGTTTACCACTGTAAGGAATGTTCTTGCATTTTGGAACCCTTCTCACTCCTGTTCTCCTCTCTCTGTTACATACTCATGTCTCTTGAAAAATCTTCAGGCACAGCCATTCTTCCTTTGCAGAGGAAAGGAAAAAAGGACTAAGGAGGAGGGCGCAGTACAGACTTACCTCTTAGTGTGAGTGGCATGGAGGGAACCAATGAAAGTGATGGCCAACAGACTGAAAACAAAGGGAAATGGAATGTCTAATTCACTAAAGGAGCAGCCAGTAGGGAGCCTGCTTTGCAGGGTTAGTTGCCAGAACCTCCGGTTAGAAGGTAGTATGTGATGGTGGAGGGAACTGCCTGAGACCTTGGAGAACTGCTGCCAGCCAGTGTAGTACTGATCTAGGTGGAGAAATGTCTGCCTCTGTGTAAGGGAACTTTATTTGATGGGACCAGGCGGGCAGGCACAGAACGAAATGAAATCTAATCTGCTATCTGAAACCTTTTGGCTTTTCTAGGTAGTGTGGTGGATTTCTTCAGTAAACACACCATTGTGATGCTTAAGATGGCTTTATCTGGTCACAATAGCGGCCTCTGGGGAGCCCACAAAAGTGGAGCCCCAAACCTATAAATCACACAGGCTTACATAGAGACATTCCTTCACCTTAGCTTTGCACATGTGTGGAAGTGAAGCCACGTTCTCAGTGGGAAAGTGCGCCTGCGTGGTCAGAGCTGGATGCCTGATTCACCAACAGGAACACGGCGCCTGCTTTCTGTCAAACTAGCCCAAGGCTGAGTTTTTCCTGCACAAACATTCTTGACACCTCCTTAATACAGTCTGAGCAAGCAGATTCTCCTGACCGTATCCTTTCACACACACTTGTTTACATCTCTTCACATATGGGTATTGGGCATTTGAAACATGCCACAGAGTGTGTGCAGAGTAGACCACACAGATGGAAACACTGAAGAGACGCAAAAATATCTTTGCATGGTTTAATAACAAAACTCCTCTAACATACATCTTACATAGTGTCTATAATCATCACCCATCCATCCACCAAGGGAGAGTAAGGTGCATACTGCGCATTATATACCATTCACAATTGCTGACACAGCTAATTACAGTGACTTATCAGCACCTGCTACACTGGTAAAGGTAAAGGGACCCCTGACCATTAGGTCCAGTCGTGGCCGACTGGGGTTGTGGTGCTCATCTCGCTTTATTGGCCGAGGGAGCCGGCGTACAGCTTCCGGGTCATGTGGCCAGCATGACTAAGCCGCTTCTGGAGAACCAGAGCAGCGCACGGAAATGCCATTTACCTTCCCGCTGGAGTGGTACCTATTTATCTACTTGCACTTTGATGTGCTTTCGAACTGCTAGGTTGGCAGGAGCAGGGACCAAGCAATGGGAGCTCACCCCGTCGTGGGGATTCAAACCGCCGACCTTCTGATTGGCAAGTCCTAGGCTCTGTGGTTTAACCCACAGCGCCACCCGCGTCCCTATGCTACACTGCTACGCAGCTGTAAAAACTAGGTCAGGATATGCACCCTGGCTTTTAAATTGGTACACACCCTGTGGAACAATAATGAACCCTAACATTTAAACAAACTATTCAACAATGGGCTGTCTACGCTACAGTAGTCAGCAGAGGCAGCTCCCCATGGGTATCGGGCTTTTTGTGCTCCCTCTTGTGAGGAGAAGCACCATCTTCTACTACTCAAAATAAAGCTTCCCACAGCCACCGTTGGAGGCAGTGATGCTCCTGAATACCATTTCCTGGAAACCACAAGAGGGGAGAGGGCTGCTCTTGTGATCGGTTCCTGCTTGTGGGATTCCCATTTTGGGCATTTGGTTGGCACTAGACGGGCTGGACTAGACGGGCCATTGGCTTGATCCAGCAGGGCTCTTTGGATATTCTTCCCTTACGGCCTAGAACAGCGGTCCCCAAACTAAGGCCCGTGGGCTGGATAAGGCCCGAGGGACTCGTTTATCCAGCCTGCGGCAACTGCCGCTGCCCGCTCTTACCAGTGCTGCGCTGCGCGGCTGCCCACTTCCGGGTCGGAGGAGCACCGGAAGTTGGTTGTGCGCATGCGCAAGTGTTATTTCCGGTGCACATTCAGGTCGGAGGAGGCCCGCGCACAAGCTATTTCCAGTGCTCCTCCGACCCGGAAGTGCGCCGGAAATAGCGTGTGCACACGCGTATGGGCACGCGCTCCCCCACCCTCCGGTCCGCCGCGCAATCGGCGCTGGAGACACCGGCCCGAGGTGCAGTAAGTTTGCTGACCCCTGGCCTGGAACTCTGAGCCAATGATTTCCTTGTAAATATCCCTTTCAGGAAGACCATTGCACATCTCCTTAAACCCTTGGAAATCATCCAGCCAGGGGGACTGCGGGGCAGTGTGACCTCCTCCCTTCAGATCAGCGAGAAGAGCGTCCTTACGCAAGAGGTCATTCTGGACGCAGCATGCCCTCACGTCCGCTTCCAGACTCAGGTTCGATATGCTTGTAATCTTCTCTGGAAGCTCTTTCCCCTCCTAAATACACCCACACCTGTGTATGTTTTGTAAATCTGTTTTTTCCCCTTTAAATTAAATATTTTTTAAATTACATTTCAAGAAAAGATCGTACAAGGTTATGCAAAATACAGTGTTAGCAAACAGGGTCTGGTGACAATATACATAGTCCATATACCATTACTGACCACTGTCAAACAAATACAGACATAAAATAAAACCAAAATAAATAAACCACAGGTATGGGAATGTGTGGAAGGTAGCAAGTGGAGCTATCTATAGCATAGGCATCATAGTTAAAGAAGACAAGGTTACAAAACATGGACCCTGTTATACCAAGGAAAATGATGAAATGTGCTGAGTCAGTGTATAAGCCATATTTGTTTGTAGGCCACGGGAGGTCTTTGCTTACCATAGCTGTCAACTTTTCCCTTTTCTTGCGAGGAATCGTATTCGGAATAAGGGAATTTCCCTTAAAAAAAGGGAAACGCTGACAGCTGTGCTGCTTACAAGTGAAATAAAGTCAGACCAAACAAGTATGAAATCGTCCTTTTTCTTTGGCCCCTCAAGACTCTCAGCTTACTACGTTTTCCAGCAAGGCAATATCCCACACTTTAGATGGGTCCAGTCTAATTTTTTCCACAACTGTGTGATCCTCATTCCAGCTGCTATAAGTAGGTGCACTATCAAGCCTTTCTTATGCAATGTTTAAAATCTATTGATTCAGAATGCTTGATATTTCTGATTAAAAAAATATTATAAACGAGGCCTGCTGTGCAAAATCCAAAGGTTGCTTTTATAACCTTAGTCTATGAAAGATTGCAGCGTTTTGGGACTTTTAGCTTAGAGAAAAGGTGAACAAGAGGCACCATGATAGAAGTTTAAAAAAATTGTGCCTGGGAGGGAGAAAGTGCATATAGAAAAGTTTTTCTTTCTCTCTCATAACAATAGAACTCAGAGGCATTCAATGAAGTTGAATGCTGGAGGATTCAGGACAGGTCAAAGAAAGGACTTCTTCTCACAGCGCATAGTTAAACTGCGGAACTCCCTGCCCCTGGAGGCAGTGATGGCCACCAGCTTGTTGTTGTTTAGTCATTTAGTTGTGTCTGACTCTTCGTGACCCCATGGACCAGAGCACGCCAGGCACTCTTGTCTTCCACTGCCTCCCACAGTTTGGTCAGACTCATGCTGGTAGCTTCGAGAACACTGTCCAACCATCTCGTCCTCTGTCGTCCCCTTCTCCTTGTGTCCTCCATCTTTCCCAACATCAGGGTCTTTTCCAGGGAATCTTCTCATGAGGTGGCCAAAGTACTGGAGCCTCAGCTTCAGGATCTGTCCTTCCAGTGAGCACTCAGGGCTGATTTCCTTCAGAATGGATAGGTTTGATCTTCTTGCAGTCCATGGGACTCTCAAGAGTCTCCTCCAGCACCATAATTCAAAAGCATCAATTCTTCGGTGATCAGCCCTCTTTATGGTCCAGCTCTCACTTCCATACATCACTACTGGGAAAACCATAGTTTTTACTATACGGACCTTTGTTGGCAAGGTGATGTCTCTACTTAAAAAGTAGAGACATCACCTTGCTGCCAGCCTAGACAGATTTAAAAGATTAGACAGCTTGGAGGAGAGGGCTATCAAAGGCTACCAGCCACTGTAGGAAGCAGCAATGCTGCTGGAAATGGTTGCTGGAATTTGTAGGAGCGGAGAAATTGCTCTTGGGCACGAATCCTACTTGCCGGTTTCCCACTGGGGCTTCTGCTGTGAGAACAGGATGCTGGACTGATTCAGCAGCCAGGCTCCTCTTAGGTTCTTGAGACAAAACATTTACTGCATTTTAGTGTTAGTGTGCTTGGCTCTGTGATAGGCCTTTTGAACATTGCATCATTAGGAACTTTGCTTGCCCCACCCCAATCTGTCATTTCAGTGAACTCTCTTGCGTTCCAAAAGCAAGGAAGGATTGGACTCTGATTAATAAAATACACACGAGGCTTGACCAGCAAGACTCTGGGAGGAAGGGCCAATAATAATCTGTCCACCCCTTAGCCCAGGTCGTTTTATTCACAAAAGAACTTTTTTACACAGTGTTCATAAGAACCAATCAGATTTCCTCTGAGCATTTCAAAAAACCCCACGTGGGACAAAGTCAGATCAGAAGAAATCCTTTTAACTACAAAGAAACTATTTCCTACTTAAACATGCATACGTGGTTAAGCTAAATAAACAGGAACCAAGAAGAAATGCATTTAGTGCCCCCAGAGGTCATAAATTCATAGGAAAGAAAGACACATTTACCATCTCCGTATAAACTCTGTTCCTGGCCCTTAAGATCTATCTAAAGATTAACAAAAGCTACACCAAAGCTACCTTTTATCTTTATGGCTTAGGATGCCTGATGAAGCAACGAGTCTGTGTTTTAGACTGCTTTAGGCGTAGAAAATGGACAGTAGAGAAGATGGGCAGAGATGGAGAGGCTTGTGGGATTTAATCAGAAATTATTCTCAATGACTCAGACCCAGTCCACGCAATGCTTTCACTGCGGACACAATGGCTTGCTCCATATTTTCATAATTCCTCATAGCAATCCCACCTGACCCCCACAAACTCAACCCTAGTCTGGTTTCACTTTCCTTTGCTGTTTGGGACTGGCCTGGAATAAGGAGAACTCATCAGCTTTAGTAGGTTGTGTAGATGTTATGACACTTCCGGGTGACCTGGAAGTTCCTAGAGCAGGGGAGCCTCCAAATAAACTGGGAGAATGTATGTGTTTTATATGTAAGTAAGTAAGTACCGTATTTTTCGCTCTATAGGACACACTTTTCCCCCTCCAAAAATTAAGTGGAAATGTGTCTGCGTCCTATGGAGCGAATGCAGGCTCCTTGGCTTCAGCGATAGCAACAAGAAGCCTCCGAAGCCCAGAGGGAGAACTCCCCCCGCGCTCTGGAGGCTCCGCGGTGCTTTCGCTGAAGCCCCCGGAGCGCAGCGGGAGTTCCCGCTGCGCTCCGAAGGCTTGCAGATAGCTGCCTGAAGCCTGGAGAGCGAGAGGGGTCGGTGCACACCGATCCCTCTTGCTCTCCAGGCTTCGCTTCGCTGGAGAGGCGCTGCACAGTTTTCCCTCTCTGCGCAGCGCCCCTTCAGTGAAGCGGGAGGAGAAATGGAAGGGGCTCTGTTTCTCCTGCTGCTTCGCTGAAGGGGTGCTGAGCAGAGAGGGGGAGAAATTTTTTTCCCCTGTTCTCTCCCTCCTATGGTCCGGTGCGTCCTATAGAGCGAAAAATACAGTAAGTAAGTAAATAAATAAATAACTTTGAGATTGGGGGCAGGGCGGAGAACAAGGCACCTTTTCTCCTCTGATACGCTACACTTCTTGCTGGATCCACAGGTGGACTGGAATGAGGCTCATAAGTTCCTCAAGGTGGAATTCCCTGCCAAGGTCCGGAGCCCCAACGCCACATATGAGATACAGTTTGGCCACCTTCAGAGGCCAACGCACTGGAACACCTCTTGGGACTGGGCTCGGTTTGAGGTGAGAATTTGCCCACAGACTCCTGGCCAAGATAGGTATTGCTGGGTGGCTGTCAACCTTTCTGTTTATCAACTGTCTACACCGGTGGTTCCCAAAGATTTTTGGGCCACCGCCCCCTCGGTTCCATAAATTCAGAAGAGTTTTCAGCAGGCATTTCAAAGTTGGCACAGGAGGCACCTGCTAAATCTCTCATGGCAAAGAGTTCCACAGGACCAGGCCAAGGGCACCAAAGGCTCTGTTTCCTGCTGTTGCCAAATGAGTTCTCAGAGAACGAGCAACGACGCTCTTGCAGATGAACTCAGTGATCAAACTGGGACAGAAGGGTTCAGGCAATCCCTGAGTTAGCTGGACCTAAGTTGTTCAGGGCTTTGGAAGACCCTTGAACTGGGCGAAAGGACTGTGAACTCAGGCCTGGCACTGAAAACACAATCCCTGGGCTGAGCATATACTCAGAGGCTCCTTAATTATGTGTGTGTGTGTCCACCCTCCCAAGTGCTTTAAAAAACAACAACAACATGGTTCTGGTTAATATACCTTAGGAATTCTAGTTTTAAAAACACAGGAGACCCTGCAAGCCTGAAGTTTGCTTATAAGAGTCGGTGGAGAAGAGTCGAGTCGGTGGAAGAAGATTGGAAGAAATTCAAAGACTATTTACAGAAATACTGCAGAATTAATGAATGTTAGAATGATGTTGGATTGAAGTTAAGTGGTTTCTAGCTGTACAGGCACAAAAGAATATGGAAAAATTGGTTTTTAATATGTAAAATGTAAAATTTAAAGTTATAATATATCAAGATTAAAGATTAGGATTAAAAAGGATGGAAAGGAATTGTTGGATTAACATATTTAATTAGAATACAGAAGAGGGAGGTAAGAGGAGGTCCGGGAAACAAGTAAACGTAAAAGAAGTGAGGAAAAGATGAAATTGTTTTTGATTGTTTTTTCTTTTTCTACCTTGTATTTTTTCTTTTCATTGTTAATTTTTTCTTTACTAATGTGGTCTTTTTTTTACTTTTCTGTGAAACTTTAAAAAATATTATTTAAAAAAAAAAAGAAGTTTGCTTATAACTGCCCTGGATTATGATGCTTGTCCTAATATCAGTTTGGTTATTCTTTTTCCAAGGTGTGGAGCCACAAGTGGATGGACCTGTCTGAGCATGGCTTTGGGGTGGCCCTGCTGAACGACTCCAAATATGGCTGCTCCGTCCGGAGCAACGTGATGAGCCTTTCCCTGTGAGTTTTGGCAGGCAGGCAGGAAAAGATTTCTGGCGGGATGGCTTGAGGTCTTTGGTATTCCAGAATTTTGCTGTGTTTCCCTGGCACTTTAGAAGGGAGCTTGCTGGTGCCTTGTGTATCTTGGTTCAGTGCACATCTAATGTTTGCCTGTTTGGCTACGTCAGGAATGGAGTAACAGAAGTGAGTCTGGGAATGGCCATGTTGGTGGAACTGCACAGTCAATAACACAAGCGTCCCGTGCAAAGCTCAGAACAAATAAAAAGAAAGAACTTAGTCAGGCAGCGCAGAGTTAAACCATGGAACTTAGATGGCTTTAAAAGAGGATTGGACAGTATCATTTATTATTCCTCTGATACTTGTTTAGAAAACCCAGTTAAAAGTCATTTTTCTGAAAAAAAAGAGAATTAGACAAATTCACGAAGGAGAGGGCAATCGATGGCTGCTAGCCTCAATGGCTGCACTCTCTCCATGTTCAGCAAAAGGTTCTGAATATCAGTTGCTGGAAACCACAGGAGGGCAGAGAGCTCTTATGTTCAAATCCTACTTGTGGATTTCCTTTCGGTGCATCTGGTCGACCACTGTGGGAACAGGGCATTGGACTAGATGGGCAATTGGCTTGATCCAGTAGGCCAATTCTTACCTTCTTGTATAGTAATATATCATTTTCATCTGCATGAAGGTTAAGAGCACCAAAGTCGCCTGACGCCACAGCAGATATTGGGAGCCATCAGTTTACATATGCAGTGATGCCTCATGTAGGTAAGAAGAGTTTGGATTTGGATTTGATATCCCGCTTTATCACTCCCCGAAGGAGTCTCAAAGCGGCTAACATTCTCCTTTCCCTTCCTCCCCCACAACAAACACTCTGTGAGGTGAGTGGGGCTGAGAGACTTCAGAGAAGTGTGACTGGCCCAAGGTCACCCAGCAGCTGCATGTGGAGGAGCGGAGACGCGAACCCGGTTCCCCAGATTACGAGTCTACCGCTCTTAACCACTACACCACACTGGCTAAGTGGAGCTTTTTGAAGCAACTAAACAGCCGCCTACAGGCATGGCGGTGAGGTGACTGTCCCTTTCTTGCCTCTGATGGCAAAGTGCTGTCTTCTGAACAGGTTCATTCCAGGAGGCGGAGGTGATCCGTCAGGCATACAACTTGAATTTCCCTCTTCACAAGGTGCCGTGCGTCTCAGGGCAGCACCCAGCTTGGAGCGCCTTCTCTGTGCAATCCCCAGCTGTTGTCCTGGAAGCAATAAAGCAGGTACGGGGCCCAAGTCACAAAGTGACTTCTCTCGATGGCTACTAGTCCCAAGGGAAGCTCAGCTCTAACTCCACGATCACAGGCAGCAGTGCTTCTGTATACCGGCTGCTGGGAACAAGAAGAGAAAGAATTCTTGTGCTTGGGTCCTGTTTACTGGTTTCCCACAAGGGGCATTGGGTTGAGCCCTAGATGGGCCCTTGGCCTAATCCAGCAGGACTCTTCTAATGATGAGCAGTATGCCAGGGGTGGGGAGCCACAGGCCTGAGAGCAAAATGTGGCCCTTCAAATCTCTCTGGCCCTTGGAGTTGAAAATATCAATAACAAAGAAACCAGAGTCATATCTCCTTGGATTGATAGATGAAGAGATACCACGGGGGTCGGGGGATTTTTTCATATGCAAGTACAGCTGCTAGAATAGTGATTGCTGCTAGGTGGAAGTCACAAGCTATACCCACAAAGGAGGAATGGGTTTGTAAACTAAATGAATATTTAATTTTGGCAAAATTAACTGCTATAATAAGAAATCAGTCGAATCAAAAATTAAAAAAGGAGTGGAAATGTTTGGATGAATATATGGCAAAATATTGCTGGGGAAAAAGATATGCTAATATGCATAGATTAAAATGTGAAGTACTGGATGGAAGAAAAATTAGTAAGGAAAGATAATAAGAATATATAGGTGATTTGAGAAGATTGTAGAATGCAAAGGTTGTTGTAAATTGTATAATGTGGAGGAAATCGAGTGGCGGCGGAGGGAAGTGGGAGGAAGGAGAATGGATTGAGGAAATAGAAATGTAAATGGATGGGGGGATGGGGAGGAAATTGTGTTAGCTTTAGTACATCTGTATTGTAATGTAATATGTGAAAACCAATAAAAAAAGAAAGAAGAAAAACAACAACAAAGAAAAAAAATCTCTCTGGCCCTTGGGAATTTCTCCAAGCGGTGCCCCCCTGCCCATGCTCTTCGCCACCTTTGCCCTTGGCTTTTGTGATGGAAGAAAGGTGGGATACAAATTTAGTAAGTGGTCAGCCATAACCAATGGACCACAAGGAGAGAGGAGTGGTTGCACAGAGCTGGAGAAGAGCATTGTGCTGACTATGGGCTGATTATGGGACGCTTGTCTGTTTCCTTCCCTCCTTTCAGGCTGAGGACGTGCCAGGTGTGCTGGTGATCAGGCTGTATGAGTCGCACGGCAGTACTGTGGTCACCTGGCTCCAGACGTCTCTCCCAGTCCAAGAGGCCGTCATGTAAGTGTGTAAATGTAAACACCACAAGGCGCTTCCAGGCTGCTGCTGTTTTCAGGTGGAGTTCTATCACATCCTGGTATTCCGCTAAAGTTTATTTGGCACCCCTGACAAATAAATGCACTTCCCCCCAAAATTTGGATTTTTTTGTACAGTGGTACCTCGGGTACGCGGGTGGCGCTGTGGGTTAAACCACAGAGCCTAGGACTTGCCGATTGGAAGGTCGGCGGTTCGAATCCCTGTGATGGGGTGAGCTCCCGTTGTTCAGTCCCAGCTCCTGCCAACCTAGCAGTTCGAAAGCACGTCAAAGTGTAAGTAGATAAATAGGTACCGCTCCAGCGGGAAGTAAACGGCGTTTCCGTGCGCTGCTCTGGTTCGCCAGAAGCGGCTTAGTCATGCTGGCCACATGACCCGGAAGCTATACGCCGGCTCCCTCAGCCAATAAAGCGAGATGAGCACCGCAACCCCAGAGTCGGCCACAACTGGACCTAATGGTCAGGGGTCCCTTTACCTTTACCTTGGGTTAAGTACTTAATTCATTCTGGAAGTCTGTTCTTAACCTGAAACTGTTCTTAACCTGAAGCACCACTTTAGCTAATGGGGCCTCCAGCTGCCGCTGCCATGCGATTTCTGTTCTCATCCTAAAGCAAAGTTCTTAACTCGAGGTACTATTTCTGGGTTAGCAGAGTCTGTAACCTGAAGCGTCTGTAACCCAAGGTACCACTGTAATAAAGAAAGCAGAGGGGAAGCGTACTGGAAAGTGTGAGATAATACTTGTTGGTCACAATGCTGTCTAACCTCCCAGCAAACAAATCTGAACGGATGCTTAGTGAGTAGCCGATCTCATCTCGCCTCCCGAATCAGGATGAATGCCCAGTGAATGGGTTTTCCGGACTGTGCTCAAAGAGTTCCACTCTTCTCCTTTCTTAGGTGCGACCTCCTAGAGCAGCCTGATCCAAGCAAGTGCGTGCCACTGGAGGAGCGTGGCCTGCGCCTCTCCTTTACACCTTTCCAAATACAAACTGTCCTGCTGACTTTGAAACAACCAGGCAGCAGCTGATCTTTTGGAGCACAAACTGCAAGCTTGGGCCTGAAGCTATGGCAGACACGGGTGGACTTGAAAGATCCGCACCATTCTTCTTCTTCTTCTTCTAAATAATTTTTTATTATTTTCCTTTAAACAGCTTTCAACAATACATTGATCAACATAAAAACCCTTTTTGCTCTGCCGAGCTTACGACTTCCCTTCAACCGGTATCCCGTATCAAATCCAATTGTGCAATCTAACTTTACTATATGTCTACACTGTAGGATTTACTTCAATCCTGCTAGTGTCTTCAAATTTTTGCAATTATCATAAATAAATTTACTCCAGTCTCTTTGGAATTTCTGATCATCCTGGTCTCAGATCCTGCAGGTCAGTTTGGCCGATTCAGCAAAGTCCATCATCTTCACCTGCCACTCCTTTAGGGGCCATGCTAATCTTCTCTGTATCCTTCCAATTTTAGTATATCTGCTGCCAAAGTGAGCACATCCACGCCATTCTTCTTATTTCATTTAACTAGAGCACTAAGGTCTGCCAACCTGTGGCAAGTGCAAAAAAGCTGCTGTGCGATGCCGCCAATGCAAAATGGCAGGCTGGGATGGCACTAGTGGCCTACTTTAACCAGTGAACTTCTATTTCCTGGGATGACCTACCTATTCTAAGTCTAAATCGTAGCTGTGATTCCTGCATTGCAGGGGGTTGGACTAGATGACCCTCGGGTCCCCTTCTAACGCTACTGTTCTACGATTCTATGAAATCTACACCTGGGATTCTTACATCTTCATTGACTTTGTGGCAGAGTGGGCAGCTTCTGTGTTACTATTGATAAACAACTGGGAAGTCGGAAGCTTTTGCTTATCTGCTGTGAATCATCCTGTTTCTGCTCAAATCTCCTTTTTAAAGGGGATAAAGGTAAAGGGACCCCTGACCATTAGGTCCAGTCGTGACCGACTCTGGGGTTGCGGCGCTCATCTCGCTTTATTGGCCGAGGGAGCTGGTGTACAGCTTCCAGGTCATGTGGCCAGCATGACTAAGCCACTTCTGGCGAACCAGAGCAGCGCACGGAAACGCTGTTTACCTTCCCGCCAGGGTGGTACCTATTTATCTACTTGCACTTTGATGTGCTTTCGAACTGCTAGGTGGGCAGGAGCAGGGACCGGGCAACGGGAGCTCACACCATCGTGGGGATTCGAACTGCCGACCTTCTGATCAGCAAGTCCTAGGCTCTGTGGTTTAACCCACAGCGCCACCCGTGTCCCACTTTAAAGGGGATACGGCAACGCTTTTCTTCTAGAAAAAAAAAGTTGTTGGTACTGTGTACCCTCGCGAATCCCCAGAAAGAAGGACTGGGCTATGGTTATAGGCAGAGAAATAGCTGTGGTGGGGATGGAGTTTCAGAAGAACTGCTTGAAATACTCTTCCGCATTCCAGGTTAACATCTACATGGCAGTTCAGGCCTCTCCTTGTCATTCCCTTTGGAACGTGCAGTAGGACTCTCTTTGACGTGGGGAGGTGTGACCTCAGTCCTTGCCAGCCCTTGTGCCAAAGGGGCTTGGAAAGACAGTCATTGCCCCCACCCACAGGTTGCGACTTTACTTACTATCACCCATCTGCACACAGCAGGAGACCATCTTTGACTTGCCAGCAGGAGCTCCCAATGTTCAAAGGTTGTGGGCTGGAATCAATGAGCGGCGGAGGAGGAGGAGTTTGGATTTGATATCCCGCTTTATCACTCCCCGAAGGAGTCTCAAAGCGGCTAACATTCTCCTTTCCCTTCCTCCCCCACAACAAACACTCTGTGAGGTGAGTGGGGCTGAGAGACTTCAGAGAAGTGTGACTGGCCCAAGGTCACCCAGCAGCTGCAGGAGGAGGAGCGGGGAATCGAACCCGGTTCACCAGATTACGAGTCTACCACTCTTAACCACTACACCACACTGGCTCTCAGAGTGGGGCACCAGTACTGTACTTAGGACTTTTTCTTGACAATTGTCTCATCATAGCACCACACCCTACAACACCATCATTTCTAGAAAAAAAATCTTTATTTGCACCAAAAAGCACCGTAAGAATATAATCAAAGGAGAGATAGAAATATAATCACCAAGAATATAATCACCAAGGGTAGAAAGTATTTGACTGAGTAACTGTTAAAATGCACGTTTCTTTCAAATCTAGGAGGTAATGTAGCAGTGGATTAAATCCCACTCCTTGCTGAACAGAACTACCTCTAGATATCTGACTGATCAGCTGAAGTGTTGACATGAATTATCCATGTAGCTCCTGAGCCCCAGAGAAGATTCCTGTCAGAATAAGGCTGAGAAGGAAATACTGCAACCGTTTCAGCAGCTGAGCTCTGCTCTTGTGCTCCTGATCCAAAGGCCAATCTAGACATGATGTTAAATGTGTCAGTGGTGTTGTTTTTAATGCAAGTAGTATGAAGGTGTCATTTGCTCTGGGGGAAACTGGAACGGCTTAAACTTCATTCCCGCTGCAGTCCCCTGCTAGCTGCATCGAACAACCTGCACCTTAAATGCACAGGTGTATAATGGGCCCTCACCTTGTTCAGAAGGTAGAACCTCTGACATCTCTTTTCAGGAAGCAACACGGCAAGACTCATTTCACCTTAAATTGCAGCGCCAAGAGTCCAGGTCTTGGAGGAGCTGGAGGTAATGCCATCAGCTTGTGGATTCTTCTTGCGGATTATACAACAGTGCAATTATACCCCAAACCAAGCGAAAACTATCTGCTGATGAGTTGAGCTAGATTTCCCCTACCAGAAGCCCCTGCAACAGCTCCCAGATTGGAGGAGGCTGAGCTATGTCATTCCTCTGTTGTGAATATACAGTCGAACCTCAACTTACCACCACCTCTTCTCACGGTCGTTCCAAGTCGTGACCGCGGCAAACCCGGAAGTAACCGGTGGGTTTGCCGCCGTTTGCACATGCACAGCAGCGGCAAACCAAGAAGTATCCAGCGGGTTTGCCGCTGTTCGTGCATGCGCAGGAGCGACAATCGCTGTTTGTGCATGCACAGAAGCGGGGAATTGCCGCCTGCGCACAACAGTGCCTCTCCCAGCGATGTGTTTCGAACTCCGGACGGACCTCCGGAATAGATTATGGTCGCAAATAGAGGTTCCATTGTATCAAGAGAACCCTCTCTTTAACGCAGGCCTTGACACCCAGAGCAGAAAGATCTCTTCCAGTGGTGGCATACGCGAAGCCTACTCGCTGTTTGGAATCGGGGCTGAGACTGTGGCCTGAATCTACAGTGGCATTTCCAGAAAGCAAATCAGTGTATAAAAGGCCTCATAGTAGCTCTGCTATATGTTCCTAGCAGGACTTGAAAAAGCACATAAGTGACAAAGCAGACAATTCCCACCGTGTTGCCTGTTGCCAGGCCAGGATCCAGAAACCAACATAAGGCAGCTATGTGAGCATCGTCCAGGAGTTTATACCCCCTTTTGCCTCAGCAGCACATGGCTGAGAAGGGGAGGAGGATGTTCTGCATCAGGAATGTTACTGTGCCTTCACCTGCCTGGGTCTGGTGGAAACAGCAGCAGTACCTGAAAAGGAATAGCAGTTAGTTAGATGGCTTGCAGGCCAGACATGTGGGCGTTCAGGGAGTGGGAACCTGCAGTCCCATACAAACTTAAGAACCCCCCTGTTGGATCAGGCAAATGGCCCACCTAGTCCAGCATCCTGGTCTCACAGTGGCCAACCAGAAGCCCCAATGGGAAACCCACAAACAAGCTGAGCACAAGAGCCTTATAGTGGTTTCCAGCAACTGGTATTCAGAAGCATTGCTGCCTCTGGCCATGGAGGCAGAGCAGAGCCATCAGGCACAAATTCTCCTCTATGAATTTGTCCAATCCTCTTTTAAAGCCGCCATCTAGGTCGGTGCCCATCACTGCCTCCTGCGGGAGTGAGTTCCATAGTTCCAACTCTGCGCTGCCCAGTTCCCATCACGCATTGCAAATGGTCGGGAATGATGGTCGCTGGCACCCAGCAAGGTCTAGGCCAGTGGTTACCAAGCCTTTGGGGGCTACACACTGTTAGGATATTTCCGTTCCTCCTTAAAAAGGGAGCAGGCTGTTGTGCGTCACAAGCCTGCGTACTTCCTGCTCACAGGAAGTTTCCTTTTTGTATATAGCTTTCGTTTTCCTTCTGTTGCCTCGACACGAAGGCATGCAGTCATGTTTTTCCTTTGTTCTGACCAACGCTGAATAAAGTTGTAAATATGCTCTTCTGGGTGCACCTTCTGTTGCGGAGTCTGCTGAAAAGGGCGTGCACGAGTCCTGGAATGTGTCTGAGGCTCGTGTTGCTAACTGACTGATGCTGTTCTACGGTAGACCGATGGATCGTCTGGAGATGACTGTCTCCCTGGCAGTATCCCAACACCGGCCCACCCAGTTCCATTGAACCATCCCAGTGCTCTACCCCACCCTATCAAAAGCATTATTCAAAAGAGTGGTTTGCCCAACCTACTAAGGAAGATGATAACACAGTACAATTCAACTTGATAACGATTAGTTGTGCGTTTCTTAAAAATCCAATATAAATTATTTAATTCAGCAAAATTGATGAATTGGATCCAGTGATAGCAGCTTTTCAAAATCCAATAATCATTTCCACCTTCTGTGCCCCGCTTCCAAACTCTGAAGCCAGATCACATCTCTTCTTACCCCTGGTTTTCCGGGTTGATCCTCGCCTCTTTTGGGATTCAGCCACAGAATCTGGTGATGGAGATTGCTGCAAGGCAGAAACCTTTCTCCGAGTTCTGGTGTTTGGTACCTTGGCTTCCTTAACCATAGTGTGGTCCTCTGTTTGGGGGACAATTCTCTTCCCTTTCTTCCTTCCAGACTTTCTTGTTCCCACAACATCTTTCTGAGGAATACTGGCCACAGTCTCCAGTTTTGTGACCTAGGAGAGACAAAGCAGAGCTGGATTTCACCTCCGCAATTCAAGTGTACACCTGCGAGATAGAATAATGGAATTGTAGAGGCTGAAGGTCTCAAACCCCACAATGCAGGAATCACAGAGACAGACGGAGATAAAGAACGATGGGGGAAACTCATTATTTGAATTCCTCTCTTACTTCCCTATGGAATGCGAGGGCAGGCAAAGGCACTATAAAAAGTGAGGTTGGGAGAAACTGGATTAATAACATGAAATTTAACATCAAACTGGAACTGCATGTGTGAGAGGAATGGAATGGAGAGAGAGAGAAAGAGGGGGAAGTTTCACCCTTTGAAAGGACTATGTTGGAATACAGAACGAAACCACCCCCGTGCTCTGCTATTTTCAAAGGAATGCAAAGGAAACTGCGACAATTTGGAATGTAATCTAACTGGAAAGATAATGGACTATATTTTTTTCAGCTGAAAGGAGGAAAGGAGTCTGACAGCTGCAAGGTCAGAGGTTTTCCTATTAATGATTTGCAGTTTGGAATCAGAGCGCTCTTCCTAGGCTGGAAAAAAACGGCGAGGACAGTTTATTTGTTAGAACAGAGGGGTCTCTAACAAGCTCCTGAATCACAGGACAAAGTGACACAGAGGCTTTTGGAAAACTGTGAGACAACTGCTTCCCCCGAGTCATGATGGGAAATATCAACAGTTGGAAGATTGAAGGGCACAACATTATATATGGCTAGGACAATATCATGGGAAAATTACTACATGCAGGAAAGAACAACAAAGAACAGTCTGAGTACCTCACTTGAAACTTTATGTTACTTAATATATTAATACCAATTGAAACCAAAAGACTGTAGTTGTTGTATAAGGGATTACTATCTTGAAGGGAATGTAACTGAAATTATTAAGATTTTGGAACGCAGAAAATTTTAAAGAAAGCAAAGAAGAACCCATCAAAACTAGCATGTGAGGAAGTCACTTTAACTGAATCATATAATTCAGTATATAAATAATTGGTTTTAATAATTTTTTTAATTGGATAAATTTGGCATTGTTATAATGAGGCTGTTATTGGAACGATATTGGAAAATCAATTTTAAAATTCTATTTTTTTTGAAAAAGAGCTGCCTTACCTTGGAGCTTGAGGTATCAGGATCAGGTTTTACTTTCAACTGTCTCTTGCGTGGCTTTCCTCCTGCAAAACAAAACAAAAGGTCCAGTCCCAGTTTTGCCAGCGTTATCTTAAAATGTCTCTGTTGCGTCCAAAATCATAGAAGAGAAGAGGAAGCTGCCTCATTTGCCGACTGGTAGCGGCTCTCTGGTGTCTTAAGCACAGAGATGAGTCTATGCATATCTGATCCTTCTACCTAGAGAGACCTGGGATTGAACCTGTGACCTTCTGCATCCAAATTAAGGACTCTGCAACTCAGCTATGGTTCTTCCAAAGATCCTCAGTGGGAAGATATTTAGCTCTCCCAGAAGCAGAACGCCTCTGCAAATGTAGTAAACAGGAACCTGATACTTTGGAGCATATTTTATTTTCTTGCGATTTTGGCATTTATGCCAGAAGACAATTATTAGAGGCCTTACAACTTAACAGGCTCAATTCTATGCCACCAATGGTTCAAGACCTGCTCTCGGACAAGAATGATCAAATTACTTTAATATTGGCTGAATTTTTGAGTGCTGTCCATGTAGAAAGACTGGGCCATTATAAAGAGATTTAGTGGTTCTTAATTGATCAGTGATGTGGTAGTGTTATATTGTATTATTTATGCAAATTGATTTTCTCTGGAGTTAAAGATCTCACTGGGACAAACCCTGTTATGCTGAATTCGTATTTTGCACAATTTGTATACGGTGTTTGTTTGATAATGTGTGGCTTGCTATGCCTAATAAAGGATTGACCTTTTAAAGATCCTCAGTGCAGTTTGGGGTTCGTAGTCAACTAAGTAAAGAATAGACCCATAAAAACAGCCCTATGTTAGTCATGCCTATGTTACACCAGTGGTGGTGTAGTTGGTTAGAGTGTCACACTAGGGCTTGGGAGACCAGAGTTCGAATCCACCACTTCGTCATGAAACTCACTGGATGATTGTTGGGCCAGTCATTCACTTCCAGCCTAAGCTACTTCACAGGGTTGTAGGGATTAATTTAGATTGAGGGGGGGGGAGCCATGTAAGTCACCTTGAGCTGCACGGAGAAGGTGGGATATCAATACAACAAATATTAACAGCAAAGTGCGTACTCGAGTAGCACCTCCACAACCTACCACCTTTTGCCTTTGAGCAACCAACCTACATCTCCCAATCAAGCACTGTAGAAGTTGGCCTTGTTTTGGAGGCACATCAGGGTATATTAAGATGAAAGACGTCCTCAAGGAAGAGCAAGGAGTCTCCCTGTTTAAAAGCCTAAATCTTTACTTAACAAGCCCTGTGAGAGGCTGGATCAAAAACTATTTGCTCCCTTCGCAACCCAATGTATCGATATCCAGGAGAAATCACTGACAGGCGATCCAAGGGGCCCCTGATACTCACCTTTTGGGGCCATCGGTCCAGGATTGCCCTGCAAGGGAAGAAGATGGCCCAGAATGTAATCAGTACAAAAAACAAAAACCTCATCTTGAGTTTTGGTGCTGGGAACATAAGACACAAACAACTAGGTAAAGCTAAAGGTAAAGGGACCCCTGACCATTAGGTCCAGTTGTGGCTGACTCTGGGGTTGTGGCGCTCATCTCGCTTTATTGGCCGAGGGAGCCGCCGTACAGCTTCCGGGTCATGTGGCCAGCATGACTAAGCCGCTTCTGGCGAACCAGAGCAGCGCACGGAAACGCCGTTTACCTTCCCGCCAGGGCAGTACCTATTTATCTACAGTGGTACCTCAGGTTAAGTACTTAATTTGTTCCAGAGGTCCGTTCTTAACCTGAAACTGTTCTTAACCTGAAGCACCACTTTAGCTAATGGGGCCTCCCGCGGCTGCTGCACCGCCAGAGCATGATTTCTGTTCTCATCCTGAAGCAAAGTCCTTAACCCGAGGTGCTATTTCTGGGTTAGCGGAGTCTGTAACTTGAAGCATATATAACCTGAAGTGTATATAACCCGAGGTACCACTGTACTTGCACTTTGACGTGCTTTCAAACTGCTAGGTGGGCAGGAGCAGGGACCAAGCAATGGAAGCTCACCCCGTCGCGAGGATTCAAACCGCCAACCTTCTGATCGGCAAGTCCTAGGCTCTGTGGTTTAACCCTCAGGTTATTTCACGCTGTTTTCCAGATGCCGAGATTTACAGACCATGACATTTTGAAATGCTCACAGAGGGCCACATGTTATCCAACCTTGATGGAAGAGGGGCCAACACACTGCAACACCCCACCCCCAGGAAAGGAACTGGTGTCCTTCCCTCAGGCTCCTACCTGGAACCAGACGGTCCTGCCGTTGGCATCGCGCAGGGTCTGCATGCCTGGGACGAAATAGCACTGAGTCCACTCCAGGAACATGGTGTAATCAGACGTCCTAACGGGATCATAACCTTTGCCACCTATTGGGAAAAGGCAAGGAGAAATGTGAATGCAGAACTGCATTCCCACCCTCTCAAGCTGTACACACTAACCCTGTACAGTAGTATCTTGGTTTAAGACTGTAATCCGGTCTTAAAACAAAGCGGACTTAAAACAAGGTGTGCTTTGCCATAGAAAGAAATTGAAAATGGATTGATCCGTTCTAGACAATGAAAAACACCCCCTTAAACAGCAATTTAACACGAATTTTACTGTCTAACAAGACCATTGATCCATAAAATGAAGGCAATAATCAATGTTACTGTACTATAAAATAAATAAGACAGTATTGTAGATGAAAAAAATTAACATTTATTTTTTTTCTTACGGGCACTGATGATAGTCATTGTTTGGATGGGGGGCTTTTATCCATTTCTGCAGACACACCACAATCAACCAGTAGCTGAACTGGGTTCCGCATAGTCACAAAAACAAGTCACAAAAACCAAGTCACAAGCCACAGTCACAGGTCAGTCCCATAAAACGAAGTCACAGTCAAAAAACCGAAAAAGCCACACAAACCAAAATGCAAAAAAAGCAAAAACAAATCCTCCAAATATCACCTCTGTGTTGCACCCGGAGCACTCATTTCTGGGTTGCAATTGGACTTAGTCCAAAACGGACTTATAATAGACTGGACTTTAGTCAAGGTACCACCGTACATATTTACTTGGGAGGAGAAGCAACAAGTTGAAGGGTAGCAAAGTTTGCCTCCACCCCGCCTCAAATTTCACTCCAACCCTGCAAATCCACTTAGATGCTTTAAAAAAAAACTAGCAGTGTATAAATTTTATGAAATAAAAATCCATCCATCAAACCATCCACCCCCCTCAAACCTACACACTTTTGCAGCTCTTGAATGATACACAGAATATGGAGGGGAAGCATTTTGGGTTGTCCTCAACCTGGTCCTTACCCAGATTCACAACCTCCATGGGCACCAGGTGACAGAGCTCCAGCAGGTCGGGGGTCTCCTGTTTCGGCTTCACCTTTTTCCTAGAGGTTAGCCCAGGTGCCTGCAAGGGGAAGGCCAGCAGTCAAGGGAGGCCGAGCAAAAGAGGACCCAACTAAGGTGCTTCCCATACAGCCTTCATCCTTCCTCCAGGTTCTCTCATACATACACCCAAAGACTAATGTGCTAAAAATAAAACTCAATGGGAGTGCTGGGAAGCAGGGCTCCCTCCACTGGCGCCATCAGGCTTCCTCTCCCCTCAGCTCTCCCCTGGAGCCAGGCATCCCCCCAGGTGACCTCAGCAGGGCAGATAGGAAGCAGAAGGCTCGTGTCATCAGCTTTGCTGGAGGCCCAGCTCCATCGGTGTGATGGCTTGTGAATGCTCTTTGCAAGAAATGCCTCTGCTCACACAGAGATACATAGAAACAGTCTTTATTTTACATATCTCTATGTGGGACAAGAAGCTACAGTTAGAACTGGATATGGAACTACTGATTGGTTCAAAATTGGGAAAGGAGTATGACAAGGCTGTATATGGTCTCCCTGCTTATTTAACTTATATGCAGAATTCATCATGCGAAAGGCTGGGCTGGATGAATCCCTAGCCAGAATTAAGATTGCCAGAAGAAATAACAACCTCAGATATGCAGATGACACAACCTTGATGGCAGAAAGTGAGGAGGAATTAAAGAACCTTTTAATGAGGGTGAAAGAGGAGAGCGCAAAATATGGTCTGAAACAGCAACGAAGATCATGGCCACTGGTCCCATCACCTCCTGGCAAATAGAAGGGGAAGAAATGGAGGCAGTGAGAGATTTTACTTTCTTGGCCTCCATGATCACTGCAGATGGTGACAGCAGCCACGAAATTAAAAGACGCCTGCTTCTTGGGAGAAAAGCAATGACAAACCTAGACAGCACCTTAAAAAGCAGAGACATCACCTTGCCAACAAAGGTCCGTATAGTTAAAGCTATGGTTTTCCCAGTAGTGATGTATGGAAGTGAGAGCTGGACCATAAAGAAGGCTGATCGCCGAAGAATTGATGCTTTTGAATTCTGGTGCTGGAGGAGACTCTTGAGAGTCCCATGGACTGCAAGAAGATCAAACCTATCCATTCTGAAGGAAATCAGCCCTGAGTGCTCACTGGAAGGACAGATCCTGAAGCTGAGGCTCCAATACTTTGGCCACCTCATGAGAAGAGAAGACTTCCTGGAAAAGACCCTGATGTTGGGAAAGATGGAGGGCACAAGGAGAAGGGGACGACAGAGGACGAGATGTTTAGACAGTGTTCTCGAAGCTACCAGCATGAGTTTGGCCAAACTGCGGGAGGCAGTGGAAGACAGGAGTGCCTGGCGTGCTCTGGTCCAGGGGGTCAGGAAGAGTCGGACACGACTAAACGACTAAACAACAACAACACAGGCAGCGTATTACAATAATGCATCTGAATCCTCCGGCTCAGATTCTGGGAGTGGCTTACGCCAGCTTCTTCTCCAACAGAAAAAGCGGGGAAGTTTCACGTGATGCCTCTCCCCCCTCCTCTTTAACTCTCTCCTTTCCCTGGCAGACAGAATAGGCATTGTCTCACTGTCTGTGCCAGAACTTCCTGTGCGGTGCTGAGGCTCTGGTTCAACATCTGAGAGCCGTCCCACCTCCTGGCTCTCCCCTCCTTCCTCAATCGCCACTTCCTGCCCACCTCCCTCTGCCTGTTCCTGCTCCTCCCCTGCAATCTCTGGCAATACCATGACAACCGGGCACCTCCTGCCCCTGAATTGTGCCAGTCGCTCATGAGAGGAACTACAGTGGTACCTCTGGTTGCGAACGGGATCCATTCCGGAGGCCCGTTCGCAACATGAAAAAAGCGCAACCTGAAGCGCCGTATCTGTGCAGGTTTGCAGCGCAATTTAGCCCTTCTGCGCATGTGTGAGCGGCAAAACCAGGAAATAACCTTTTCCGGTACTTCTGGGTCGCCGTGGGACGTAACCTGAAAGAACGTAACATGAGGCATGACTGTACTGTTTAGAAATTGGTGCCTGAGTTTGGGTTTTGAGTTTCCTCTTCTCTCCCTGTTCCTTTTCCTCTGTGTGTGTGTGTGTGTGTTTTAGATTGTAAGCTGCTCTGGGAGCCTTTTTGACTGAGGAGCCTGGCACAAGCGGCTCTAAATAAGTAAATTAAAAAAAGAAAAGCTATTCTCGTGAGTAAGCTGAATGCATGAGTGAAGCTACGCCAAGTAGCTTTGCCCCACATCCCCACACCGCACATGTCAGATAGTCTGGCTCCCTCATGTCCATGCAAACATCTGCAGAGATGCAGCAAAGGTTTCCATAATGTTTTGAGCCTTGCATGACCACAATTCCAGGTGGTATCAATATGCACACAAAGGTTTTCTCCCTGCAGGCATGCACACTGAAGAAGGGCGTAGGAACATACGCACAGCCTGCTAGACCAGGCCAATGGCGGATATAGTCCGGCATCCTGTTCTCACTGTGGCCAAACAGATGCCTCTGGCAAACCTGCAAGCAGAACCAAGCAGAACCTGAACACAAGAGCCCTCTCCCCGCACTCCTGTGGCTTCCAGCCACTGGTATCCAGAATTAACAGTAGCCTTCAATAGCTCTCTCTTTATCTCATCCTCTTTCAAAGACATCTAGGAGACAGTTCCATAATTTAACTATGCACCATGTGAAATAGTACTTTATATTAACTGTCCCAAATCAGTTTCGTTGGATGTCCATGAATTCTAGCGTTACAAGAAAGGGAGAAAAATGTTTCTCTACTCATTACAGTCATTCTGGACTCACAGCTGTCCATGGAGGCGCAGGTCAATTCTGTGTCCAGGGCAGCTGTCTACCAGCTCCACCTGGTACGCAGGCTAAGACCCTATCTGCCCGCAGACTGTCTTGCCAGAGTGGTGCATGCTCTGGTTATCTCCCGCTTGGACTATGCAATGTGCTCTATGTGGGGCTACCTTTGAAGGTGACCTGGAAACTACAACTAATCCAGAATGCGGCAGCTAGACTGGTGACTGGGAGCAGCCACTGAGACCACATAACTACGGTCTTGAAAGACCTACATGGGCTCCCAGTATGTTTCTGAGCACATCTCAAAGTGTTGGTGCTGACCTTTAAAGCCCTAAACGGCCTCAGCCCAGTATACCTAAAGGAGCGTCTCCACCCCCATTGTTCTACCCGGACACCGATGTCCAGCTCCAAGGGCCTTCTTCTGGTGGTTCCCTCGCTACGAGAAGCCAACTTACAGGGAACCAGGCAGAGGGCCTTCTCGGTAGTGGCACCCACCCTGTGGAACACCCTCCCACCAGATGAAGGCAGCCCTGTTTAGGGAAGCTTTTAATGTTTAATAGGTTTTTGTATTTTAGTGTTCTGTTGGAAGCCGCCCAGAGTGGCTGGGGAAACCCAACCAGATGGGTGGGGTATAAATAATAAATTATTATTATTATTATTATTATTCTCCATGCTGTGCTTAATTTTATAAATGTCTTATCTTGTTGCCTCTTCCTTGCCTTTTCTCTAAACTAAAAAGTCCCAAACATTGCGAACTTCATTTGTAGGAGTGTCACTCCACACCCCCCCGATCATTTTGGCCCCCCTTTTCTGAATCTTACCCAACTCTACAACATCCTTTTGGAGGTGCGGCTCCCAATCCCCCAGCCATTGGCTGAGGCAGCTGGAACCGATAGGAGCTGTGGTCCAGCGACACCCAAAGACCTAAAGCGGAAGGACAGTGACCTGTTCCACGTGATGGGATGAGAAAGGCTGAGTAACAGAGCAAGAAAACTCCCTCCTTGCTAATAGGAAGCCTGGAGTCAGGAAGCAGGGTGCTGACTGGACCTGTGGTCTGATCCAGTGGGATCCTCCTCGCGTCCTCTCACCTGTTCCCGGGGCTTCAGGTCCTCCAGAACAGTCCGTGCCTTCTCAAAGGGAGGGATTTTCAACCTGCAAGAGGCCACAGAAATGATTTCAAATGACTGCCAAAGAATTGGAACGGTGAGATTTCAGTGACACTGTGCAAATGTCATGAAATTTTATTTTTAAAAACCCTCAAAAACAGTTTACAAGAAAAATACAACAATGAAGTTACTAATAAGAATTAACAACAATTTAAGACTTGCAAAAAGTCTTAATAAACTAAAAACAGGTTAAATTTTGCATTATATGCTACCTACCTGAGCACAACCCACCCAAGACAGCTCACGATATCAAACACAACGTAATTCACAACTGTTAAAGTAAGCCCCGGACGCGGGTGGCGCTGTGGGTAAAACCTCAGTGCCTAGGACTTGCTGATCGTAAGGTCGGCGGTTCGAATCCCCGCAGTGGGGTGAGCTCCTGTCGTTCGGGTCTCAGCTCCTGCCCACCTAGCAGTTCGAAAGCACCCCTAAGTGCAAGTAGATAAATAGGTACCGCTTTATAGCGGGAAGGTAAACGGCGTTTCTGTGTGCTGCGCTGGTGCTGGCTCGCCAGTTGCAGCTTCGTCACACTGGCCACGCGACCCGGAAGTGTCTTCGGACGGCGCCGGCTTCCGGCCTCTTGAGCAAAATGAGCACGCAACCCTAGAGTCGGTCACGACTGGCCTGTACGGGCAGGGGTACCTTTACCTTTTTAAAGTAAGCCCCGATTGCAGCAATTTTTCAAGAAAGCACTTTTCAAAAGGTTAGTGAAAAACATGACAGGACAGCAATGTCAGAACTCAAAAACTCTCCCTTTGTGGACAGCTCCTGAAAGGGCCTTGATGGTTGAAGAATATCTGCTTCAATTTTGCAGCACAGAGGTCGTGTGCAGCTTCACGGGGAGGGAGTTGCACAAGGAGGGGGACAACACAAAAGAGGAGTCATCGCTTGTGCCCACAATTACAGAGGTTTCCAGGACCAGAGCGACCTGGGCAGGAATGCTCCCAGCCTGGCAGACTCTGCTCCCCGGGCACAAGCGAGAGTCAGACACCTGCTCACCTGTAGAGAATCTCAGCCCGGAGGTAATTGCCAACACCATTGAAAAACCTCTGGTTTAGCAGAGCCTCGCAGATGGGCTTGTCAAAAGCCTTGTCCGAGAGGTTCCTCAGCACGTTTTCCCTGGAAGAGAGGAGGGCTTGTTAAAAGGGCCACTTAGCGTCAGTCTTTTTTATCCGAAGGGCCACATCACAACCTACCGGGGGGTTGGGGGCAAAGGCAAAAGTGGCCTGGCAAGCAAGAGGCGTTATCCCAGTTCAAGGGCACATTCCAGCCCGGCCAAAGGTCTCAAAGAGGTTGCTGAGAAGGGAAGCCTAGCGAGAGGGGCATGATTTGACAAGACTTCCCAAGGACCAGGTGAAGTGGGGGCTGCATTTGGTGTGAGGCTCCCCAAGCCCTGGGCTTAACAGGAGTCTAAAGCTTTGCACAAACACATGATGGAAACGAAATGGCAGTGTGACATAGTGGTTAGCGTGTTGGAGAGCAGGGTTCAAATCCTCACTCAGCTATGAAGCTTACTGGATGACCCTGGGCCAGAATAACAGCTATGGGGACAGCAGCAGTGGGCCCACGGAGGAGCGTATGAAGTAAAGCCGGTTTTCCACATAGGCAAAGTGGTACTTCACACATTTTCATTTTGGGAACAAAGCACCTTCACAGCGAAGCCTAAGGGCTAAATGAGAGCCATTCATTTCCCCAGCCAATCACCAGTCAGAGCCTGCTGTGTCCCACACCAATCAAAACAAATCTATCTGATCCAGGCCCCACCTAGAAAGATGGAGATCTTTTATATACAAATATATTTTAATTCTATTACTATTTCATTGGGTTGTTTTTTTTAAAATAACTATGGGGTTGCCCCCCCCCCAATGTTTTCAGCTGCTCCTATTTTATCTGTAAGCCGCCTCAAGTTCCTGTTGGGGAAAAGGTGGGGTATAAATAAATAAAGTCAGAACAAGACCACCTCCCATTTTTGAAGGGTCTTTTCTTTTCCCAAGATGTCAGGAGGAAGCCAGTTGCTTTCATAAATGAATGAGGGGGGGGCAGGCAAGAATTCTACCATGAACCACCAATAATTTTCTTAAGTCAATAAAAAATAAATTAAAAAATAAATAAATGAATGAATGAGTGTGGATGTGACGAAAGGGGCAGCAGAGGAGGTGGGAAATTCACCCAAATTGAGGGGCCAAAACAACTTTACCAGCCCCGGATATTATGCCACTGGGGGGGGGGGAGACAGGGGACACTGCTTTGCCTCAGGCGGCAAAGCGCCTTGGGGCAGCCGGTACGGGCGATCCTCACCTGAACTTCTCATACTCCAGCATCACACAGGGCCCTCGGTCCACCTGCCAGGAACTGCTCACCTCCCATCGGCCAAATCGGCGGAAGTCCACGAAGCAGAGGGCACGGGGCGGGCTTCCTCGGGTGTAGAAGCGCAGGTGCGCATGCTTTGGCATCTCGGACACGGGGACAAATTTGAAGTTGCCAGACATACCAAAACGGAAGATGATATCCATTGGCTCTTCAGCTGCCTGCTTCCCTCGGGCTGCGGAGACCCGCCTTTTGGAAGGAGCCAGGCCCTCCTGTTTGAGAGGCGTGAGGGTGAGTTTCAGTTCCTTGCCCCTCGACACGGCCGAGATCAGGTACCTGTCGCTCTCAAAGGGCACCTCTGGATTCTTGCTCACTTCCGACTTCTCCACTTTACCTGAGAAAACGAGGCCCCCGCACTCCTCGTTGATGTACCGGCTGTTTAGGAACAATTCTGGACCTTCCGGCATGCTAAAGACGTGGAGGAGCTGAGATAGGAGACACGGCTGAAGGAGCAAGAGGGAAAAGGTGAGTTTTAAAAATGTTTCTTAAAGAGAAAGGTGGGGAGCCTCGCACCTGGGGTCCCAATGCAGCCCTCCAGGTATCCGTATACAGTGGTACCTCAGGTTAAGAACTTAATTCGTTCTGGAGGTCCGTTCTTAACCTGAAACTGTTCTTAACCTGAAGCACCACTTTAGCTAATGGGGCCTCCCGCTGCTGCTGCGCAGCCGGAGCACGATTTCTGTTCTCATAGCGGAGTCTGTAACCTGAAGCGTCTGTAACCTGAGGTACCACTGTATGGCCCACAGGACTCTTCCCAGGCCACAGTCCTCACTGGCCCCACTTTGCACCCTCCAGGAGTGCTCTTACCTGGCTGAAATGTGTCCTTCAATTCTCCTGCTTGCCTAGAACGTGTAGAGACTTGCCCTGCTGCACCAAAGTAAAAGGAAAGCTGTTGCTCCACCCACTTCTGCCTCTGGCCCCGCCCACCACTGGCATGCACCCCCCCAAAGGCTGAGAAGGGAATGTGGCCCCCACAGGCCCAGACAGAGGGGGCGGGGGCCATATGGGCCACTTGATTCCAAAGGGAGCCTCGGTCAGAATATTTATCCATATTTTCCATGTTGTCTTTATATGCAGATACGGCTCAAGCCTTGAAATAATGTTATTTGTCAGCATAACTTTTGTGAAAATTAGTTATATACTTATTTATAAGACTTATCCCCAGGGTAAAAAAAGGGGGGGGCACATTATCTACCTGCCTGGCTCTGCAAGGCCCTGGGCTGGAAAAGGTTCCCTGGCCCTGATCCAAAAGGGTGAGATTCCCAGGTGGGAGAAGAATAACGAACATCCATTAAAATATGCAGTTATAAAACAGTGAAAAGTAAACAAATGCAAACAGGAAGTCAGAGATTAAAGTCGCAGAAGGGAAGAAACAGTAAACCATTAAAGGACTGAAATCAGAGGTTGGAAATGGAGGTGTAGCAGAGATGACAGGTGATAAACGGGGGTCTGGGAAGAGGCCCCTCAGCCATCAATCTCACCTGGGGCCGCTGGCTGCCTCCCAGTCTGGGCATTAAGCAAAGAGGGAGGAAACCAAACACAGCGCATGGAGCTCCTCGGAGAGAAAAGCGGGATAGAAACGCAGTAAATAAATAAAATTAATTGAGGAAATGGCCAGCATAGAAATGCAGTATAGAACTCTGGAGGGGTTGGGGGGGGGGAAGACGCCTCTTTCCACTTACCGTGATGCGTTGCCAAAGCCTGGGAGGACCCTGGAGAATTCTGTGCTGTTTGCTGCTTTTAAAAAAATATTCTGCACCACCAGCAGGGACGCCCAGGACTCCCTCTCCACGGGACACGGTGTCTATTTGGGCTTTCCTTGAGTCCTCTACCGTTGCCAACCTTCAATAAAATCTTAAAAATAAAGCTAGACGGAAGGACAGGAGATGGCGGCGTCGGAGATGGCTTCCAGGAGGAGCGAAGGGAAAGGCGCTCTGCGTATGCCCAGAGGCTATCTTTGCGGCTTCTCCTTGAACCACCCGAACGGCTGGTTGCGTAACCGCAGCCCCGAGCGGTTCCAAGGACGCAGCGCCCGCGCGCTTTTAGCCGCCTCTCCCTTTTCCTCCGAGGGCGCAGCTGCCTGGATGGAGCCCGGCTCCGACCCACGAGGGAATCCGCGCATGAAGCGCCCCTCGGCGGGCGGAGAGGCGCGTCGCTTGTCCCTTGTGGCGCGGAGGCTGCGCTTGCAAGTCTGGGAGGGGAGGGCGCGCGCGCTTCCACGCCCACGCAGGGGAGGATCCGTGCCAGGACGCAATCCGATTAGAGCTGGGGCGCGCCCGGCTCTGATCTCGAATTTGGGTGCCTCCAGGTGGTGTTGGGCTACGCCCCCCATCACCCCTGACATTGGTCCTGGTGGCTAGGGATGATGGGAGTTGTAGTCCAGCGACACCAAGGGGTTATCCAAGTTCGAGGAAAGCTGGAGAAAGGGAACTTCTTCATCCTGCAGAGTCTACGGAACTCGCTGCCACTGGAGGTGTGCGGTGACGGCGTGAAAAGATTAGACAAGGTCACAGAGGAGAAGGCTAGGGAGGGCTACTAGCTAAAAGGGCAACCCTCTGCTTCCCAGTACCGGTTGCTGGAAGCCCCTGGAGGCGAGAGGGCTGCCTGTGTGCTCAGCTCCTGCTGGTGGGCTTCCCATCGTGGGCGCCTGGTTGGCCATGGTTAAGAAGAGAAGGCGGGGCCCCATCCAGAAGACTCTGCTTATCATGCTCTTTTTTTAAATAATATTTATTACTTTTCCAAAAAAATTAAACACTAAAAAAAGAAAAAACACATACGATACAAAACATTAAACTAACAAAACAACAACAGTAAAATAAATCAAACAATTTCATTATCCCATCTTTCATTCACTTATTTCCACAACCTCCTCATACCTCCCTTTTTGTATTCCACTTCTGTTAATTGTTTCAGCAATTCCTTTCCATCTTCCTCTGTTTTCTATCCTATAACTAGCTTAATGCATTCTAACCTTATTTTTCCCTTTAATACTCTATTAATCTATTTATACTTAATTCCTTATAACATTTCTACTAAAGCCATATAACTTCATTCCAACATTTTTCTAACATTCATTAATTTTACAGTATTTCTGTAAATAGTCTTTAAACTTTTTCCAATCTTCTTCCACCGACTCTTCTCCCTGGTCTCGGATTCTGCCAGTCATTTCTACCAATTCCATGTAGTCCATCAACTTCATCTGCCATTCTTCCTGGGTGGGTAAATCTTGTGTCTTCCAATACTTCGCAATGAGTATTCTTGCTGCTGTTGTTGCATACATAAAAAAAGTTCTATCCTTCTTTGGCACCAATTGGCCGACCATGCCCAGGAGAAAGGCCTCTGCTTTCTTCAGGAAGGTATATTTAAGTACCTTTTTCATTTCATTATAAATCATCTCCCAGAATGTCTTAATCCTTGGGCATGTCCACCAAAGGTGAAAGAATGTACCTTCAGTCTCATTACATTTCCAACATTTATTATCGGGCAAATGATAAATTTTTGCAAGCTTGACTGGTGTCATGTACCACCTATAAATCATTTTCATTAAATTTTCTCTTAGGGCATTGCATGCCGTAAATTTCATACCTGTGGTCCATAACTGTTCCCGACTCTGCTTATCATGCTCTTATGCTGTCCTTTTTAAAGTACCCCAAGTTTATTCAGCAATGTTTAAGGATTTTTTTTTCTTTCATTTTCTTTAAAGTGAGGCAAGGGAAGGGATAAATAATGACATGTTAGGCACCGATTCTGACTGGGTCCTTGTTCTTCTAATCCCCTGCTTGGAGGGAGATTGTTCAAGGAAGAGGGGGAACCAATGGCCCCTTAAATTGTTCTGATATTTTGATCTTGCTGTAACCTGCCTTGCGACCATATGGTGGATAAGAAATCCCATTATTATTATTAACCATAGCCTGGCGTTGGAGCATCACCTTTGCCCACAGAAGGCCTCCCGTTTTAACCCTGAGCATCTCGGGTGGGGGGGCTAGGAAGAACAATGCAGCCACCCTCTGAAACCCTGGAGAGCCACAGCCACACAGTGTCAACGGTACGAGGTGGACCAACCCTGACTCCGTTTAAGGCAACTTCCTTTGCTCCTACTTGTTTCTTACTGCGAGCCAATCATCCTCATTGAGCCAAATGTGTATCATCCATGCACAAGTAGCAGGTATCTTCTTTTTGTAAACCACTTTGAGGGGTTTTTTACAATCAAGTGTAAGAAACTTGCTCTCCTCCCCAAAGCCTGGCGCCTTGCTTAGCTGGTTTGGGGAAGGCAGCGCAAGGGCGTCAAATTTTGGCCTTGCTCTCCGCCTCCTCCTGCGTGACAATGCAGTCCAAGTATTCTTGTGGCCCACTTGGCATGAAAAGTTGGATTGCCTTGGTTCAGAGAACCCAAAAGTTTCCAAGTTTCCATATGGGCTACCTTTTCCTCTATTTATCTATTGCATAAATAGTTCCACAGATCGAAGCAGTTGGGAAGGCAAATTGGAGTAAGGTGATCTCACAGGTACACGTTTTCCTCCCATGCATTCTCATCAAGCTCAGAAGCCCTGGCCTTCATTCGGAAGCTCAGCGGTTCCCCCCCCCCCCAATAGAGACAGGACCTTTTCAGTCACAGACATTGCACCTCTTCTGATTATTCAGGCTTCTGCTACAGCAATGTTCGTTTCTTACCAAATCTGCTTCTGCTTAATCTTTTTTTTTTCTTTTTCTGATGAAGCCATCTCAAGTTAAGTTTTCTTCCTAAACAACAAACTCTATCTGTAAAATATTTGGGATTGCAGTCTTAAACCTTTGATAACTGAACAATTCCTTCTCTTGTCACCAGAAATACTGTGTCTCCAGAAGGACTCAATAAAAACACTTGACAAAGAGTTCTGGGTGTAGTGAGATTTAATTTTCTCCCGTTCTGCAAAATATAGAAACACTACAAAGAGCAACCTTTGGGATTTAAAGATATGAAGGTTCAAGCACATGGAGAGATGTCGACACACGTACCTTTCTCTTTCCTGTGATACAAAGAGCCTTCACAGGACAAAAAAAATCAAGAATCTGGCAAGAGAGAGGACAGGCTATTTTGTCTTTCCTTCCACAATCCACACACGGATGGGTTGCTGGAAAACAGAAGGAACAGACCAGGTTTCTTCTACTTGGAGAAGAAGGGCCTGTAGCCCTCCTGGTGTTGCCGGACTCCAACTCCCATCAGTCCCAGCCAGCACTGCCAGGGATGATGGGAGTTGTAGTCCAACAACATCTGGAGGATTACAGGTCAATGTCCCTGCAATAGGGGAAGAAGGCTCTAAGAAAACAGGAACAAGAAAGTCACGAATGGAAGTCTGTTGGGGCTTCCAACATTTGCAGCAAAAGAACAGGGTAGGATGAGATTGATGTGCCTTCTTCTGAGAGAATGAGGCGGGGTGATTTTGATTCCCACAATGGTCTTGCGGCGCCACTGTCACAAGGCCCAAGAAACTCGTGGGGTTCTCTAACATGCTGTGGCTCTGAGTTGACAGGGCATGACTCAAAGTGGGAAGGTGGTGCCATTTCTTAAACTCTCTCCTGGCGGGGAACAACGAAGTCCAGCACATCAGGGACACAGGTTCTATTCCAGTCCACTCCCCACTGCACCAACTTTCTGACTGCGAAGAGCTTTCAGTGAAATAAAATGTTTAAACAAACATGGACACCCGTCATTTGCATTCAGAAATATTACCCACCCTGGCCAGACAACCAAACAACGAGAACAGCCTTAGGCTTTGAACACAACGAGTTGGAAGAGAGGGATGGATTCTGGTAACAGCCTCTTGCCCTGCAGTCACTGGGGAAAAACTTGCTGGACGCAAGGTCTCCCTCTTTCTGAAGCAACCGTCCAATTAAGATTTTTCAGCTTGCGGCAAAAGCTCATTCCAGCCACAGCACCACCCATCCTGGAAGCTCCTCAGTCGAGCGTCTTCATGACTGCTTCAGCCTGCTTCAGTTCTAGCAGCAGGAGAAGCAAAACAAAACAGGAAGGGGCAGAGGGTGAAAAAATACAATATACATGGGGCTGCCTCTGAAGACTGCTCAGAAACTTCAGCTGGTGCAGAATTCAGCAGCCAGGGTGCTCAGTGGGGCAAGACTGCACTGGCTGCCAATTACCATATTTTTAGCTCTATAACACGCACCCGACCATAACACGCACATAGTTTTTAGAGGAGGGAAATCCGTAGGCATGCCACCCGTAGGCATTCCCTCCATAACATGCACAGACATTTCCCCTTACTTTCTAGGAGGAAAAAAGTGAGTGTTATGGTGCAAAAAATACGGTAGCTTCTGGGCCCAATTCAAAGTGCTGGTCTCGACCTATAAAGCCTTAATGGTTCAGGACTGCAATACCTCAAGGACTGCCTCTCCCCATATGGACTGACCCAGACCCTGCAATCATCACCCAAGGCCCTTCTTTGTGTGCCTCCTCCACGAGAGGTCCAGAGGGTGGCAACACAAAAACGGGCCTTCTCTGCAGTGGCTCCCCATTTGTGGAATGCTTTCCCTAGGGAGGCTCACCTGGTCCCTTCGTTACATATCTTTAGGCTCCAGGCAAAAACATCCCTCTTCTCCCAGGCCTCTAGCTAATTAATCAATCTATGACTTTTTAAACTGTGTGTGGTGGGAGGCATTTTGTTTGCTTGTTACTATATGTTATATATTTTTGTGTCTTTATATTGTAAACTGCCCTGTCATCCTTGGGTGAAGAGACGTCGAGAAATTTAATAAATATTGAATAAGTTGAGTGAAGATGCCAACTTATCATCCTCACGGGGTCTCTGCCATGGGAGCATATTCACCCAGTGCTTTTCCAGCTGCACTGGCTCCCGGTGGAGTACAGGGTCAGATTTAAGGTACTGGTTTTGATCTTTAAAGCCCTTCACGGCCTATGTACCTACGGGACTGCCTCTCCCGGTATGCCCCACGGAGAGCCTCAAGGTCCATAAATAGCAACACCCTAGAGGTCCCAGGCCCTAAGGAAGTTAGATTAGCCTCAACCAGAGCCAGGGCCTTTTCAGCACTGGCCCCGGCCTGGTGGAACGCTCTGCCTCATGAGACCAGGGCCCTGCAGGATCTGATTTCTTTCCGCAGGGCCTGTAAGACAGAGTTGTTCCACCTGGCCTTTGGCTTGGAATCAATTTGATTCCCTCCCCTTCTTTCTTTTTTCCTTCTCCTCCTCTGAAGAGGCTGCATCTTAATGTTTTAATGTTGCATTTTAATCTTGTTTTTTAAGTTGTATTTTAATCAACTTGTTTTTATTATTGGTTGTTAGCCCCCTTGAGCCTGGTCTTGGCTGGGGAGGGCAGGGTATAAATAAAATTTATTTTTATTATTATTATTATTATTATCCCCTTGAACTTGCCCAGCCCTTGCAAATAGCCTCAGAATCCCTGTCGTGTGTCCCCCTCTACCATCCCCTCGTGAGTTCAGGCAGAGTGTTACAACACGCAGGACCTGGTTGCAGAAAAGTGCCCCTGAACCCAGTCCTTGCTCCCCTGATGATAATTTCTGGGATCTCACCTGCAAGCAAGACGCGGAACTTCTCTGCCGACAGCATCATGGCAACAGGCTCCTGTACCCCACGGTCAACATCTTTCACGTTCAGCTTGAGGTGCACGATGGGCTCGTTGACCCGCTGGATTTCGCTGGAGCTGAGGGTGTAATCCACTCTCCAGGAGACAGAATCCAGGCGGTTCACTGCAGACAGAGGTTGCCGAGAGATCAGGAATGCGCTCCGCAAGGCCTGGCACCCTCAGATTCATGAAGCACATTGCTAATTAATGAATTAATCTAACTGCAAATCACACTCACTTCAGAAGCGTGCCGTGTTTACTTTTGCTTCTATCAAAAAACTTTTTTTTTTTAAAAAAAGAGTGAATTAAAACAGAGATTCATAGCGCGGAAAGAAGCTTAGGTGCCAGAAAGCAAGTACTGTAAAGGAAAGTTATAAGGAAAACAAGAGAGTGCACTCATCATTGCAGGGGGGAGTTACATTAAAATAAAAGTGAAAGGCATGTATTTATGTAAAAAATATAGTTAAAAGATAGAAAGGTCATATTTAAAGGAGCATTTTCCCCCCACTCAGATCTTTCCAATTCTGTTTAGTCTGATAGGTGGCAATAGGATTCAGCCTTGATAGGTAGGTAGGTAGGTAGGTAGGTAGATATTCAAATATATGAATATATATATGGCTATTCCGATGGCTTCACTTACACCTCAGGCTGCACCCCCTAAGGCTGTCCTGCAGGGGGCTTTGCTTCTCCTCATAGGACCGGCACAGCCCTGTGGCATGTTCTGCAATGCAAAGAGGGATGGGGAACAACGAAACACGTGCAAAAGTGAGCTCTCACTCTAGACCAGGGGTCAAGAAGCTTTTTCAGCCATGGGCTCCATCCCTCAGACTATGAGGGAGGCTGGACTATATTTTGGGGGGGGGATGAACGAATTCCTATGCCCCACAAATAACCCAGAGATGCATTTTAAATACAGTGGTACCTTGGGTTACATACACTTCAGGTTATAGACTCTGCTAACCCAGAAATAGTACCTCGGGTTAAGAACTTTGCTTCAGGATGAGAACAGAAATCATGTGGCGGCAGCGCAGCAGCAACAACGGGAGGCCCTATTAGCTAAAGTGGTGCTTCAGGTTAAGAACAGTTTCAGGTTAAGAACAGACCTCCAGAACAAATTAAGTTCTTAACCCGAGGTACCACTGTAAAAGCACACATTCTACTCATGTAAAAGGACGCTGATTCCCGGACCGTCCATGCGCCGCATTGAGAAGGCAATTGGGCCGCATCCGGCCCCCGGGCCTTAGGTTGCCTACCCCTGCTCCACACCTTCCCACCATTTTAATGTGATGTAGCACCACTGCCCAGAAAGCAGGCTGACTGCCAGTCTCCCAAGGGCTCAGGTTGTTGCAGGGGAACCTGTGGTCTTTCAGAGGTTGCCGGACTACAGCTCCCCCCTTCTCCCATCATTCCTGACTCTGCTGGCCGGGGCTCATGGGAATGGGAGGGGCAAATGATCCCCATCTCAGAGGCTTCTGCACAGCTGGAATGCAGCCTATATTGCAAAGTCACAATTGCTGCTCTGCCCACATTTGCCTCTGGCTCCACCTACCGCTCCCACGTGTCCCTCCCCGGAAGACGGCCCACAAGGAAATGTGGCCCTTGGGCGGGAATAGAGATCCTCCTTCGCCCTTCGTCACTGCTTCCCTTTCTGTCTCCTCTGCTCACCTTTAGGCAGCCCCAACTGCTGGAGCTCGCTGGAGAGGGACTCGCCATCAACGTTGTGTTTGGCAGCGCTGGAAAGGATGAAGCCTAGAACAGCAATGGTAGCCTTCACATCCCCAGACTCTGCCGAGAGGAGAAAGAGAGACATGCGCAGCAGTTGTGAGAGCCTGCAGGATCAGGTCAATGGCATTTTACCATTGTACTGTGGAGAGTGTATTAAGGTCTGTGTGTGTGGTTTGGGAGCTGCACAGCCAGGGAAAAAACAATGCTGTCCAGGGTTGTAAAGACTGCGGAGAGAATAACTGGGTGCACTCTTCCCACCTTGGATCAAATCTATGCTTCCTGGTGCCACAAAAAAGCTGCAGAGATAGTGCAGGATAGTACGCACCCTGGAAATGATCTCTTTCAGCTTCTGCCTTCTGGAAGAAGATAAGGTAAAGGTAAAGGGACCCCTGACAGTTAGGTCCAGTCATGGCCGACTCTGGGGTCGCGGCGCTCATCTTGCTTTATTGGCCGAGGGAGCCGGTGTACAGCTTCCGGGTCATGTGGCCAGCATGACTAAGCAGCTTCTGGCGAACCAGAGCAGCGCATGGAAACGCCGTTTACCTTCCTGTCGGAGCGGTACCTATTTATCTACTTGCACTTTGACGTGCTTTCGAACTGCTAGGTTGGCAGGAGCAGGGACCGAACAACGGGAGCTCACCCTGTTGCAGGGATTCGAAACACCGACCTTCTGATCGGCAAGCCCAAGGCTCTGTGGTTTACACCACAGTGCCACCCGAGTCCCAAGAATGTTTTTAGCAGGCGCCAAAAAGTGTATAGTGAAGGCAACCTACTTGATCTCAAGAGCCAAGGAGTTCTATAGTGCAGACACCATCACATTAAACGACCGAGCTCTTACAAATGCAGAACAGATATTATGTAGTAGTGCCAATTCTGCTGATCAAAGCAGTTGGTCAATGAATTCAGGCAGGAGAAACACATGACTCAGTCATACTGGGAAGAGTAGAAAACGACACTCACCAAGCTTGGCATCTGACGTTAGCTTTAGAACCTTTTCATACTGCAAGAGAAAAACCAGATCAGACCACACTTAACTTTGGGACATCTGCACCACCTCTGAGTCTTCCAATGCAACGTGAAGTCCCAGTTCCTCCACAGGCAAAGAGTCCTATTTGCGGCTCAGCTTCCACTGCAAAACCACTTCCCGGGGTGACTCCTGAATCACGTCAACCATGTGTAAATTGAGCTAGGGACAGGCAGGGTGGTGTTGGGGCTAAGAGTCTTGGGCTAAGACCAGGGAGATCCGGGTTCAAACACCTGCTTAGCCACAAAAGTCAATGGGTAACTCTGGGACCATTGCTGTCTCTCAGCATAACCTACCTCATAAGGTTGTTGTTGAAAATATAACTGGGGGGGAAAGCGGAACCAGCCCAAATATGTAACGCTTTCGAGTGTGATCTCCAGTTTTGGGGTACTCTATCACGACACACAAACACTTTTCTGGAGGAAGAACTGGATTGTGGGGATTCCAAGTTGGACATGCCCCTAAATTTCTAGGGCTGCAGCTACAGTGCAATATTGTTGTTGCTTCTGCTGCTCAGGAAGCATCAGAAAAGACAAATGCAGTTGGCCTACGCAGATGAATCTGGAGTGGTTTACTCTTCCTGACCTCTCAGGAAGTCATGCAAGGGCCCATTCAAAAACACAAGCCTGAAAGTGTTGGCCATACAAATATCCGCCTTCAAGAAGATCTCCTACCTGCTTTAAACCAATCTTCCCCAACCTGGTGCTCCTATCAGCTCCATCCAGACCAGTCAAAGGTCAGGGGTGATGGGAGCTGCAGGTCCATCAGGATGACCCCAGGCTGGGGGAGGTCAAAAGACATCACCAGAAGTTGTATGATGGAAGATCAAATCTTGTACGATTGTTGGGTCTACACAAATACGCGTCAAACAAGAGAAAACTGGCTTACGTCAATCCCGTCCCCAAGCAGGTCCTTCAGCACCTGGGCACAGATCAACTTCAGCTTCACTGAGGACTAGGAGAATAACATGAACAAAAACGCACCTGATGATTTTTTGCCTGTAACACCAGCTTTTTCATAAACTCCACCCAAAGCTGATCAGTCCCCACAACAGCCTGGACTTTTTAAGCGACAGTGGATAATGCTGTCTTTGATGGGGTAGCGTCCAACTGTTTCTGACCAAGAAAACAGAAGCACTTACACCTCCCCACCAACACTCTGACTTTTTCAAGCTTGCTGGATATATAGTGGAATATTGCAGCAGGTTCATCCAACAACATTTATTTACTTATTTATTCTATAAACTTTATACACTGATTGTAAAAAAACAAAACGAAAACCCTCAAAGTGGTACACAAAAAAGATAAAACAAAATTATCCATAAGAAAAAAATTATAATTAAAAACTTTTGAAATATAAAATAAAATATAGACTAAAAACCTATTAAAATTCCCACCAACTTTGTAAATATCTGGGTAGGCTTGTCTAAACAAAAATGTTTATAGCAGTTGGCCAAAAGAATACCTGGTATCAAAAGGCAGGGAGTTCCAATGTGTAGGTGCTGCCACACTAAAAGATCAATTTCTTGCAGATGCAAAATAGGTAGGTATGTGGCATATGTAAGAGTGCCAATTCTGCTGATCAAAGTGGCTGGGTGGGCACATCTGTGTCCCCAGATGTTCAGGGCTGGATATACTAATAGTTCACTGGGCCTTGAACTAAGCCCAGTAGCAAGTTGCCAACCAGTGCTGTTCTTTCAGCAAAGGAGTCACAGGCTGACAAGGCCTCAGTGTTGGTCAGCCATGAGTTCTACAGAGATCGGAGTAAGTCCAACAAGAAACCAGTGGTCAAGTGTCACCGCCAACACGTCCTAACAGAAATGGCATGCACACCTAGCAGAGAAAAGAAGAGCACTTACTATTTTAGCCAATGTGCTGATTTCTGCCAAGACCCAATCAGGGCAGTCTAAATCGCCGCAGAACCGAAACCTCTGGATGGAAGAAATAACATTAGTGCCTGTGGCCAGTCAAGAGTTTGTTTTAGCAACCCACTTTTCAGCCTGTAGCAGAAAACAAGAGGCTATCTAACCCACGGAGAAGTGAATTTGAACGAGACTTTACATGCTTTCCCCTTTTCAGTGGAAATTTCAGTGAAAAAACTCGGAATACTGTACAGCCTCCTATTCTCTTGACAGCAGAAAACCCGAAAGGTAAGGCAGGCATTTCCGTAGCCCACGGGCACAGTGTGTGGGTGTCAGGTGTGGGTGTGTGGTCCCGGGCACAGAGTTTTCGAGGGGGAGTGAACCAGGCGCCCCACCCCATCCCAATGCTCCTGGCTGCGTCTGCCAGCGTGTATGTGGCACCGCGCCCTCACCCAGAGGCCGGTGCCAAGTCATAGCTGTCAACTTTCAGATTTGAAAATAAGGGATCAGCAGCCTCACCTGTCCCGGGGACAGTCTAATCCCGGGGATATCTAACAATCCGGGATAGCAGCGGGAAGCGGCGCTGGAATAAGGGAATTTCCCGCAAAAAAAGGGAAGGTTGACAGCTATGTGCCAAGTAGCCCGGGGCTGTGCGCGAATACGCAAAAGCGCCGCACGGCGACAGGATCAGGATCGTCAGCACTCGGGCTGCAGCATCCCGCCGCGACAGCTGCCGCTTCCGGAGCCAGCCCGAGGGAAGGCACGCATCCAGGGGTGCCCATCTCTGGCACCAGCCTAGTTCGGAACCTCGCCCGAGAACTCGTGCTGCAATTTCATGAGCCCACGCCGGAGCCCGGGAGCCCCTGCCTCGAAGCCAGGGGTGCCAGCTTGGCCCCGCCACCGTGGGTCCCCGGGGCCGTGGGTGCCATGCAGAGTGCGCGGCCCTGGCACCGAAAGGTGTGGGTGCTCGGGCACCCGGGGCCCCAGGGCGTTGGCACCCGTCCTCCAGGCGGCGCAGCAAGCCCTTTTTGGGCACCCGCGCGCAATGCGCCCCCGGCTCACCATGGTGCCCCGCGCGCGGCGCCTGCTACTCGCTGCCCTGCAAGGCTGGATCACCTGACTTCTTCCTGCCACCCAATCGCGGAAGGGATCCAGCAGCACCAGCTGATCCCGCCCGGGCGATCAGCTGATCAGCCTCCCGGCTCCTCCTCTGGTGGGCGGGCGGCGGGGAGGGCGAGTTTTCCGGGAGAGTTGTTCTCGCTGTTGCTGCGCCAGCGCGTCTGCTTACACGTGGCTTGGGGAGATTTACAAATTTAAATTTAAACAAATTTTAAAAAGGAAACAAAGCAACGCTGGGTTGCAACAGCAAGAGGAAAAAGGGAAGTTGCAGCATTTCCAGAGGTTGCAGTGCCGACACAGTTACACGGGAGTAATAAGGCCCCTTGAGCACTAAGGGGAACTGTGGGCGCGTGTGTGAGAGATTATATTTATTTCATTTTATAATATGTACGAGACGGAGAGAATAATTATTATAGCAGACGAATGTTGCAGGAATTTATGTATAGGTTTGGGGGGGGGGGTTCCCCTCCAGCAGATATCATGCACATGCAGCCCACTACCAAAACCAGCACAATCACTTTTGTGATTTGTCCCCACAAAACACTTCATTACAGTTTCTTCCTATCTATTCAAAGGGCCTTTGCGGCACAATACCAAATGTAAGAATTCACTGATAAATGTATCTTTGTACTGGCTCACTGGAAAACTTCAGAAATTCATATAGACATGTGAGCTCAGCTACTCAGCAGCCCCTCTGCCTGAGTGATAATTCCTGGCATCTTGATACCTGAGTGCCAGACAGGTAGCCATTCCAGAAATAACAAACCCAGATGAAGACAAAAGGGTGTGATTAACTTGGCTGGGAAACAGGGAAATGTAAATATCTTTTTTGTTGCACTTGATGGGTGTTTGGTGGAGGGCAAGGAGAACCATGGGGCAGGGTCCAGGATGCTCAGATTACTGCCACCAGACCTCCCCTTTCATGATGTAACCATGATGTATGAGTGATGTAGTTTGGGGGAGTGTAACATGGGGATTAGCAGCTAATAAAAGTTTGGGGGCTCTTTTTGTTCGGGGCTTCCATCTTGTTCCACCTTGTGGCAGGTGGGAGTCCTGTCGGGACAGTCTTCAATAAAGACCAAGCCTACTGGCTGCTGTTTTGCTCTGGTATTCCTGGCTGGAGTCCTTGTTTTTTTGTCCAAGGGAGCCCTCAGATTTCTCCGTTAACATGAAAAACAAAACTATAAATCAGGCAGGTAGCAAGGGCACAGTTGCACGTGGGTGAGAATAACGAAGGCCAGTGTGTGTTGTACTCCCAAGTAAACATGCACAGGGGCTGAGCGAGTTAAGCTAAGTAATATTTTGTTTCTTGTTCCTGCACGTTGTTCCAGACGGAGGTGTTGATTCTGTCTGCAAGAGAGTCCGTCATTTGCCATGGTTAGAATACTGGACCCCAGGGGTAGAATTGCAGAATTGGAAGCGGGGAAACAGCCATCTAGTCCAGCCCCATGCAGTACAGGAATCACATTGCTGGTTACTTAAAAACAACTCAGGACAGAGGCCCTGGATGCAAATTTGCTTGGGCAAATTAAGACTGCAAGTGCCTGGACCCTCTCAGGCTTTGCAGAGCACCCAGCTCTGTTGTTAGCAAAGTAAAACAATTGTGTGGGGTTTTTTAAAGCAAGGGATGTGGGAGGGAGAAACTGGGTCTCAGTGCGAAAGACCCAAGGTTCTAGCACCCCAATATCTGTTGGAACAGAGAGAAGGTTGCAGATCCCCACTCCTTGGAACTCCGGTGGCCTCACTCAGGACTAGCCACACTGTTAGCTTAACAAACACCACACCAAAGATATTGTGAGGATAAGTGAGTAGAACCCTCAAGCAAACTGCCCAGATCTTTGAGGAAGGGAGGGAGGGGCATACATATCAAACTAGGCCTGTAGGTGAGACTTACCTGCTTGTATTTAAAAATGTTTTAGATTTTGAATTTTATTTCTAGAGAAGCAAGTGCAATCCCAAACATACCCTACCCAGCCAAAAAGCCCCATTCCCCAAATCCCATCACCAACAGCAAAGACTCACTTCTCACTGTGACGCAACTCAGGCTTTATATATATCATATATAATTTCTCCCCATATATAGGATCAGTCACCAGCCCTTATTACCCTCTTTCTCATTTAAAGGTGGGAGGAAGCAAGAAAGCCATTTGTATCTCTTTATTTAGTTTTTTTTCCACATTGAGATACGTATTACATTACATTTTAATGGGACCCCGGGCACTTTTTGAGCAGAGGGACCCCAAAAGTAATCAGAGCAAGAAGCAGAGCCAGAGACATCAAGATGAGTCCAGCCAGCAGCCCAGGCGCTGAGAGGAATCCTGCAAATGGGGGGGTGGGGAGAGAGAGGGAGAGAGAGAGAACAAGTTCAGCTTACATCAAATCTGTCATAAGGCTGCAAGCTCTTTTACTACAGTGGTACCTCGGGTGAAGAACTTAATTCATTCTGGAGGTCCATTCTTAACCTGAAACTGTTCTGAACCTGAGGTACCACTTTAAGCTAATGGGGCCTCCTGCTGTCGCTGCGCCGCCTGAGCACAATTTCTGTTCTCATCCTGAAGCAAAGTTCTTAACCCGAGGTACTACTTCTGGGTTAGTGGAGTCTGTAACCTGAAGCGTCTGTAACCCGAGGTACCACTGTATTGATTTAGGGAACTTGCCTCCAAGTAAACCTGGAGGGCTTCATGCTGCAATCTAACTTACATTTTTGGTCAGTGTTAGACTTGCAGTAAGCATCTTAGAGCGCTGTAAAGCCCTCTCTGTAAAAGATCTGATGTGAAAGGAATGGGCTCTTGGTTCTCTCTACAGTGGTACCTCGGGTTACATACGCTTCAGGTTACAGACTTCGCTAACCCAGAAATATTACCTCGGGTTAAGAACTTTGCTTCAGGATGAGAACAGAAATTGTGCTCCGGCGGTGCAGCAGCAGTGGGAGGCCCCACTAGCTAAAGTGGTGCTTCAGGTTAAGAACAGTTCCAGGTTAAGAATGGACCTCCAGAACGAATTAAGTACTTAACCCAAGGTACCATTGTACTTATATCCAACTTGCATTTTTTGTAAATAAAACACAAACACCCGCGAGCCTCCAGTAGTCTCTTCCTAAAGGAAGTCCCTGGAAGTTCTAAGCATAGCAGGTTTATGTGGGATGATGGGGGAGAAGGATTAAGCCAGGAGGAGGAGAGACCCTCCAGCTCAAAGCCCCAAAACCTCACCCTGAATGCTTTTGCCTAGAATGCACCCCCCAAAACACAGTCTGGAGAGTCACTTATTCCCATGTTGTGACCCAATTCCTTGTTTCCAGACAAGCTATCCAGGTACTAACCTTTCAGTGCAAAAAGAAGCCATCCCTAACTAATCACATGTTACTATCACTGGCCCCAGAATTTTATTTTAATTTGGTAGCTAGATTCCTGAATCAAATTCTCACTCTACCCTGACCTGCATTCTTGAAATATTTGCTACTACTAAAAAGGAGGAGGAGGAGGAGGTACTACCGTGTTCTTCTGGAGATTCCGTTGTTTCACTTTGCTGGGCCGAAAGACTCCTTGAGCCCATGTATGCATCACGGACGAAAATAGGGCCAATCATCACGTCAGTCTCTAGTTCCTTCACCAGCTGACCTGCATTTTGAGCAAGGTTAAACTTACCCATCAGTAGGTCAGCCTCACCCCTCTCATTTTGGAGACCCCTGCACAGAACAGATTGGCTTCCCCACCAACATGAATGGAACGCACCATGCTTTGTGGATACATCTCTGCCAGATCTCCTTCCTCTTGCCCACCTATCCCAGGGGTTGAGCCTCCTCGGCTGCCCTCCAGTGACACCACAGTGCCCAGTCTCACAGCAGGTGCAGATCCCCTGGGTACCCTCAACCGGAATCCACCTGGAGGGATGGGGAAAAGGAAGAGAAAGGCCTATATTACCTGCAGAATTGGTTTGCTTGGGCAACAAGCTCAAATACTCGACATAATTTTGTTAGACGCCACACCACAATCTCTGGATAGTGAGATTATGAGTGCTGTAATGTAAGCTGCTTTGAGACTTGAGTGAAAAATGGCATGGAAAATAAATGGAATGAAATTTTTTAAATGATGTTACTGCCGGGTTGGGTGGGTTGGAGGGAAGCTTCTGGAAACATCACTAGCTAGTTGTTTCTTTGACAGCCAACTATTTAGTCCTGTAGAAAGGTCATTGGCAGGCTTAAAGGTAAAGTAAAGGGACCCCTGACCATTAGGTCCAGTCGTGGCCGACTCTGGGGTTGTGGCGCTCATCTCGCTTTACTGGTTAAGGGAGCTGGCGTACAGCTTCTGGGTCATGTGGCCAGCATGACTAAGCCGCTTCTGGCGAACCAGAGCAGCGCTGGGAAACGCCGTTTACCTTCCTGCTGGAGTGGTACCTATTTATCTACTTGCACTTTGACGTGCTTTTGAACTGCTAGGTTGGCAGGAGCAGGGACCGAGCAACGGGAGCTCACCCCGTCGCGGGGATTCGAACCGCCAACCTTCTGATCGGCAAGCTCAATAGGCTCAGTGGTTTACACCACACTGCTACCCGCGTCCCCTTCATTGGCAGGCTTGGCTAGGGCTATTAACATAGAATCATAGAACTGTAGAATTGGACGGTTCATCTAGTCAAAGCCCCTGCACGAATCACAGCTGAAACATCCCTGACCGGTGGCCACCCAACCTCTGTTTAAAAACCACCAATGAAGGGGAGTCCATGCTGGCTCACTCACATGTTATTAGCTTGGTTGAAGGAGCAAGCCTTGTTTTCAGGATCAGGGGCCTGGCTGGCTGCAGTCACTTTCAGGTGGCAAGTGATGTAGATCTGGAGAAGCCAAGTAGACAAAAGAAAACTCCATTAGACATTCTAGGTTTCAGCTCAAGAAAGGCTGTGCAAGACAAGGCTTCTCACCAGCTCTTGAGGATGTCCTGTAAATCTGAAAACGTCCACCGTGAACTGGAGCAAATCCTCCTTCAGCCTTGGAGACACAAAGGCGGAGCTGGAATCTGACCTCCCATCAACAAGGCAGCTAAAACACAAGGAAAGGGGAAGGAAGGAAGGAAGGAAGGAAGGAAGGAAGGAAGGAAGGAAGGAAGGAAAAGAAAGGCTGTCAGAAGAGAAGGGCAAATCTGTATTTCAGTTTCTTCCTCGTTTTTTTCTTCCACTCTTAAGTTCCATTCACATTTCCCCATCAGTTTGCAAGCTTTTTAATATATATATATATATAAAACCCTCATGAAAAATTGCCAGCATTTTAGTGACAATTTCTTCTATTAAATATATGTCTTTGCATCCATTTTCCATTAGTATACATGTTTCTGCAAAGCAATTTCTCCTGGTATTATGTATGTCAATTCCTCCAAATATATTTTTATTCACACTTCACATGCATTTCTTACACATGGAGATGGATAATTGCACTGTAAAATTCAGAGAATAGTGAAGTTCTCAAAGGATATCTTGCTTCAGGAAAAGCAAGTTCGGCAGATTTGCATTTAAATGCAAACAGAATCAACCCCTCCGCCCATCCCTAGCTGTCAGCAGTACAGTGGTACCTCGGGTTAAGAACTTAATTCGTTCCTGAGGTCCATTCTTAACCTGAAACTGTTCTTAACCTGAAGCACCACTTTAGCTAATGGGGCCTCCCGCTGCCGCCGTGCCACTGGAGCACAATTTCTGTTCTCATCCTGAAGCAAAGTTCTTAACCTGAAGTACCATTTCTAGGTTAAAAAGGGACCCCTGACCATTAGGTCCAGTCGTGACCGACTCTGGGGTTGCGGCGCTCATCTCACTTTATTGGCCGAGGGAGCCGGCGTACAGCTTCTGGGTCATTTGGCCAGCATGACTAAGCTGCTTCTGGTGAACCAGAGCAGCGCACGGAAATGCCGTTTACCTTCCCGCCAGAGCGGTACCTATTTATCTACTTGCACTTTGACGTGCTTCCGAACTGCTAGGAGCAGGGACCAAGCAATGGGAGCTCACCCTGTCGCAGGGATTCGAACCACCGACCTTCTGATTGGCAAGTCCTAGGCTCTGTGGTTTAACCCACAGCGCCACCCGTGTCCCTATTTCTGGGTTAGTGGAGTCTGTAACCTGAAGCGTATGTAACCTGAAGCGTCTGTAACCCCGAGGTACCACTGTACTTCCTGTAACATGAGGTTCTTGGCTGCCCTAGTCCAATGGTGGGGAACTGGCAGCCTCCAGGCCTGGCTCTGCCCACATGGCTTCCCCTTTCTGCTCTTTGTCTCTTCTCCCTCACAGCTGCTGGCCTGCCCAAGGGCATAGTGACTGGCAGGGACAACCCTAGAGAGCTCCTACCCGTTGTGGTCAATGATGGGATATCGGGGAGTGGCGTTCCTGCTTGGGCTCAGCGTGGCGACACAGTGGTTGACAAACAGCCTCAGAGGAAGGTGGTTCTCTGCGTTCACTTCAGCCTGGATGTACATCACGTCTCCCAGCTGGTACGTGCCGGAAGCTCTCTCAGCGCTCCAGTCATCTGAAAGACAAGAGAGTTGCAGAATCTTACCTAGAGGGAAATAAAGATATCCAGTACAGACCTCAACACTGGTTTGTCCTGTCCAAGGATGCACCATCATCATGGCAGCGAAGAGTTAGACTACGGAACTCCCTCCCACAAGAGGCAGTGATGGCCACCAATTTGGAGGGCTTTAAAAGAGGATAATAATAATAATAAATTTTTATTTATACCCCACCCTTCCCAGTTCAAAAACAGGGCTCCGGGCGGCTAACAACAAATTTAAAACACTTAATTGTAAAAGCAGCATAAAATACAGTATAAAAACATGAACAACAATAAAATTCAAAATTCAGAAATCAATTTAGGGGAAATAAGCATTAGGTAATCCCCAGGGCTAGCTGGGTGAATTGGTCCTACTTGGACCAGCGAGGCGGCCAGGGGAGAATTAGCTGTGGGGTCTCAGAGCGGGTGATCGTCATAAAAGGGGAGGGGGAGGGAAGAGAAGGGAAATAAAAGATTAGGCTGAATTCAAATTAAAGGCCAGGCAGAATAGCTCTGTCTTACAGGCCCGACGGAAGGAGGTTAAATCCTGAAGGGCCACAGTCTCATGGGACAGAGCATTCCACCAGGTCGGAGCCATCACTGAGAAGGCCCTGGTGGAGGATAGTCTGAGTTCTTTAGGGCCCAGGACATCTAAACTATGGGTATTCATGGACCTTAAGGTCCTCTGCGGGGCAGACCAGGCAAATTCATGGAGGAGGAGAGGCCTATCAATGGCTTCGATGAGCAGCAATGGCTAGGCTCTGCCTCCTCAGTCAGAGGCAGCAATGTCAGCTGCTGGAGGGAGAGAGAGGACTCTTGGGCTCATGTTTAGCTCCCTGAAGGGCCATAAGACTATTATTTTGTAGTCTATTATTTCCTTTTATTATTTGCTTTTTGCCTTTTATCCCTGAAGCTTCTTCCTTCCTTCATTCATGTCTGTAACAGAACAAAGGCCAGTGGAGCCTCTTTGCAGGGAGGTGTCAAGATTACTACAAGGCCATAAAACAATAAATAAACTCTTCTTTTAGCAGAGCAGGGCTGTGAGAGAGGGCTGTAGGTGGCTCAGGCAAAGAGAGATAACGGGTTGCTATGCCGACTCCTGAAACAGGAGGGAGGGAGGGACTGGAAAACGTGAAATGAGGAAGTTGATCCAAATATGGAAAAACGAAACCTAATTTTTATGGCATTTCTTGTAAAACACATGTTTTATTGGAAATCAAATGACCATCCATCCTAGAGGGTATAAAAAGGCTGGCAAGCCCAGAGAGGGCAGGCAGGGCAGGCAATGAGCATTAGCTTTTTGTCATGGCAAAATAAATGATTATTTTACTGCTGTCAATTGACTCTTTGAAGCGACTTCTGACTGCTCCTAGGATCACAAGGAACAAAAGGGAAGGTCTTTCATCCCTAGTATCCCACCAGCATCTAGTTGGCTACTGTGAGAGCAGGACTAGGTTGGCCCGTGGCCTGATCCAGCAGGTTCTCCTTATATTCTTAATAATACAATGTACAGTGGTGCCCCGCAAGATGGAAAACCCGCTAGACGAGAGGGTTTTCCGTTTTGGAGGTGCTTCGCAAAACGAATTTCCTATGGGCTTGCTTCGCAAGACGAAAATGTCTTGCGAGTTCCTGCGGGGTTTTTTTCCTTTTCCCCCCCTTTTTCCCAAGCCGCTAAGCCGCTTATCAGCTGATCCGCTAAGCCCGCTAAGCCGCTAATACTGTAGCGCTAATCCGCTAAACCGCTAATGGGCTTGCTTCGCAAGACGAAAAAACCTGCAAGACGAAGAGACTCGCGGAACGGATTCTTTTCGTCTTGCGAGGCACCACTGTATAGAACAGAAATATTTCTAAGCTCTAAAAAGATTACGGTCACATCTGCGCCTAAAATTTAAACTCTTGTTTATCAGAAGATAAACTCTTGTCCCAGGCCTTTATTTATTACATTTAAAGCACACACCCACCCCAATCCTGGGAACTGTAGTTTAAGGGTGCAGGGAATTGTAGCGCTATGAGGAGTCACCTACAGTTCCCATGATTTTGGGGGTGGGGAGGATACAGCACAACAAGGCTCAAAGCTATGAAAAATTGCTCAATTAACAACATTTGAATTGTATTTAAATTGAAAAAGGAACAAAAGTAGGTAGTATGTCAGCTGCATTGATCAAAACCAGGAACAGAGGTGCCAAACGGTGATAAAAAAGGATAGAACTTTCTTTATGTATGCAACAGCAGCAGTAAGAATACTCATCGCAAAGTATTGGAAGACACAAGAACTTCCCACACTGGAGGAATGGCAGATGAAACTGATGGACTATATGGAACTGGCGGAAATGACTGGTAGAATCCGTGACCAGGGAGAAGAGTCGGTGGAGGAAGATTGGAAGAAATTCAAAGATTATCTACAGAAACACTGCAAAATTAAAGAATGCTAGAGTGATGTTGGATTAAAAATAAGTGGTTTCCAGCTGTACAGGATTCAAAGTTATAGATAGACTAAGATTAAAGATTAGGATTAAAGAAGTTGAAGGAAATGGAAATTTGGTATTTAAGAGGTAAAATTTTAATGCTATATTATATTAAGATTAAAGATTGGGATTAAAAAAGTGGAAAAGAAATTGCTGGACAAACAATTTGGACTGGAATACAAAAGAGGGAGGTATGAGGAGGTCCAGAAAATAAGTAAATTTAAAAACGGAAATGAAAAGGTGATATTGTTTTTAATTGTTCTGTTTCTTTTTCTTGTTTTTTGTTTTCTGTGTTTTTTATTCTTCTTTGGATTATGTACTGTGTATTTGTGTATTTTTTTCCTATGTTTTTCTGTTTAATTTTTTACTGAAATCTTAATAAAAATCATTAAAAAAACAACAACACAAAACCAGGAACAGAGGAAAAGGAGGCAAGTATGTAAGGTGAAGCAAAAAACAAGGCTATTCAGGAGCAAAGTCTCGAGGGAGAGTCTAGAAGAAAGGAAGGCCTACAGTGAAAAAGATTTTGTAAAAAATAAAGATTGCCAAATAAAGTTACACTTCACAGAGGCCAATGGCTTGCAGTTCAGTTAACCACATTAGACACCCTCAGATCCAGACACCCCTCAGGAGCAGAAAAGGTAGAACCCATCACAAACAAGTGACCGGATAAAAACCAACAGGGAGTTAGGACTAGATGGCCATTGCACTGCCAGCTTTTAGGGGCTCCGTCGGTGTTAGTGGCCCCTGCTTGGCCCGGCTGGCAGGCTTGCCTGGCTATGGTCACTGGACCCAGTAGCCCTGGGCAGCCCTGTCTAGCTACCCTCTTTTGATTCCCACAGAGTGATGCTCAGCCAGGGATTCTGTAGATCCAGCTGCCTGGCGCTTGCTTGGAAAAAGGTGAAAGTGCCTCCTGCCCCCAAACTCCCTTGCCTCAGCAGTGGGCCCTGCCTGGTGCTGCCACCCTACACTGGGCTAATGGCCTGTTTCTTAATTTTCAAGTACCGTTCATTAAGCGCAAGGAGAAGCCCAGCCTGTGTTCTGCGGAAATGGTCGAGCTGAAGGGAGCCCAAGTTGGCTTGATGGCGTCGCTGCTCACGTTGCTTCTCCTGGAAAGAGAAATAAATAAGGCGAAAGGCCCCCAGAGATGTGAATCCCAAAGTGGGCGCCAACAACCGGGGGGGGGGGGCACTACAGGGGCAAATGACTACTAGACCTTGTACAGCTGGTCTCACTGGATCAAGTTCATCACTTTTGTTGAATTAATGAAAGAGTTGTAATCGGATTTTGAAGAAATGAGCAATACAAAATCAGAACCATAACAATTATTGCATTACTATCTTCCTTAGACCAGGGACGTGGGTGGCGCTGTGGGTTAAACCACAGAGCCTAGGGTTTGCAGATTAGAAGGTCGGCAGTTCGCTCCCGTTGCTCGGTCCCTGCTCCTGCCAACCTAGCAGTTCAAAAGCACGTCAAAGTGCAAGTAGATAAATAGGTACTGCTCCGGTGGGAAGGTAAACGGCATTTCCGTGTGCTGCTCTGGTTCACCAGAAGCGGCTTAGTCATGCTGGCCACATGACCTGGAAAAACTGTCTGTGGACAAACGTTGGCTCCTTCGGCCCGTAAAGCGAGGTAAGTGCCGCAACCCCAGAGACATTCGTGACTGGACTACATGTCAGGGGTCCCTTTACCTTTTTTAAAATCTTCCTTAGTGGGTCGTGCAAACCATTATTCTGAACAGTGCTTTTCATAGGGTATGGTAGGGGCACTAGGAATGAGTTTATGGAACTGGGGGGGGTGGTAGCCCAGAAATATTTGGGAGCCACTGCCCTGCTGCGCTTGTGAACGGCTCCTATGTGCCTGTCATTGCCGCCATCTCCCCAACTCACCTTGGATAGTGACATTCAATAGGGACTTCGGCTGGGCTGGTTCGTATGACAACTGCATTGGCGCTGGGAGTAGGTTTGTAGTATAAGCTTATGCTGTAGACCAGGGATTCTGGAGTCATCTGGAGGAGGGAATGCAAGATGACCCATTGAGCCTCATTGTGTTTTTTTAGTGCAAGGATAATTTAAGACCACAGGTGGGCAGAAGTAGTGCAGGACCTTCAGGAAAATTGTCTAGATGCTGGTACCGTCATTATTAGAATGGCAAAAATGACGGCAACTATTAGAGGCCATTCAAATCACAGAATAATTAAAGAGTGGGAGGGAGTGAAGGAATATATGAAAAAATATGGTTCCGGAACTGTAATATTAATAGATAACGTGTAAAACGTGCAGGGGTAAGCAAGGAAATAATAAAAGAATCAGCTGAACAATGATTAAATTATAACAACACAACAAGACGGAAGAAGGAAAAAAAGATCACACATGGGTGAAGGGGAACGGGGGTATAGGGGAATTTGAAATATTTATAATATAAAAGCTTTAATATAAAATTTCTAACTGTTATATTTGTATACAGCAAAGAGAAGTTTAGAGTAATTAGGTATATTTTAATTTCATTAATTATGTAATAGGTTTATGTTAGAAAATGAATATGGATGTTGAATTTGATGTTTGTAGTTTTTATTTTTTCAGTTTTGGAAATATTTATTTTTTTAAAAGGAAGATTGTCTAGGTGCTTTGCAGTGGATTAGAGAAAGTTTGACTACCAAATGTCCAACAATAGCAACAAATAAAAATCCCTCTCCCTCCCTAGAAAAAAACTGGCTTGCTGAAAAATGAACACTTGGGAGAAACCAAGCATTTTGTGTCATTGGCCCAGTCCTGTGAAATGCTCTGCTAATAGCAATTCAGAAGATGTCCTAGTTGGAAAACAAACATTTGCTGAAAACTTTCCAGGCTAATGCAGAAAAATTAAGAATGTTCTGTAAAAGTCAGCTTGTGATTTGTGACTTTGTATCTATCCAACTGTTGTAAATCAATTTGATTTTTAAAAAATGAAGTTGCAGTATAAAATATTAAAATGAAAGCAGGAGGGAATTTTTGTGCAAGAGGACTTTTGAGATTGTTTCAGCTACTGTTTACAAACACCTGGACCAAGGATGTGTAAGGAGTCCGTTGGGAAGGATGTCAGGCCAGAATGCTTCAGACAGATCCACAGAGCCTAATCTAAGTCTCATAATAGAGTCCTTTTATCTAGATTTCAGGGACGCAGGTGGCGCTGTGGTCTAAACCACAGAGGCTAGGGCTTGCCGATCAGAAGGTCGGTGGTTCGAATCCCAGTGACTGGGTGAACTCCTGTTGCTCTGTCCCTGCTCCTGCCAGCCTAGCAGTTTGAAAGCACGTCAAGCGCAAGTAGATAAATAGGTACCGCTCCGGCGGGAAGGTAAACGGCGTTTCCGTGCTCTGCTCTGGTTCGCCACAAGCAGCTTAGTTATGCTGGCCACATGACCTGAAAGCTGTACGCCGGCTCCCTTGGCCAATAAAGCGAGATGAGTGCCGCAACCCCAGAGTCGTCCGCAACTGGACTTAACAGTCAGAGGTCCCTTTACCTTTACCTAGATTTCAGTAGCTAGAAAGCCTTGTGCAGTTTATATTCTCCCTTTAAAATTTGCATGCCAAAACCAGCTAACAAGCAACTGCACAAAGTGAAATAGCTGTTGGCTGAATCCAAAGATTAAAAAAGGGCAAACCTCAGGACTAGCCCTCAGGTGATGCAGAGGAGGAGGAGCAACAAGGAATGGAGGAAGTATTTGATTCATTTCACATGTGAAGACATCTGAGAGGGCACCACGTTCCTACCCCCAGGTTTAAACTTTTCAGGATCTCAGCATTTCACAGAACCTATTGTAGTTTCAAAGAACCCAGAGTAGCCAGTGTCACAATAACCTGATGGGTAAGGATTAGGCCTCTTAACTGGACCCCAGGCAAAGCCATTTAACTAGCCTGGAAACAAAGGCAGAAGCATGCATAGGATAGGTCAACATAGGTAATTAATACAGAGTTACCTGCAGGATGCTGCCACACTGATGGAGCCCAACGTCGAAGATCACTACATCCCTGGCAGCATCATAGGAGGTGTAGTGGCAGCCCGAGGAGCCCAGGCTGAGGTCCGTTGCCTGGATGAGCCTTCCAGTCCCAAACAGGTCCCTGTTCACGGTTACTACCACTTGGGCCTCTCCACACTGCACAGCCACAGGGGCGAAGTAGGACAACGCTCTCACCTGGGAAGCATCAACCCAAGCCCAGGGAGAAGACTCAGGCCAGGAGGGAGCAGGGGACACAGGCCTGGCAGTTCTCCAAATTGAGTTCCTCGGAGCAAACTGCCAGGGGTCATAAGAAGCAACCCCCCAGCAGAGCAAGACAACAGCCAAGTTTGCCCCAAACCCCATTTTGCTTCTTCAAGAAATCCAGCAACAAACACGACTGTTCTCTGCAAACCTTTATATCCCACCCCCAAAGTCCACTCTCACCTGACTCAGGTAACGAGGAACCCAAACACACCTTTTGCTAAATGCAAACTCTGGAGGAAAAAAGGAAGGAACTAAAATTAGTCTCAGGTGCAAGTCAGTGCTTGTTGGGGAAAGCTGTAGCAGACAGCAAATGGAGGTCAACTAGTCCCTGAATTTATTATTATTATTTTTGTTTATTAAATTTATATAGCACCCTTCATTTGTAGATCTCAGGGCGGTTCACAACATAAAAATACAATATAAAAAACACAGAATGCAGAGTAAAAATAAGAACAATACGAAACTAATAGCTCCACCCGCCACACACATTTTAAAGGGTTCTGAAACTGAAACCGTTCTGAAACTGCTTTTGAACTGACGTAGTCTGGAGCTGCGATATTAAATTGGGTTGGCTGCTATATCTGCATTAGGGTGATCTGTTGCATGGTAGAATTACCGAACTGTAGGGCTGGAAGGCAGAGAAAATCAGCACCTCCTGAAATTCTCTCATTGACAGCCCACAGCTATTACTGCCTGCCAGGAATCAGGAATCGCAAAGCAATGGGCAAACGATCTGGTTGTGCTCTTCAGATGTTGAGAGACAACATTTAGGCTCCAATCCTGCACACACTTACCTGAGAGTAAGTCCCATTAAACTCAATGAGCTTACTTCCGAGTAGATGTGTAGGATTGCCCTGTGAGCCATTTTCTAGGATGGGGTAGGAAAGTTTGGGGACCTGAGGTTGTTGGACTCTCAACTCCCATGAACCCTGCCCAGAGTAGCCAGTGGTCAGGGATGGGGGGAGTTTTAGTTCAGCTACATCTGGGTGGCCACAGGGGCCCCAATCCTGTCCTAGGGGACAAAGATAGCTCTACTCAGTGGCGTAGCGTGGGGGGTACAGGGGGGGCTGGCCGCACCGGGTGCAACATCTGGGGGTTAGGGGGCGCAAATCCACGGGTTAGGGGGCGCAAATTACTTGCCTTGCCCCGGGTGCTGACAACCCACGCTACGCCACTGGCTCTACTCAAAAGGTTTCAGCTGGACTTGCAAATGAAACTCCAGTGCTGAGTTGAGTCAACCCCAGAGCACAGCTGTCAACATTTCCCTTTTTTTAAGGTAAATTCCCTTATTCTGAATAGGATTCCTCTCAAGAAAAGGGAAAAGTTGACAGCTATGGCCCAGAGGTTGGTGATAATGGCTGACCCTTATCAACTCACGCAGCTGCATGGGACGATGTTGCAGGTTGACTGAGTTAATTTTCCTCCCTTCTCTTTATGCTTGGGCCAGTTTGAGTATTTCTATTATGGTTCCCTGATTGCATTTTGATTGACAAATAGTTGTCTAGGTACAAACCTGAAGAAAAAAACATAGTTTACTTGTGGATATTAATTGTTTAACTGCAAAATAAAGATGTGCTTTAGTAAAAAAAAAAAAAGTAAAAAAAAATTAGTACTTATTTCATTAACATGGTAGAAGCATAGAATTGTAGAATCTGCTGTTCTGGAGGGTCGGACTCGAGGCAATGGCTTCAAGTCACAAGAAAGGAGATTCCGACTAAACATTCGCAAAAACAATAAGAGCTGTTCAGCAGTGGAACAGACTCCCATGAGAGGTGATGGAATCTCTTTCCTAGATGACTCTTGGGTCCCTTCCAACTCTAAGATTCTATGAGGTTGCTTCCGGCAGCAGATGCCAAGCTGCCGACTGCAGTTGTTGGAAGTAGAAGCGAATCTTGCTCAGCTTTTGGATTTTTTCCTCCTTGTCCTTTCGGTGGCGATTCAGGAACCTGCACAACTTGCTCAGCCCCCTTTCTGGGTCTTCTTGGTAGATGTGCTGGAGCATGGTAAGACACACATTGTGCAGTGCCAAGGTCTTTGCAGAGGGCTCAGAGAGGAGCTTCTGCAACAGGAGGGGTCGCAGGGAGGCGTAGGACTGTATGTTGGAGTAGGCAACGACTGTCCTTTTCTCCATCACAGGGTTAACCTCCAAGACAGTACACAAATCCTTCAGGGCCTTGGCGCAGTCGTCGGCCCGCGTGTCGTTCAGGTCGCCCCAGCGATATGTGTAGTCCAGGCTTTTCAGCGTGTAGCTGGGCAACTCTGGGAACTTCTCCTTAATGAGGGGCAAGGCATCGATGAAACCAAAGATGGAGGCTTTGAATCGTTCCTCCTTGTTGATAGCTTGCAGGGCGTCAACCAGGGCTGGGAGATGGTCCACAGACCAGATGTCGTACCCCACCAAAATGGGCAGGGAGAGGGAGCAGACGTAGTCGAGGAACCCCTCCAGCCCAGTCTCGGAGAATTTGCTTCTTGCGTCTCCGCCAGAGGAAGGCAACAGCGGCCGGATCATGACAGAGCAGCAGTATGCTTCTTCTGCTAGGGCAACCAGGTGCAGGATATCACCCGCTGAAAGAGCAGTGAGAGGAGGTTAGTCCAGATTGACCACAGAGGCATAGGCATCACAAACACAGTGGTACCTCGGGTTAAGAACTTAATTCATTCCGGAGGTCCGTTCTTAACCTGAAACTGTTCTTAACCTGAGGTACCACTTTGGCTAATGGGGCCTCCCACTGCCTCCATGCAATTTCTGTTCTCATCCTGAAGCAAAGTTCTTAACCCGAGGTACTATTTCTGGGTTAGCGGAGTCTGTAACCTGAAGCGTCTGTAACCCGAGGTACCACTGTAAATAAATATTACTCAAGAGCCATCAGGTTATTTCAGGCAAGAAGCCAGGGCAAATGGGTTGCTGATTTATTTATTATCATTTATTTATTGCATTTATACCCTACCTTTTTTCTTCATGGTTCTCCCCGCGTCTCATTTAATCCCACACAACAACCTTGTGAGGTAGGTTGGGCTGAGAGGCGGTGACTGACCCAAAGTCATCCAGAAAGCTTCATGGCTGAGTTGGGGCAAAGCGCCTCCAACTATGGCATGAGAAAGTGAATAGAGAAAAGTCTTTCCCCCTCTCTCATAACACTAGAATTCATGGATAATATTAATATTAATAATAATAATAATAATAATAATAATTATTATTATTTATTATTTATACCCCGCCCATCTGGCTGGGTTTCCCCAGCCACTCTGGGCGGTTTCCAACAGAACACTAAAATACAATAACCTATTAAACATTAAAAGCTTCTCTAAACAGGGCTGCCTTCAGATGTCTTCTAAAGGTTTGGTAGTTGTTTTTCTCTTTGAAGTGGAATGCTGAAAGATTCAGGACAGAGAAACGAAGTCCTCCTTCGTACAGCACAGATTCAAACTGTGGCACTTGCTTCCTCAGGAGGCAGGGATGGCCACCCATTTCAGTGGCTTTTAAAGAGAACTGGACAAATGCATGGAGGGGGAGGGGGCTGCCAATGGCTACTAGCCAGGATGCCTCTGGCGCTGTGGGTTAAACCACAGAGCCTAGGGCTTGTTGATCAGAAGGTCGGCGGTTCAGATCCCCGTGATGGGGAGAGCTCCCGTTGCTCGGTCCCTGCTCCTGCCAACCTAGCAGTTCGAAAGCACATCAAAGTGCAAGTAGATAAATAGGTACCACTCCGGCAGGAAGGTAAACGGCGTTTCCGTGCGCTGCTCTGGTTCGCCAGAAGCAGCTTAGTCATGCTGGCCACATGACCTGGAAGCTGTACACCAGCTCCCTCGGCCAGAGTCGGCCACAACTGGACCTAATGGTCAGGGGTCCCTTTACCTTTAGGATGCCTCTGCTCTGTCTCTACTGTTGGAAGCAGTGATGTTTCTGAATCCCAGCTGCTGGAAAGAGCAGGAGGGGAGAGTTGCTCTTGGGCTCAAATTCCGCTTGCAGGTTTCCCACAGGCATCTAGTTGGCCACTGTGAGAACAGGATGCTGGACTGGATGGGCCACTGGCCTGATGCAGCAGGCTCTTATGTTCTAGGTAGCCATATGCCATTGATAGACTGACCTCCTCCCCCCGTGCTTTAAGGGTATTTTTAGAAGGCAACGCCGGGGTGTGTGTGTGTGTGTGTGTGTGAGCACCTGATCTCCTTCCGCTTCCCCACAAACATATTCACTGTGGTTATCCAGTTTGCTCAGAGGCCAAGCAACGGGTGCACATTTGTGTCATGAACCTGTGCTCCTGCATCTTTTAAGTGCCTTGCAATACCCTTGCTACTCCACCCTTAGAAACCACCTGAGTTAGTGACCATCAGCACACCTTGTAGCTAGAAAGACCGTAGGTAATCTCAGATCACCACCATGCATTTAAAGCGCCCTTATAAAAAGGTAAAGGTACCCCTGCCCGTACGGGCCAGTCGTGTCCGACTCTAGGGTTGCGTGCTCATCTCGCTTAAGAGGCCGGAGGCCGGCGCCATCCGAAGACACTTCCGGGTCACGTGGCCAGCGTGACGAAGCTGCAGCTGGCGAGCCAGCACCAGCGCCGCACACGGAAATGCCGTTTACCTTCCCGCCTGAGCGGTACCTATTTATCTACTTGCACTTAGGGGTGCTTTCGAACTGCTAGGTGGGCAGGAGCTGGGACCAAACGACGGGAGCTCACCCCGCCGCGGGGATTCGAACCTCCGACCTTACGATCGGCAAGTCCTAGGCACTGAGGTTTTACCCACAGCGCCACCCGCGTCCCTTAAAGCGCCCTTATACCTCTTTATTAATCCAGAATGTGGCAGCTATAGTAGATTGGTGACTGAGACTGCAATGCGCTCTATGTGGGGCTACCTTTGAAGGTGACCCAGAAACTACAACTAATCCAGAATGTGGCAGCTAGACTGGTGACTGGGAGCAGCCGCCGAGACCATATAACACCGGTCCTGAAAGATCTTCATTGGCTCCCAGTACGTTTCCGAGCACAATTCAAAGTGTTGGTGTTGACCTTTAAAGCCCTAAACGGCCTCAGTCCTGTATACCTGAAGGAGCGTCTCCACCCCCATCGTTCAGCCCGGACACTGAGGTCAAGCGCAGAGGGCCTTCCGGTGGTTCCCTTGCTGCAAGAAGTGAGGTTACAGGGAACCAGGCAGAGGGCCTTCTTGGTAGTGGCACCTGCCCTGTGGAACGCCCTCCCAGGAGATGTCAAGGCAATAAGCAACTATTTTACTTTTAAAAGACAACTGAGGACAACAGGATTCCCTGTTTAGGGAAGTTTTTAATGTATTGTTTTTAACATTCAGTTGGAAGCCGCCCAGAGTGGCTGGGGAAACCCAGCCAGATGGGCGGGGTACAAATAATAAATTATTATAATATTATTATTTATCTATTCCGTAAAATTTACGCACTGCTTGATTGGAGGAAACCTCAAAGGGCCTTACAAAAAGACTTTAGCGCTAGCTGCAGTCCCCAAACTATCTTCAAGGGCAGTCCCACGTAAAGAACATCACAGTAATCTAACCACAAGGTGGCCAGGCTATCCCTTTCCACGAAGTTGGGGAAAGGGGCTCCCAATGTCGGAGCACCCCAGACTTTCAAGGGTATGTGCATGACAAACACACCCACCTGCCGGAACAGGCCACCTGCCACAGGACCTGAGTCTTGTCAGGATTCTGCTTGCCCTGACTGAGCCTCCAAGTCAAGGTGGGTTTTTGGTATCATCATGTACTTGTGGATTTCTCCTGTGGCCCCTGGCTAGGCACCACTGGAAAACAGAAGGCTGATCTGATCTGATACCAGCTTGTGCTCTCATTGGAATGTATGTTGGAAGAAGAAAAAGTTGGTAGCATCTTCCCTGCTGGTGAGCAGGGGCAGCAGGTGAGCAGCCCCTTTCCTGATGCCCTTCTGATACGCCTGCCTCTCCCTTCACTCCCAATTAGGGATAGGAACATATACCAATTTTGGTTTCTCTCTGTTTCTCTTTTTCCAGTCTTAGGTTTGGTTCTCCACAGTTCCACATCAGTTTGTAGTTTTTTTAAAAAAGAGAAACTCCTCATGAAAAGCCACCAATATTTCAGTTCAAATCTCTCCTCATCTAGACATTTGTGTGCACAGTTTTGCCCAATCTGCACATTTCTGCAAACCAGTTTTCCCTAGTATAAGACATTCTTGTAGCGGCTTTTGATACAATTGATCATAATATCCTTCTGGACCGTCTAGAGGAGCTGGGGGCACTGCTATACAGTGGTTCTACTCCTTCCTCCTAGGCCGTGTCCAAAAAGTGGTGGTGGGGGATGAGTGTTCAGACCCTGGGCTCTCACTTGTGGGGTGCCTCAGGGTTCTGTCCTCTCCCCCATACTTTTTAACATCTACATGAAGCTGCTGGGAGAGATCATCAGGGGGTTTGGGCTGGGTGTCCATCAATATGCGGATGATACCCAGCTCTACCTCTTTTAAATTGGAACCAGTGAAGGCAGTGAAGGTCCTGTGTAAGTGCTTGGAGGCAATTGGAGGATGGATGGCGGATAATGGATTGAGGTTGAATCCTGACAAGACAGAAGTACTATTCTTGGGGAACAGGGGGCGGGCTGGTGTGGAGGACTCCCTGGTCCTGAATGAGGTAACTGTGCCCCTGGAGGACCAAGTGCTCAGCCTGGGAGTCATTTTGGACTTACAGCTGTCAATGGAGGCACAGGTCAATTCTGTGTCCAGGGCAGCTGTCTACCAGCTCCATCTGGTATGCAGGCTGAGACCCTAACTGCCCATGGACTGTCTCCACCCCCATCGTTCTACCCGGACACCAAGGTCCAGTGCCAAGAGCATTCTGGCGGTTCCCTTGCTGCAAGAAGTGAGGTTCCAGGGAACCAGACAGAGAGCTTTCTTGGTGGTGGTGCCTGCCCTGTGGAACGCCCTCCCATCAGATGTCAAAGAGATAAACAACTGCCTGACATTTAGAAGACATCTGAAGGCAGCTCTGTTTTGGGAAGTTTTTAATGTGTGACATTTTAATGTATTTTTAATCTTTGTTGGAAGCCGCCCAGAGTGGCTGGGGAGACCCAGCCAGATGGGCGGGGCACAAATAATAAATTATTATTATTATATATCCTTTTTAGCAATATATGTGTGTTTTTATGCACAGTTTACCCTGGGATATGCAATTTTGTGCGCGTGACTTGACTGGATAACTGCACTGCCAAATTCAGACTGTGCAGAAGTGCAGACTTTGCAGGATGGCTGGGTTTTGGTTTATGCATTGTTTTGGAAATTGCAAATCAAGTGGATTTGCCTTCAAATGCAAATTGAACTGAATTGCTCCCCCACCCCTTCTTCCCAAGCGATAATTTTGCAGTATCTGATTTCAAAAGTGGCTCTCAGCCCCTTACGTAGAAGTTTCAGGTCGAAGAACACCATGGTCCCTTGCCCCAACTGAAACTCCTGCCTCTGGCGTTCTTCCTGGCTATTCTGTGATCTGTTCCTGATGTCCTGTAGCAAGCTAGATTCCTGGCGAGAAGACAGACAAGTGGGGAGGGGGGACGACACTTCAGAGATTATGGGCCACTGACTCACCTCCCTCCCCCAGCCACAACCACTGCACTGCTGCCTTGGGGATGGAGAGTTCCACGACTCAGAAAAAAGAGCATTGTGACAACTTAAAAGACTAACAAGATTTTATTCACAGAATCACAGAACTGTTGAGAAGGAAGATACCCCCAAGCAGGGCTGGATTTAGGTTTGATGAGGCCCAAAGCTACTGAAGGTAATGGGGGTCCTCTATATGCCCAGCTGTCCTCTGGCAACAACAAATTGCTGCTGTTTTTTGTGTTGAATATATGCTTTATGGTAATTTATGGACCTAATAGGTATCTAAAGCCATTTGCACATAACAAAATATGTATTTTATCAAAGCAATTGTTGAACTGAAATACAATTAAGAAGTATATTAACAGTGAAATACAATTAAGAAGTATATTTTGGGGGGCCCCCAAGAGAGTGGGGCCCTAAGCTATAGCTTGTTTAGCTTGTACATAAATCTGGCCCTGCCCCCAAAGGTCATCTGGTCCAAACCCCTAGGAATTGCAGTGAAAATGTCACGAGTAAGATTTTTGTACTCAAACATCACCTTTCGGCTGATTTACAAAGTGGACCATTAAGATGATTCCTCATCATCCTGGAAAAAAGTGACATATGGGATGCCGCAGGGTTCTGTCCTGGCCCCATTGTTGTTAAACATCTTTATAAATGACTTGGATGAAGGAATTGAGGGGGTGCTCATCAAACTTGCAGGTGACAGCAAACTGGGAAGGGTAGCCAATGTCGCAGAAGACAGACTCTGGATTCAAAAGGGCCTTCACAGACTGGAGACCTGGACTTAAAACTTACAAAATGAATTTCAATGGGTACAAATGTTCTACACTTAGGCAGGAGGAACCAGATGCACAAATATATGATGGGGGGACACCTGGCTTACTAGCAGTACATGTGAAAAGGATCCAAGGGTCTTAGGAGACCACAAGCTTCACATGAATGAACAGTGTGATGCAGCAGCAAAAAAGGTGAATGCTATTCTAGGCTAGTGCCCAGATCAAGGCAAGGAACAGTTCCACTCTACTCTGCCTTGGTCAGACCCCACCTGGAATACTATGTCCAATTCTGGGCACCACAATTTAAGAAGGATGTTGACAAGTTGGAAGGTGTGAAGAGGAGGGCCACCAAGATGACCGAGGGTCTGTAAACCAAGCCTTATGAGGAGTGGTTGAAGGAGCTGGGTATATTTAGCCTGGAAAATAGGAGACTGAAAGGAGATATGATAGCCATCTTCAAATATTCCAAGGCCTGTCACATGGAGGATAGAACAAGCTTGTTTTCTCCTGCTCTGGAGGGTAGGACTCAAACCAGGGCCGGATTTAGGGTTGATGAGGCCCTAAGCTACTGAAGGTAATGGGGCCCTTTATAGGTCCTGTTGTCCTTTGTCAACAACAAATTGTCGCTGTTTATTGTGTTGAATATATGCTATGGTAATTTATGGACCTAACAGGTTTCTAAAGCCATTTGCACACAACAAAATATGTACGGTATTTTATCAAAGTAATTGTTGAACTGAAATACAATTAAGTAGAAGTATATTAATAGTGAAATACAATTAAGAAAAAGTATGCTTTTTGGAGGGGGGGCAAGAGAGTGGGGCCCTAAGCTATAGCTTGTTTAGCTTATACGTAAATCCAGCACTGACTCAAACCCATGGCTTCAAGTTACAAGAAGGGATATTCTGGTTAAACATCAGGAAGAACTTTCTGACAGTGAGAGCTGTTTGACAGTGGAACAATTTCCCTCAGGAGGTGGTGGACTCTCCTTCCTTGGAGGTTTTTAAGCAGAGGTTAGATGGCCATCTGTCATGGATACTTTAGCTGAGATTCCTGCATTGCAGGGGGCTGGACTAGATGACCCTCAGGGTCCCTTCCAACTCTGCAATTCTACGAACATCGAAGGTTTGCTTCGCTGCGCCTACGTCACAATCAGGTGCAAGAAAAGGATTGCTTTTTTATTATTCTGTATAGTTGAAAAGGGCCACCAACGTGCTGTGAGACCACGGCCTTCACAAGGGACTCCGTTGTCCAGGGGGCAGTGAGGAGGGCACCATGCGACAGCGTGGCAGCACCTGGGTCTCTGCACTCACCACAGATTCGTCGTCGGTGACTTCGTCTCCCGAGGAAATGCTCACAGGAGCATCACCTGCAAGAGAAAAGCCGGACATCCAATGAAGGCTAGCCTTCTGCGCTGGCCTTTCCCACTGCCATGTGGCTCTTAATATCAGAAAGCACTTTCTAATGTTAAGTTACAATATACAGTGATAGCTCGGGTTACAGACTCCGCTAACCCAGAAAGAATACCTCGGGTTAAGAACTTTGCTTCAGGATGAGAACAGAAATCGCACAGCGGCGGCACGGTGGCAGCAGGAGGCCTCATTAGCTAAAGTGGTGCTTCAGGTTATGAACAGTTTCAGGTTAAGAATGGACCTCCAGAACGAATTAAGTTCTTAACCTGAGGTACCACTGTACACACAAACAAACACATTATTATTTTTGGACGAGGCACACTTCTTTCACAGCTGGCTCCAGTTTAAAAGAGGCATTCCTGTCTTTCTTTCAACCAGGTAATGCTTCTTCCGAGATTTGTGTATGTACCTGTATTAAAAATATATACAGTGGTACTTCGGGTTAAGAACTTAATTCGTTCCAGAGGTCCATTCTTAACCTGAAACTGTTCTTAACCTGAGGTACCACTTTAGCTAATGGGGCCTCCCGCTGCCGCCGCACAATTTCTGTTCTCATCCTGAAGCAAAGTTCTTAACCCGAGGTACTATTTCTGGGTTAGTGGAGTCTGTAACCTGAAGCGTCTGTAACCTGAGGTACCACTGTATTTTTGAAAACCTGATTTATTGTGGGTGTCTTTTAATCAATAGAGAAGGTTTAAATCCACTATGTGACCTGACTGATTAAACTGGGGGTGGGGAGACCACACCCCTCCAGAGTGGCCAATGGTCAGGGATGCGGGTGGGAATTGTAGTTCAACGACATCTGAAGTGCACCAGGTTCCTTACACTTGGTGGCCAAGTCGTTCAGGTGATGGATTAGAAATCCACTGGGATCTTGCCCCATGGGTTCAAATCCTGCTGACGACGTACCAATGTTACTATTTGAGAGCTAGCGTGGTGTAGTGGTTGATCAGACGATGACCGGGGAGAGACCAGGGTTCAAGTCCCCACTCAGCCATGAAGCTCAACGGGTACCTTGAGGCCAGTCCCTGCCCCTCAGCCTAAGAATGGGGAGGTGCGGAGCTCATTGGCGAAAAAGGTGGGGTATGAATGCCACAGATAAATAAAAATACCTGGATTAAACAATTCAGCCTTCTTTAGGCTGTCGATTTCACAATGAGAAGCTCACTTCTCACGATGAGAAGCCATTAGTATCCCGCCCCCCTCAAAAAAGATATCAAAAATGTGTGACTGGGTCTTAAGAATCCCTGAGTAAAACAGCAGCTTCTGTCTGTACCTGACTCAGACAGCTCTGGGTCAGACCTGGGGGGCCACTTTGAGCTGTCCATGCCTTCTCCTGCCTTGTCCCTGCTCCCTGCGGAAGGGGAGCATCCTGGAGATTGAGAACTGGTCCAAGTTTGTTCCAGCCTCCTGTTGCTAGGCAGCTGCCTGGATCTGGCACCATCGTAATCATGTTCCATTTTCACCACTTTTGTAGGGGTCTGGACAGCCCTTTCCAGGTAGGCACAGTTCCTCTTTGCTGGCGACTTCGCGAGGCGGCCCTAGGAGTAGGAATAGGATGATATGGCCATTAATTGATTAATTCCTTTGTGCAGCAAAAGCCACTACAAAGTGAGATACAAAAAAACCCCAAAACCACACAAACAAAAATATTACGCAGTTAAAATAATCGTTAAAGTTAGGCTTTCCATCTAATAAAAAATTCCTCTTCTGAAGAATTCAACTTAGGCCCACAAATATTTCTCACTGAAAATGCCACTCTAAAGACAATGCAGGCCATCTTTGTCAGAAATGTTAAGGGGACCTGTCCCCTAATAAAAAGTGTGGCGAAAAGAAATGAATGATTCTGAGACATTTGAATTTAAAAGAAATGTTGTTTAACAGAAAGTGGAGAAGATGGATGCTATCATGGAGTGCATATCTTAAATAACTTCTTTATGTAACTGGCAGATGGAAAATCAGAAGTCTGTTTTATTTTTATTTGTTGTTTCTTTTTCTTTTCTCCCCCCCTCTCTTTCCTTTCTTTTTCCTGCTTCTTTCTTTTTATCCCCCCCCTTTCTCTTCTTCATTATTTCTTTCGAGTCCTACATCTGGGGTCTTTATTAGGGTCCAGGGACTGCATGTTCATGGGGTGGAAAATGGTTGATGGAGGACCCTGGATGGGAGACTGGGAAGTGCCAGTCTCCCAGGGTGAGAGAACTACTTTTAAGAGAGGGCTTCGTATTCTATTTTTACTTTGGGTAGCTGTTTCTGTTTTTTATTTACATTCCTTTTCTATACCTTATTGTATCACAACAAAACTTTAATAAAAATCTTAACTGATTTTAACAAAATCAGGTATTGGACCCAGGATAATAAATCAGTACAGAATATGGTTGAGATATGAACCCAGGGGAAGTATGGATGAGCCCTCAGATTCTTCCACATCACATAGTGTTGCCATAAAATCCAGACACAAAAGTTATTGAGCTTTGGGGGGGGCGGGGGGGGGTTGCCTGAAGTTGTTGAGCTTTAAAGCTAATTTAAAGAAAAGTTGCCCAAACCAACACTGCCAACATGGGTTGCCATACGACTGGCATTTTTGCAATTTCCACCTGGAAACTGCTTCCAACTGCAGTATTATGCGTATGTCCAGGGACGTGGGTGGCACTGTGGTCTAAACCACAGAGCCTAGGGCTTGCAGATCAGAAGGTCGGTGGTTCGAATCCCCATGAGCTCCCATTGTTCGGTCCCAGCTCCTGGCCCACCTAACAGTTCGAAAGCACGTCAAGTGCAAGTAGATAAATAGGTACTGCTCCGGCAGGAAGGTAAACGGCGTTTCCGTGTGCTGCTCTGGTTCACCAGAAGTGGCTTTGTTATGCTGGCCACATGACCCAGAAGCTGTCTGTGGACAAACACCGGCTCCCTCAGCCTATAGCGCAAGATGAGCGCACAACCCCAGAGTCATCTGCGACTGGACCTAACGGTCAGGGGTACCTTTACCAGGAAATTCCAGACGTATGGCAACCCTAGCATTACCCCACATTTTTACTGTTCCAATCTCTCTCCCTCTCCCTCTCTCTCTCTCTCTCTCTCTCTCTCTCTCTCTCTCTCACACACACACACACACACACACACACCCTAGAAGGAAGCCCCCTTCCCACATTCGTCACAACCAGAGAATGCAGGACAGTGGGAGGGGAACAGAGGGAAGGGAATTGTGTTTTCTGACTTACCAGATTACTGGTGCTTGCGTTGCTGCTGCTGCTGCTGGGGCCATCTGAGTCGCTGGCATCTGTCTTTCTGGCCACCGCATTAAGGCGATGGCGGGGAGGCTGTTTTTCAGACCCTCCCTGAGGATGGGTAATGCAAACAGTTTTATGAGTGTTTTAATAGAGAAAACTCCCCCTATCATCACATGAATACTCTGGAGTTAGCTATTTGTGGTAGTGTTTATAATAAAACAGTAGCAAGGTGAAGGCTCCACTCATTCCCTCCCCAGAGGTCCAAAATGTGAGGAGTCACCTCCAACTTGTGTATCTAATTGTGTTCTGAACACTCTGTGAAGGTTTCCACCGTGAGGCACGAAAACTTAGTTCAAGACACACACCGTTTACAGAGGATTTTAAGCAGCCCAATTTGATGGCAGGCAAAGACTCTCTTGTTCCAACAGGCTTTTGGGAACTGCCTGTTTTTAAGGAAAGGACTAGTGCTGGGGTGTTTTTATTGCAAAGATCTGTATATCTTAATAGACATATGCTTAAATGTTTTTAAGGATGTTCCCCTCCCCAGTTTTTAGCTGTTTCTGTTTTATCTGTGAGCTGCCTTTGACTAGATGACTGAAAATACTCAGAGTTGAGAGCGGATTTCATGCTCTTTATTCAGCTCATAGTGGTGAGGAGGAATGGAAGTTCCCCCAGGATGTCTGCTTTATATACATTATTTACACAATGGGCCCCACATGATTGGCTAACTCCAGGATTCACCTGTAGGCCAATCAGGTTGTGGATTCACTTCCACCTAGAGCTGGATTGGGTGGCTCCTGTGGACCAATCAGACTGCTGCATTCTGGGTCCTATTGTTCTAGGACCAATCAGACTGCTGCATTCTGAATCCTATTGTTCTAGGACCAATCAGACTGCTGCATTTTGGATCCTATTATTCTAGGACCAATCAGACTGCTGCATTCTGAATCCTATTGTTCTAGGACCAATCAGACTGCTGCATTCTGGATCCTATTGTTCTAGGACCAATCAGACTGCTGCATTCTGAATCCTATTGTTCTAGGACCAATCAAACTGCTGCATTTTGGATCCTATTGTTCTAGGACCAATCAGACTGCTGCATTTTGGATCCTATTGTTCTAGGACCAATCAGACTGCTGCATTCTGAATCCTATTGTTCTAGGACCAATCAGACTGCTGCATTCTGAATCCTATTGTTCTAGGACCAATCAGACTGCTGCATTCTGAATCCTATTGTTCTAGGACCAATCAGACTGCTGCATTCTGGATCCTATTGTTCTAGGACCAATCAGACTGCTGCATTCTGAATCCTATTGTTCTAGGACCAATCAAACTGCTGCATTTTGGATCCTATTGTTCTAGGACCAATCAGACTGCTGCATTCTGAATCCTATTATTCTAGGACCAATCAGACTGCTGCATTCTGAATCCTATTGTTCTAGGACCAATCAGACTGCTGCATTCTTAATCCTATTGTTCTAGGACCAATCAGATTGCTGCATTCTGAATCCTATTGTTCTAGGACCAATCAGACTGCTGCATTTTGGATCCTATTCAACTCAGTCATGACAATGACCCTCAGGGGCTTTCCAACTCTAGAATTCTAATTCTATGAGCATATTTTCCAAGCCACTCAGCCCCTGCTAGGATTTCACTTCCGCTCAAGGATTCGAAAGCAACTTGCCCTGCCTATCTAACCCCATTCGCTATCCAGTGGTTAAACTGTCAGCTTCTCCCTTAAACTCTCTCTTTTCTCTCCTGAGTGGCATCTTTGAAAAGATCCCTTATATATGCAGCTGGAGTTTGTCAGTGTGGAGATGCCAGTTCATGATGAACACCAGAGATGGGGGAACCTTCAGCCCTCCAGAATTTGTAGGGCCACAACTCCCATCATCCTTAGCCATTGGCCATGCCGCCTGGGACTGATGGGAACTGGAGTCCACTAGCGTCTGGAGGCTCACTTGTTCCCCAGTCCCAATGTATGCAAAAGCCGCTCTCACCTGGTTGGGTGCAGTTTCTGGTCCACCTGGGACAGCTTCTGAAAAAGAGTGAGGCATTATTAATTAGAAAATGGAGCAAATTGGTCTGTTCCTATTCAGAGACAGAATCACCAAGTATTTCAATCCTGCAGCCATTACTGGCATATCTGTGTTAGTTTTCCATCTTCCTATTCAGTGCACAAAACTTTAAGGAATGTATTTCACTTTGAAACTTTACTGTTCTATAAAACTGACCATCCTTGCACCAGAAAGCATTAATGAAAAGACCTTTTTAACTTTTGCCTGTCAATCATCCTTATTGTTCTATATAATCATAAATCCTACAGACTCCCACTTCTTAGGACCGTCTCCATTTTGCAACAGCGCAACCTGTAAGAGGCAGCTTGCTTCTGAGCGCCAGTAGCTGGGAGCTGCGGTTGACGGGAGGGCTACTATTGCGCCCGGGTACTGCTCTGGGGGCTTCCTGCAAGGAGCAGCCAGTTGGCTGACGGTGAGAACGAGATGGCCAGCAGTCTTTTCTTATGACTTTGCATAGCTGACCTGGGGGCATCCAGCTTTTGTCAAACTGTGGGCAGGGATGAAGTATCAGCAAAATATTGCATCCGCGTTTGTCACCTAAGATTAGGTGACAAATTATATACCGAGTCGAACCACTGGTCTGTGCAGCTGTGTGTTGTCTGCTTTTGCTGGCAGTGTCAAGATGCCAGGATTTCAACCAGGGCCAGTGGTGCAGTTAGGGAAATTTTAGACTACAGTAATAATTTAGTATTTATACCGCGCCCATCTGGCTGGGTTTCCCCAGCCACTCTGGGCGGCTTCCAACCGAATATTAAAAACAATACAGCATCAGACATTAAAAACTTCTCTAAACAGGGCCGCCTTCAGTTGTCTTTTAAAAGTAAAATAGTTGTTTATTGCCTTGACATCTGCTGGGAGGGTGTTCCACAGGGCAGGTGCCACTACACAGAAGGCCCTCTGCCTGGTTCCCTGTAACCTTACTTCTTGCAGTGAGGGAACCGCCAGAAGGCCCTTGGCGCTGGACCTCAGTGTCCAGGCTGGATGATGGGGGTGGAGACACTCCTTCAGGTATACAGGACCGAGGCTGTTTAGGGCTTTAAAGGTCAGCACCAACACTTTGAATTGTGCTCGGAAACGTACTGGAAGCCAATATAAGTCTTTCAGGACCGGTGTTATATGGTCTCAGCAACCACTCCCAGTCACCAGTCTAGCTGCCGCATTCTGGATTAATTGCAGTTTCTGAGTCACCTTCAAAGTTAGCCCCACGTAGAGCGCATTGCAGTAGTCCAAGTGGGAGATAACTAGAGCATGCACCTTTCCATTAAGTCCAGACTCTGGGCTTAATGATCTTATGGGCGGCACTTTTTAAGATGGGTCATGTGCATTCCTTCACCTGTGGTCCTGGGGGCCACTCCTGCTCATTCTGTTGATGGGGTCTCTAGACTTCCACCCTGAAGCCTACCAGCTAAACAATTCTCCTTCACTCAAAAGTTTGTCACAGTGATGGCCACATACAAAAAGTATGACCTCTTACAATCTGTGCAAATCTGTCACAAAAAAAGTGGGCAGCAGCTGCGCAGATATTTTTGTTCTGCCTATCTGGAGACGAGCTGCAGAAAGTATTCAATCTAGATACTCACTCTGAAAGCTGAAATCTCTCTGCACATGAGCTATGACAGTATGTTGAGAGCTTCTGACTGGCGGGTGTGTAAGAGGAAACACCAACAAGGTGGCTCTGATTATTTCTTTGCTCTGGCAAAGAACCAGTGTAGAAGTCCTGCCCTGGTGCCACCACTGGGCCTAGGCCTTTCCACACACAGAGCAGGAGGTCTGCCACTGGGCTCACTTCCTCTCCTACCCAGTCACACCAGCCAGTCATTGCTCTTCAAGACTCTCACCTCTGGCCTTTGTCACTCTTTCATACAGAGCCTGGAGCTGGGCCTTGACCTCTGCAAAGTCCCTCGCTTGGATCTGGAAATTGACAGCTGGTGGCTGGTTATCTCTGAGCTTCTCCAGCGAACATTTGATGTAGGGTTGCATCTCCAAGACCACCTGATCAGAGGCGTAGAGCTGCATCTTCTCCACCAGCTGCTCGCTGGATGCTATCCTCTTGACCAGGCCTTCCACGTCCTTGAGCCCCCTCTCTACATCCTTGACTTGTTGCTGGTGCTGGTCCTCCACTTCTGCTAGGAACTTGGCCTCCTTTTCTTGCAGCACCTTCACCATCTTGGCAATCTGTTGCTGGATCAGCTCCCTCGTCTCGTTCCTCGTCTTCTCCATGCTTGCCACCAGCTCCTGGAGGCTGCGGTAGGTTTCGCTGTGGTTGCTTTTCTTGAGCTCTCTTTGCATGCTCTGCAGCTCGTTTTGCATGCGCTTGATTTCGTCCGGTATTTCGCAGTGCTGGCTCTGGTGTTTGCTGTCCAGCGTAGCGCAAACCACGCACATGGGCCGCTTACACTCATTGCAATAGACTCTGTAAATCAAACGCCATTGGCTTTGTTATTGGGACTGCTGCTCATAGTTATTATTATTATTAATAGTTTTTTCATTATGATTATTTTAAATTCTAGTAACACCGAAAATAAGTTCTTTTTAAAAAGATAAAGCTAAAGGTAAAGGGACCCCTGACCAATAGGTCCAGTCGTGACTGACTCTGGGGTTGCAGCGCTCATCTCGCTTTATTGGCTGAGGGAGCCGGCGTACAGCTTCCGGGTCATGTGGCCAGCATGACTAAGCCGCTTCTGGTGAACCAGAGCAGCGCACGGAAACACCATTTACCTTCCCGCCAGAGTGGCACCTATTTATCTACTTGCACTTTGACGTGATTTCGAACTGCTAGGTTGGCAGGAGCTGGGACCAAACAACAGGAGCTCACCCCGTCGCAGGGATTTGAACCGCCGACCTTCTGATCGGCAAGTCCTAGGCTCTGTGGTTTAATGCACAGTGCCACCCGCGTCCTTTTTAAAAAGATAAGTTGTCACAATTGCCAATATTGATGCACTGAGTTGATCATAAAACATCCAGAGAGGGAAAGAATGTTTACTGAACCCAGACACTCACATAGACCTGCGGTACTGGCTCATTTTGATTGTATGTAATCTGCTCTGGGAGTCTTTCTGGCTCAACCACAGGGCACAAATGCTCTAAATAAATACATGCAACCTGATGCTTCTGAGCTGCTGTATTTGTATATAAAATAAAATTAGACCAAACAGTCAAGAAGGAAACCTCATCCTTAGATCCATCTGAATCCAGGAAGTTGGATTCCGTTGGAGGCAGCCCACTGGATCAGGCCAATGGCCCATCTAATCCAGCGTCTTATTCTCACAGTGGCCAACCAGACACCCATGGGAGGAAACCCACAAGCATTCAGGCAGAGGATGGGACAGTGGGCTCAACCCTGGCACTCAAAATAAGAGCTCAGCAGAGCCGTCTTTCCTATTGGGCTTAGTGGTGCATCATGCCAGGGCGCCGGCCTCTCAGGGGCGCCCCAGCGAGTGGGGGGGGGCTCGCGGGAGGAGAGTGATCCCCGCAGAGGCTTGGGTAAAGGTCAACATCCCTGGAAATGGGGGGGGGGTGCCGAAGGGATCTTTGCACCACGGCGCAGACGGCCCTGGATCTCAGACTGAGAATGAAGCGCTGACGGACCACCTACCTTGCAGCATCGTTATTGTGGGTTTTTTTGGGACAGTTCATGACACTTTGCTTTCTGCTCTCTGCAAGGAACTTTGCGCTCGACATGCCCTGGAGATTCTTCAGTGTTTTGACTTCATGGAGGCTGTTCTTCTTGACTCTCTCGTGGTTTGTGAAACACACGCCGTCGCAAAAGTGCCAGTCACATTCGGAACACCAGAACACCGCCTCTCTCTCAGAGCTACAGCTGCAGGCCAAATCTTGGCCTTGGCTGATCTTCTGGAAGATGCTCAGCTGGGACTGAAGGTTTGCAAAGAGCATGTTGGGCTTCAGTTCAGGGAGAGAGTATGGGGATCTGCATATGGCACAGTGACCACTGGGCTGGTTTTCTTTGAGGCACTGGGTGCACAGGTTGTGAAGGCATGGCAGCAGTTTGGGGCTCTGAACTTCCCCGTGGCAACTCTCACACAAGAGGAACTGTAATTCACCCATCTCCTGTTGTGGAAAAACAAGGATAAGGGGCAATAGTTTGGAAGATGCCCATTAAGCTTCAAGTAGGGATAGGAAAATGGGGGGTGGGGGAATCATCAGCATTTTGCTGCAAATTCCTCCCAGCTTACACATTTCTGTATGACATTTTTTCCGTAACTGCATGTTTTGGAAAGCAAAGGTGAATCTACATTGTCTATCAGAGATCCCACAAGCCCCACTTTGCAGCTGAATCTCCTGACTCGCAGGTCTGGCCTTTCTCAGAGGGGGCTACTGCTCTTGGAACTTCAGCGCCCAGGTGTTCTAAGGGTTTGCATCCTCTTGAGCCAGAGGACACAGCTACCTACTACTTTGGAGAAGGGAAGCCTCTCCTGGCTCTTGGCCTCTCAGCTGCCACGGTTGCCAAATGCACAACTGGCTCAAACACAGATCAGGTTACAAGGTACACAAGCCAGCAATTGTATCAGAGCACTAAGGCACATGGCTGGGCATAAGATAAGATGCTGTCCCAACACCTTATATGCCCCCTGAGCTCTCCTTTTTACAGTTTCGGGTTGAGGCAGGGCATGAATTATTATTTATAACGGAAACTACGTACTTAGCATTGCCTAACACAATTGCAAGGAGGCAGAATGAGTTAATAATTACTCATTTCCTGATAACTTCCAGCTTCCTGCTGAGTTAAGAAAAGGACCAAACCTAGATGAAGGTATTCTTGCAAGGACACACAAGAACGTAAGACTCTGGATCCGGCCCATGGTTCATCTAGCCCAGCATCCTCTTCTCGGGGTGGAAGACCAGATGCCTTTGCAAATCCCACAAGTACGACATGAGCACAACTCCCCGCCCCCAACCCTCTGTGACTGGTATGCAAAGTCTTACTGCCTCTAACAGCGGACATGAAAAATGCCTTTTCCCAAAACACTTTTAGATGGGGACAAATCCCTTTCCTGGGTAAGACAGAGTATTTGCTGGTTCCACTCTGGTGACTGTGATATCGATTCTGTTCAGAGCCTCTTAGGGACTCTGGCCCCTCTTCGCTCCCACCACGCCCTGTATTACAGATGGAAGCCAATTTCATTTCCTTCAGTTTCTCATTTCTCCCCCCATCTTAAATCCAGTTCTCTACATTTTGCAGGAATTTGTGGGTTTGTTTGTTTTTTTAAATTGTCGTGAAAATTCACCAGCACTTTAGTGCAGTTTTTTCAGAATAAACACATCTTTAGATGCAGTCTTGACTAATGCACACATTTTTGCAAGCAATTCCTCCCAGCATATTGCATTTTCACTGGTAAAATATGCATTTCTGTAAACATTGCAAAATTTGGACAACTGGAAATTTTAGAGAATAGCTTTGTTTTGGTTTGAATATTGTCCAGAAAACATTAACTTGGTAGATTTAGCTGTAAATAACAACAACAACAACTTACTGTATTATTTATACCCCGTCCATCTGGCTGGGTTTCCTTACTGAACCGAGTTTCTCCCCCCTGCCTGTCCTTAATTCTCTATATCTCCTCCCCTCCTTCGCTTTCACCCTCCCCTCCTCTACTTTTAACATACACACAAATTCCTATGTTAGAGCTTATGACTTGCAGGACCAGCGCCAGGGCTGGGGGGGGGGGGAGCATCGGGGTCTCCTGCTGGGAAACAGCTCCCTCTGGGCTGCAGTAGCTTGAAAAGGAGGGGTGGGCGCCCTGAGGACCCCCTAAAAGCTGGACCCCCTACAAACTGATCTCTTGTCACGGCACGGAAGTGGAGCAAATCTGGAAAGAGCTTCCGAAGGATGCCTTGGCTGTAAATGCCCCCGAGAGTTTCCTTGTTCCCTGAAACTCAGCCGAGTCCTCCCAGGACAAGTCCAGGGTCCTACCTGGCTCTCGGAGAGGGATGCTGAGGTCGCCTGAGCCATGCTTGTCTTCCCACGAAGCTCTTTCCTCTTCCAGATGAGCTCTTAACGGAGAAGGGAGGCTGCCCGGATACTTCTGATTTTTAGCTTTCGTTTTCTTAGAAACGGAAGGTCTTCCTGCTTGTTGTGTGCGCCCGTGGGCGTAGCCAGGATTTATGTTGGGGCATGACTGTCAACTTTCAGATTTGAAAATAAGGGATCAGCAGCCTCGAAAATAAGGGATCAGCAAGGAATTTTCCGCAAAAAAGGGAAGGTTGGCAGCTATGTGTTGGGGGGGGGGGGGGCGAGGATTTATTGGTGGGAGGACCAGAACGGAGCTATCTGCAACACGTCTGGTCAGTTAGTTAAGTACAGTGGTACCTCAGGTTAAGAACTTAATTCGTTCTGGAGGTCCGTTCTTAACCTGAAACTGTTCTTAACCTGAGGTACCACTTTAGCTAATGGGGCCTCCCACTGCCACTGTGCTGCCACCACACAATTTCTGTTCTCATCCTGAAGCACAGTTCTTAACCCGAGGTACTATTTCTGGGTTACTGGAGTCTGTAACCTGAAGCGTATGTAACCCGAGGTACCACTGTATTTATTTCCTTGATTTAGTGGGGAGCTGCCTAAAATAGCTGCTCTATTTATCTTCTCTTAGCTTCTGTGCTGGCATTGCTGGTTTCTGTCCTGCCCGGCTACTGTCTCTCATCTTGCTGCAATTGGGTGTTAATAATTTCTCTGTTTCCCTTGCAAGAGAAAGATCACTCACCACAAGGATTTATTCATACTGGGCACCATCAGTGGCGTAGCGTGGGTTGTCAGCACCCGGGGCAAGGCAAGTAATTTGCGCCCCCTAACCCGTGGATTTTAGCAGGGGGCAGAGAGCTGCGAGTGCGAGCACGCCCCCAGATGTTGCGCCCGGTGTGGCCAGCCCCCCCCCGCACCATTCATTGTTGTTCCTTTTGAAATGCTACCTGAGAGTGTTGTTGTTGTTGTTTGCATACTCCATATACCCATAGGTCTCAGGGCGGAGCACCGCACAATGTTACAATATGCAAAGCACAAAATACATAATAAAAATAAACAAAACATCCCGATGGCCTGAGGTGTTGCTCCATGGAACAGACTGTCTCAGAAGGTGGCGGGATGCCGTGGCAGTGGATCTCCTGCTTCAGCAGGGGGTTGGACTAGAGGACCTTTGGAGAACCTTCCAACTCTAGGATACTATACTTTGCATGCCGGAGGCTTCGGTTCTTATAATCTCCTGTTAAAAGCAGGTAATGGGAAAGTCTTCTTCCTGAGACCCAACCGGCATTTTTTCTACCTGCATTTTTTCTACCTGCTCTGCATTTGATGAACCGCAAACTACAGTCCAGGTGTGGCAGCCACAGATAGGTTGTCATGAGGTGACAGTTGGCAGAGACTGTGCGAGAAAAGAGCAAGTTCATAACCGGAGTCATCGAGTGTAGAGAGCGATGACAAGCCCAGGGGGCAGGGGAAGGCTCACCACTTGTACCTGAGATACCTGCCCTGAGAAAGGCACCTGGGGGTCTGTGACGGCAGCCCTCAAAGATGGAGCAAAGCCAGAGACTCCTCCTCCCTCATAGAATCATAGCACTGGAGAGTTGGACCAAGGGCCATCCATTCTAGTCCAACCCCCTGCAATACAGAGATCACGGCTAAAGAAACTCTAGCACAGGGGTAGGCAACCTAAGGCCCGGGGGCCGGATGCGGCCCAATCGCCTTCTCATCCTGGCCCACAGACGGTCCAGGAATCAGCGTATTTCTAAATGAGTAGAATGTGCCCTTTTATTTAAAATGCATCTCTGGGTTATTTGTGGGGCCTGCCTGGTGTTTTTACGTGAGGAGAAGGTGTGCTTTTATTTAAAATGCATCTCTGGGTTATCTGTGGGGCATAGGAATTCGTTCATTTTCCCCCCAAAAGCCCACCACATGGTCTGAGGGATGGTGGACCGGCCCCCTGCTGAAAAAGGTTGCTGACCCCTGCTCTAGAAGATCTCTCTCTCTCCCCCCACACCTCTGTTTAAAATAAGGTTACCAGATTTTTTTTCAATGAATCCGGGGACACTTTAAATAAATGAATAAATACATACTACATGTTTGGGACGTTGATGCTTCAGCGATGGCGGTGGCAGAGGGGCAGCCGCTGCCTTGACCTCAACCGCTTTGTTTCCTCTTCCTCCGAGGTTCCTATCTGCTTTCTCCATGAGCCTGGGCAGCCCCTGAGTTGTTGGTTCTTCAGTGGTAGTGGTGGTGGTGAAGCAGTGTGCGGTCAGGCATGGAAGGTAGAAGAGGGCCAAGAGTGGCATTCCTACTCGCGTGCAAGCAGGAGGGCCGGGGATCCCTCAGCTGGGAAGGGAGGCTTCCCATTGCTTAACTGACTGATGCCCGCCCCCTCCTGCTTGCACTCCAGCTCTGATAGGCAGCGAAGCGTCCCTTTGCAGCTGAGAGATCCCCGTCCCTACTCCTGCTTACACACAAGTAGGAGCTGAGAGTTAGTGTGGGTGTAGTGGTTAAGAGCGGTAGTCTCATAATCTGGTGAACTGGGTTCGATTCCCCGCTCCTCCACATGCAGCTGCTGGGTGACCTTGGGCCAGTCACACTTCTCTGAAGTCTCTCAGCCCCACTCACCTCACAGTGTTGTAGGGGAGGAAGGGAAAGGAGAATGTTAGCAGCTTTGAGACTCCTTAGGGTAGTGATAAAGCGGGATATCAAATCCAAACTCTTCTTCTTCTACTGCTACTCCTATAGGCAGCATGAAGCTGAGTTGCTGGGGTCAGGGAAGGTGGAGGCAGCCCGGAGCACCACCCTCATATGGGTACTTCTGAACAGCTCCTGAAGCCAGACAGAGCCAACTGCTCCGGGCTGCTGAGACTGCCGCTGCTGCGTTTCCTGGGGACATTAGATGAAATCCGGAGACGTTCCGGGGATGGAATTTGTCCAGGGACTTATCCGCAAATCCGGGCACTGTCCCTGGGAAACGGGGACATCTGGTAACCCTAGTTTCAAATCTTCCAAGGCAGGAGAGCCCACCACCTTCTGAGGGAGTCTGTTCCGCGGTCAAGCAGCTCTTACATCCTCCTTAAACTGGGGTGCCCAGAACTACTCCCTTGGAGAAGCCAGATTGCTATTACTGTGTTAATGAGCAGCCCTGCCAGGGGCTGTGGGATTCCAGTTCCCATGAGCGTACAACCACCCACCCCGGCACGGTCAATAACCAGGGAAGATGGGAGTTGTAGTCCTGCAACTCTGGAGTACTCTCGCCCCTCCCTCACCGTCCTATAGTAAGTCAACCCCAAATGGGCAGGGTGGTGACTCAGATGGGTGTGTGTAAATAAACCCAGCTCAGAGAAGAACTGGCACTGTGAGGACTTTCCCGTCTCTCCCCAGTTCCCAAATTCAAAGACAATACATTGTTAACCAATTCCACATTTATGGGAATCAACAGAAATTGAGTTGGTTTAGTCATGACGAACACGCAGGAACATGTAGGAGACGTCTGCCTTTTTTGGCGTTGCTTTTAAAAATTCAAAATGTTACTGGGATAACAGAGTTGGAAGGGAACCCCCCCCCCTGCAGATATACACATACGGACGGACATTACACACCCTCTGTTCTTGAATATAATTGGTTTTAACTGTTTTTAATATTGTGTTTTGATTTTCCCCAGACTAGAACTTTGGGACATCTAATGAATGTTGAGAGGGTTGAGGACAGCTAAAAGAAAGGACTTCTCCATGCAGCACAAAGTTAACCTATGGAACTCACTCCCACATGAGGCAGGGATGGCTGCCAACGTGGATGGCTTTAAGAGACAACTGGAAAAATTTGCAGAGATGGCTCTCAATGGCTACCAGCCATGAAGGCTAAGCTCTGTCTCCACATGCTTCTGCATACAAGTTGCTGGAAACCACTAGAGGACAGACTGTGGCTCTTGTGCTCAGATCCAGCCTGCAGGTTTCCCCTTGAGACTGTGAGAACAGGATGCTGGACTAGATGGGCCATTGGCCGGATCCAGCACGATGCTTCTTAGCTTCTTCTGTTCTAAAATTCATGAAACCTGCACTGCGATCACTTCCTGAAGGGCATATAAGAGACAATTAATAATACCAATACAGTGGTGCCCCGCAAGACGAATGCCTCGCAAGACGGAAAAACCGCTAGACGAAAGGGTTTTCCGTTTTGAAGTTGCTTCGCAGGACGAATTCCCCTATGGGCTTGCTTCGCAAGACGAAAATACCTTGCGAGTCTTGAGATTTTTTTCGCTTTCCCCCTTTATCTAATCTGCTAAGCCTTTAATAGCCTTTAATAGCCTTTTAGCAGCTAATCCCCTAAGCCTTTAAGCCTTTAATAGCCGCTAAACAGCTGATAGCGCTAATAGCGCTAATCCGTCAATGGGCTTGCTTCGCAAGACGAAAAAACCGCTAGACGAAGACTCTTGCGGAACGGATTAATTTCGTCTTGCGAGGCACCACTGTACTACTAATAGGTCAGACTTGTACAGCAAAAGGTGGCCCTTCCAATAGCCAGGCCCCAAGTCGTTTAGGGCTCTGTAGGTCATAAGCAGCACTTTGTGGAGTTTGAAAATACACTGGGGATCCTGAACAATTGTTTCCATCACACAAAACACATGATCCCCATACCTGGATCCAGTCCACAGTCTGGTTGCTGCAGTAGAACTAACTCAAATAACTACACAGGATTTGTTCTGTTAGTAAAGTCACTTCAACAACGTAGACAGAGGCCAGAGAGAAAAGTCTTGATGACACTTTACTGAGCAAACTGAAAAAACCTGGGTATCATTTGTGGAGAAAGGAAGAGAGGCTGTGTCTTTCTTAGTTCAGGCAGGGAGACGCTTAACTAACATACAGAGTTAAAACTCCCTCAGAACTGCTACGCCAGTAAGCATCATGCCACTCTGTCTGGTTGCCAAGCAACACCTTCCCGCCCCCTAGGGTAAGCTGGCTTCCTGAGGACAGAATTAACCCTTAGGCAGCAAACTGAAGGATCCCTCCTCTTGGACTCCCAACATGTTCATCTTCGTTGCTTCATCACTTTGAAGAGCTCTTCCAGCTTGAGGGCTACACTCAGGTCTCCATGGACCTGAAGCCTCCCGCAGACGTAGGCATTCAAAGGATGGAGCTCCCCCAGAATGAAGGCCTCCAGGTCACTCTCAGACACCTCCAACACCACGTCGGGACTGTGGTCGGGCGGCCCAGGGCCTATTCGCCCACGTCCTGCAGGAAAAAAAAGGGAGGAAGACCAGTAGGCCTAGGAATTCAAATCAGGACAGCAGCTCTTGAAACTGGTGTTCACTTAATAATAGAAAAGGAAAATTTGTTGGAGGTTTGCTAGTCCAGGGCAGGAACTTCAGGGCAGCGTTTTAACTACAGCATCCCTGACTGATACCACTCTGCTAACATGGAATTTTGGTTAAATCCATTATCTGTGAGGTGGGTGTCACATATTCAAGAACACTAGCTGGCAAGAACTAGCTTAGGATGAACGTAACAGCTAAATGCTAAAGTGAAAACCAACTCCAGTTCTAACATGAGTCAGGCTGAGTCAGGGTTGAGTCAGGGTTTCCTGGGACTGTGGTTGGATGGGGAGCTGGGGCGGCAGAAACGGTTGGAGAGAGGATGAACAGCTAACATTATATATATTTTGCCAGATTAGTGCCTGTCCTAACAGAAATGCTCCCACAGGATTTTTGGACTGTGTCCAGTAATGCTTTACTGAATAAACTTGGAGTTTGCTGTGGGCCTCTGTGTTGTTGTTTGTTTGTTGTTGTTGTTATTTATTGAATTTATATACCGCTCTATACCCGGAGGTCTCAGGGCGTTTCACAGAACAAAATCAAAATACAAAACTTGAACCCCCCCCAAAGAGAATTTCACACCGCTTTAACTACTTAGAAATTAGGAGTTTCGAAATTACTTATTGTAACCGTTGAGTGGATTTCTGTTTAATTTTGAAATGCTGATATTTAATATTATTCTATATCATTTTAATGAATGTTGAATGTTATTTTATTTGCATATTGTATATTGTATTATGCATATTGTCTTATTTATATGATGTTAGCCGCTCTGAGCCTGCCTTTGGCTGGGGAGAGCGGGATACAAATAAAATTTATTTATTATTTATTTATTTACTTCCAGCAAAGGAGAGCCCATCCTGTCAAACAGCTCTCACTATTGGGGAGGTGTCTCTATCATAAAATCATAGAATTGTAGAGGTGGAAGGGACCTTAAGGGGCCATCTAGTCCCACACCCCACAATGTGGGAATCACAGCTGAAGAACCAGGTCACTGCCTAATGTTTAGGTGAATTCTGTTCCTCTGACATTTCCACCCGTTGGTTCTAGCCTTCCCCTCTGGAACAGCAGCCAAGAAAGTCTACTCTGCCTTCTGCAGAATGCACCTTTAAAAAATACAAAACCCACAACGTCAAAGTTAGGATTTGCACATTCCCTCTTATGCCTGAGCAGTGAACACTGCTCTGTTCTGGCAGCCCTGTTTAGGGAAGTTTTTAATGACTGATGTTTTAATGTATTTTTAATCTTTTGTTGGAAGCCGCCCAGAGTGGCTGAGGAAACCCAGCCAGATGGGCAGGGTATAAATATTATTATTATTATTATTTATTAAACACCCAGAGCACTGTTACGCCCAGACTCTATGATCCCAACTCCACCCCACCCTGACAGGTCCTGAGGACCCAAATGGCCACCTCAGATTGGCCGTTTCTCATGTGATGTAACTAACAGGTGGGCCCCCTGGGGTTTGCCCAACATGGCGGTTTTCAGAGGCTTGGTAGACTTTCTCGGTGCTGTCGGTGGAGAAGCCCAACGGCTGGATCCAATGTACTGCCTTAGGGCCACCTACTTCCCAAAATGTACACATTGCTTGATTGTAAAAAACAACAAACACCCAACAAAGAGAAAACAATACAGTGGTACCTCAGGTTACATACACCTCAGGTTACATACGCTTCAGGTTACAGACTCCGCTAACCCAGAAATAGTGCTTCAGGTTAATAACTTTGCTTCAGGATGAGAACAGAAATCGTGCTCCGGTGGCGCAGCAGCAGCAGGAGGCCCCATTAGCTAAAGTGGTGCTTCAGGCTAAAAACAGTTTCAGGTTAAGTACGGACCTCTGGAATGAATTAAGTACTTAACCCGAGGTACCACTGTAAAATTATCAGCAAGGAAAAATTAACAGCACCAAATTAAGGCTTTCAAAAAGTTAAAATGACAATAGGCTAAAAACAGCTTAAAACTCACATCAACTTTCTAAGCATCTGGGCGCAAGCTTGTCTAAACAATAATGTTTTTGGCAGATGCCAAAAGGAGATAGCAAAGGCGCCTGTCTGGTGTCAATAGGCAGGGAGTTCCAAAGTGCAGGTGCCGCCACACTAAAAGGCCGATTTCTTATGAATGGGCATCATGTAGCCCCGGCAACAGGGCCCTTCAAAGCGGCCAAGTGGGCATAGGTGGGGCAATGAAATCTCGTAGGTACTTGCCCCACTTGGCCCAACAGCCAATCAGCAGGCAGTGCAGATCTCTGGGCACAGGTGTTCTATGCTGGCAAGGCCTCCTCACACCTGTCAGCAATCGTGCTGCAGCATTCTGCACTGACGGCACCTTCCAGATGTGAGTGAGGGAAGCCCCACAGGAGAGGGCCTTTGTCAATGGCTTCATTCAACAAAAGAAACTGACCTGCAGAGAGATCAATGAAATAAGTAGTAGTCTTTGCTCCACTGGCCAGCCGGACATTGATCTGGTAGCAAGCCTTGACCTGGTTCACTAAGGATTCGGACAAGCAACGCTCCAACGCGGAGAGGTGCTCCTCAGCTTTAAACCTCCTTCCTTCACTGCTGCCGCCTGGCTCTGTGTGGACAGCATGCAGTGGCTCCTCCATCTCGTTCTTTACTTCCACATGTTCAGCTGGAGAAAAAGGGCAATTGGTACGTAGGTTATAGCAGGCGTGGCCAAAGCAGGGCCCTCCTCCAGCTTATAATTATTTGTTGCATTTATATCCCACCCTTTCCTGCAAGGAGCTTGAGGCTGCATACATGGTTTCCCCCTCCTTCTCCTCCTCACTGAATGCCCATCGCAACCCTGGGAGGTAGGTTAGGCTGAGAGGCAGGGTTTGGCCCCAAGGTCACCCACTCATGGCTGAGTGGAGGATTGATTTGAGCCCTGGTTTGTCCTGGGTCCTCAACCGACACTCTAACCCAGGGGTCAGCAAACGTTTTCAGCAGGGGGCCAGTCCACTGTCCCTCAGACCTTCTGGGGGGCCGGACTATATTTTGAAAAAAAAAAAAATGAACGAATTCCTGTGCCCCACAAATAACCCAGAGATGCATTTTAAATAAAAGGACACATTCTACTCATGTAAAAACACAGATGTCTGGACTGTCTGTGTGCTGGATTTAGAAGGCGATTGGGCCGGATCCGGCCCCCAGGCCTTAGTTTGCCTACCCACGCTATAACCACTACACTGCACTGGCTCTCAGATGCAGAATAACTCCCATCAGCCCCAGAGAGCATGGCCATTGTCTACGGACAGACAGTGGTATTAATGAATTATGATCCTTATCATTATCAAATCCATATCGCGACCTTCCTCCCGACAAAGGAACTCGGGGGTTTTCCACACACAAGTGGCACATCTAAAAACAATTCCGACACATACTGGGAAAGATCTCTTCTTTAAAAGGCTTGTTGAAAAGGTGGTAGAGCTCATGTCTCCACTGTTGAAGGCAGTAAACGCGTCTGGGTACCAGTTGCTGGAAACCACAAGAGTGTCAGTCTGCCTTTGAGCCAATGCCAACGACTGGGCTCAACAACTGGTTCTGCCCCGACTGGGCTGGGCGAACTGGAGGAGGAGGAGTTTGGATTTGATATCCCGCTTTATCACTACCCGAAGGAGTCTCAAAGCAGCTAACAATCTCCTTTCCTTTCCTCCCCCACAACAAACACTCTGTGAGGTGAGTGAGGCTGAGAGACTTCAGAGAAGTGTGACTAGTCCAAGGTCACCCAGCAGCTGCATGCGGAGGAGCGCGGAATCAAACCCGGTTCACCAGATTACGAGTCCACTGCTTTTAACCACCACACCACACTGGCTCTTCATCACACTTCCAGAGACCTTCCACTTTTGGAAATCAGGTCTTAAGTGCAGTGGACCCACAATTGTGAGTTGTAAGCACCAAACTCAGCAGAGTATGAACAAGACGGAAGAAAGCTGTGAAGCATAACTTCTTTATTTTCTAATAGCTACCGCAAACTAAAACTAAAGAGCTTCAGGCATACCTCGGGTTGAAGTAGCTTTGGGTTAAGCATCTTTGGGCTGCACTCCGTAGCGACCTGGAAGTAACGAAGCGCGTTACTTCCTGGTTTCGCCGCTTGTGCATGCGCAGACGCTCAAAATGACGTCACGCGCATGCGGAGAAGCGGCGAATAGCGACCTGCGCGGGTTGTGTTCGCTTCAGGATGCGAACAGGGCTCCGGAACAGATCCCGTTCGCATCCAGAGGTACCACTGTACTGGTTTGCATGAGTGTTACAGCTCTCACTCAGCCATCTAATTACTACATAGATAACACTCAGACTCCCACAGAGTCAGGCAGGAAGAGCAGTTTCCGCCCCCTCCTTTCCAAAAACATTGTCAGGAGATTCTTGCAATGGGAGGGGGTGAAAATATCCACAAGGAGGGGAGAGGGCTCTTGAGCTTGGAGCCTGCTACAGGCATCTGGTCAGAAAGAACTGATGGGGCTAACCTTTGAAAACTTTACCTGCCCTGAAGAGGCCAGGGCACAGGTCCTATGGCTGGCCCCTGTGAGAACAGGATGCTGGACTAGAGGGGCCACTGGCCTGATCCAGCACGCTCCTTTTGTTTTGTTGCAAGCTGGTTGAAGGTTGCCCCATGAGCTTCATGACCCAAGCAAGGATTCCAGTTGAGGTCTCCCTAGTCCAAGCCCAACACTACACTGTTGTATTACAATGGTATTACACTAAGGAGTGACTAGGGATAAACAGTAAGGACTGGCTGCCCTAAGAAATTATTAATATTATTATTTTACTAAGTCATGCTTGGGGAGCTGACATGTGGTCACCTGTCTCAAAATCTCCATTTGGACTGGTGGCTGCAGCCGCCAGGGTCTTGCCAAAGAACTGAAGAGCCAGCTGCTGAATGGTGCTGTCCAGACCTTCCAGTCCCGGGATTGAAGGCCTTGAGCCCGGCGCCTGTGGGACATTCTCCTGGGACGCCTGGAGGACGCTTCCCAGTATCAGTTCCACCCTGTCCACCTCAAGGCCCCAAGACCTGGTGATGTCATTGATTTCCACCTAGAAAGAAGAGAAGGCAGGGAATTTAGATCAAGGGCATGTGAAAACTGGGACCCTGCAGATCTTCATGGAATTGTAGAATTGTACACAGTGGTACCTCGTGTTACATGCACTTCAGGTTACAGACGCTTCAGGTTACAGACTCCACTAACCCAGAAATAGTACCTCGGGTTAAGAACTTTGCTTCAGGATGAGAACAGAAATTGTGCAGCAGCAGCGGGAGGCCCCATTAGCTAAAGTGGTGCTTCAGGTTAAGAACAGTTTCAGGTTAAGAACGGACCTCCGGAACGAATTAACCAGAGGTAACCAAAGGTACCACTGTAGTTGGAAGAGAACTAAAGGGTCATCTAGTCCAGGCATGTCCAACACGTCGATCACAACCGAGGAGTCAATTGCGGGATTGTTTCTCGTGGATTGCAGGCCGAGAAAGAAAGGCCTTTCTCCACAGCCTCGGACGCAGCAGCAGCAGCCAAGGCCAGTCTCAAAGGCCAAGCCTGAGCAGCGCCATCTTGTCCTCCTCTTCCTCCTTTTTCTCCAGCCAAGCTTCCTTGCCTTCCTTCCCGCTCTGTGCTGTGCTCTCAGGAGTTAGAGTGCCGGTGGTGGGGGTGAGTGGGACGTGGCTCCCTGAGAGAGGGCTGGGGTGTTTGTGTGTGGGGGGTGTTCTTGCCTGGGGATCTGGGGAGCATGGTCTCAGCAGGCGAGGGGGCACAAAATCTGCTCCCTCACGCAGTTGGCAAGGGAATGAATGGGCAGAAGGGCACGTGGGAGGGACGGAGAGAAGGAAAGAAGGTGTCATCTCAGAGTGGGGCTACGGGAGCCAGGCAAAGGGAACCACAGGGGAGATGAGGCAGTACCCGAGCACGCTTGAGACCCCTCTGGAAGGATACGGAGGGGCAGCGTATAATACCAACCGTGCCCCATTTGCGGCTGGGGCAGCAGCCTCTGGGAGCCCCAGAAAGCAAAGATATATGCCGTATTTTTCGCACTATAAGATGCACCAGACCATAAGACACACCTAGTTTTTGGAGGAGGAAAACAAGAGGGAAAAAAATCTGAATCCCAGAAGCCAGAACAGCAAGAGGGATTGCCGCGCAGCGATCCGTCTTGCTGTTCCGGCTTCAGCGAAAGCAATGTGAAGCCTCTTCAGGGCAGTGGGAGGAAGGCTCCCCATGCCCTGAAGAGGCTTTGCATGGCTATTGCAGTGATCCCTCTTGCTGTTCTGGCTTCTGGGATAGCCGTACGAAGCCTGCATTTGCTCCATAAGATGCACACACATTTCCCCTTACTTTTTAGGAGGGGAAAAGTGTGTCTTACAGAGCGAAAAATACGGTATTTTTTAAAATCAGAAATTATCAGAGTGCCTCTGACCATGTGCAGAGTGTTCCTCCCCAAGCAGGAAGAGAGGTCCGCCTCCTGCTTTTGGGAGGAGGGTGAACAGTTCCATCCAGGGCAAAGGGGGCAGTGAGGGGATGTGTGTGGTTCCCCACCCCCTGGTAGCCTTGGGATTTCTCGCCGTGGCAGAAGGAGCCATGTCTCTTGTGTGTGTTCTGCCCCTCATATTTCCTCCTTCACATGACCTGCTGCCCCTGCAGATATTCCTTCTGCTCACTGCCACCCCCAGCATTCCCCTCCCTCTCTCCCCACAACCCAGCCCACGTTGCTAGGGAGCGAGAGGCGGGCGCCAGTCAAGCCAGCCCACAGGAAACACCAACACACTCTCTCTTTTTTAAGCAGAGTCCCAGCCTCACCTCTCTCTCTCTCTCTCTGTGTGTGTGTGTGTGTGTGAGAGAGAGAGAGAGAGAGAGAGAGAGAGAGAGAGAGATTAGCAGATATTATTACCAGGAGCTGGTCTGCGATCCGCAGCTTCTCTGTTTGAATCTCCCGCAGGTACTTCTTAAGTACAATCTTGCTCATGGCATTCTGGGCCGTCATCCGCGTGGCAATGTTGAGATCTTTCACCATCATGACTGACAGCAGCGGATCCCAAACACGGAACTGGACATCAGCCCCCACAGAGACCCACGCTCCATCCCGAGACATTAGCTGTAAAGGCCAGAGACAGTCGCAGTGAACTTTGTGATCCTCACAGGGAAACTTTCCCTGAGCAATTCCTTTGAGCGCAGTGGAAATAAATAAACCGCTTGTACCAGCAGTTCTCAAACTTTTGGGGGGATGCTGTCTCCTTGCTTCTATAAACTCATCCCCGGTGCCCTTTCCCCACTCTAGAAAAACATTATTCAGAGCAGTGGTTTGCACAACCCACTAAGGAAGATAATAGCATATTAAAATTCAAAACAGTATCTATAAATTGCACATTTATTCAAAATCCAATTTAAACTAATTAGCACAATTAATTCAACAAAACTGATAAACTTGATCCAGCTGTTCAAAGCCTGGTAATCATTTGCACCTCCTTACCTGCCTCCCCCTGGGACCCTACTGCCCACTCTGGGGACCACACTGCCCTATAGCATCCTTCATCCTAGAGCTCCCATCAGACCCAACCAGCATGGCCAAGAGTCAGGGATGATGGGAGTTGTAGTCTCACATCTGGAGGGCAACAGGTTCCCCACCCCAGCACTGATGGGCTGATTGGAGGGAGGCAGTTTCATTTTCCACTGTTGCTCCCCGCCCCCCTCTCCTGCACTGCTCTGAGCTTTCGCCCCAACCGGCTCCCTTGGGTGTCCAGGGCAGCCTCGCTCTTTGGAGAAGCTTCTTTCGAGGTGGCAGCAACTCACCTTGCATGGTGGGATGCTGAAGGCCCGTGTCCGGAGGTCCACCAGCTGCCAGTGATCAATAAAGGGCAGCACCAAAACCACCCCTGGCCCTTGGGGGGCTCGGATCCGCCCCAGACGGAACATGATCATTCGCTCATAAGTAGGCACTATCTGGAAAGGAAATAGAAAGAGAAGTACTGAGAGGTGCAAATGTAAACGAAAGGAAGGCTCTTTCCATTCCCACCCTGCGGAGTAGACAATACTGGGCCCAACATATAAATAGTCTGGCCTGGTTTAAGGCAGCTCCCTGTGATCTGGTAAAGTCAAACCTCTGCTTGAAAAATATTTCAGGTGTTTCTTGTGAGATTGTTTAGGGATGCGGGGGGGGGATATATTGTCTAAGATATCCTATCCCAACTTGTCTGTACAAGCTCAACAAAATCAGCAGAGTTAACATTCCCCTTTTAAACACACACACAGCAGATAGCTTGCTCAGACTCGTCAGAGTCTCTGTAAATATTTCCTGGTATTTCCCCCGTTTAATCCCTCCTAAAATAAGACGCTACACAGTCTTCTGCAAAGTATAAAACGTTTACTCACAAATAATCATCTGTTCACACAAAGATTCCTGGAAGGCAGACTTAAAAGGTTAGAACATAGTTTAAATGTGGTGACTATCTCCTTATGGGAGAAAGCCCCCCTTCTCTTCTCTCTGCCTGGAGCCAAGGTGCATTTCAGTACAGTCATACCTCGGGTTGAATGTGCTTCAGGTTGAGCGCTTTCGGGTTGCGCTCCACAGCGACCCAGAAGTAATGGAGCACGTTACTTCCAGGTTTCGCCGCTCGCGCATGCGCTCAAAATGAGGTCATGCACATGTGCGGAAGCGGCAAAACACGACCTGTGCACGCACTGTCGCGTCTTACCATAGTTGTCAACTTTCAGATTTGAAAATAAGGGATCAGCAGCCCTAGTAAGAGATCAGCAGCTCTAATAAGGGATCAGCAGATCTACGGGATCTACGGGATATCTAACAATCTGGGATAGCAGCAGGAAACGGAGCTGGAATAAGGGTATTTCCCGCAAAAAAAAAGGGAAGGTTGACAGCTATGCGTCTTACATTCTGTTCAGTATGCAAACTGGGCTCCGGAACGGATCCCGTTCGCATCCCGAGGCATCACTGTAGTGCTGTTGTTAAGATGGCATCGACAGAGACAAGAGAAGACAAGATGGTCGCCAGCCTGCGCTTCTGGTTCTTTCTACTTCAGGAGAGGCTACGTCCATCTCGTTACACATAGGAAGTTTTGTCTCAGTCCTGGAAAGCAGGAAGTTCCGGCTAGAGGACTGAGACAACCTTGATGTCTAATCTAGCCATGTTATGTTTGACTGCACCCGATTCTTACATGCCACATTTCTGCCTTAGACAAATGGAGGAGAGGGCTCTCGATGGCCACTAGCAATGTCAGTGACCTGCATTAGGGCTAATCTTGCAGAAGAGAGATTTGCAAGGGAGATGAAACTGATTGGTTGGAACCTCCCTCCCACCCACCCAAAGCAAACAGGCTTCAGGTCTCCCCATCTCCAGTTCCTACCTTCAGAACAAACCAGGCCGAGATGGGGAAGAGGAGGATTGTGACCAGCAACACAAAAGTGGTGACCACCCCATGGCAAACCCATGACAAACACTCTTGAGGGGGATCTGAGGGAAACAAAGAGAAGCAAACTAATTAATGCACATTCACAAAGCACCCCCCCAAAATCCTGGGAACTATAGTTTATCCCTCACACAGCACCATTTCCCAGCACCCTTTACAAACTACTGTTCGCAGGAAGCTATGTGCTGTCAATGTGTGGTGTGCGTAGAAGAACACAAGAAGGCCACATCCTGGACCCGGCCAATGGTCCATCCTGTTCTCACAGGGGCCAGGCAGATGCCTCCATGGGCAGCCCAAAGGCAGGACCTCTGAAGGGCAGGGCCGGGTCTCCATCTGGTCAGCCTAATGTAGGGATGCATTGAATTTATATACCTCCCTTCATCCGAAGATCTCAGGGCTGTTCACAAGATACAGGATAAAAGCACAAATAAATAGTCTAAACAAAAACAAAACAAAACACCATCCTTGCACAAAAATATTTAAAAGGCCATAGAATATTAACCAGCCCAAGGCCTGGTTGAAGAGGAGCATTTTTGCCTGGTGCCTAAATGTGTATAATAAAGGTACCAGCCAAACCTCCCTGGGGACAGCATTCCACAAACGGGGAGCCACTGCAGAAAAGGCCCTGTTCTCGTGTTGTCACCCTCTGGACCTCTAGTGGTGGAGGCACACAAAGAAGGACCTCAGAGGATGATCTCAGGGTCCGGGAAGTTTCATATGAGGAGAGATAGTCCTTGAGGTTTCGTGGCCCTGAGCCATTTAAGGCTTTATAGCAACGGTCAGCAAACTTTTTCAGCAGGGGGCCGGTCCACTGTCCCTCAGACCTTGTGGGGGGCCAGGCTATATTTTGAAGGGGAAAAATGAATGAATTCCTATGCCCCGCAAATAACTCAGAGATGCATTTCTACTCATGTAAAAACATGCTGATTCCCGGACCGCCCACAGGCCAGATTTAGAAGGCGATTGGGCCGGTTCCAGCCCCCGGGCCTTAGTTTGCCTACGCATGCTTTATAGGTCAGAACCAGCACTTTCCATTGGGCCCAGAAACTAATTGGCAGCAACTGCAGTTTGGCCAAGATTGGTGCAATATGCTCAAACCATCTTGCTCCAGTGATCAAGCTGGCTGCTTACTTCTGCCCTGGCTGGATTTTCTGAACTGTCCTCAGGGGCAGCCCTACGTATAAACAGGTTGCAGTAATCTAACCTAAAAAAGTTACCATAGCACAGACAACAGTACAGTATCTCCAATCCACACCACATAATCATAGAGTTGGAAGGGACCCCAGGGTCATCTAGTCCAACCCCCTGCAACGCAGAAATCTCAGCTGAAGCATCCATGACAGATGGCCACCCAACCACTGCTTAAAAACCACCAGGAAAGAGAGTCCACAACCTCTCTAGGGAGATCATTCCACTGTTGACCAGCTCTTACTGGTATTTAGTTGGAATTTCTTTTCTTGTAACTTGAAGCCAATGGTTCGAATCCTACCCTCCAAAGTGGGATCAAACTAACTTCCATGTGACAGCCCTCTAAATATTTGAAGATGGCTATCATATCTTCTCCCAGTCTCCTCTATTTCAAGCTAAACCTACCCTGTTCCTTCAACCATTCCTCATAAGGCTTGGCTTCTTGACCCTTGATCATCTTAGTCACCCTCCTCTGAACATGTTCCAGCCTATCAACACTCTCCTTAAATTGTGGTGCCCAGAATTGGACACAATATTCCTGCTGTGGTCTTACGAAGGTGGAATGGAGGGGTACTATTACTTCCCTTGAGCTGAACACCATACTTCTGTTGATGCAGCTGAGAATAGCATCCGCCTTTTTTGTTGCTGCATCACACTGTTGGCTCATGTTAAGCTTGTGCTCTCCTAAGACCCCTGGATCCTTTTCACTTGTCATAGTAAAGAGTAAAGGAGGGCTCTCGCTTGCATGCTCTCCCTGTAGGCTTCCCCAGGGCATCTGATTAGCTTATCTGGGACAGGGCTGATGCAGACTTTGATCTGATCCAGTTGGACTTTTCTCCTATCTTCAAACCCAGCCACTTACCTGTTCCCTTCTGCATCAGCTTCAGTGTGTTCCATGTGCGACCGGGTGGAAAGAAAGCCTTCCGAGGTTCATCTGGCCAGTTGCCCGACTGCTGGTACTGGTCAGTGTCTCCTAATGGCAACGCTTGGTATCCTGACCGGCTGAACATGTTCTGGTTAGCTCCCAAGTTACTGGTAGCTCTCTTAGTTTTCCCCCTTTATGTGCATTATAAAGAGCCCTGCATCCTTTAACTCTGCAAAGACAAAGCATGCAGTTTCTGCTTGGAACATACCTCCTTGTTTTGACGCCTCTTTTGTTTGTACGAAATGCCCTGTTTTATGTTTTCAGAAATGCTTTTTGTACTGCTGTAAACATCAGCCCTCCCACAGCCTGAACATTAGAAATAGAGGGAACGACTGCCCACTTATCCACAGGAAAAAGCTCCAACATGAGCGTTAAAGCCCGAGTTGTAGCCATGTCAACAAGAAATCTCAAATCTTCATCCGCTCTTCTTTCGGATTTTCTGCCCCTGAGCAATCAGCAATTGCACTGTGTTCAAGAAATCACACACTGGCACTATGAATGCATTTTGCACCTCAGTTGAAATCGTTTTGCATTAGAAGCACATTTGCACTCCACACTTTTTCTCTGATCACAGGAGAGCAGATGGTGCTTCTCTTCTCCTTCCTGTTTGATCAGTTACACTGGACAAGTGACACAAACAACAAGCAGAGGAAGGAGGCTGGCGTGTGAGTGCTTTTTAATTCCAGGGAGCTGCAAGACTTACTCCCTCTGACATCAGGAGGACTTTGATGCATTAAGGGGTCAGCAACCTTTTTCAGCCGTTGTCCCTCAGACCTTGTGGGGGGCCGGACTATATTTTTTTGGGGGGAATGAACAAATTCCTATGCCCCACAAATAACCCAGAGGTGCATTTTAAATAAAAGCACACATTCTACTCACGTAAAAACACCAGGCAGGCCCCACTAATAACCCAGAGATGCATTTTAAATAAAAAGACACATTCTACTCATGTAAAAACATGCTAATTCCAATTGAGAAGGTGATTGGGCCGCATCCTGCCCCAGGGCCTTAGTTTGCCTACCCCTGCATTAAGAGCCTGTGGGAAGCACATGGGGCTCTAAAGCCCGTTGCCGACTTTTGAAATCTCAGTGTCTCCTTGCAAGCTTCTGCCAACAAGCTATGAAAGGCAGCAGAGTCAAAGAGCTGTAGGATGGGAAGGGATCTCAGGGGGTCATCTAGCCCGACCCCTTGCAGCGCAGGAAAAACAGCACAGAGATCATTGTGTATCAGTAGCCTGCCCTGGTTCCAAACATGCTAAGGGGTTCACCCTAAAGCTACAGTGCAGCGTTTCTAAAGCAAACCTGAGGCACCCACTTTCTGATTCCGGGCTCCTCTGCAGTTTACCCTTCCCTGACTTCCCATCCCCACCAGCCCTTAAACTACAGTAGCCAGAATCCTTCGCGATGAAAAATATATGTGCTTTAAAGCCATCGCATGTACACACAGCCTTGTAGCCGCCGGACTCCGCGCTGCACAGGCTTATCGTTGCAACAGCCGCTCCCTGGGATGCTATGCAAGTCCTGTCGGACGCAGCGCGGCCTTTTCCTATTTGTCACTCCCGGGTAAATGCATGCACGGGACCGGAGAAACCTCGAGCTTGGCCCCAAGAAAGCACCTGAAGCGGCGCGAAGAATCCCCGGGAGCCGGATGCCGCTGCAGGCGGGCCGAGCCAGCGCTGCTCCTCCCTCCCGGAGGGCCCTCCTTTCCCGGCAGCCCCGCGCTGCTTCCTCCGCCGCCTCCTCGCAGGGACAAAGCGAAAGTGAACCCAGACGCCTCGCAGCCGCCGCCGCCATCCCCAGACGCGGTTGCTGCTTCGCGATCCGGACACCGCTGCAGGTCGCGCCTTTCAGCTGAGTTCCTTTGAATTGCGTGCGTGGCTGTGTTTTATTTATGCATTAACTTTTATTCATGCATTAACTTTTATGTATGCATTGCGTCGATACGCCACGTCCTGACTCTCCGGGGAGCGCCCCCATTTCACCCCCCCCCAACAACCGTGTGAGGTCGGTTGGACTGAAAGAAGGAGGGACTGGCTCCCAAGGTCACCTAGGGAGCTTCATGGCGGGGGGGGGGGGGAAGGATTTGAACCCTAGAATCGTAGAGGCGGGAGGGACCCTGAGGGTCATCTAGTCCAACCCCCTGTGATGTCCTGATCTCTCCGACCCTCTAGATTCCTTTCCTTCCTCCGAAGAATCGGGGGGGCTAATGCCCAAGCGCCTTGTGTGAGGGGGCGGGGGGGGGGAGTGGATCTTGCTCGCTATGCCAGCCCCTCCCATGCACACACACTTTATCTGCTTTTTCTGGACGCAACAGCCTCTTAATGTGCAGCCGGGTGACGCCTCCTATAGATCAGGGGGGAAAGGAGACCCTTGGGTACCCCCCTGCTGTTGGACTACAGTTCCCATCAGCCCCTGCCAGTGTGGATAAAGGTCAGGAACGAGGGAATCCTCCAAAAGCAGGGGTCAGCAAACTTTTTCAGCAGGGGGCCGGTCCACTGTCCCTCAGACCTTGTGGGGGGGCCGGACTATATTTGGGGGAGGAGAAATGAACAAATTCCTATGCCCCACAAATAACCCAGAGATGCATTGTAAATAAAAGCGCTGATTCTACTCATGTAAAAACATGCTGGTTCCCGGACCGTCCGCAGGCTGGATTTAGAAGGCGATTGGGCCAGATCCGGCCCCTGGGCCTTAGTTTGCCTACCCATGTCCGAAAGGATATTGTAAAGATTCCGAAAAGGCCACCAAAATGACCAGGGGGTCGGAGTGGCGCCCTAGTGAAACCTTTGGCTCATCTCCTGCTTGCAGGTTCCCCCAGTCAACTGTTCAGACACTAAGAGAACAGGATGCTGAACTCAACGGGCCACTGGCCTCATCCAGCAGCCTCTTCCCTTCTCTTAGGAATTGTCATACACGTGTGTGACTGGGTGCCTAACTTCACTTACTCTGAATTGTGGTTTGCAAAAACCCTTTCCCACAGCTGAGCCCCTCCACCTGGACGTCTGCCCCACAGGATGGCCCTGAGAGCAATGTATGGGGCAGCTTCCTAGGTTCCTGGGGCTGGGGGGTTCTGTGGCCCTCCCAGTGTTCTTGGACTACTTTGTGCACGCCCACCATTCCCTAAGCACCAGCCATGATGTCCGGGGCCCAAGGGAAATGGAGGCCGACAAGATCTGGAGGGCCACAGCTTCCTGGTTTGTATTCATATATCAATCCATCACTCTTGTTTGTCAGTTCTTTCGTCTTTCCTCCTCTTCCAGTTCATTAGAAATGCAGCTGTATTAATATCCCTCTTTTCCAGGTTCCATTCAGATTGCACACAGAGTCTATCCTTTTTCACCTGCGCCTCCACTCCTTGTTTCCCTTTCGTTTTTCCAAAATCAAAGCTCCAGTATTTGGCACCTCTGTTCCTTCAAGCCTTTGCACACCGATTGGCAACTCTGCCATTGCGTTCTGTCTTCTTAAAAGCCATCCATAGTTCCATAGTTTAACTGCGCTGCCTTAAGAAGGACTTTCTTTGATCTGCCCAGAATCTTCCAACATTGAGCTTTGTCCACAAGATCCAGTCTTATGACAGAGGGAGACAAATCTTTCTCTGTCACTGTGCATTGTTTTATAAACTCCCATCACATCGCCTCTTACTTGGCTGTGAGCCACCCTGTTGGTGCAGCCGAGATAGGGCACTAGTCCATGTTGACAGATTCCCTGGTTTGTGTATATGTGTGTGTGTGTGTGTGTGAGAGAGAGAGAGAGAGAGAGAGAGAGAGGGAGAGATAGAGATAGATAGAAGCGATTCTGAACCCTAACCCTTTCTTCTGCTGGGTGACCTGGGGCTAATCACACTTCTTGAAGTCTCTCAGCCCCATTCCCCTCATTCCCAGAGACAGACCAGATTCTTTGAGTTGTAAATTTAGCCTGATAACCTTTTCACGCTGAATCTAAGTCAGAAACAACCAGTTGTCAAAACTACTAATCAATTAGGAGCTCTCTTCCTGCAGATGAAGGAGATAACCCAGTTCACACTTTTAAAGACAGAAAGTCTGTAATTAAACCCAGATACGCATTCCCAGCATTCTACAGCTTTTGGCTCTCCCGTAATGCTCTTTTTCTGCATGAACCAGTTTTAACTTGCTATGATTTCCCAATATCACTGCAGCAGTAGTCTCGTCCAGGGTTCTCATCTCTGCTCCTCCACATGCAGCTGCAGGGTAACCTTGGGCTAGTCACACCCACTCACCTCACAGAGTGTTTGTTGTGGGGGAGGAAGGGAAAAGGAGAATGTTAGCCGCTTGGAGACTCCTTTGGGTAGTGATAAAGTGGGATATCAAATCCAAACTCCTCCTCCTCCTCCTTCTTCATCCTCTCCTCATAATTTTTTTTTGTTGTTGCAGGAGATGGAGGAAGAATTTGAGTTCTTGCTGTGCGGGAGGTGCCAGAGAGAGGCCCCAAACCCCAAGCTCCTGGCCTGCCTTCACACCGTCTGCATAGAGTGCCTGGATGAGAACAAGCCCGTGGGCCAGTGTCCCGTCTGCCGGTTTTCCTTCGCGCGCGCCAGCGGGGTCCCCTTCCAAGATAACGTGCTCTTTTCAAGCCTCCAGGCCAAGCTGAACACCTACCGGAAGATCGCCGGTGACAGGGATTTGGTGTGCGATAACTGCAAAGATGCGGCCGAGTTCTGGTGCTCTGAGTGCTCCGAGTTCCTCTGCCTGAAATGCTACAAGTCTCACCAGTGGTACTTGAAGCAGAAGAGCCACGAGACCCAGAAACTGGCCGATCTGAAGAAGGATACTGCCCAGAGCTTCCTAGAGGGGGCAAAGAAGTCCAGCAACCTTTTATGTTCGGAGCACACCCAGGTTATAAGGTAATGCTACTGTGGGCGGGGAGATGCATTTGTTGTTGTTTAGTCTTTTAGTCATGTCCGACTCTTCGTGACCCCATGGACCAGAGCACGCCAGGCACTCCTGTCTTCCACTGCCTCCTGCAGTTTGGTCAAACTCATGCTGGTAGCTTCAAGAACACTGTCCAACCATCTTGTCCTCTGTCGTCCCCTGCTGGCTTCTTTGGCAGGAAAAAGGTTTGGGCTTCGGTTGCCATAATTCTCTGTCGCCCTGTCCCACTGGTTGTGAGAATGAATGTGAATCACAGGGCGCCTTTGATCATTGAATCTTGGTTGTTGTTGTTATTTAGTCATGTCAGACTCTTTGTGACCCCCTGGACCAGAGCACGCCAGGCACTCCTGTCTTCCACTGCCTCCCGCAGTTTGGTCAAACTCATGCTGGTAGCTTCGAGAACACTGTCCAACCATCTCATCCTCTGTCGTCCCCTTCTCCTTGTGCCCTCCATCTTTCCCAACATCAGGGTCTTCTCCAGGGAGTCTTCTCATGAGGTGGCCCAAGTATTGGAGCCTCAGCTTCAGGATCTGTCCTTCCAGTGAGCACTCAGGGCTGATTTCCTTCAGAATGGAGAGGTTTGATCTTCTTGTTTGTTTGTAAAAGAAGTGATGAAAAGACGGAATTGTTTTTAACTGTTTTTTCTTTTTTTCTTTTTGTATTTTGTATTGTGTATTTTTCTTTTTATTCTGAAATTCTTCTTTTTTATTAATGTGATTCTTTTTTTGTGAAACTTTAATAAATATCATTAAAAAAAGAAAGAGAGGTTTGATCTTCTTGCAGTCCATGGGACTCTCAAGAGTCTCCTCCAGCACCATAATTCAAAAGCATCAATTCTTCGGCGATCAGCCTTCTTTATGGTCCAGCTCTCACTTCCATACATCACTACTGGGAAAACCATAGCTTTAACTATATGGACCTTTGTTGGCAAGGTGATGTCTCTGCTTTTTAAGATGCTGTCTAGGTTTGTCACTGCTTTTCTCCCAAGAAGCAGGTGTCTTTTAATTTTGTGGCTGCTGTCACCATCTGCATTGATCATGGGGAGATGCATAGTTTGCAGGAAACTACCAGGCCACTGCCTGTGAAGGGGGAGAGGGGATACAGGCCCTCATCTGGGCTGTGCCCACTCATACGGCACGCGTGCAACTTCATTTTGCATTGGCAGCCACCTGGGACCCCACGATCAGCAGGTGAGGCCTGGGTGGGGGACAGGGGAAGAGGGCCTTTTCGGTGGTGGCTTCTCACAGGCAACTTTGGAACACCCTTCCCAGAGAAGCCAGACTGGTGCCTTCATTGTAGGCCTTCCGCTGGCAGCTGGATTTCTTTCTTACGCCAACAGGTCTTTGGGAATGGACTGCTTTTTAAGGAAAGGGCTTTTAAGAGCGCTGTGCTGTTTTTATTATCTGTATTTTAATAGCTTTGTTTTTTATATGGTTTTAATTTTTCAAGAGTTGAATCACTTTTTAACCATTACCTTTCTGTTTTTCGTCTATGCTTGTTCTAAGTTTTGTGAGCCACCTTGAATCCTACTTGTGGGGGAAAGGCACAATATTATGATCATTGTTATTACCAACAGTAAATTGATGTTTACAGTTTAAATGCAGTGCTTACAGTTTATACTTACAGTTTAATTAGTACTTTCATTTAAATGCACTCTAATGCTTACAGTTTAAATGCATTTTTTTTCAAGCATGTTGTTTTTAAATCTGGAAAAAATTGGATCGAATAGACCTGTGGTCCATGTACATGGAAAACTTATACAGTGGTACCTTGGGTTAAGTACTTAATTCGTTCTGGAGGTCCATTCTTAACCTGAAACTGTTCTTAACCTGAAGCACCACTTTAGCTAATGGGGCCTCCTGCTGCTGCCGCGCCGCCAGAGCACGATTTCTGTTCGATTTCTGTTCTCATCCTGAAGCAAAGTTCTTAACCCAAGGTACTATTTCTGGGTTAGCAGAGTCTGTAACCTGAAGCGTATGTAACCCGAGGTACCACTGTATTGGGGAGAAACAGGTTGATCTGTCCCTCCATAACTTTCCACTTCCTTCCCCTTCTGTTTTCATTTTCCTTTCTTCCCAGTGTTCTCCCTCCTTCCCCTTCCAGAGAGAAACTGATAACACAAAGCCTGGTGTTGCTTATCTATCTATCTATCTATCTATCTATCTATCTATCTATCATCTATCTATTATTACACTTATACAGTGGTACCTCGGGTTACATACGCTTAAGGTTACAGACTCCGCTTCAGGATGAGAACAGAAATCGTGCTCCGGCGGCGTGGCAGCAGCAGGAGGCCCCATGAGCTAAAGTGGTGCTTCAGGTTAAGAACAGTTTCAGGTTAAGAACGGACCTCCGGAATGAATTAAGTTCTTAACCCGAGGTACCACTGTACCTTTTTTCCGGGGAATTCTGCTCAGGGAGGGAGGTGAGCCGGAGAGATGGTAACAGGACCAAGGCCGCCCAGGGGGCTTCGTAGCTGAGTGGGGATTTAAACTTGGGTCTCCTAGGTCCTAGGCCAGCACTCTAACCACTGTGTCACAATACCTTCCTGTTTAAGACTCTAAGGAAAGCCTCCTGGATCAAGCCATTGGCCCAGCTAGTCCAGTCTCTTTTTCTTGCCGCGGCCATTCATTCATTCCTTGAACATTGTATTTACGTCAACAGCATCTACTGCCGCGGGTGCCGCAAGCCCCTCTGCTGCTCCTGCGCTCTGCTTGATGGCGAGCACTACAACGCCAAGCTGTACTGCGACATCCGCGCGGAAATCGAAGGCAGGAAGGAGGAGCTGGGCAGGATAAAGGCGGAGCTTGGCGAGAAGAGGAGGAGCTACGAGAAGACGTGCAGCGCCGTCCACGAACGGCTGCAGCAGCTGGAGAAGGTGCGCAAGGAGACCCGAGACGAGATCCAGGAGAAGGTGGAGGAGATGGTCCAGTGGATCCAGAGTAAGGGGGAGGAGCTCCTGGCGAAGGCGGACAGCCAGCTCCACCAGGAGCGCGAGGACGTGCAGAGGAAGCTGCAGTGCGCCGAGCGCATTGTCAAGAGGTTTGCTTCGTTTTTATTTGGTTTAATGTTTGTGCAGCCCGTTTGCCTCTTACGTGGGGTTTTGGGTCCAAGGGTTTTGCATATGTGCAAAGATGCCTATGCCCAGGTCCTTGGAGCTGCCAGTTTTCTACTAGGCAAAGTTCAAGGCAATACTCTCAGTATATAAAGCCCTTTTTTATTTTATGTTTTTATTAAGAATTCCAACATAACAATTTTAACAGAAATACATCATACACATTATTTCCCCCCTCCCCCCAAAAAGAGAAAAAAGGAGGAAAAAACCCTCCCACCGCACCCCCAAGACTTCCCTCAGCTCCTCTCTCTGGTTTCTCGACACACAATTAATATCTGCATGTTGTAAAATTGTAAAGATCCTTAATTTATCTATCTATATATTACTGATGAAGAGTTTGTGAATGTTTATTCAAAACCTGCCAAGGAGTCCAGTTGATTTTGTTGTTTCTTCAAATACTTCATAAAAGGTTCCCATTCATCTTTAAAGTCACAGTTATCCTTGTCACACATGTTTGTGTGTCAATTTTGCCAATTCCGCGCAGTCCATCAGTTTTTCTTACCACAGTTCTTTAGTCGGGATTTCCTCATTCTTCCATCCTTGTGCTATTAAGACCCTTGCCGCCGATGTCGCATACATGAAAATGTTTTTTAGTTTCTTTGGCAGGTCTTTTCCCACAATCCCTAACAAGAAAGCTACAGGCTTTTTCACAAAGGTTAAATGGAACATTTTCTTCAACTCATCATATATCATTTCCCAATTTTTTTTAATTTTGCTACAATCCCACCACATATGATACAGTATATAAAGCCCTTAACAACTTGAGACCAGTCGGCCCACAAAATCTCCTTACCTGTCGTACGTCCACGCCATCGTGCCACAGATGCCCCATAATCTCCATTCCGCCTTTGTAAGGACTCAGTCATTTAGTGTGACGTCATGTACACTTTGGAACTCCCTGCCTAGTGAGACAAGCAGGTGTCTTCACTGTATTCCTTTCGGGGCCTGCTGAAAACATTCTTGTTTAGACCAGCCTACTTAGATGCTTTAAAAAGTTGAGGTAATTTAAATCTGTTTTAGTATTTTGACTTTTTGTATGTTTTAAAGCATTATTTTAAAGTTTTTATTTTATTGTTTTCTCTCTCTGTAAACCGCTTTGAGGGTTGTTTTTTGTTTACCAATCAAGAGGTTTATAAATGTTATAAAATAAGTAATAATAATTTAAGAAACAGCAAAACAGTGCCATCGATATGAACGTTAAAACACAATAGCATTTAACTAAAGCAATGCACAGCAACAAATTGATCCGAGCAACCAAGACCGTTCAGTAAAGCGGTAATGATTCAGTGAGAAACCCAGCCAGGTGGGCAGGGTATAAATAATAAATTATTGTTAAATGATTCTAACCACGGCAGGTTGGAGTCCGGCGAGCGGCTGGTGGAGAAGATGAACCTCTTTGCTTCGGACCAGGAGGTGTTGGACATGGCCCCCTTCGTCAAGGAGTCCCTGGACGATCTCCGCAGGGAGAAGGTGCTGGCTGTGGGTTTCCGGGTCCAGGCGGATAACATCTCGGAGGTCAGAGGCGAACTCCACGCCCTGTTTAACAGGGTGAGAGGCTGCGAAGGTGAGGCACTTCCTGCAATCCTGTTCTCTTCGCCCCTCCCTTGCCAGGGGGCCCTGCTGGCTTCTTTGGCAGGAAAAAGCTTTGGGCTTCGGTTGCCGTAATTCTCTGTCACCCTGTCCCGCTGGTTGTGAGAATGAATGTGAATCGCAGGGCACATTGGCCATTGAACCTTGGTTGTTGTTGTGGTTTAGTCATGTCTGACTCTTCGTGACCCCATGGACCAGAGCACGCCAGGCACTCCTGTCTTCCACTGCCTCCCGCAGTTTGGTCAAACTCATGCTGGTAGCTTCGAGAACACTGTCCAACCATCTCGTCCTCTGTCGTCCCCTTCTCCTTGTGCCCTCCATCTTTCCCAACATCAGGGTCTTTTCCAGGGAGTCTTCTCTTCTCATGAGGTGACCAAAGTATTGGAGCCTCAGTTTCAGGATCTGTCCTTCCAGTGAGCATTCAGGGCTGATTTCCTTCAGAATGGATAGGTTTGATCTTCTTGCAGTCCATGGGACTCTCAAGAGTCTCCTCCAGCACCATAATTCAAAAGCATGAACCTTGGTTAGTCTTCTCCATTAACGCTAATGGGTCTACTATGAGTAGGACTAGCACTGAATGCACCAGAAGGGGATAAAGCTATTGATGGCTGCTAGCGATAGGGGCTCTGTTCTGCCCCCACCGTCAGAGGTGCCTTTCTTCTGCATGCCAGTAGCTGCAGAGGCACAGGGGGGCGGGAGAGTGCTCTTGTACCTGAATCCTGCTTGCAGCCTTCCTGGAGACGTCCTATTGGCTGCTGTGCAAACCAGGATGCTGGACCAGGTGGGCCACTGGCCTGATCCAGCAGGCTCTCTTTTGGTCCTTATGGCTAGCGGTCAAGGATGGTGAGAGCTGGACTGCAGCCGCACCTGGAAGATTACAAGTTCTCACCCTGGACCTGTGGTCTTCCTTTGCTGACTTGAGCTCTGTGCAAAGATAGATAAACTTTATTCGCATTAGCCAATGGCCATAGCAACATAAAACAAGCAATAAAAAAGGTAAAGGGACCCCTGACCATTAGGTCCAGTCGTGATCGACTCTGGGGTTGCAGCGCTCATCTCGCTTTATTGGCCGAGGGAGCCGGCGTACAGCTTCCAGGTCATGTGGCCAGCATGACTAGGCTGCTTCTGGTGAACCAGAGCAGTGCACAGAAACACCGTTTACCTTCCTGCCAGAGTGGTACCTATTTATCTACTTGCACTTTGACGTGCTTTTGAACTGCTAGGTTGGCAGGAGCAGGGACTGAGCAACAGGAGCTCACCCCGTCGCGGGGATTTGAACCGCTGACCTTCTGATCGGCAAGTTTAACCCACAGCGCCACCCGCGTCCCTTAAAACAAGCAATATATACAATTAAAAAGACAACAATGGGTAAAAAGGGCATTCAAATGACCAAGATTATCATTCAGATAGTGGCCCTTAATCTGCTTGCACCCTCGATAAACCTAGCAACCTTTGCTGTTGTCTGATCATTTTGATCTGATAAAAGAAAGAACAATGTGGCCGCAGATGGGCCGCCTGGGATGGTGAGTAGGAGTGGGGTGTTGATCTCATTCCTCAGATCTTTATAAAGGGGACAGGACAAGAGAACATGAGCCACTGTTTCCAGATTGCCATCTCCACGGGGGCAGAGTCGTTTCTCAGTTGGAATCTTTTGGTATCTGCCCTCAAGTACGGCAGAGGGCATCACATCCAATCTGGCCAGTGTGAAGGCACGTCTGTATTTTGGGATAGTTAATTTATACAAATATGGTGCCAGGGAATCAAACTGAGAAGGGGGGGGAAAGGCATACCAAAGACAGAGTTTCTTTATAATGGCCAGATTGTTCTGTTGCTCTAAGTCCTTCAGCTGCTGTCCAATTAGCCTTTTTGCTTTAATAAAGCCCATCGTGAGAAGCTGATGTGGGTGGAGTCCACAGGAGAGGAGTTTTTGGTGCACAGTTTTAGACCATGCACTTTTATGAGCTCTGCTGCTGGTGCTGAACAGCTGAGTCCATTCTGACTGAGCTAAGAGAGAGACTAGGACTTGGGAGAGACCAGGGTTCGAATCTCCACTCAGCTATGAAGCTCACTGCATGTGACCTGGGGCCGGTCACTCGCTCTCAGGCTATCCTACCTCACAGAGTTATTGGGATTAAATGAGGAGCGGGGGAGAGTCATGACCTCCCTGGAGAAAAAGGTGGTATAATATGGGGGAAATGAAATGCAATGAGCCCTCCAGAAACCTCTTGGGCAGGGGCCTCATCCAAACACGTTGGAACACTCTGCCCTCTTTCCTTTCTTGCAGATGCTGTTGGCTGCCTGCCTTCTGTTTCTCGGCCAGTTGCCCCAGCGGTCAGTTCGGTAAGCTGTGATATGAAACGTGGAAGTGGTCGCAGAGAAACAGGGAGCTGAGAGGGGAACAAAATGTAGAAAGTACCAAGACAGTGGAAATTAGCGGTGGCCGTTCATGAAACAGTTGCTGTTGAGAACACAGATATCCTGGCACTGGTAACATGTGGTGGGATAAAAAATAAATAAAATCATTCCCTGAGTTCAGTGCACAAGCAATAGGACTGAACCTCTTGATGTATTGTAATTTAGCAGTTTCATATTGATGCAAATTTCCTTTGTTCTGGTATGAACACTTTAAGGACACATCTTTTGAAAATTAAACAGAAGAATGTAAGGTTAGTTGGTATGTGAGGTCACAGTTTGCCCGGGAGAACGATGTGCTTGTTAGGTTTTTTGAAGCACAGGATCAGCCTGTTTCCTTGTTCTCCAAGGTTCACTATCAGTCGCCCCCTAAGTGTTACAGCGCTTTAAAAATTCTGCCTTTGTCACTTTTGCGTACAGAAAGGTCTTCATAATGAGAAAAGCCAGCCAAGGACCCAGGCGCCCACGTACACCCTCAGTCTCAGAAAGACGCCTCATGGATTTGTAAGTTCTCTGCTGCTCATAACAGTTTTGCGTCTTCTGTTCTTTTGATTCTTCTCTCTCTTTGCTGACAGGCTGTCCCAGCTCCTTCTGAGCTGATGGGCGCTGTACTTGCAGCCAAGGGAAGATCATAAAGTTGTAGAGTTGGAAGGGGACCCCCAAGAGACATTTAGCCCACCCCTCTGCAATGCAGGAATCACAGCTAAAGGATCCCTGAGTTGTGAATTAATATTATTATTAAGAATGATTTCCCTCGTTGCCATTACTAACAGCCCAAAAGTGTGGTATCAGGGTGGTAAAGGTAAAGGTACCCCTGACCATTAGGTCCAGTCACGGACGACTCTGGGGTTGCAGCACTCACCTCGCTCTATAGGCCAAGGGAGACAGCAGACAGCTTCCGGGTCATGTGGCCAGCATGACTAAGCCGCTTCTGGTGAACCAGAGCAGCACCGGAGCGGTACCTATTTATCTACTTGCACTTGACGTGCTTTCAAACTGCTAGGTGGGCAGGAGCAGGGACCGAGCAACGGGAGCTCACCCTGTCGCAGGGATTCGAACTGCCGACATTCTGATCAGCAAGCCCTAGGCTTTCTGGTTTAGACCACAGCGCCACCTGCGTGTTACTTCTTGTCACATACAAAACAAGCAAACATATAATAAAAGAAAATGGTTACCCACCAACACCAATTGAGGCATCCATATTTCTCTGTGGACGAGGATATGAAGGGTATCTTTAAGTCAAGTATCTTAAATCTGAAGCTCAAGAAATAAAATCCCACCAGGCGTCATAAAAAGTGTTTTGGAAACACACAGCTCGTCTGCCGTTTTTTCCGCAGTCGCCCAAGCGCACAACTTCTTACGTTGCACAAATGCAGATTTTCTGAGGTTCTCCAATGGATTTACTATTGATAATAATTTATTATTGATTTATTGGGAATAAAAAGAGCTGGTCTCGTTTTTAAATTTGTGTTACTCTTGCTTTTTAGGTCTCCTCGATCAGCTGCCCAGTGAAACGGCTGATGGGACAGACAGAAAAGTCCATTCAGGCTTCTCCCAAGGCGATGAAGCTGGAGGACCACTACCATGACGACGGGCAGAGCTCCGAGATGCATGTCCAGGATGTTGGGCTGAGTTCCTGGTCCCCTTCCCCCCGCGAGTCAACCCCAGAGAGGGAGCAGTGTGGGGCGGTCAACTCGGTGGATCTCCTGGAGAATTCTGTGCACGAGATCTGTGAATCGGGTAATGTCCCATCTTGCCCGGCCTCCTCTGCTCACCAAATGCCCCTTGTGGCAAGGGTTAAATAAGTTGGAGTTCTTGTTATTAAATATACCAAGAAAAAAGCACACCAAGAACTCAGGCCAATGTAAGTTTCAATAGTGGGAATGGTTCCTACTCACAAATCAATAGTCAGTTTTAACAAAAACTAATCCATTCAAAAGTATGTATTACAAACTCAAATAGAGATTACAAACTCAAACTCATAAAGCTATGTATAACACAATAATTCGTTACAGAATTAGGGATAAGAGTTTATGAGTGGAGACAAGTTCATGTTAGTCCATAGTCAGATTCGACGAGAAATGTAGAAAACAACAGGATACATTTATCTGAAAGTCTTCAAACTTACACGATCCCTTAAAAATTAGCTGATGAAAGTGTATACATCGAAACAGGGCCCTGTCCTGGTTTCTGATCCATAATTAACTTCTGACTTCGGCTCAATGAATGAAACTAAGACCTTCACGTCGAATCTGACTATGGACTAACATGAACTTGTCTCTACTCATAAACTCTTATTCCTAATTCCGTAACGAATTATTGTGTTATACATATCTTTATGAGTTTGAGTTTGTAATTTCTGTTAGAGTTTGTAATCTCTATTTGAGTTTGTAATCCTTGCCAGAATACATACTTTTGAATGGATGAGTTTTTGTTACTACGGACTATTGATTTGCGAGTAGGGACCACTCCCACTATTGAAACTTACATTGGCCTGAGTTCTTCGTGTGCTTTTTTCCTTGTGGGAAGGGAGCAAGCAGGACCCCCAAGCACAAGAGCAGCTTTCTCAGCTCCTGCCGTCTCCAGCAAGGGGGGGGGGGGGCGCAGAGCAGAGCCCTGCTGGCTAGGAAGGAGTTCCACGGTTTATGCGCTCTGAGGTGTGGGTGACACATTGTTTGTCCTCCATCTTCTTGCAGAGGTCGCCAGCATCCTGATCAGCAGCTCCGAGGACACCGAAGACGACATGATGGTGAGTAGGCCAGAGACCACACAGCAGGCTCCGTGGAAAGGAAAGCTGCAGCCTGCACATTTCAAGAGGTCCCGTGACTCCTGGGGTGACAGGAGTTAGAGGAGGCGAGTGGCATCGGCAGCAAAGCGGTGCAGGGCACAGGTCTTCTCTGCAGGGTTCCAGATAGGCAGCTGTGCCCTCTCCCAGGCTACTCCAGTCCGTCTGTTTTTGGGTCCCCCTCTTTCCCTGGACACTCAGCATTGCATTCTCTCCCCCCGCCCCAATTCCTGCAAACCTTGAGGTTCCTTCAAGCCTGCTGATTTCTCTCATGCCCTTTGTCCATTGAAGGTCTATTGATGGCTACAGAACGACGGGAACGACATAAAGATGGCTATCCAGCCTCTCCTTAAAAGCCTCCCGTAAGGAAGAAAAGCCCACCACCTTGCAAGGTCATAGAATCATTCATCATCATCATCATCATCATCATCATCATCATTTATTACCCGCCCATCTGGCTGAGTTTCCCCAGCCACTCTGGGCAGCTTCCAATCGAGTCTTAAAAGCAATACAGCATTAAATATTAAAAACTTCCCTAAACAGGGCTGCCTTCAGATGTCTTTTAAAAATAAGATAGCTGCTTATTTCCTTGACATCTGATGGGAGGGCGTTCCACAGGGTGGGCGCCACTACTGAGAAGGCCCTCTGTCTGGTTCCCTGTAACTTTACTTCTCGCAATGAGGGAACCGCCAGGAGGCCCTCAGCGCTGGATCTCAGTGTCTGGGCTGAACGATGGGGGTGGAGACGCTCCTTCAGGTATACAGGACCAAAACCGTTTAGGGCTTTCAAGGTCAGCACCAACACTTTGAATTGTGCTTGGAAACGTACTGGGAGCCAATGCAGATCTCTCAGGACTGGTGTTATGTGGTCTTGGCAGCTGCTCCCAGTCACCAGTCTAGCTGCCGCATTCTGGATTAATTGCAGTTTCCGGGTCACCTTCAAAGGTAGCTCCATGTAGAGCGCATTGCAGTAGTCCAAGCGGGAGATAACCAGAGCATGCACCACTCTGGCGAGACAGTCCGCAGGCAGATAGGGTCTCAGCCTGCGTACCAGATGGAGCTGGTGAACAGCTGCCCTGGACACAGAATTTGAGCCCATGTTTGGTTATGGAGAGGGGAGGGGGTTGAGGATTTGGCTGTAACATCTACAGACATTCCTGTCAGTATGCATTTCTTAGTACAGAAAGTATTGATCTGGTGTGTAGACATCTTTCCTACTCTAATTAATTCAGGAGGGTACTGGAAGCTTCTCTGTGTGAAAGAAACAAGCAGACGGTTTGTGGTGTTTGGGTTATTCCTTCAGAGCAGCTGAGTACAGCTGGCTTAAACTGATTCTGTTATCTCCTTCTGTCAAGGTCATGCTGACTATAAGAGGCCAGAAGGAACCTAGGTTTTGCTTTCTCTTCTCTCTTTCCTTCTGGTGTTCTGTATGCTTAGTGTTAAGGTTTAGTCTTGCTATAAGTTATTGTAAGTTTAAGTTGAGTCTGCTGCAACTGGACTTCTTATGGACAGTGCCAATCCTGAATGTATTGGATTTGTGACCATTATGCTCATTTGCCTTAAGTAGCAGTAAAGCTCTGCTGGATGAAATACAATGGCCTCTGGACTATTGTTGGGGATCCTGCAACGTGTTTTAAGTTTTTACTCTGCTAACTATACATTGGGTTCTGTTTTGGATCATAAGAGTAGAATTCCATGACAATTCCTTCATTTCATTGTCCATATCTTACAAATTCTTGTTTGCTCCTTACATTGTTATCCTTATTTAAAAGGTAAAGGGACCCCCTGGCCATTAGGTCCAGTCGTGGCCGACTCTGGGGTTGCAGCACTCATCTCGCTTTATTGGCCGAGGGAGCCAGCGTACAGCTTCTGGGTCATGTGGCCATCATGACTAAGCCCCTTCTGGTGAACCAGAGCAGTGCACGGAAACGCCGTTTACCTTCCTGCCAGAGGAGTACCTATTTATCTACTTGCACTTTGACGTGCTTTTGAACTGCTAGGTTGTCAGGAGCAGGGACCGAGCAACGGGCGCTCATCCCGTCGCGGGGATTTGAACCACCGACCTTCTGATTGGCAAGTTCTAGGCTCTGGTTTAACCCACAGTGCCACCTGCATCCTTATTTAGTTGCTAGTTAAAGAATATATTCCTAGTGAGAAATGAATAACAGGTTATCTTTCTTTGTTTCCCGAGTTCTAACTTTATCTTACCATCTTTGGCGATCCCTCGTAGCCGAGTAAGATTGTCTTCCATAAACACAGTTTTAACAATGAGTCCGTAAATGACTGTGGAGGCCAATTCTGGACCCACACGTCCTTCCACAGTGGGGACATTGGTTCCTGGATGGGAGTGGATCACGGTGTGGATTTGCCAAGTGTGCCTTCTTCCTAGCACATTTCTCCCTTGTGTTCTGAGTTCGAGTGTCTTCAAAGCCCATGACACCTTTGGTAAAGGCTGTTCTCCAACTGGAGCACTCACAGGCCAGTGTTACCCAGTTGTCTGTGTTTATTCTACATTTTTTTAGATTTACCTTGAGACAGTCTTTAAACCTCTTTTGTTGACCACCAGCATTACGCTTTCCATTTTTAAGTTCCGAATAGAGTAGTTGTTTTGGAAGACGATCATCAGGCATCCACACAACATGACCAGTCCAACGAAGTTGATGTTGAAGAATCATTGCTTCAACACTGGTGATCTTTGGTTCTTCCAGTACACTGGCATTAGTTCGCCTGTCTTCCCAAGCGATGTGTAAAAATTTTCAGAGGTGCCGTTTATGGAATCTTTCGAGGAGTTGGAGATGGCTTTTGTAAGTGGTCCATGTTTCACAAGGTTGGTAGTAAAATAGATTTGTAAACAAGCATTTGGGTTTCCTTGCAAATGTCCCGGTCCTCAAACACTCTGCACTTCAATCGGGAGAAAGCCGCACTCACAGAGCTCAGGCGATGCTGGATTTTGGCATCAATGTCTAACTTTATCTTACCATAATCAATGCAGAAACCATCCTTTTTATTACCATGCTGACCTTTACATATAAAGACTTTGGAAATCATAGAACCACAGAACTGTAGAGCTGGAAGGGACCCCAAGAGTAATCTAGTCCAACCTCCTGCAGTGCAGGAATAACAACCAGAGTATCCCTGGCCATCCAGCCTCTGGTCAAAAATGTCCAAGGAAAGAGGGACTTGTCAATTTCTTCCAGGATTGCTCCTTCGTTCACTGAAGGATATATTTTACATCAAGTTTATGCCCTCCCCACTGATGCCATGAGCTACAATAACAAGCCATAGAAAAAGTTTCGAACTCCCCACCTATGGATATCAAACAGGTGCCTTCAACAGTATTCCTGTCCATGCCTGCTAAAAGCATTTAGGTAGCTAAAACCTACCCAGGTGCTTAGAAATACTGGGGAGAATTTTAACCTGTTTTAGTATTTTATCTTTTTGTATGTTTTAAAGTATTGCTGCATTTTCATATTGTTTCACTTTATCTTTTTGTAAACCGCTTCGAGGTTTTCCCCCACAATCAAGCCATGCACAAATTTTATTAAAGAAAGAAATTAAAACAAAAAGTCCAGATTGGCACCTGCCATTACACCGCTGCACTTGTGTTTCCTCCTGGTCTGCTGGACGAAAACTTTCACTATGGTCTGTTTCCTTTCAGTGATTGCCCGCCGTCTCTGGAATGTCCGCCCGAGGTCTGAGGGGGTGTCGACGGCAGCAGGGCAGAGGTGCCTTTTCCAAAGCTGACCTCGAAACGCCAGCCATGACATCGCTTGCCAAGATGCCCACATCTCTCTTGCTCCCTCCTTCCTTCCACTGGCTGATTGATTCTGCAGAGAACGTCTTTCTCACAGTTCGTTTGCACACAGACAGTCCTGCTCGTCCCAGGGTTGCCTTGAGCTGTGCCACTCTTGACCCCAAGGCTGTCCACTCCTCATTCCTGCCCGGGCAGCGCAAGTGCCTTTAGGTGATGCTGCTGCAATACCTTATGAGTACTTAGCATCCACCAAGAGCAACAGCTGATCACAGGCAGATCACAGGTAGCGGTCTTCTGAGAAGGAACACGTGTTTCCCTGGTCAGCAGTCAATTTTACCTTGGCCCATTGGCGGGCCAAGGCACCGCCCATTGATTCTCCCCAATGGTTTGCTACCCCTCTCCTTTTATCTGGCAGGGGCTGGTGGCAGTCTTAAGGCAGCTGAGATTTGGTCTGTGCCATCCCTTCTGTCCAATTATTAGCTTAGGAATTTTGTAAGGTACTATTGTCATGAGACATGTTTAATGTGGAAAGCTGACTGTTTGCTACATGCACCCCCTCGGTTAATTTCTCTCCTGCCATGGGAACAGATGCACCCAGGAGGCTTGAAAAAATCAAGGAGGGTTGGCAAGACTAAACGTTATGCCCAGTTTTTGTATGGGGGACTAGAAATTCAGGAGCGCAGTGCTGGGTCAAAGCAAAGCCCCAGCCTGTCTTCTAGCCAGACGTTTAGAAGAAGCGGGAGATCAATAGCCCCACCTGGATTCTGACTCATTTCAGAAATTCACTGCTGCCAGCTGGTGCCTTAGAGGGCATTAACAGAGAATTAGGCACATTGATTTCATTTCTGGATTGCTACCCATGGCAGAACATCCCAAAGAGATTAACTGTAGAAATAGATTTTTTTTAAATAGTTACAGTCATACCTCTAGCTGCGTTAGGTTTACGTTGTGTTTTTTCTGGTTACGAATGTGGCAAACCCGGAAGCGTTTACTTCTGGGTTCACCGATATGCGCAGGAGCGATCTGCGTGCTTTGCGCATGTGCAGGAGCGATTTGCAAACTTCGTGCATGCGCAGGAGTGCTCTATCACGTCATGCGCAAAAGCGGCGCTCTACTTACGGACTTTTCGGTTTGTGAGCGGCACCCCGGAACAGATTGCGTCCGTAAGTAGAGGTACCACTGTATACAGGTACAGACTGGGACATAGATACCCACTTAAAAGACCGGAGGGAGCAAAAAGGCAATAGAGGCAGTGCCTGTGAGCAATGAGGATGTCTTAATGTTGGCCTTTAGGCATGACACTCTTTACTGGTTGTTGGGGAGAAATCTAGAAGACGAGGGCTATTCCCTCCACGTCTTGCTTGTGGGTTTCCCATTTGAGGCATCTAGTTGGTCACTGTGAGAACAGAGGAGTCATGGGCCTCATCCAGCAGCCAGGCTCCTTTGACACACTCAATTTTTTTAGGGCCCCTCCAGCCTGGTGTTGTGGGCTTGCTTTTGCTTTTCTTCCGCAGCAACTCATTGACGCAGTATCAGTGCAATATTACGGATTGTCCCTAGATCAGTCCACTTCATTAGTTGTTCTAAGACGCTTTCCCTGCGTTGCCGCATTATTGCTTTCTGGATGGACATTCCTGCCCTGTAGCACGACAAAGGGGGGGATGTTAGAAAAAGCCTGCAAGATCAGTGGTATGAAAAGTTAGCAGGATTTCAGCAGGAAGTTGTGGGATCTGCACTAACTGGAAATTTGAGCTTGAGTTTGAGTCATGTCCGTTGCTGGTTGATTTCACTTTTTTAAAAAAAAATAATGACAATTTATTGATTTTCCAAAGATAACACACACAAAAATAAAAGCAACAACACTACAAAAGACAAAAAAACCCAGAAGTAATTGACTTCCCTCTAGTCCCTTCCTTGGTTCCGTTACTTATCAATGTAGCGCATGTCTATTGTCCAGTTTGAAACCTGTTTAAATTACTTTTTATCCATTTATAACAAAATTACATGTAATTTTAAAACCCTGCTAATGTATTAACCTGTGTGCAATGCTTCTCTATATATGCAATAAACATTTTCCATTCTTCTTTAAATTCATTTATGTCTCTTCCTCTTAGTTTCATTGTCAGTTTTGCCGTTTCAGCATATTCCATTGTTTTAACTGCTGAGTTGCTGAGGTCTGTCACGCAACTGCGCTAACTCTGCGGATCCCTAAGTGTGCCAGTGTCAGTTGGCATCAGTCACTGTAATGTTCGGGCATGTGTCTCTGCCAGGGTCCTACTCGAGTGTAGGCTGAACTCCTGACAGGGGGCTCTGTAGAGGAGGTGCCCCATGTCAGGCTGCAGATGAGCAGAAACGGGACAAATTCATGGTGGATCAAGCTATCGGCAACTAGCCAAGATGTCTCTGCTCTGCCTCCATAGTTGCTTCCCAATACCAGTTGCTGGAAGCCCCAGGAGCGGGAAGAGTTGCTCTTGTGCTCTGGTCCTGCTTGCAGGATTCTCATAATCGGCATCTGTTTGGCCCCTGTGAGAAGAGGATGCTGGACTAGATGGGCCACTGATTCAGAGAGCCAGTGTGGTGTAGTGGTTAAGAGCGGTAGACTTGTAATCTGGTGAACCAGGTTTGATTCCCCGCTCCTCCACATGCAGCTGCTGGGTGACCTTGGGCCAGTCACACTTCTCTGAAGTCTCTCAGCCCCACTCACCTCACAGAGTGTTTGTTGTGGGGGAGGAAGGGAAAGGAGATTGTTAGCCGCTTTGAGACTCCTTCGGGGAGTGATAATGCGGGATATCAAATCCAAACTCCTCTTCTTCTTCAGCAGGTCTGTTCTTCAGTTCTTATGTTTGAATGATTTTCAACCAGGCATAGGCAACCTCCGGCCCTCCAGATGTTTTGGACTACAAGTCCCATCCCTGACCACTGGTCCTGTTAGCTAGGGATGGGAGTTGTAGGCCAAAACATCTGGAGGGCCGAAGGTTGCCTATGCCTGGTTTAAACCATGAACAGACTCTGCTCTTTTCCGGTACAGTGGTACCTCAGGCTAAATACTTAATTCGTTCCGGAGGTCCGTTCTTAACCTGAAACTGTTCTTAACCTGAGGTACCACTTTAGCTAATGGGGCCTTTTGCTGCCGCCACGCTGCCAGAGCACGATTTCTGTTCTCATCCTGAAGCAAAGTTCTTAACCTGAAGCACTATTTCTGGGTTAGCGGAGTCTGTAACCTGAAGCGTATGTAACCCAGGGTACCACTGTACTTCTTTCTTTTTCTTGTGTTAAATATTTGAAGACTCCTATTCAAATGAGACTTCTTCATGTCAGGCAGCAGGTGTCGCCCTTGGACAATAATGAAAGTAGCTCTACTTGCGGCAGCAAAGGCACAATTCAAAGAACTGCACTGGCTTTGTGAATATTCCAGGTCCTGACAATGGTTTGTGGAAACAGGGATTACCCACGTCCCACGAGAAAAAAACCTTGAAGCATACAACCCTCCCTTATTTATTATTTCATTTATATCCCACCTTTTTCTCCAAGTGGGTTCTCCCCCTCATTTAATCCCTGCAACAACCCTGTGAGGTAGGTCAGGCTGAGGGACAGTGACTGGATCTGCAGGTCGCCCAGTGAGCTTCAAGGCCGAGGGGGGATTGCAGCCCTGGTCTCCCGGGTCACATTCTGACACTGCAGCCTCCATCCTGCACTGCTCAGCCAAAGGCACCTTCAGAGCTTCCCACTTAATGGAGCAGACGAGGACATTAGAGGTCTGGCCAGGGGATATGGACCCATTCCTCAGATGCCTAAACAAGGCCAGCATTGGATCATTCAATGTGATTCCTGCATTGCAGGGGGTTGGTCTAGATGACCCTTGGGACCCCTCCACCTGAAATTCTATGAATGTGATAGCATTGCTCGACTGAAATTGCCAGGGGGCACTGAGCCCATTGTGCAAAGCTGCTTGTTGCCCCCACCCCTTGGGCAGGGACATACTGTCTGTTAGGGCCAGCACAATCTGCAAACCTTACCTTCAACTCCCCACCCCCTGCTTTTGAAATAAAAAGCTTAAGATCAATTGCCAACTGGGGGTGTGACTTGGACGGGGACCCAGGCCACAGACCCACCTGACATGAGTTCAGCCATGGTGCATCCCCACTCGGGACTCAGCCTGCCTGGTTTCCCCCCCCCCCATTTTTTTATTGATTTTCCAAATTTATAACAAGCATCATCAACAACAAAAAACATTACAATATAAGAAACAAACATACAAACATTTATCCTATTATAATCTCACTTATGTGACCATTGTTAGATGACTTCCTCAAATCCCTCTAGCTGAGTTTCCATATGAGTCATTGTAGCAGTTTTCCAATACTAATTTTTAATAAAATTAACCTAATCAATTAACATCTTTCTTTCTCATCATATTCACATATATCCATAATGTTATGCAATTTAAAACATTTAACTCCTAAGCCAATTTGGTACTCACAAATAGTACTACTTATATTATCTTAGAATATTTTACTAAATAATCCTTAAATTTCTTCCCTTCTTCTTGGTACTTCTCCTCCTTCTGTTCACGGATTCTTCCAGTCAGGTCGGCCAGCTCCAAAAAGTCCATCATCTTCATCTGCCATTCCTCCACTGTTGGTATTTCTTGTAATTTCCAATATTTGGCTAACAAAATTCTTGCTGCAGTTGTGGCATACAAAAACAGTCTAACATCTTTCTTGGGCAATTCCAAACCTGTTATTCCAAGTAGAAAGGCTTCTGTTTTTTTACTAAAAGTATCTTTATTCAACATCTTTTTCAACTCATTATAAATCTTTTCCCAGAAGTCTTTCACCTTGGGACGCACCCACCACATATGGAAAAAGGCAACACAAACCAGCTGCTCTCACCCACTTAGCTTGCAAGTCCGTTGTTCTTAGAGAAAACTAATTTTGCAACTTTGCAGACTCTGGCTAGTAGTTTCCTGCTATTGTCAAAAGTACTGGGCTCCAGAGGGAGGCGGTCAAGGCAGCAAGCAAATTTCGGAGGAGCCAAGCACCCAACGCCAAGCTGGAGACTGACCTTCGGTCCAGTAACCGGGGCAGGGCTTGGACTGAAATCAAAGGTCTGGGACAAGGAGGGAGGGAGAGCTAAGGAACAGTCACTCCCCAGCCCAGGGGTAGGCAACCTAGGGCCCGGGGACCGGATGCGGCCCAATCGCCTTCTCAATCCGGCCCGCGGATGGTCTGGGAATCAGCATGTTTTACATGAGTAGAATGTGTCCTTTTATTTAAAATGCATCTCTGGGTTATTTGTGGGGCACAGGAATTCATTAATTCCCCCCCAAATATAGTCCGGTCCCCCAAAAGGTCTGAGGGACAGTGGACTGGCCCCCTACTGAAAAAGTTTGCTGACCCCAGCCCCAGCCCATCGCCTCCCCCTCTTTCAGTTTCCCTTGTCCTGGCCTCCTGTGTTGAAATATCTGGGTGAGCAGAGACGGCTTGCAGAGAACACAGCGCCCCGTGCTATTAATAGCGGCCCTTCAGAGCTTGGTGTGAAGGGAGTTTGCTTGCAAGGAAGCCATAATACCTTGGAGCTGTACCCTACTGTGGAACGATTAGCTGCTTCCAAGTGGAAGGCTGCCTTTTAAGATAAGAGGTCTTTTGCAAGGGGGACTCCTTCAGCGTCTCCTAATCCAAGACTAGGAATTACGGTATGGGATGAAAGAAATCAGACCTTGAATTGTGCCCCAGGAAGAACAGTGCCTCATCTTAGTTTCTCAATTCAGCAAAGGCAGTGGGAAATAATCAAGGCCACCCCAAGACGTTTTGCTGCCTGAGCCAAAGATGGCACCCCTGCTTCCACCAATTCAATACAGTGGTACCTCTGGTTAAGTACTTAATTCATTCTGGAGGTCTGTACTTAACCTGAAACTGTTCTTAACCTGAAGCACCACTTTAGCTAATGGGGCCTCCTGCTGTTGCCGCGCCGCCGGAGCACGATTTCTGTTCTCATCCTGAAGCAAAGTTCTTAACCTGAAGCACTATTTCTGGGTTAGCGGAGTCTGTAACCTGAAGCGTATGTAACTTGAAGCGTATGTAACCCGAGGTACCACTGTACTGTATATGGGAGCTGGGGATGGAGGCGAGAATTTATTTCATAAAATCACAGAATGGTAGATTTGGAAGGGACACCCCAAAAGTCAAATAGTCCAACCCCTGCAATAAAGGAATCGCAACTAAAAGCATCCCTAACAGATGGGATCTACAAGAGTCACACTCTCCCCCAAAATATGCAAACTGGAACACAGCCATCCTTGGAGACTGGCACTTCTCTGTATGTTGCGATGCAGTTCTCTAACTGGTGTCTACAAAAATCCAAACATTTGAGCGAGGCATGCACAGGAATGAAGGCAGGTGTGAAAATAGGATCCAAAATGCATGGCATTCAGGAAAACGGCTTGCAGAGATGTGTGCATGGGTCAAGTGCCATACGAAGGGCCTCGGGGATTCATCAAGAACACCACCAAGCCTGAAGTGAGGGCATCTGTCCTGTTAGGGGAAAGGGACAAATTTGTTAATTTCAGTTTCCCTCCCCCCACATCCAAAATCCAGTTATCTACCTTTCTACAGCAGCTTGCCAATTTTTCTCGGAAGTTCTCACAAAACTTCATCAGCATTTTAGTGCCAGTTTCTCCCAATAAACATATTTTCTTTGTATGCAGTCTTGAGCAATGCACATTTTTGCAAGCACTTTCACTTAATCTAATGCATTTTTGTATGTTATTTTCATCAGTATAGGTGTGTTTTTAATGCACACTTTCCTGCGATACACGCACACAAATTCGGCTGGAGAAAAGTCAGGTTTCCTTTTGGCACTCTGCTTTGAGAAATATGAACCAAGATATTCCTAATGAAAATGCAAACCGGACATAGGCTCCCCTTTTCTTTTCACACGATGTACCTAACATAGCAAAAAACAACTTTGGTTTTTAATGTACCATATAAATTCTGGAATTTATTTTGAACTCAGAGAGAAATGGATTACAAGCTTACCTGCCCGGTTGATATGTTTTGGATATGGCTCAGGACCACAATACCTCAAGGACCACC